ATCATAGAGAGATAGTCAGCGACGCTGCTGACGAGTAGTCGCCGGGGAAGAGACATCCATTAGTCAGTGCACAAACGTCCGCGGAAATAATTAGTCCTTGTCTACGGAGACCAACTCAGCAGCCAGGCGGGCAACATACTGTCCGCCCGCGGATTCCTAGGAAACGTCTGCCCGTCACCCTTGCTAAGAAAAACACGCCCACGCGGCCACGTCACCTCGCCGCCCGCGGCAATAAAAAAACAGAAACCACTCACCACCCGCCCCCCACGAGCAGCTTGTGCACCCATCCCCACGGTCGGTCCCACCCCGCGACTTGCGCCCAGTTCTTCCACCAGCCGACGTCACACCCGGACGTGGAAGTGCGCGTCGCGCACGAGGCGCCGCTGCGCGTGCGAGAGCTGGTGCTCGAGCGGCGCGTCGGGGAGGGACGGCGCGTCCGATGAAGAGCGCGGGAGCGGCGGGAGATGGCGGAGGAGGAGGAAGGGGGACACGTTCTCGAGCGTCGTCTGGTTTGTCCTGTGCGTATGTATAGGGCGGGAGGGGAAGTCAGGTGGGGATGAGCAGTGAGCACGCCATCTGGAAGCGCACGCACGTCGTGAGGTATATGTGGTACATCCAGAAAGACCCGAACACGAGGGCCATGACGATCCCGTAAATGCGAGGTATATGTCGTGCAGTGGTGTGTTCTCGTCCTGCGCGATGAATTAGGGTGGTGAATGCCCGGTACATACGAGACGCCGGGCGCTAGATACGTACGATGCTAGTGGGTTGGTGAAGGCGAAGTACACCGCTTGTACACACAGGGCGGCGATGTACACAGAGAGCAATACAATGCAGGTGAGTAGATGGAGGAACGCGGCGTACGTGCGGTGGCCCTTGAACGGTGTCAGGGACGTCCGCTCAATGTCCGGCAAACGGTAGCAGACTTACAATACATTTATCTCCTAGCCAGTAACAGTGGTGGTCTTTCGGTACCGTCACTACGTACATTCAAGCGGACCATGCGAGCCTAGAAACTCACCCATTTTGAGGACACACCTACCGCATGTACTACAATGGTGTGTCCGCTCGGGCTTTGGCGCGGAGCACTTCCGACACCACTTGCTCGGCCGCTTGTCGTGCGGCTCGTCGTTATCGGTCGCAAGGAGCGCCTGCATGAAGTCCATGTCCTCCCGCTCGTCGTCCGCTTCCTCCGCCGCCTTCGGGGAAGTTACGGGTCCAGGGTCGCGCGCGAGTATCAGGATGAGAGAAGAGAAAGCCAGGAAGGTAAGAGTATTGTGGCGAGGAGATGCGTGAGGAAGCGTGATGTAGAATGAAGCACACGGAGGTGGTAGTTGACGAGGACGAGCAGAAGAGAAGGGTGTGGTAGCAGCATTAGAAGCACAGCCACTGCCGTGCTCGACGTGAGCTCCCAGAACGGAACCGGGGGGTAAGACTTACGAAAGAGCGGAATGTAGTGGAACCATCGCTTTCGGACGCGAGGGGTGCTATCATCCTCGTCCTCGTCGTCCCAGTGGGTCGTTCGCGGAGCAGGCATGTCCGGGATGTGTAGTAGCGTGTTCCGCCTGACTTCGCGCGGCATGAAATGAAAGTGCAGTGCTCCGGAATTGACGGGTCTAAAGGCGAGAAGAACTGTGGACGAAGGTGAGTAGCATGGCCCCGTTGCCTGCGGGGAGGCGAAGCAGTTCAGGCTGTTGAGGTGAGGGACACAATCGACGCCGGGTACCCAATTACCGGTGCGCCCTCTGCGCTATTTCCGGACACGCACCGTCGGCGCCTTTCCTCCTTTGGCGGCAAAGTGGCGAGGTCACGAGCGCGATTTTCGCAAGCGCGCGCCCGCGTCTCTCAAGGGCAGCGAGCACACCTTGGTTTTCTTCATCTGTACAAGCACGCTCTCCAGAATGGCAGAGCCATCCACCTCCACCGCGGCACTCACACCCGCCTCCTTCAACGACTACAACACCGCCCTCCAAACCGCTGCCCTCAAAGCGACCAAGCACTCCGCACAACTCCCTGCCGACATCCCCTTCCACCGCTCCGTCGACCGCGGCTTCGCGAAGGACCTCGATGCAGCCTCCGCGCGCGTCCTCGCGCTAACAAACCGTCTGCTTGCTCTCGTCTCCACGACCGACTCCAGTGCGGCGGCAAAGAGGAAGGGAAAGGCGAGGCTGGAGAGCGAAGACGATGTGGTGGATAGTTTCCATGCGATGGTCGTGGACCCGGTGGACCAGTTGCTTGAGCGTGCAGTGAGGAATGATTTCTCGTTTGTTGTGGGGCTGGCTCGGAGGAGCGGAAGTCTAACACCTCGTGGTCGACCCACAGGATATTTGCTTGGACGAGTTCCTTGGCCGCTCGAAGCCCCCAGCGATAACTGTGAACCCGGCGCAACCCGCTGCACAGAAGACGAAGAGACCGAAAGCCCCGCCCGGGAGGCTCGACCCTGCGCTGCAACATGCCTCCACACTCGCGAAGCCGCAGCTCAGCTTCGAGCGAAGACCGGACAACGGGAACATGTCAATGTGGCAGCCCACACTCAAGCACAAGTACAATGCCCAGGTGCCTCTTGGATATAACCTCAGGGACGAAGATTCAGAAGAGGACGTCTCAGGACCGAGCGCGTGCGTGCACCATCCGCTACTACTGAATCGTCCGTTAAACAATCTACCACAGCCTTCACCCATACCGCTACGAAATCCGCCACATGCCCTACCCCGCGCACATGTTCGCCTCCGCCCCACCCGTCCCCCCGCGCTCGTTCGACGTGACGCCCTTCACATGGGTGTCCACGTCCGCCGCGCTCACAGCAATGCTCGACAAGCTCCGCGGCGCGCGCGAAATCGCAATCGACCTCGAGCACCACAGCTACCGCACGTTCTCGGGTTTTGTGTGTTTGATGCAGGTCAGCACGCGGGAGGAGGACTGGGTCGTGGACACACTCGCGCTGAGGGAGGAGCTCGAGGCACTGAACGAGGTGTTTACGGATCCGAGGATCGTGAAGGTGCGTGTGTGCGTTGTGTTACAATTTGTGGGCTGTAATGGCTGAAGGGACTGAGACGCTAGGTGCTGCATGGAGCTGAGAGCGACATCGTGTGGCTCCAGCAGGACTTCAATCTGTACATCGTGAACCTCTTCGACACTTACCACGCGTCGAAAGTACTCGGTACGTACAATTTCTTCTGTTACACAGACCATGACTGACGACGAAACAGACTTTCCCCGCCACAGTCTAGCGACTCTACTAGAAATGTACTGCGACTTCACCGCGGACAAAAAGTACCAGCTCGCCGACTGGCGGATCCGGCCCCTACCGGAGGAGATGCTCGCCTATGCGCGCTCCGACACGCACTTCCTGCTCTACATCTACGACAACCTCCGGAACGCCCTGCTCGACCGCGGCCAGAGCCAGTCGCGCTCCCAATCCCGCGCGGGGACCCCGCCCTCGTCGCAATCACAAATTCAAAATCAGACCCAGAACAAGACGCCGCCTGCGCACGCACTCGTCCGCGAGGTGCTCGCGCGCTCGGAGGAGACGGCGCTGCGGGTGTACGAGAAGGAGCGGTACGACCACGAGGAGGGGAGCGGGCCCGGCGGGTGGGACACGCTCGCGCGGAAGTGGAACAAGGGCGCGCTGACGGCGGGCGCGGAGGCGCAGGCGGGTGGGGAGAGCGTGTACGTGGTGCAGAGGGCGGTGTACCGGTGCGTGCATGCGTGGCGCGATCGGGTGGCGAGGGAGGAAGACGAGAGCACGCGGTGAGTGGTCTAGGGTGCCTTCAATTTCGGTGTGGTCGGTGCGGTGCTGATGGCGGTTCGTGGTGCGCATAGGTACGTGTTGCCGAACCATTACTTGTTCGTGCTTGCGGAGAAGCCGCCGCCGGATATGGCAGCGCTGCTGTCGGTGTTCCACCCCGTGCCGCCGGTTGTGAGGCGGCGCGCGAAGGAGCTGCTGGACGCGATCCGGGACGCGGTCAAGGGCGCCGCGAAGACGGCGACTGCGCCGGCGGGCGCGCCAGCCGACGCGTCTGTGGCTGGAGTGCAGATTCCGGACGGGGGCGTTGAGATGGCGGCCGAGGCGGCACCTGCGCATGCGGGGCCCGTGAGCACTCCCACTCATTCAACGGACCTGTGGGCGCATGGTGCGTGCCTGATCTGGCTCGGGGTCGTGTGCCTGGTTGTGAACTGACGCTGTGAATTTGCGCGGTTTGATAGCATCGCGGGCGCCCAAGGCGGGTGCTGCGGTGGCCTCCGCGCTGTTCAGCAACCCGGTGGTGGCGAGGGTGGAGGTGAAGGGAGGTGCGACGTTCGCCGCGGCGGGCAGTGCGCTGTTCGGGGAGGCGTCGCGGGTCGGTGCGGTGAGTGGTTTGACCCCGGATGGGGGGATCGAGCTGATAAGAGTTGTTCGTGAACAGCGGCCATCGGGGGCGCCTGACACAAAGATACGGTTCAGAGAATTGGTGGCAAGAATTCATGGTACCCTTGTCATCGCGCCATCCGTGCCGGCTGTGGAGACTTCTGGGTCGCCTGTGCCAGATGCGAACAAGGCCGTCAAGGAAGGCGCGGATGCGGATGGAGAGGGTGCTGCGGACTCGGGTCCAGCCGTGGAAGAGGCGGTCGAAATACCATTTGTGCCGGCTGCGCAGCGAACACGGACCGAGGCGGTGGAAGACGACTCGATTGTGGTGGTCGGACAGCGTCGGGGGAAGAAGCGAAAAAGGGTGGCGAAGGGCGCAAAGGGTGACGGAGCAGAGGCGGTGGAGGCGTTTGACTATGGAGCGGTGTCAAATATTCTGGACGAGGAGCCCGAGCCAGATGCGGAGGACGCGGGCGCGAAGAAACGGAAAAAGAAACAAGGTGTGTCTGTGTTGCATCTGTGTGTGGTGCGGTGTGCTGAGGTGCTGAGGTGCTGCAGTTGCTGGATACCAGTACGGCGACTTTCCTGCGCCGCCGCCCGCGCGTGCGCAGCCGCAGAGCGGGAACCAGACACGGACGTTCCGGTAGATAATTAGGGTGGTTAGTTATCAGATAAGCACCTCAATGATATCACCCCTGACGGAGCGGCTTACCTAAGCTGGTGCGCGGACCCGGCCGGTGTGCCAAGCCCGGGGCGATCGTGGCAGGATCTGGCGATCGGGTGTGTGCCGGGGAGCCGAGGTGGCTTGGAGTGGCTTGGAGCGAGCGGGCGGAGGCGAGCTCGCTGTTGCGGTGGCTGCAGCACACGACCGCCTCCCTCCCGACGACCACCATCCCCGTCCGTGCGCTGCCCCCGCGAGTGCCGCCTGCCGCACCGTCCGATAGCCACCGGCATCGTCGGCCTCTCTTCCACCGTTCACGTCTTCACGAGTGTCTCGGCTGCCGAGTGCTGCGGCGGCACCTTCGCTGCCCAGCGTCTTGTTGAATCCTTACATACAAGTTGCATGACCTCCTTCACCCCTCCTTCTTCTTCTTCCCCGCATGCAATTATGAGGCTTTCTGTCCCTCGTCTCTCCATCCCTCGTCCCCGCCCCGACTCCGCCATCTACCTCCCGCTCACTCCACTGTGGGCAGCCACCCCGACCAAGAGCTTTGCCGACTACTCGAGCTCGCTCCTTCGACGTCGGGGCACCTTCATCATCTTGTTCGCCCCCGCCCTTGCCCTTCTCTTCTACGTTGTCCGCTTCTACGTCGGCGATTGGGACGACTATGAACTCGACTACGACACCCTTGCGTCTCTCCACACTTCTTATATGCCCTTTCAGGTACCTACTCAAACTTATACCCCTACTGTTGTTCGTCCGGTCCCTACCCCATCCCCATCCACACCGCTGCCACCACCCGTTCCGTCTTCCATTAGCTCACATAACGTGACCTATCCTCTCTTTCAGGTATTCCCGGAGGACACCCCCCGCCACCGACGCTCCGTCCGCATTCTGACCCGCTGCCCGTGGAATGCATCGACGCCTATTTCGCCCAGGGTGTGCCCTGCTCCACACCGGACCCGCCCAAGTTCGACTTTGTCTGGACATGGGTGAACGGCTCGGACCTCCTCGAGCAGCAGGCCAAGAAGGACGCCATGCACCGCTACGACTCCAAGGATCCTTGGCGGCCATCCGCCACGGGCACGCCTGACCGTATGTACCGGTACGTCCTCGCCCCCCTCTCCCCTTGCTTCCAGTGCTGATCCCAGGCGAATAGCGACAATGACGAGCTCCGGCATTCATTCCGCTCCGTCCTTGCCTCCTTCCGCCCCCACCTCAACCGCATGCTCCTCCTCACCTCTGACTTCCTTGTCCCCTCCCCCAATTTCACCCAGTCCGCCTCCTGGCGCCTCTCGCAGATCCCACAATGGCTCGACCTCGCCAAGCAAACGCGGGCCGGCTGGCAGGACGGCGACGTCGGCCTCGACATCGTGCACCACGCCGAGATCTTCCGCCCGTACATCGGCACCAACTTCAACAGGTGCGTAGCAGCGCTTTTCTCGTCCGCAGCTGTGATAGATTATCGTGGTGTGCGGGCGGGCGTGGTGCGGCGCTGACGGGCATGTTTGCGTTCTATAGCCTCGCCATTGAGTCGCAGCTCGGTCATGTGAAAGGCATTTCTGATCACTTGTGAGTGGTTCGCACCTTCATGACCGTCCCTCGGCCCCGGCCGACCTCATACATTCCGCTGCGCATTGATACAGTGTCTACATGGTGAGCGATTGTGTGCCTGGACGTCGCACGGTTGTTCATAGCTCATTCCCAGAACGATGATTTGTTCTTTGGCGTACCGCTACAGCCTGCGACGTTCTACACGCCCGGTGGGTGCACTCGACCCTTGGCTGCAGCGCAATTCCTCACACTCATCCAGCGTACGGCATCGTCCTGCACCTCGACACCGGCCTCATGGTCCCGCCTGACCCGCCCACCGTGCTCACGAAGGGCGAGTGGCGGGGCATGGGCGAGTCGAACTTCATGCTCAGTGCGTCGCGCTCTCCCAAGCACCGCTCACCACTGACCCGTACCTGCCCACAGGCCAGCGTTTCGGCGCGCGGCACCGCCCGTATGTCATGCACGAAGCGAAGGTCGTCTCCGCGCCGATCCTCGCGGAGATCGAGACGGTCTGGCCGGGCGCGTTCGCGCGCGCGGCGGGCCATCTCTTCCGCGAGACTGCGGGCCCCGGTACGCCGAGCGATGTGAATACGATGCTACTCCATGCGCATTTTATTGTCGAGCGCGCAAGGGAGGCACTCTTGTGGGCGTGGGTCGTTGGGCGGCATGGGGGCGTGGACGATGCGTGGGGCGTGGAGGAGGAACGGAGGGCGTGGGCACAGGTGAGCGCGGAGGGTGTGGGTGCCAGGGAAGTAGTTGTGACCGCGGACCATCGGTATACGCTTGAGGGGGAGAGGGTGGAGAGTGCCCTGCGCGAGAGCGGTTTGGAGGGCGGATTGGGAAAGACGTCGTATGTGTTTTGTGAGTGCTCAGATGTTACTCTCGGTGCGATGAAGTGTGCTGACGGATGAACAGCCTCGCTGGACGGGTACGCATACGCTGGGCTCGGAACGGGCGCGCCTTTCAGTCGAGTCACACCGGACGTTGCGGAAGACGACCTCCTGACGTGTACGATCAGCTATGATGAGTGCTTCGCAGGCTACTCGCGTGCGTCCGACGTCTTCAAGCACGTCGCGTTTGAGAACCCGCAGTGCGGTGACTGCAGTGCGTGCTTTCCTCCTTGTTATGCTGTGCGCACTCTCTAAATGCCGTTGTGACGTTGAAGTTATCACTGCCCTCGCACGAGCGAGCGGACCCCTGGGCATCTCAGCTTTCCTCCCTGCTCCTGAACGCCAACTCGCCGACCTCTCCGCCAAGATACCTGGTTTCGCAGAGCCGTCTGACACGATGCCGCACCTGCCGCTCGTCCCTCGCTTTGAAGACGGCGACTTCTCGCTGCGCGGCGTGATGGGCACGGCGGGCGAGCGCAACGTGCGCGCGTGGACGCTGCGGGTGCTGCAGCGGTACCGGTACGTGGTCGGGAACACGCCCGCAATGTTCGAGATGCTCTTGCATACGGAGCAGGTGAAGGCGATGCTCCAGCGCGTGGACGAGACGACGGACGCGGCACTGATATGCATCAACGACGATGTGGAGAAGGGCCACGAGGAGTACGTTGCGCCGCTGTTCAAGGAATGGCAGGAACACAGGTGGCCGGAGCCTGCGGAGTGGGAGAGGCGTTGAACGACGGGACCTTGGGCCGACGACTGGTACCCCCTCTCGGCCTAAGGCCCACCCAACATGAAGTTTTTGCGATGCTTGTGGAGAAGTTGCAACAGACCGGAGAAAGAGAAAGGAAGAATATCACCAACAGTATTAATGCTGCTCCGCGGGCGGTCGGCCTGCGCCCACTCGACGCGGACACCTTGATCAATGTAGCTACACCCCAACCCACCCTACTACTCGTTTGCCTACCTAGCCCCTCGCTTAGTACCACCTTTGCATCGCGCTCGCGCAGAGCCGCACTACATACCTGCTTACCAGACATACCATCCTTCACGGACCACGGACTCGCTCGCTATCTATTCTGCTCTCATCTATTCATCGCGGTCACCGCCGTTGACCCATCTAGTATCCCCCAAAACTGTGTATAATATTCGGTACCTGGTACTTGCGGCATGGTAGCGATTCTGTATACCGCTGTGTAGCACTTCGTCAGCAAATGCTAGACTCGCCGTTGCTTGGCGTTCTTGTTGAATTCTCAGGTCGGAGCCCTCGAGTCCGCTCCGTGATCGGCGAAAGGACAGCCCCGCATGATGATACATACTAATGCACTCATGTAACAAAGCGGCTGTACAGCCTGGTTCGTCACAATGTGTCCTTTCGAACGATTGACCAACATGTTGACATGACGAGTCGCTGATTTGGACACGTCGTCCTCAGGAATGGGCACACCCATGGATCCCTGTCACTCAGAAGCCATAGTAGGGGTGGCGATCACAGTCCTGCATCTAAGGTCTCCTCTGGAAGGTCCAGGCTGATACCGGATTACAGGCGGTCACACGCTGGAATTGCAATACATGGCGTACTGCGTCGCCAAGTTCAAGTAGTTGGCCTCCCATGTGCCTTTGACCTCGCCTGCTTGGCTGCCATCGAAGTGCGGCTACGTATACGGCCATTCAGGGCAGCCTCTTACTTTGTCGGAAAACATACAGCGGAGGAAAATGCAGACTCGGCGCAGTATACGTACGCCCCAGTACTTCATCCAATCATTGAACTGCGTATTATTACACTGCCGTATCATGGTCGCCCCAGACCTCATGAAGCCTATGTACCCCGGTTTAAGGTGCAAAGAAAGACTGCATTCGCGCTCCTCGTGGCAGCAACGCTGAGCGGCTTGTTTGGCTTTTTGCCCTCCTGGCGTGGCACCACCATTGCAGCGTGCTCGATGCGGAGAGGTTGGTCCATCGTGCAGAAGCTAGAGAAACGGAAGCAGTAGCCGATGTGGCGGGCAGGGTGCTCTCAAACGAGCCGCTCATCATCCCCGCAGACCCTGAAGGCCTGATGGGTCGCAGCTCAAAGACGAGGCTCGAACCGCAGCGGACCATGGAGAGACTCGGTCAGCGCATCGCTAAAGGTCAGCTAGATGGCAAAGGTCAATTATTTCCTCTGACGTTATGAAGGTTTTAGCAAAGCGTACAAGATATACAACAAAAAGTGAAGATACAGTTACAAATGTACACGAAACGGATATCCGAAGAATGTCCCAATGTATAGATACACAGAACTTATATGCGGGTATTAAGAATGCGCAGTGCGTAGCGAGACTAAGACGATCTTACGATAACTTTTGGCACGATGTTACTTGACCTTGAAGCGATACCTCAATCAGAAGTTAAGGCCCGGGAGGTCAGGATCCGTAGGTGACCGGGGCAAGTCCGACTTGCCGACGTTGAGCAGGAACCGCTCGACGACTTGCTTTCCCCTTCGGAGGTTGGACAGCGAGATTCTCTCGTTCGGCAAGTGCGCCTCGTCCTGTCGAGATGTCAGCACATGGGTGACGCGAATCCATCGCTTTACTCACCGAGCTCTGACCGAGGGGAAGATGGAGTGCATGGCACGAGAACTCCTTTTCAAGGTAGGGAACGGACGGTATAGACTAGGGCACTACGAGTCAGTGCTCGGTTAAGCAGAAGAACGGGCTAGCAGCGTACCCCTCCTTCCCTGATACGCAAGGGCTCTACGCCCCACTCTGCTTGAACAGCGGTCTCGAGCGCGTGGAACCAGGGGCCGTCGAGGTCTCCCAGCCACCAGTCCGCCGTATGATCAATGCTGACCTACGACCGTGGCACTCAGTCGAGATAGCAGGATTAACAAGACGTGGAGAGATCTACCTTGAGCTTGTTTGGTGACTGCATCGTCACGAACGCAGCAGTCAGATGTTCGCGCAGGCTATTCGCGATGGTCTCTAGGTCCTGGTCGGGCACGATCCGTACTGAGACGTGCGCTTTCACAGTTGCAGGGATCACCGTAGAATCTGTGAAGAGCATTCAGTACTCCCCCACCGAATGGCAAGAGAGAAACAGAGAACTCACTTCTGGGCCCAGACACCTCCACATTGTGCACCGTCAGCGACGGTTCCCGCCAGCGAGACGACAAATGCGCGGCTGGCGTCTTCGTGATGTTCGCTAGCACAGCATAGACCCCTTTTTCCTGGTCCGTGCAGGGCAGCACACTGTCATCTGCGCAGACGCATCAGATACATCGCTCGGTCGAGAAACGTGGAGGGCACTCACAGAAGCCAGGGATGGAGACCATGTTCTGGCCGTCTGTCAACGTTCCCAGGAGCTTGAGCCTGATTGGTGCCGATGTCAGCGTGCCAGGGCCGACAGCGTGGTACCGTGGCATTACTCACATGTCGAGCATGGGCTCTACCGTCACGCCGCCGTCAACACCGGAGTGGCGATCGGGGCCTTCACTCGAGATCTACGTGCGGTGTGAGCCAGGAATAAGACACGTCGTCCAGGTGGAGTGGATTTACCTGGACATTGCAGTGCACGACGCCGCGCAGGCCGTAGGTGATGCAGGGCGTGTCCTCCGCGATCCACGTGGAGTTGCTACGACCACCGAAGGTGAGAAACCTTGATGAATCACATCTGTGAGAAAGCGAAGCCACTCACCTCACAAGAATAGCATCGACGGGCCCGATCGCATTCTGCCGTGCACACGAGACTTCAGTTCAAGGCCAAAAGACAACGAGCTATGTAGACTACAGCTACAGACCTTGTTGCGCTTAACAGCCTCCACGAAGCCCCCGCTCCCCGCCTCCTCCTCTCCCTCGATCAGCATGACCAAGTCCAGGTCCAGCGCGCGCCGCCCGAGAAGCTCAGCCGCCGCACACGCGACTGCCATGACCGGGCCCTTGTTGTCCGTCGCGCCACGGCCATAGAGGTAGCCATTCCTACCCGTGAGCGTGAACGGGTCCGAGTACCACCCGTGGTGCGACGCCGCGATGACGTCGTAGTGGCTTTGCGAAGGCGAATACGGGGGGCGTCAGCCGCGGAGAAACAGCGGCACGACTCTGATAGAGCTGACGCACCCGTAGAACAGGATTCGTGGCCGCCTGCGCTTCGTCTGGTTCCCACGGAAGTTGCCCAGCACGAGCGGGTTCGTGGTCTCGCCCGTGGGCAACTGCGTCCGACAGGCACCGCGTCAGCACAAATCTCGCGGGCTACCGCGGATCCTCGCCGAGGACTTACCAAGCACGCCTCCGCGCCGAGCTGCGTGAAGCACTTGCGCAACCAGATCGCGGCCTGGCGACAGTCTTCGCGATGCGCCGGCGAGTTGCTGACGCTCGGGATGGACACGAACTTCGAGAGCGCGTACACCATCGTTTCTGCGAGATCCGCGGGTCACCGGGCAGCACGCGGGTGCGAAGTGGGGGGAACGCACCATTGCCGGAGTCTCCCCATTCCATGTCGGGGTCGGTGAGGAGCGACAGGTGCGCGCTCTTCCGCGCTTTCGGCGGGTCGACCTCCCAGATCTGCGAGCACGCGATGAGATGCCCGCCCAAAATCCAATTCCACGCCAGACGGAACGCACCTTCATCTGGTCGTCGTTCGCGCCCGTCACGAGCGCAAACTTGACGCCGTCGTGCTCGGGGGCATCGCCGTCCAACAGGATGCCCTCGTCGACGGTGGCCGGCGTGCAGAGCCGCGTGACGATCGACGTCAGCACGATGCCGTCGTGCGCCTTCCACGACGCGGTGTGCTCGAACTGCGCGGACCACCGCTGACACCATCGCAGTCAGCTCGGTCCGCCGGGAGAAGCGCCTGACGTACCTGCACCTCGCCATTCGCCAGGCAGACGTAGAGATCCGACTTGAGCATGCTTAATGAAAGGATGTCGACATTCTGATGCACCCACAGCGAAAGGATCCGGCCGCAGTCAGTCAGCAGTTGCGAACGCGGGAGCACAGAGTGGGGAAACCCTAACCTCGCTGGTGATGAGCACCCGCACGAGCGTGCGCGTCTCGAGGTCCCACACCTTGAGGTGGCCGTCCTGGCACCCCGCGTAGATCGTCTCGCCGCGGACGACGACGGCGAGCACCGCGCCCATGCAGCACTCGAACGTGTGCAGCAGGATCGGCGTCGGGTTCGCGGGCGCGAGCTGCCACAGCTGTTCCCCGCGGCGATTAGGGTTTTGAGTGGCGAAGCAGGGGAAGCCGCGGAGGAGGATCGCACAGCCAATCAGCGCGCGCGGTTTAGGAGGGACGGAGAAATGGCGCACGGACCTTGACGGACTCGTCGCCGCTCCCTGTGACGAGCTGCAGGTCGCGCCGCTCGCTCGCGCGGTCGAAGGGCGGGTCGTCAGAGCCTTCGCGGACGCTCGGCACGAGCGCCATGCAGTAGATGTAACCATAGTGTGCGGAGTAGATCACGTTAGAGGGCTCGACTTGGAGCACGACGAGCGGGCGATGCGGGGACGGGTCGCCCCGCGGCGGGGACCCGGACGTGCTGGGCAGCGATGAGGAGGACGAGGGGGGTGTCGGCGGGAGCGAAACGCCATGGGTGTGCACGTTGGACTGTGACGCGTGGAAGTTGGAGCACGTCGGGTTGCGTGCGAAGAGGTCAGCGGGACGGCGGGTGTACTGGGGATAGCTGTCGAAGAACTTGTGTGCGCGCCGCGAAGAGGTGGGTGTCGAGCGGCCGCTTGATGTCGGGTCGTCGTTGACGAAGTGGACGGAGGAGGGCGAGGTCGCTTGCGAGTGGACCGCGGAGGGGAAGGTGAACCACTGGAGGGAGGTGTCTTGGCAGCCGAAGTAGACTGTCTGGAGGACGGGGCACCAGACGAGGGAGAAGAGGTCGCCAGCGTCATTCTCGCCGTGGGGGTTGATGAGATAGAGGGGCGAGAGGGTGCGCGTGGACCAGACCTAGACACGGGGCGTGGGTCGCATGAGAGCAGAAGAAAGCATGGGCGGGGTATACGTACACGGATCGTGCTGTCCCCTGCGACGGAGAGGCGATAATTGATTGAGTACCTGGAGTAAAATGACAGGGAGGGTTGACGCACCAGATGCACTAAAGAGCCACTCTTTGTCGGCGGCGTACTCGAGGGCGAGGATGCTGCCGGTGTGTCCCCTGAGCGTGGCTTTGAGCTTGAGGGTGTCTTTGTCCCATACCTATGTCACATCACAAGGCTGTTCAGCACCACGCACACGATGGCAACGACGCAGACTGACGGAGATGTCCCCGGTGGGTCCTCCGCTGAAGAGATGGGACGAGTCAGCGGCGAGGCTGAGGACGGAGTTGCGCTCCTGGCGGAGGCTGTGGAAGAGTCGCGGGGGACGCTCTGCGCTGTCAAAGGGACGGCTGAGGGATGCTGAATCGTCGCGATCGCGGAAGTGGTGAGCGGGCTGGGGGTAGGGTGCGAGGACGCACATGGAGGTGACGTACGGTGAGGAATGGTCGGGCTCGGGCTCGAACTTGCGACCATTTAAGCAGAGGAGGAGGCGGCAACGGACGCAGTGAGGGGTTGCGACGAATGGAACGAGATGGATTGGCAGGACGAAACGCAAACACAGGTCCTCGGTCGGAAGGGGACATAGGATCGCGTGCAGCGGCGGGCACGCGACAGGCGCGCAGAGGCTCGCCACCCACGCGTCTATCACGCGTCGACATTCGCCATTCTCTCCTCACCGCCGCCCAATCCCTGCCCCCGTCCTATAAACCTCCCTGACACACTGACACCTGCGCTGCTTGTTCGACGACCATCACCCTCCCTGCGCCCACCATCAGCTCAAAATTCATCGTCTGTCCCCGTCTCCTCTGCAGCCTGATGATGGACCCCGTCTATGGAACTGCGCGTATTTACGCAATGACACGTACTGTCCTCTCCCCCAAGCCGTATCTTTGCGCGATCGCCCGTGCACTCATCGCTGGACACATCTAGTCGCATCCGGATCTCTCCTTACCGCGAAGAACCAACTCCCCGCATTGGGCAGCATTCCCCTCTGCGTGACCTCCGGGAAAGTCAGAGCGCACGTCCGCGGCCGCTGGACACACCGCTCATTCGGACTTCGGAGACATGTCCCATCTTTTGGTACAGCCCATGGTTTCAGGCTTTGGCCGGTAGTGAACAACCGTGATATTTGTCGCCGTACGCCATTCCTTACAAGTCATTACCTGCAGACCCAGATCACAAGCCTGCTCCATTCCGGATGTACGTCAACCACGACTCCTTCCCTGTGCTACGTTGTCCACGTCTATCCTCTCAAGAAGCCCCCCAAAACTTCTAGTCTCCGGCGTGTGCCGCGCTGCCTGGACGTCCTGACATTGCTTCCCTCCCCGGATCTGTTGTTGGCAACACTCGGGCTCCCACGTCTCCTGCGCATCCCCTCCTGAACTCTCCGCCGGCCTCTATCTCCGCGTCCGTCTCGCTGCAGATCGGGTTGTTTCGTGTCTCTTGTGTGCATCTCTGTCCTGTTCGGACAACTCTCGGTACCCGTCGGAAGCGAATCGTTTGTCTGGCTAGGTAGCCTTATGCAGGTGGAGCCAGCGCGATCTCAGTCGTCTCGGATTTGGGGGCGATATTCCCCGGCCAGTGCACTGTTCGGAATTCCATCGTCCACGTTTGCGTGTTCCCAGATCCCGGAGCGACCAGGTATCCGCTCTCGCGGCGAAGTCGATGGCCTGCGCGGTCTCATTTTTATCCTCGCCCGGAATGAAATGCTTTGTGGGAGGATGTGATCGTCGTATTCCGAGGATCATATTTTATAGGCTCGGGGCTCGGGGCTAGTAGATGGCGTGCAAGCACGCCAGCTTGCGCTCAGATTGCCTCTGCGACGACGCTCAGGAAAGATTTCAGTGGTTGGGTCCGCGATCAGTGGCAGGTGAAACACAACTCGGTATCAGGTCTCATGCCTGCGAAGAGTTCGGACAACACAACAAGAGACGACCGTCGGAGCAAGTAAGTACCGTAGTACTTAGTTCGACATGGACGAGTTTCGTAGTGCTTAGGTTTGTCGGCGTATACAACCTTCGCTCTTGTAGTGTTGGGCTCGTTGAAATCGTGATGTCAATATTGTCACGGAAGTAATCTGCATTGCCGTGGCACCGATAGCAATTGCTACACTGCGCCTTGCCAGTGAAACCACGTACCGGGCCGTGTTCTGTGCGGCGCACGGAGACGTCACCGAGTTGAGAAATATTGAATACATGTTCACATTCAATCGGGGAGGTGATAGCTTTGCGCGATGACTTCAGCCTGACTCGCGCGTAGTGAAAAGGTACTTAGTGTTTGCGAGCAGTAAGTGCGGTGAACATGCAGACATAAGTTGCTCGGCGACTCGAACCGGGACCGGAGTCTTGGCTGGTCAGGTTACTTCAAGCTGTGAGTCAAGTACTCCTTCATGGGATAAGCATACAATCAGCATATGCCAAAATAGCTACGAATCACAGAAATCTAGTGACGTGAGGAGTGCTCGAAATTGTTGGGAGGGCACCAATATCTCAGGACGGCAGAGATTCAATATGTAGGTAATTAGTGTAGCCAAGCTCCAGGGCCTCCCCGACCCGATTGGGTGGGCGCTTGGCCACCTCCAAGCCACAACCGCGTTCATCACGTGGTGCCGTTGATCGCGTCGGACTCCGCCACGGGGGTCTTCAGCCACAGACGAGACCGGAACACGACTCAGACCTCAACCTCGATGTCGACGCACACCGGTCCCTCGAACCCCATTTCACCCCTTCCGTACCGGGCGCCCTACTCTTTGCAACTACTCCTGCGTCCTTCCGATGGCCTCCATCGCTCCAGGCTCCCCCGGTTCACGACATCGCGCGCACGCCTCGCCAGCCACCGAACTGCTGCCTTCAGCCAACATGATACGCTCTCTAACCGGAGTGGAATCTAACCCTAAGCATTCATGGGGCTGCTCTGTGCTCACTCCTCCGCTCAGGGATTACAGCGTCGCGTCTGGTGATGTGCCCCGAGCGATGGCACGTTTTATGGATGGGTGTCCTTGCTCGACGGTGCGCAGTCGTGTGGCCTGAATCCTGCAGTTCATAGCCTCGGTACAATTCTTACTGCCTGCTCTGATGATTTGCTCGTGGTGATCTCTCTCAGCGCCCTTCATCGCATCTCCGGAAAGTGCCCCATTCCCGCGTACCAGTCGACGCGTCGTCCAGACATGTACGCACAGATCTCCGCCAGCGTCTGCCTAGGGACCCCTCGCCTCGTGCATAGGTATCACCGCACAGGATGCCATGCCTTCGGGCGCGCGTCCAAGCATGAGGTGGGGGAAGGCGATGCCGGAAAGCGCGAGATACGTCTGTGATGATGGCGGGCTGCGGGGTGGGCACCAGAGACGCGTCGCGGGTTCATAACGGGCTCGTGCTCCGAGAGTGAACGAGCCACGCACATCCAGACAGGTGGTGACCAAGGAGCTGTACCAGGCGGATAGGTCACGTACAGGCCTCGATGCCTCCTTTGCCTATCGTCGCTCTCTGCTCGATACTGGCCGCAGCGCATTCTGACGGCTTGGAACGACATCCTGTATAACCTTCTCGACGCGTATTCCCGCTACGAGCATTCCGCACAGGGCACGAGCAGCCCGAGCCCCCGGGCTCACCTCCGAGGGCCAGGTCGTAGGGCATGGCCCACCCCCGGCGATATTTATGTGGCTTTCCGCTCGCCGTAGGCTGCCTCTGTGTCCGCTGCTTTCCCCAAGGCAGCGAGCAGGGGCTGGAGCCTAGAAGCGTCGGCTGGCGCATCGAAACTGCATGGCTCCGCGGCTAAGTGGTTGGCTGGAGCACGGGGCGTGCGTGTGTTTGTCTGGACGCTAACGGGACGCACAGGAAGGCGCGGCGCAGCGTTGTGGAGGTAGCTTGGGCCCAGGAAGGGATATGGGTACAGGTGCGTGTGGACCGCGTCGAAACAAGAGATGGTCGTGGCCCGGAAGCCCGCGTGGAAGGGGGGATTGGTGACGATGGTGGTTCGCCGCTAGACGTATGGTCCTCCCGTGTCTGTTCAACCGCCCCCAACTCCTGTCCTTCCATCACAGGAAGGCGGACACCGATCACCCACCACACGTACTCGGTTCTCACTGTGCTGTTGTCGTTCTGGCACTGTCCTTGGTCATGCTGTGGCGATCAGGCTTGCGTCTGTACCCAGCCGAGGCCTCTGGGGCGTCTGGATGGCTGCTTGACAACTTCGTTTCTGGCGTTCTGCGGAGACCTGTCTCCTCGAACTGGTTCTTCTGGCTCTGTTCTCGCCCTTCCGTGCATCATTCGGTTTTGGAAAGCTCCCCGCTGTCGCCGCTGGGCGCGATGTTCGGTGATCCTGCGGCTGGTACCGCTCGCTCTGTTCCTCTCACCCATGCAGATCTCCGTGAAGGACGGCCCACTGGCTCCAGATTCCTCCCGTTGTCGTCAGAGTTGCGGTTCCTTCGGGACGCCGTAACAGAGCCTCGTGCTCGAGTCTGACGACGGTGAGTGCCCTCGGGCCTGGCAGTGCAATCGGCTAGTGGGTGCGGTTCCCTGGCGGCAGGCTCCTCTGTGTGGGGCGCAGGGTTGCAGACGAGTGATGAGTAGGCTGTGGGTGAGGACTCGTCTCCCAGTATGTCGCAGCGCGTGTGAGTGCTGGATGGTGTATACGTGCAGGAAGGCGGGGCAGTCCAGTTGGCTGGCTCGGAGGCAGCGAGCGGGGCGTCGGCGTGGACCTTGGTCTGCGAGAACGCGTCGGTGTGCTCGGAAAGCGTCTTATGCTTCGGTGGCGCTTGCCTCCCACAATATAGCATGGTCCTCTGGCCCCTCGTGGGTAAGGATGGCGTTGGAAAGTCAGGCATGGTGGTGGAAAACCCGAAGCCCTCGGGCGCTAGGGGAAGTACTATGGAGCAGGAACTGAGAGCGCGCGTGTGGGCGTGGGTCTCGTGTTTGAGCTGGTGTCGTTGCGGGGGAAGAGGGCGTGGTCCTGCCCTCTTCGAGAGTGCGTTGACAGACAACATGCGACGCGGCTTGTCTGCGTGAAAATGCTTTCGAAGCAAATTTTTTCCACATTGATGTCTTCGTGACATCTTGCTCTGTCTCCGTACCCTGGTTGGCGGTGGTCGTCCGAAAACAGTGCGTGCTAATGGCTTACCGATTCGCTCTTCGAATGCTGACACTGGGAAGCGCACAGATAGCACTTCAACTCTACGACATTTATTGGCCATCAGCATACTGGAGATCGTAAGCACATCATCTGTCCATGTCTGTCTAAGCTATATCTATGTTGCCCCCGTTCTGTCTGATCGCACTCGAGAACGGGTCTTGCATGTCAGGCCTCTTGTCTTGTGCCAGTGTCCATCCTATCAACAGTGTTGATCTAGTCTTGATACTGCATCAAATGAGCGTTGAGCAATCTGTGACACGCATTGCTCTCGGGCTTCCGTCATGTTCGTCAGACCATCAGTCATGTACTACCAATACAAATCTATCGCTCTCCAAGTAGATCCCAAGACTCAAAGTCATGCAATGCATGTTTTCAGTTATCGCGTGCTGTGGACCATTCGATGTTCACGGAGGCGCGCATACGATCACCATACCGGATTGTGACGAGGAGCATCCTGCGTACACAGCTCAGTCTCCGTTGTCAGGACGCGCAGATGGTAACTCACAATAGTCCTGTCCATCCGAGGACCGTCGCAGCCAGGTTCGTCCATACGAGTCCGAAGTTTTCAAGCGAGGGTAAGATTGCGGTCGTCATGATGGCCATCAACATTGACCGCAGTGCGCTGAGTGGCAGGCAATCATCGTTAAGCACGGCTGTGGATCATGCACGAAATGTGACTGACTTGCACGCCGACATGACCTCCGCACTTCGCGAGTGCAGCACATCGACGTTGTATGCGGACGCAGGGCTGAGCGCGAGGTCCACCTATCCCAAAGCGTACGTTAGTCTCATCTACAGATTTCCAGAATTGGCGACCGTGACGCACGCCGATCCCGTTAATGAACAGCGCGACCACATTGAGTGCGATCCCTAATCTTCCGGGGACGAACTCCGTAAGGAGCCCGCAGGCCAGGGTGCTCGCCGGCGCGAGGACAGACCCGAGGAGAGATGCGCGCAGGCGGTCCTCGGGTACCCAGACGCCCTTGCGTTTCGCGCGCCACCGTACGACCGTCATGTCAGAGAGCTTGCCGGCCAAAGGCGCGCCGACTAGTAGGGCAGATCAGTTATGCGTGATGCGCGCGTGCGAGAGGAGAGGAGACTGAACTGATGTTGCCGATTCCTACTGGGAGGAAGAGGAGACCGACTAAGGCTTCGTTCGTGATGTTGTATCGCTTGCCCTGTAGGCTCCTGATCAGGACAGCGTAGGGAATTAGGCTGGAGTGAGACTCACTAGGGTGTATGCCAGAGGGATGCTCATGACTAACGCATGATTGAGCGGGCGTGTTCTTCGGGAAACATAGTACGTCGTGCCAACACGTACCGAAATCGGTCATAAGCACTACCGTGGTGGCAAGCGTCTTCAAGACACGCAGCTCAGTATCCCAACGGTGATCTAAGGTATTCCGGACTTACCACCACGAGCAAGTTGGGTGCCCTCAACAATGTCAGGCTCTTGAGCGGGTTGAGCCAGTGCCATCTCCACTTCTCCTCGCCGAACTTGTGGTCCGCTCCGCGGGTGCCCGGATGTGATGTTTCCGGGAGCAAGTAGTACATGACGATGAACATGAAGACGCTGAGGAGGGCAAAGATCATATGCAGTGCGCGCCAGCTAGCGAAGTGCACGGACAAGCCTCCGAGAAATGGCGCTATTGCGGGCCCTATGAGGGCAGCCTGTACAGTGGACCAGTTGTATGAGTCGCGATGTTCTCCTACCGGTGCAGGTTATGAAGAGGGGCGGCACGCTCAGACTCACGCCAAAGAATATACCCATTGCGCCCCCGCGTTCTTCGAGCGCATAAAGGTCACCGACGACTGCTGCTCCTACGCTCATGCCGCTAGAGCAGCCTACTGCTTGTAAGACACGCCATGCGAGTAGCTGAGTAATTGAGGTTGAGGTTGCGACGCCGATCGAACCTATACATAGAGTTGGCAAGGAGTAGAGGTAGATAGGGCGACGTCCGTCTTTGGACCAAAGTCAATAACGAGGGGAAGGGGACGGAAAATCCAGTGAAGGAACTCACAGAAGCCCGAATAAGAGGCCCACACCAGGTTCCCGAATGCCACTGAGAACATGGCAATGTTGATTGTTAGGCTGTTCATGGGATGAGCGGCGCGCAGGGTCTCCGACTTTACAGTTCACAAGGCATACCTGATCACGGATGGTGTTGAGTGCATATCTATTACTAGTTGCGGTATGGCTGGGACGAAGGATCCAGTGACCAACACTGAACCGACGGCGACCGGATATGTCTTTAGTGCATCGTACCTTGAACCACGACCAATTATAAGCACTTACGAGGAACAATACCGGCGCAAGAGACTAGAGCAAGGATGACACGCTTCCGTGCGGGCGAGAAGCGACTGTAGAGGGCAGCATGCGCGTCCGCGGGCTTCTGCGGTACGAGGAGAGCTGTCTCCTCGCTCGGTACGTGGTTGGCCATGGCCGTAGTAGACAGCTAGTAGGCTGCGAGGACGCAGGGGATGTGTAGGGCAGCGAAGGCAAGGAGTAGACGAGTCGGCCTGGGTTCATGTATATTTGAATCGCGGAGTAATCGCGGCCCCCTGTACGTACGGTACTGATAACAAGTCATACTTCGTATCAACCTTTGAACCCGGCGGCAGGTCCCGATCACTCAGATCCCGATCGTACGACCGAGGAACGCGTGAGTTTGTACCTTGCCCTCCCAGTCAGGCTCGGGCCACTATGATATACGGTCTAAGCCAGTTGCAGTGAGAGCTGCAAAGTGGATGACTTTGAGTGGAAATGTGCGTATGGATGAGGACCGGAGTGAATTCGCGATAAGAGACCAGTCAGGTGGCATGGTCTCTGAGTCACGGTTGCTAACTGAGACTCAGAGTCTTCGCATCCTGCAGTGGGAAAGAAAGCAGGAGTCAATCGGAATGACCAAACGTGGTTGTGGCGCGCCGTCGTGCGAGCGCCGAGCGACGAGCGACGTCCCTTTCCCGCCTGGCAGTCCCGACTCGCACCAGCATCCACGGACCCTCAGACTGAACCACTTGCTCTCTGCCTGTGCTCTGACATACATACGGTATACTCACCACCTACATCACTGGCGTAGGCTCGGCATACCTGACTGGCTTTCCTTCTTGGCAGGCTAGAGTCTGCGAGGCGAAGTTACCGACCTGACTCGGAGTAAGGACGGCTGAGGCTGGGCTAGCCCTGGACGGGACGCAAGACCGAACTCGTTTTTGGAACAACACAGACACCATGGCTCTCCATACAAGCACTGTGATCTCCAGAAAAGTCTCAGACATCCTGGCCCACGTCAGCCGGGTACACCTCGCTTTCCCGGACCATATCCCCCTTTACTCGCTTTCGGCTACTTCCGAGGTAGACTCGAGAAACCTGCAGGATCTTGTTTCAAGCGTAAGCGCGCTATCCCCACATTCAGTAGGATGTCTATCCGCGCCCATACCCTCGAGCAGCCCGGCTCTGCAGGCTAGCATAGCGTGCTCGATGGCTATGTTTCGCAAGGACCATGCTACGGCTTTCAGAAGTGATTTACCCGGGAGGAGCGCACCTCAAGTCGGTCGATGGCACGCATTCCGGAAAAAAGACCAGACTGGCTTTGGTACCGGAGAGACCGTCCAAGCCGAGACCGAGAACGTCAACTGGGACGATGTGTGGGCGAAGAACGTCGACGTGCCTTCCCTTCCTTCCGAGCTGCAAGCCATACCGTACGTTTCTTCTATGTCCGCATTCGACGCGGCATGGTGATGGCTCGCTCCTTCAACAGAGCAGATGAGGCGCATACAATCATCTATCTGTCTGACGGCTCCCCGGAGGGCCTTTCAAACTCGCTCCAAGCACTGCCCATGGCTACCAAGGTCCTATATGCTTCGCATCGGACGAGGAACATGCATATCTGATCTACAGGATCCCTGAAGATAGGGCTCATCGCGTCTTCCACGCCATTCATCACCGGCCGGCCATATACCCTCTTTCATGGCAAATCAGTGTACTCGTCTGGTGCAGTAGGCCTCTGCATCCACTCATCTTCTCGTCCGGAGCTACACGTAGACTTTCCGGGTATGCAGGCCCTGACGCCGCCCATGGTCATTACAGAGTACGTGCCCTGATGTTTCTGTGCTCCCTTCTGACCTTTCGCCTTCTCCTCAGATCGGAAGGAAACCTGGTCCTCGCGCTGGACGATGAAAACCCATCGCGCGTGCTCCTCTCAGCAATCGAGAGCGGAAGGAACTTCTCGGCGACAGACGACCAAAGCGCGAAGCTTCTCAAGGTCATGAAAGACGACACGTTCTTCCTCGGCACTCTCGAACCTGGCACCTCAAAAATACGCCAAGTCTACCATATAATCTCCGGAGACCCTGCTCGAGGTTCGCTGGCGATGGAGAGCGATTCCGCGCCCTCTCAAAGAACGAAAGTCCAGGTTCGTCGTACCTTCAGACAGCGAAACCTCTGTAGCTTACATTGCTATAGATCTTCCGCTCGCCCGCGCACGCCAACTCGAATATGCTGTCTCGCTTTAAGTTGTCCTCGAGCGAGAACGGAAGTCTGCGGCGAATGGCGTTCGCAGTCGCGCCATCAGACCCTATGCACGGCGAGTCTGGGGACCACGGCGAGACTGTAATACTCGAAGACACGTTCTTGACAGCGTCGGAGAACGGGTTCGTCGTCGATCGCCACGCACCTGGTGGGACAGAGCGCGAGCAGCCTTGGATGTGCAAGCTACCGGGAGCTGTAGCGGAGCTGCGGTGGGTCTCGGCGTCGTAGAGTCGAAAGAGTCTAGATAGGTAGTGTCAGAGAAAACTGACGTACAGAGTACTGAAAAGTGAGGTTTTATAGTGCAATGTGTTTGCCATGAAGCGCCTATGGTATCTACATGTCCAGGTCATCCACAGTCCAGTCGACTCCGGCAAACACAAGATAACCCATAATCCATGAATGAAACTAACACCCTCAACTCTCCCCGTCCTCCTGCTCATAAGCAGGCGGCGGTTCGCGCAGCAAACCATTCTGCTCCGCCTTCAGCCTATCCACCTCCACCTGCAGTGCCTCGATCTGCCTCCTCAGCTCCGAGTCGTCGTGCTCTGGAGGCGGGCTCCCCGGAGACGAAGACGACAGAGCCGGCCGGGCCGACAGAGCAGACTGGCGCCGCCGCAGGTCCGACACGACGATCTCGATGTCGCGCATCTGTCGGGAGAGCTCCTCGCGCTGCATGGACGCTTTTGTGCTCCGTCTGTTCGGACGAAGGGCGATTCGCGCAGCAGCGGATGCAGATGGCGGCGCGGTGGGACCGTTATCGGTGGGAGTGTTCGACGAAGGCGGCAGGAGGGCGTCTCGAGAAGCGGAAGGTGTGTCTACTGGGAAGGCCCACAGGCTCGGCGAGCCGTCTTTCTTGTAAGCACCCCCACCGACTGCCGCGGACCGCGGTTCGGGCGAAGTTGCGGACGGATCCGAGCCGGTTTCGGAGACGGAGACGGCGGTCGACGGCGCGTTGGCAACGTGAAGAAACCCCGCGGTCGTAGGAGACCTCGAGCAGTCCAGATGCGCACCAGTTGTGGAAGCGGGAGTGACCTGGCTCATGGATGGATCCACGAAAGGGTCATATTCGCCAGCAGGTCCAAGCCATGAGCGTCCGTCCTCACCGCCACGGACGATCTTGATCTTATCCGCACCACTGCGCCTGTAGCGACGATGCCAGTAGAGCACGAGGGCGATAATTGCGAACAGGCCGAGTCCGCCGACAACCCCGCCTACGATGGCCCCTACGGGTGTGCGTTTGGACGATAAGGATACTGAAGTGGTCACTGAGGGACCAGAAGGGGAAGGTACGGTAGCCTGAGAGCTGGTCGTTCCAGCAGTTGACGTAGCCTGCGTAGTTGCGGAAGATGAGCTCGAAACGACATCTTCAAATCTATGGAGGACCGAGCCTGAGGGGCGTATCTGCGCAGAACGACGGATAACGTACGTGTATTGTGCCCAATCGAACGCCAAATATGACGGGCTTGATTCACGCTGAGGCGTCATCACCAGCGTGTGCTGTCCATTCGCCAATGCCGTGTTGCTGTAGAGGGTGACGTTGTACATGTAGTCGGTCGACTGTGAAGGCGCGTGCGTATACAAGCCCACCGACTCCCCATCTAACTCGAAGCTGACATTGACAAACGTCGTTGCAGATGCGACATAATTTGGCACAACCCCGTAGACCCAGACTGCAGTGCCTGTTGAACGATCGTCAGTCAGGAAGAGGAAGAGGTGAACTGACTCATGACGTACCGGTGAAGGAGAGTGTTATAATCTTTGGCGCGGGGTCGGTCGGCGATGCCGTAACATCGTGCCACGACTGGTCGAATGTCTCGCCTGGTACTGGCTGGATGAGGCAAACTGAGCACCCAGGACCGTAGTTCCAGCCAGTCGAGTATGTCGGTGTTACACCGGTGGCGGAATCGCCGTAGTAGTCGTCAATCGTCCTGTTCGTCGGCGTGCCAGCCTGAGCGGCCCGTGCACCGGTCAAAATCAAGAACAATACAACAATCAAAGATTTCAAAGCGTTACAAGGTGAAGACAAAGCCATTAATGAGAGAAGACGATCCTGGCGCGCTCGCATGAAACAGGCATGCAAGCCTGGGCAGACCAGATGAAAAGAGGAAGACAGACGAACTGTGCAAGGCGGAGCGGCGCAGGAAAGGATACTGAGCAGGTCTATCCCTCACTCAGATGCTGTGCTGTTTCTCGTAATAGCGCCGTACGTCCATCATACACGCTTGTGCCTGCCGACCAACTGTCAACTTGTTCTACATCAGGGCTAGAAGGTCCAAAGATCCGCGCACTCTGACACGTAAGTAGTATTCTAATCCCACACAGAAGGCCCTATAAAGCCACACATCAGGAGGTAATAATGATTATCCTTATTACAGATTAATCCAACAATTAGGAACGCGCTGCGAACGAGTCACGGCAGCATCATACTGGCCTCTTAGTTCGAACGAAGTCTCATGCCAGTGGTCGTCATGCATTGAACACGGTAAGAATTCCGACCCAACATAATTCGAGGCGAGGCAATCGCTGAACGTGGTTCCAGAACTGATTTCTCTTTGCGGCCGCCAATTGACCCCGGGCCGGTCCGTATTCCTCGGATCCTCCAAGCCGCCTCGCACTGCACCGAGCTCTCACCTCAAGACGTCGCCACGGCTAGCGGATACCGAGTGTGCTCCAGGTCTTATATCCGTCAATTTTGTGTCAACTGATAAGGTCCACGCACGCTCCTCATATCGGCCAGAGCCATCTAGAGGTGAGCGAGAGATATCTAGGCAAGGGCCAAACCGAGGATGATACTCTTCATGAGCGTCAAGGCGCGAAACAGCCCCTCCGAGTCTACACCGTCGACCCCGTAGTCGAACGAAAACATGTTCCCTTGTCGATGACCAAGGACAAGGTGAGTACCTTCTCGAGTCATTGTCGAACCACTTACTAATAGCGTAAGTTAGCCTAAGTGTCTTAGAAACGACAGCCCTCCGAGTCCCCACTCAACAAGGTCGTGTTTAGGGTCTGCCTACCGGGGACCAGTATATCAAATCGAGGCGACCTCGTACTGATATCATGCTGGCTGGACTCTGTCTCTCTCGCGCTCGCCTCCGTGGTTCTGCGCCTGCTCTGCGCTTTCCATCTGATTGCTACCGCTGCTACCGATTCACGACACTCAGAACCCACCATCTATTCTCACTTTTCCATTTCTGCCTCGGGTGATCCGTCAAGTTCACGACTTTTACGGGTGAGATCTCAGCGGAGTGGTGTCTGCACAACCCAACCCAACCCGATACTTCCGCACTCTATGTAGGGCACCGATCGTCAACTCAGATATCACTCGAGATTCTGCAGGTAGAGCGAGGCATACACTTTTCAATGTACCAGCGATCTATTGAACCATACTGACTCGACGGCAGGATTACCAGATGGCAGACGGCGGCCGACGGCGAAGAAGCTCGACCGGAAGGATATGCCTCGAACCTGTGGCATTCAGGTTGCTACAGAGCACCCCCCTACTTGAGCTATCCGTATGCCTTCCGTTTGCTCCGGCGGCCGTTGCTTGAATGGCATACATATCGACAGTAGGTCGACTCCGCCAAGCAATTGTAAATACAAGATAATCCATATTCCATGAATGAAACTAACACCGTTAACTCTCCCCGTCCTCCTGCTCATATTCATACGCAGGTGGTGGTTCGCGCAGCAAAACATCTTGCTCCGCCCTCAGCCTCTCCACCTCCAACTGCAGTGCCTCAATTTGCCTCCTCAGTTCCGAGTCGTCGTGCTCGGGAGGCGGGCTCCCCGGAAGGGGCGGCACAGGGTCGTCCCCCAGCGACGTAGACGACAAAGCTGTCTGGGCCGACTGAGAAGACTGGCGCCGCCGCAGGTCCGCGACGGCGGTCTCTATGTCGCGCATCTGGCGCGAGAGCTCCTCGCGCTGCATGGTCGCTTTTGTGCCCCGTCTCTTCGGACGGCGGGCGCTCTTCGAAGCAACGGGAGATTCCGTAGCGGCAGCGGTATTGGTGGGCGTGTTCGACGAAGGCAGCACGTCTCGAGAGCCGGAAGGCGTGTCTACTGGGAGGGCCCACAGGCTCGTCGACGAGCCTTCTTTCCTGTGGGTCCCCCCACTTGCTGCCGTGGACTGCGTTTCGGACGAAGAAGCGGATGGATTCGAGCCAACGTCGGACTCGGAGACGATGGTCGACGGCGCGTTGGCGACGTGGAGGAACGTCGCGGTCGTAGGAGCCGAAGTGGTCGACATGACAAAGGACGACGGCGAGCAGTCCCGAGGCGCGCCAGTGGTCGCGGGAGCGGCGTTGACCTGGCTCATGAACGGATCCACGAAAGGGTCATGTTCCGCAGCAGGTTCAATACATCCACGTCCCTCACCGCTACGGACAATCCTTATCTTGTCCGCACCACTATGCCTGTATCGACGATGCCAGAAGAAAACGAGGGCGATAATTGCGAGCAGGCCGAGTCCGCCGATAACCCCGCCTGCGATGGCCCCGAAGGGTGTGCGACTGGATGATAAGGATACTGAAGCGGTCACTGAGGAACCAGAAGGGGAAGGCACGGTAGTCTGGGAGCTGGTTGTTCCAGCCCGAGCAGTTGACGCGACTTGCGTAGTTGCGGAAGATGAGCTCGAAACAACGTCTTCAAACCTATGGGAGATTGATGAAGACTGAGCCTGAGCCTGTCTGCGCAGAACAATGGACAACGTACGTGTATTGTGCCCAATCGAACGCCAAATATGACGAGTTTGATTCACGCTGAGGCGTCATCACCAGCGTGTGCTGCCCATTCGCTATTGCCGTGTTGCTGTAGAGGGTGACATTGTATATGTAGCCGACCGACGCTGAGGGTGCGTGCGTGTACAAGCCCACCACCTTCCCATCTAACTCGAAACTGACATTGACCAACGTTGTTGCATATTCGACATAATTGGGCACAACCCCGTAGACCCAGATCGCAGTACCTGATTGAGATACAACTAGTCAGAAGGCGGAAAAGGTGAGCTGATTCTTGACACACCATTAAATGAGAGTGTCACAGTCTTTGGCGCGGGGTCGGTCGGCGATGCGGTAACATCGTGCCAGGACTGGTCGAAGGTCTCGCCTATTGCTGGCTGAATGAAGCAACCTGAGCACTGGGGACCGTAGTTCCAGCCATCCGAGTATAAAGGTATTGCACCGGTGGCGGAATCGCCGTAGAAGTCATCAATCGTCCTGTTCGTCGTCGTGCCAATGGCCCGTGCACCAGTTGCCACGAAGAGCAATAAAGCAATCACAGATTTTAGACTGTTAGGCAGTGAAGGCAAAGTCATAAAAGAACGAAGATTATGCTGCCGCGCCGACATGAAAGCTTGGGGAGAAGAAATGAAAATGACAGACGGACTCTGCAGGACGAAGTGGCCCCGGGAAAGGATACTGAACAGGTCTATTCCCACTCAATTGCTGTGCTGTAATGCCGCGGTACGTCCATCAAGGCGCCTGCCAACCAACTGTCAACTTGACCTAGCATCTCGTTCAAGTTGTGTTCTCTTCGTCACAGAAATCGCCATGCTACTGCGTCGACACTGGAATGTGTTTATGTACATTCAGCAGTGACACAGAGTTGACCCGCTTAGACAGGTAGATGAGCGTGTCGATGTGTTGAACGGTGTAGGTTCCAGGCACGGAGATCAACCAGAAGCGTCCCGTATGATATTTGCACCGTTCATCCAACTTGCGCGTTGACGACGCAGTACGTACGTCCGCACGGCGTGCGCGAACCTAGCACGTATACGTATTACTACAGTCGAGTGAGGTATTACGTCGACGTCCCGCCAGCTGGTACAGTACTCATTCGACTAGTCACAGACATCCTACTTAGGGGATACCTAATGATCGAAGGTCGCCTTGTGTGTAAACAGGAAGATTCAAGGACAAGATAGAACTTTGCTGCCCATGCTACGCCACATCGTGCATGTCATCCTTCCCAATCCCCCGCTTCCTCGTAGGCCGGTGGGGGAGCCTTTATGTCCGTGTCAAGGGAAACACGGTCTGCCCGCAAGCTCATATCATTCACCTGCCTTTGCAGTGCCCCGATCTGTCTCTGTAACGCGGAGACGTCGTACTGGATCGGTGGCGCTATGGGCGTGTCAGATACGTCCACCGTGGTAGATATTGCATGCTGTGATTCGATGATCTGCTGGTACGTCAATTGCGGGTTGCCTGCTGTGTACGTTATGGTGGCACTTCCTGTTGCCTGTCCGGTGTCTCCGTACCGCTCGGGCTGCGGCTGCGGGGTTTCGGCCTCAAGCCCTGGAAGAGGACCGCCGGAAGGTGCCGTGCGAATTCGTGCAAAGTGACTGCTCGACGAAGTGTCTATGGTGGTTGTGGGGGAATAGGAGGTTGTGAAGTCGCCAGGGGTGTCGTCGAAATGAGTGTGTGCGGCGATTGGCTGCATGCTTCGCGACAAGGCATCCACGCTCAAGGTAGGTGACGTTATGTCTGTGCAGTGTACATCCAAGCATTCACTTGTCGCAAAAGCAGGATTGCCTACGGCTAGGTACGCTCCCTCTCCCGTGCGCACAGGCGACGTCCTGACCCTGGCGAGTAGCCTCCGATCGCGGTCCACTCTCTTCGACCTCTGTCTGCGACACACACAGAGTATGATGGACAGGAGCACTACTGCAGCAGCTCCTCCGGCTGCTGCGCCCACGATGGCAGCAATAGATGGATGCGACTTTGTCGGGTTGTCGGGGGGGACAGATATTCCTCCCGGAGAAGTCAAGGACGGGAGAGGAGAGGGGGTCACAAGCACACTGCTTGTGACCGTTGTTCGCAAGCCAGACACCGGGGTGATGATCGTCGTCGGACTACTGGCTGGTTTGACCGAGGATGCACTGGTAGTCACGGTATCCCCATTGCTTGATGTAGTGAATGTAGTGCTCGATTCGGAATTCGAGGATGATGAGCTGGTCCCTGATGTAGCTGGCCCCACTGGCATGGCAGGAACTTGAATGGAGTCGTATCTGAAACAATATGAGGAACTGAATCCCGTTGAACCTCTCTACACTCACGTGTACTGCAAATAGTCGAAAGCTATCCACGACCCTGCTAGCACAGTCATCTTCAAAGTGTGCTCCATGTTTGTCAGGTTCGTGTTGTCGTACACGGTCACATTGTAGGAGAAATCGCCTGTGGTTGCATCCAAATTTGTCGGGATGTTGACATACGTTTTGACCTTCTCGCCGTCGAGTTCGATATCGATGTCGGTGGCTGTGATAATAGCAGTGCTGTTGACCTTCTGGGCCATGATGCAGTATACCCAGACCTCAGTACCTATGCCCCATTAGACATTAGACACCTCATTGAAAACCACGCGAGCCCGTACCAGTGAAGCTCATGGAGACGACATTTGCACCCGCGGCATTGGGCAACAATGTTGTGTCGTGCCAGCTTCCCTTGAAGGCCTTGTCTGTGTCCGGACGCAGGCTGCAAGGAGGACAATCCGGGCCATAATTCCATTCTGCATCGGACGTATTCGTGTACACGGGCATGGCCCCTGTGGAAGAGTCACCATAGTAGTCATCGATTGTCCGGGTTGTGGGTGTTGCTCGCACGTCCACGACTGTGTTCGCGAGTAACAGAGAGAACGTGAGGAGTCGGATCCCCATATGAGATAAGAAAGAGCGACAAAATGAGCGGTGGGGCGACATGGTTTGCTGCGGGACGCACGCTGGCTGCGTAGAGATTACGAAGGGGGGGGGGACGGAAGGGGCTGTAGAAACCATTTAAGGCACGAGAATATCAGTCGAACTATCAAGTAGATGCTTCCCTGTTCAACTGCCCAACTCACAGTAGCCTGTTCATTACGCTGAGAAAGGTTCCGCATGATCCTGAGTGGTCCGTTTTCAATTGTACGGGGAATGGTTGCGGAGTATGCGCCACCTCGTTCGCGGACCTCTGCGTCGTGCCAGTGCAAGCATCCTTCAGACGTGTGCCGGATAGCCGTCTCTGTGAGTCAAATTGAGTACAAACATCAGTATGAGATCCGCCGTCAATGATCCTACGGAGAAATGATGACACGTGCCGAAGTAATCTCCTGAAGTGTGTGCTTGTAGGACGTCTAGACTCTCACCGCCGAATCGGAGTTCTGCTTTTGAGAGACCGTGCATAACGTGAATTTTCACTGGGGCCATTGAAGACCGATGATTACGTTGAGGATCCTACGCACCGAACTTCACTAAATCCGACAGTGACCTAGACCATTCAAGCATCATGGCCCCAGATCTGTGATATTTTGCATGCATCGCCCGACACTCAAACCGCGCGCGTGGATAGGCTGAAGGGCGGGAGGTACATAGCTTTCCGTTGTCCAGCTGAGCGCTTGCGGGCCGAATAGAAGCCTCGTACACGACTGGCACTGCAGCCGTTGTTCCTCTTGGCGTCAAATCCCGGTCCTGTGCTATTTCCTTTGTCGTGTAGCTCGTACATCGTCGAACAGGCACTTGCAAGGACGTTCATTCATTTCGAAATTCGACGTTACAATGCGCTGCCTGTATTTCCTGGAGCAGCAGGTCATCTGTCTTAGAATTGACTGAAATCGTGTGGCATAAATCTAGGGGAGGGTCTGGAACCGATGTCAGTTGACACTGGTATACTGACGAAACTAGGGATTTGGCGAGCGACTGCGGCTTACCTGGACCGTTACTACTCTGATGGTTGTTCATCTCTTTCCTCTTCCTCTTCTCGAGGCTCATATGCTGGCGGAGCCTCTTGAACGAGCGTAGCTTGCTCCGCCCGAAGTCTCTCAACCTCTACCTGCAAAGCCGCGATCTCCCGCCTGAGTTCTTCGTCACCTCGCAGGGAACTGCCTATCATGCTCGGCTGGGTAGAAGCAATGAGGGTCGTGGTCGCGCGGTGATCCGTCGACTGCCGTCGACGCAAATCAGCCACCGTCAGCTCGATTTCCCGTATCTGGCGGGAGAGCTCTCCGAGAGGCGAGCTGCCACGGTCAAAGCCACTGCTGGGTGACATAGAGAAACTCCGACTCGAGTTCGGAGGAGGGGATGGAGGCTCTGTCGACCCGGACGCCGAGCGAAGCACAGACGAAGGGGTCTCTGTCTTCGGGTTCTGCGACGTGAGCGGTGCAGTCGACGTAGACATGGCCGACGGTGAGAGCGAGTCCGTCTCGGGGGAGCCGGTGGTTTTCGGACGAGCGACGTTCAGAACTTGCCCAGAGTCGTTGGAGCTACCCACTTGGCTTAAGCTGGAGTACGTGAAGGGGCTGATAGCAATGGTTTTGGCCTCCTGGATGCCTTCACCGTCCGGCTCGATAACGACTCGGGGTGACCTCCTCTGTTTCCGTCGCCGATACAACAGACCGATGGCTAATGCGACGATTGCCAGGACGCCTATCACTCCTCCGATGACCCCGCCGATGATCGCACCGACGCGACTGTGTCGGTCTGGAGTTGGTGTTGGGATGCCGGGGCCTGTGGGGTTACTGGTCATGGAAGTCGTGCTCGAGGAACCATTCGGTTGCGGAATTAATGGAGAGCCTGAGGATTCATTGGTGCTTCGCTAATCGTCAAAATTGAGGTTTCATTCAGAGGGGACTGTTGACGTACGTATATTGTGCCCAGTCGAATCCCATGTATGTCGCACCAGTTGCGCCCTGTGGCGTCATGACAATCGTATGCTCCCCAGCCTCCAGCGATATGTTGCTATAGGCGGTGACATTGTAGTAGAACGAATTATTGGTGCCATCGGCCTCGTGTATATAGAACCCGTCCTTCTTGCCGTCGAGCTCGAAAGTGACGTTGACAGTCGTGATAGCCCCGGTACTATGGTTCAGGAAATTGGGAACCACGCAGTATACCCAAACGGCAGTACCTGATGAACGAAGTTCCTCAGCGGCACGATGCAGCAAAATTGACATAGCAACGAACCATTGAACGAGATCGTGACATTTTCGGGAAATGGATCATTTCCGAAGGCGGTGGCTTCGTGCCATGAGCGATCGAACAGGTCATCGACGGACGGTGTGATGGTGCACGTCGAGCAGGTCGGACCATACTGCCAGCCCTCGGTGTAGATCGGTTTGTTTCCTGTTACGGAATCGCCGTAGTAGTCATCGATCGTTCTGTTCGTGGACGCCGCCAAGCTGCAATGCGAAATGAGAAGCAGCACAGTGATCGCCAGCATCGTGACTTGTTTCAAAATGCGAAGCGTGGAGGACATCTCTTGCAGACGGCGGGCGACTGGCGCAGTCAGACCACAGTCGAAGGTGCAAGTGGGCGACGTAACAGCGTCTCCTCAAGTGCAATACATATCAGTACTCCCGGTGCGGGACGAATAGCCTGAGCTATCGCTGTGAACCCAAGAGGGCCGATCGGACGGGCATCGTGTTCGGCCAGGCTAGGGCTGTGGTCATCCGACAGACTCACAGTACATACATGTGGTCTACATTGGCTGTGTATGGCCTCAATAGCACCAGATGAGAAGATCGTTCGGAGGCGTCGATTCATGTTGAACCTAGATCTTCCGCGACGACGTTCCTGAGCACGTTGCCCATGAAGGCTGCGGTCCATCTCTCTTCTGTGTCCATCACCTACGTCCGTAGATGAGTCACAGTGTGACGGGTAAACGGAGGCAGTCAGGCATGAGGCTCACTCACATTGGACTCGAATGGCGCTGGGACAGTCTTTGTTAGGATAGGAAGGTTATGTGCTTCCAAGTGAAGGCTCACCAATTTGGCAGCAGGGTTTTCTCACATAGAACGCGAGTGCTTCTCGTTTAGGCATAAACAGGCGGTTTGCTTGAATGTGCGGCACCGAAAGACCAATTCAAGTCGCGGCCCGTCAGTGAATAGATGGGGACGACAGCCACGCAAAGCAAGGGCAGAACAGCAGTGTTCTCAATGAACAAGGAAGTATGAGAAACAAGGAAGTACGAGAGCATAGTCTCGTTGAGGCACGAAACTGACGACGGGCCACACCAGAAAAGTTTGCGTATTCGAAGCGGGCAGCGACCGATGCTCTGTTGTGACCCAGTACCTGTCACAAAGTCGGTCGAACCACTGGACGGACCTTGCGATACCAAGATCAAACCAAAATCGGACAGCCATATGAAACTCTGATAACGAGTCGCCTCATGGCTGAGAAGTATTCCATGGGAGGAGAACCGAGGACATCCTATTTGCAGGCAGTTGGTAAGAAGTATGTGGACCACTCGCTGCTCTGACTTACCCGCGACCTCGTCGGAGCTTCAGCTAATCATCCCGGCTGTGTGGCAGAGTTAGATAACTCAGCCTCGAGTGAAGAGAAGCATACCGCACTATTCCGCTCAACTTCTCCATGGCCACATGTCCTGCATTGCAAACATTTCAAGTGAGGCCGCGGCGAGAGGTGGTACCGGTGAGTCCTCAGTCACCCACTTATCGCCTTCGACTCCTGTACTCAGGCGTCCCGACGTCCGAATCGTTGGTGAACCATGGCGAGCGAGGTCGGGTATATGACTGGGAAGTGTCACAGCACTAGGGAGTACAGAGACAGACAAGGTCCATTCAACTTAACGGATGGTCGTGAGCGTATTGTGCCAGTGGAAGCTGTAGCGCTGGCGCCGAACGTTTGAACAAGCATGGCCGCCGTCGGACCGGCCCGGACGAACCGATCTCTTCCTCCCGCAGCGGCGATCGTTCACTCTGAGTAGGGGCAACGCACTACCAATTCAAACTCCGACGCGTCCGCGCGCCACCCGCCTGCCGCGCCTCACAAAGTGGGCGCGGAAAGAGGTGCACTTTTCTCCGGTTCATTCACTTCAGAATATTCCGGAGAAGTGATGATAATTCATGTAAATTCGGGCTTGAGAAAGTGTTCTGGATAGAATTTCCGAAAATGTTCTGCGGCGGCGGCAATTTTTATTGCCCGACAATAAGAACACTGCAAAAAAATCCATCCAGAAGACTTTGTCAGACGAGGCTCAATGACCATGTTCGCACATTTGATGCAGGAGCTGGAACGCGGTGGAACGCTAGAAGTGCACCTCTTTGTCGCGGTGCGACACGTGTTACGTAAGCAAGTCGCGCGCGCCACTAGCGCGCCTCGACGAGTTCACCGCCAGTCTTGTGTCTATCGTTCGTGTTCCCTTGCTGCTACACGTACCAAACTACCATCAACATGTTTGTATCACTGTCTCCGACAGCCCAGAAATTTTACTGGGCCCAGGATTGGCTCCCAGCATACAAAAGGTGGATTCTGCCCTTCTGGGCTCATCACCGATGATCCACGGGCCTGGAAGATTATTTCGGACCATATCATTTCTTGTACCGTGGGTCTGAATGTGTGATGAAGTTGACCTTGTGGTTAGATTTCTCATACACAGCTTTCACCGAGACATTGTATAGAGTTCCTCCAACATAATGACTACCATGACATGCTGTATTCATTTCACTCCTCTGCGGAATTTCACAGACACTCGTAAGATACACACCAGTCCAGCTGAATATATTTGTGATTTAATACAAACCATATCGGAAGCGACAGCACGATGAGACAGTCGTGTCCACTTTCTCGCCGCGTCTTGATCACGTGACCGAGGACGCTTTTCGGAAAGGTGTTGCCCCTAGTCATTCACTCATCTGAACGTCTTCTCCAGCAAAGAACTCAGTCTAATAATCTTTCGCGCGTGAACGTATCTTCTGAGTATCGTGAGTTCGAAAAGCGCCTTGATAGGACTTGTTGACGCAACAACGAATAAGTAGTTCGTTTGGCTGACGTTACTACGCTGGCACTGCAGGGCGGCAGGCTTGGGAGATGTTGCATACTGTCTCAAGATTTACTTCACTTCAGAGATCTGAGGCTATCGGAGCTTATCGTAAGTCAGTCAATCTATAGACTCATTCTTCATGGCATAATTCATTCGGATGTAGATACTCTAGTGCATACAGTACTACTAGCCACGACTCCACAGCACGGCGGCGGCGTTACTCGAGGACAATGAACCTGAGCTTCAACTGCCCATCGACGTCCACGGGCTCGCACCTGACCTGGTCCATGTTCTCGACAAGGTAATGTGCGCCGCAGCTCTCGATCTTCTCGCGCTCATGCGACGTGCAGACGGCGACGACGGTGGCGCCAGACGCAACACCCGCCTTGATACCGGAAGGCGAGTCCTCGAAGACGACGCAGTTCTTGGCGTCGAAGCCGAGGCATTCGGCGGCGAGCAGGAAAGGGTCAGGCGCAGGCTTGCCAGCCTTCAAGCGCTTGTCGTCAGCGGTGATGGTGACGGGAGGCGGGGTAATCCCGACGCGAGTCATGCATCCGTAGGCTGAAAGGGTTTCGTCAGACATCAGTGGGCCCGCCATACAGAATAGAACGCACCGTAAGTCTTAGCACCAGACGTCGCGACTGCGTACCGGCCGTCGGGGATAGAGGCAATCATTCCTTCACTCCGGGAAGGATGCGCACCGAGCGGTCGACAGCGGCGGCCTCCTGCTGCCAGGCCTCCAGAGCGTGGATCATACTCTCCTTGCCTTCTTCGGTGTCGAACATGCCCCCCTCGATGGCCGATTCACGCAGGGCTTGACCAACCTCCAGAATCGTACTGACCCGCTGAAGAAAGGCTGGGCGAGAGGCGATCGCTTCCCCGGCGGACGAAGACGACCTGGAGGACATGATGGAGGACGCCTCGGAGCCGCCGCGCGAGAGGGTTGGTGTAGTCACGCTGGAGTCGACGGGCGTTGCGATACGAGAGTTGCGGCGTGAGCCGGGGCCGTGCTTCACATAAGCGTCGGCGAAGAACAAGATCGATTCCTCGAACGCCTGAACCTCGTCGTCCATCTCGTGAACCTCGATGGAAGGCTTGAACTGAGAAAGGTTGTCGATGGCACGCTTGCCGTGGGTAGCGGCGATTACAGAGGCTGGGTCCTGCCCAATGTCCTTCGCGACCTTGCTCCATGCAGCTTCGACCGCTGCGATGGAATCTGTAAGCGTACCGTCCTGTGCAGACGCCAGGTGAGTCCTCGTGGCATCTAGCGAGGGAAAGCAGACACCACCATATCGAATAGAACGGCATCGGCGAAGAAAGTCTGCGTGCCAGCAGAAGACATGGTTCGCAAAGCAATAGAAGTGGCTATGAGCGTGAAGTGAAGGGGAGAGGATCGTCTAGCGATTGAAGTTGTGGGTACCGGAGGATACAGCTGACATTTATAGTGCCTAAGCCGCGGAAAGATCTCAGTCTTGACTGAGGGCGGCGAACATGGAGCGCGGCTGATGACAGCTAAGTCCAACGTTCGCAAGGCCATTGGATCATGTCATTCTGTTCACAACTGAGCGGTCATATTGAGAGCGGCACTCCATCTTGGGCATTGACCTGAGGGTCTCCGAGTCAGAACGAACGCGAACGTCCTGTGAGTCTCACAGTCGCACTCCCCAGTCATGTCATGAAGACGCGCTGAATGGCGAGGCGGCGGGCCAGCCGCCCTGAAAAATGATATTGACTAGTTGTCAGCATTGTCCAGGGAGGACGTGAGGTCCACTGCTTTGGTCCTGGCTACTTACTGGTGTATATTGCGTATGATCAGGCCTCAGGATAGATCAGAATAACTTCCGCGAGGTACCACTACCGAGGATGCGGACGAGGATTATTGAATGACGTCACGGTTACAGATCTTGAGAGTCGAACTACTTAGTGTCTTCTCGAGTGTGTGATCCTTCAGACGAAAACAATGGGAGTAAAGGAACAAACTTGAATTGAATGCTGCTGGCAAATATCGGAATGGTACCTCGATCCGAGTCAACTTCAAGTTGAAGCTCAGCGCGCTCGAACCGAGGCGCTCTGACGCGACCTGACGCGACGCGTCCTTTCCACGTGCCATGAAATGCGGCACACCCACGAGGCGCTGCCTGAGTCGATCTTGTTTTGACCTTTGTTCAGCCTTACACACTCATAGTAGTCTCGCTGGTGGCTTGCCAATAATCTCAACACTGTGCGAAACAAAGGCACTTGGAAAGCCCAAGTTTCTCAGAAGGTACAGTGATCCTATACCGCCTTCGCCGGTATAAGCCAATCTGGAGATTGTAGCGCAACTACGGTACGCACAATGTCTGGGACAATGGCCATCCTTGTTCCTCATCCCAGTTTTAGATGTCTCTGCAATCCCTCAATTTCGATGTCATCGAAACTATCCTGTCCTACGTCGAATCGCGAGATGCCCTGCCGCTCATGACCACCTGTCGCGCACTACATATGCCCGCGATGCGGCGGCACTTATTCGAAATCACCCTCCGTTGGGAAGACCCCGCGAGTGCCAGAACATTTTGCAGTTCTGCGAATATATGCTCGGCGATCCCAAGGTCCGCGCTCGATGTCTCAGAGCGCTGACCCTCCTTCCCCGGCCCCATCGACCAGCCGCCGTGCCTATCTTCGACCACCTTGCAGAAGTCATTCGACACGCGACCGGTTTGCGTAGGATAGTCTTGGATTATGCGGACGATAGCTTCCTCGACAGTTGTCCCACACTCGCGGATGCACTCGCTGACGTGGAGTCGCTCGAGACCATTCGCTTCGACTTCGTGTCTACAAGAGGGGTGGCGTTACTTTCGCGTATGAAAAGCCAACCGCGATCAGTCCAATGCTCAGTCAATGTCTTCAGGCTGCCATCGCAAGGCCCGACACGATTCCTGCATAACTTCGTTCAGAGCCTGACTTTCTTGGAGCTCTATGACGCACTCGATATTCTAGCGGTGGACACAGAATCCCATGCCGTATGGCCCCGGGTTCGCAAACTCGTCTTGCAGGACGAGAAAATCAGGCGTGAACATTGGCAGTTCATATGCCGTGCGTTCCCCAACCTTCGTACACTGCGCATGGGTGGGATGTTGCTCGACACTGCGGGCACCTGTGCCGAATGGTCAGAGATGGATCTCGTTCAGACGAGGAGTCCACTCCCGTTGCGGTGCCACGTACGCTGCGTCGAACTCAATATCAGCCTGGATAAGCAATTTCTGTCCCCGCACAACGTCGCCGACTATCTCGAGATGCTCGGGCATAGCTCGCCCGTTGCGTTGACCTGCCACCTCAATGACCGCATACTGGACTATCTGCCTGTGCGACTGCCTCGTCTGCGATTTCTCCACTTGGCGACACACGATTTGGAGCTACCGACCGAGTTGGGCGGTGTTGCCAGATGGGTAGATGCCACACTGGTGAGTCCTGCGGCCTGCAGGTTCCTTCACCCCATGCGTTGCGATGATGACATGCGCTGTTCTCTAGCTGCGTCTTGCGTCTTGCCTTGCCCAAACACAGGTCCGCACCGTCATCGTTGATCTTCCCCATAAATGTACCAACAGGCGGGCCGAGCTCCGTTCGCACGCCGAGAACATCGCGACGCACGCTCGGTGTATGGAATTCATCGGTCTACACCGCCACGGTTATCAACAAAGCCTCCATGGACAGGTGCAAGACCTGCAAGACTGGAGATCCTTGCTCTGCAACTGGTACCATGTGACATCGAGGACCGATGATGGCATCCCACAGCTGAGCAGAGTTTTCCAGAAGGATACACCGGGATTAGTTCCGCTCATTCAATCTTGCAAAACGCTCGGGTGACGCGCAAAGACCGACGTGAGGCAGTAGGGCTAGTAGATCTGTCCGAACCGCAGAATTGACAATCTATCCATTGAGTAGATATGTGCTGTGTCGCTACATAGTAATGAGTGAACACGTTCATTGTAACATTTTCGTCATGCTACAGTCACATAGCGCGTCGAGAGCGCGCGCGCGCGAGTGTTGATGATTTCGCGACCATGACCTCTCCGCAGATATGGCTGGTGCCTCGGGACAAGCTGGCCGGTTTCATAGATCGACTCCTCTGACACCAGCAGCGGGTGATGCAGTCACCTCGGCCATCTGCGCCAGGAGTACTAGTCGGACCATAGGTATCCCCAGTAAGTAGGTGAGTCGCGGCCCTCGGGCTGAGTGAAGCACCGATGCGGCGGGCATACTGACTGTGATAGACTGTGATGTCCATAAAAGCGGGACGCCGGAAGGACCGGATGCTCTGGATATTCTTGCAGTTGGCATGTCCTTCACAAACCTCTATCAACCGCCCCAGCCTCCGCCTGCTCCCACAGAGTCAGAGCTGTACGGCGCAGATCCGTACGACATCAACTATGTCTTCCCCCTCGACCTCCAACTCCTCCAGAATGATCGCGTGCGCCTAACTCCGTTCGTCCCCCGAGCGCACGGTGCCCTTTTATGGGACGCCGTCGGGCCCACCTTCCCTGACCTGTTCCGCTACTACCCCATCTTGTTCACCACTCTCGAACAGAACCTCGCGTTCTTCGAGCGAGCGTACCGCTCGAACCCCGAATGCGTCCTGTTTGCGATACTGGACAAGGCCACGCCCGACGACTCGCATCCCGAACTCGGCGGGGGCAGCTTCGCCGGCCTCATCGGCCTCATCCGCACGTCGAGGGCCCAACTCACCACCGAGATCGGGTACGCGGTCATTTTCCCCGAGTTCCAGCGCAAGAAGATCGCATCGAACGCAACGGCGATCCTCCTCAAGTACTGCCTAGAGCTCCCGACTGCGTCCCCTCCGGGCCTTGGCTTGCGACGTGTCCAGTGGGGTGCGCATTCGGACAACGTAGCCTCTATTCGGGTCGCGACAAAGCTTGGGTTCAAGATGGAGGGGACGCATCGCTGGGCTTACATTAGAAAGGATAGGATGGGTCACACGCCGCGCAAGGGCGATCCGTGTCCCGGACAAGGCGGATTCGACATTGCCATCCTGTCGATGTGTTGCGATGATTGGGAGGCGGGAGGAAGGGAACTAACACAAATGTGTATTGACGAACACCGTATATAGCTGAGTGGATGCAACAGATGCCAGGTGCTTTGCGAACCATAGGCACGCAAGGCTCAGTCGTAGCCAACCTTACCGGGCACCACGCCGAACGCAGGGCCGCCTTTGCCAAACAGCGCGCGTAGATCTGCCGCAAGTTCATGGGGCTTCTCATACGCAGCAAAATGTCCTCCGCTCCCATGTTCAACCTCCAACACGATGTTGCCCATTGTACGCGCCCAGCTGTGCCCAGTGCCGCCGTCAGTCCTTCATGACACGATGGTGATGGGGGCGGAACACATACGTCTTAGGTGGACGAAGGAGCTCCTTGGGGAAGAAGGATATTCCTCCTGGAACAGCACACCACGGGGCGCTATGGTTTGGATTCTCCACCACTTTCGCTTGTTCATAGTATATCCTTGCAGAGGCGGCAGGGCCCGCTCGAGAGAACCAGTAAATCGAGATCCACGTCAGGACTGACCATCGGTATTTAGCTTCGCATAGCTGTGTATGAGCGGGTTAACGCACCCTCGTCGTCCTCCCAAGGATAGTCATCCGACCAGAGCACGAGCTTCTCGTACATCCACGCGAGCAAACCTGCAGGCGAGTCCGCGAGGGAGTACCCGAGGGTCTGCGGCTGCGTACCCTGTTCGGTGCTGTAGCCCCGTCCTTTCTGCATGAACAACTCATTGCGCTTGATGCGTGCACGTTCGGCCTCGGTATAGGGTGTGAGCAGATGCTGAAGCCAGAGCCGAGGGAAGCGCGAGAACGATGGTGGGCCGATCGAACTAGAAAGCGAAAGTGGTAAGTACAAGGATGCAACGAGTCAAGGCAGGAAGGCACGGACGAAGTATCGTTTGTATGCCATGCCTTCACGGCTTTAACGCCATAATTGGCTGCCATGGTTCTGATGACCTTATCACGTATAGTCAGCTCAATTGACAATAGTTGGACGAAGGATGCCGACTTGTGAGCCCCAGTCTCCTCCCTGCACCACTTATTCGAGTGCCTGGCTGTCAGCATCGAACTTGAGACATACAGGCAAACGGCTGCGCACCGTATTCAGAGTAGCCCAGAGCAAGCATGAGCTTGTGACACGTCTGGAATATGGCGGATATGTCAATGCAAACGTTTGCATTTCCCGGGCCCTTTGATACGTACCTCAGCATACTGAACAATCGCGAATCCCTGTTTCTTCACACCCTCAGAGAAGCCAAAGTTCGGCAGACTAGGGGCAACGACGTGAAAGCCGGGGTGATCTGGTGACGCGGAGGTCAACAGCGGGAGCAGCTTCTGGACCTCGAGGAAGTGACCGGGCCCTGACGAACAACAATTTTAGAATGTCCTTGCAGTCAGTGTCTCGCAATGCGTCACATACATCCGTGCGAGAACAGTAGGGGAATCGCATTCTTCACTTCGCTCTTCTGATGGACGTAGTGCACGTTCAATGTGCCAAAGCCCTCCACTTCGACATCACGCGTGAACTGGGGGATCTCGTTGATGCTAGCCTCCGCAGCGCGCCAGTCATACCCGTGTTTCCACCTCGCAACGAGTCTCTTCACATTCGCAAGCGGCACACCGTAGGTCCACGCGGCGTCGTCCAGCTCGTCCGGAAAGCGTGTCAGATCCAATTTCTGGCGCAAGAGCGCAAGATCAGCGTCCGGAACGGATACGGTGAAGGGTTGTGGCTCCGCCAGTGAGGCGGCCATGGTCTTTAGGAGAGCGACTGGTGGGCTTGAACGGGGTCGGTCTTAGCCTTTATACAGCCGCGTCCGTACCTCTGAGACCATTAGTCAGGGAATTAGCCAAGACCGGGCGAACAGTCGCGGACGCTATGACCTAGTCAGACTGTCAATATCCGGAAGGACTCCCATCAGATTCATCATGCAATTTCGCGGGTTTAGGACGAGATACATCGTCGCGACACGCGACCTCGACGCGTGACGTAGCGCGTCTTCTGGGCTCTGGAGCATATGTAACACCCCTCTTCGGATAAATTCACGAAGGATACACCTGGCACTGGTCAGCTGGGAGACCGACGAACAAAGAATAGATTCTGCGGCACGCTAATATGCCATGTGGGGTACGATAAAAGACACGAGAGTGGCCAATAGCCGACGGAGAACACATCTGTGGAACAGGTTCCAATTGCAGGGAGAAGGGATCGAGGCATGTTGGTTTGCCCGCCGTTGAGGTCCCATTCACGACGTTCAGTCGTAACCAATCCTTCCTGGCACGACTCCAAACGCAGGCCCGCCCTTCCCAAACATCGCGCGCACGTCCGCCGCGAGGTCCTCCGGCCTCTCGTGCGCAGCGAAATGCCCGCCCGCGGCGTGCTCCGACTCGATCACAACATTCCCCAGCGTCCGCGCCCACCTGTGATTAAGTCAGATCATCACAACGGACGGTGGAAGGTGAGTACGCACGTCCTCGGCGGCGCGCTGAGCTCTTTCGCGAAGAACGACAGCCCGCACGGGATCGAGCTCCACGGCACGTTCGTGTACTCGTTCGCGTTCGTCACTTCGTAGTATATCCTCACGGACGCGGCGGGTCCCGGCCTCGAGAACCAGTACAACGATATCCACGTCAACACTACATCGACGCTTCAGCCCCTTCATCCCCGTAGCAGAAGGGCTGACCGACTCACCCTCGTCGTCGTCCCAGGGATAGTCGTCTGACCAGCTCACGAGCTTCTCGTACACCCATGCAAGTAGGCCCACGGGCGAGTCCGCAAGGGAATACCCGAGCGTCTGCGGCTGCGTCGCCTGCTCGAGGAAGTAGCCGCGGCCCTTGGTCATGAACCACGCCATGCGGGCGAGCCCCGCGCGGTCCCTCTCCGTATAGGACGTGAGCGCGTGCTGTAGCCAGAGTCGTGGGAATTGGGTGAGCGACGGAGGGCTGCGCGCTCTAAGGACAGGCATCATCAGCGAGTGCACACGTACTGACGAAGGGGACGTACCTCGGGAAGTTAGTGTGCCAGGCCTTGACGCTTTTGTGGCCGTACGCTGCGGCGAGCTTGCTGGCGATCTAAAATTCCTTAGCACTGCAGCTCAGGCATGCCGTGCACTAAACGTACGAATGAGCCCCAGTCTCCACCCTGCACGACTGGTACATGTATGTCAGGACAGTGACACCGGCAAGAAGCATGACACGCACCATACTCCTCGTATCCCAGCGCGAGCATAAGCTTGTTCCCCACCTCCGCGTACTGGTCGCCGCGGAACCCCGGTTTCTTCACTCCCTCCGAGAACCCGAAATTAGGCAGATTGGGTGCAACGACGTGAAAGCTCGGGTGGTCCGCGGAGGCGGCCGTCAGAAGTGGCAGCATCTTCCTCACCTCGAGGAAGTGTCCAGGCCCTACGCGTGTCCGTGGTCATGAGCGGTGCAAGACATGATGTGTTTGCATACGCACATCCGTGGAGGAACAGCAGCGGGACCGCGTTCTTCACCGCACTCTTCTGGTGAATGTAGTGGATGTTCAGCGTCCCAAACCCGTCGACGTTGATGTCCCTCTTGAACTGTGGGATTTCGTTGATGCCTGCCTCCGCCGCCCTCCAGTCATAGCCTTCCTTCCAGCGCGCGACGAGCCTCTTGATGTCTGCGAGGGGTGCGCCATAGTCCCATGCTGCGTTGTCCAATTCGTCAGGGAGGCGCACAAGGTCGAGCTTCTTGTGGAGGAACTCGAGCTCAGAGTCGGGGACAGCGATCGTGAAGGGCTGCTCTGCCATGGTTATGTGTACCTGCGAGGCAGCGAGCTGAAGTGTGCAGGCCGACAGCTAGTAAGTAGTCTATATATGTACCGTGCCGTGCGTGCGACACTAGCTTCTTGAGGGCCGACATCTGAGACTGATCTGAGATTCTGAGTGCGTGAGTGCGGGCTGAGTCAGATGAAGGCCGAAGGTAACTCACGATACGCGCGTGGCGCTGATTGTTGGCCGCCGTGACCGGGACCTTGCGACGGGGTGGGCTGCTTACGACGCGACATTCGTGTGGGTTGATACTGTACACATGCTTTCTATAGAGGCTGCAACACTGCTAAGATTATATCATATGGTGATTCATAGTGTTATTGTAAGTGCTTGCAGACTTTGGCAGCGGTGGTGAGGCCTGCTGAGACGAGAGACGCAAAAGCGGCGAGCACATAAGCGGAAGAGTGCTTACAGTCGACGTCCCCAGCAAGTGACAAGCGCGCCAGGCACACCTCCAGCGCAGCAGTCTCAGGTGCTTTGCCTTTTGAATTTGATCTGTTCAACTCGCAGAGGTACATAGGTTGACGTGAGTCGGAGTCACCGAGGAACCGCCACGCGAGGATCTGGCGGACACGTCGCATTCACGCGGAAAGAGCAGCGATGTGTTTAGGGTCAACATGAAATTGCGGCGAGACCAAGTCGAAAACGGACTGGCTGGGACTGGGTCATCGCATCCAAACCATCTAGCGGGATCATCTGTGGGAGCAGCAGGGTGGGCAATGCGACGAGTGCGAATGCATAGCGCGCGATAACATTACCGGGGTACGAAGGGATCGTGAGTGGCGAAAGTGCTACGCACATCCACTCACGCCAGCCTGCTCAATCGACACTAATGGACCTGGAGGTTGAAGCCCGCGGGGTCAGCACTCGTCCCGAGGGCCGAAGGAAAGCTCGTCTTTACTGGCGGGTGTTGCCCCAAAAGTGGTCGCTGCGGCGCCGAGGCTGGCCGTGCACAGGCGCGACGATGCAGTCTAGATGCTACATTTAGTTCGACACCAGTTAGGGCTTTATGGTCTTACATGGGATAATACATGCACTGTGCACTTGAGGGAGAAGGTGTTCCCTAATGAATGGGAAGATCGCGCTGACGATGTACATAGCAGCAGCGAATCTCGTCCCCATTTGTGTTGTCTCAGGTCGCAGAGAGGAAGCGCGTCGAGCCAAAGCGCGAGCACCAGAGAACACGGGCTTTTCTGCGTTGAATCGGAGAGATTGCGCGGCGCCATGGGAGAGGTCGGCGGGTGACAAAAAATCATCGAGAGCTCTAGCCTGGTGCTTCCGTTCGAGTTCAGAGAGACGCAACGTGCCTAACCTGCCACTTGGACTTACCTGTGCTCGACTCGTGTCTCGCCTCGCTCGGATTGCCATCGCGGGCGCAGGGGAGATATTGGGAGTGAGTGCTTGAGCCGAATGGCCTCCTTTTGAGCTAAAGCAACTCATGCATGGTGCAGGCGAGGAACGTGTAAGAGCAGCAGCAGCGAAAGAGCAAGTGGCGACTATTTGCGGCGTAACCCGGGTCGGTCATAGCCTTGTATTGAATGAAGCTCACAGAGTGTAGAGTTGGACATCCCCGAGAGATGTCGATGAAAGCTTGACTGCAGGCCTCATAGGACTTGTGCAAGACTCTGCAACAGTGCAAGAGGACCATACGCGTTGGGTGGCCCGACGCTCTATGGGCGCCTGGACACAACCTGGGTGGAATCACGTGGATGCACTACGCACGACGTCACAGCCGGTGGCGCGAGGCTCGCCCAAGGCGGCGATCTTGGTCGATTCAAAAGACATGCCCAGTCGCCATGGCCTGCACAATCCTTTCTCTATCTAACGACCATCATGTCCACCTACCCCGTACAGGTATGCCTGCTTTGACTACCCCGTGGTGAGAGCTACTCTGACGACGAGTCGCAGGTGTCCAATCTCTCTCCATCCACCACTCAGGAGCACCTCCATGAGTTCTTTTCGTGGGTGTCCAGCCGATCGCTCGGATCCGATACTCCTCGCTTACATCTGCTCCTAGGTTCTGCGGGAAGATCTCGTCTATCGAACACGATGTAACAAAGCAGACCGCTATCGTCCACTTTGAGAAGTCGTCTGCGGCGAAGACCGCGCTGATGCTCAACGGCGGCAGCCTCGACGGCGCAACGCTCGCAGTGACAAGCGAGAAGGAGCACGTCGACGAGAGGCCAACGTCTGCAGGCGCGGAGGGCCAATTCGAGCAGAGTGACAAGCCCCGTGCAGCCAGTGAGTGAACCTGCACGATCCTCCACGCACCGAGACTGATTTCCGTCTAGTCGCCGCGGAGTACCTCGCGAAGGGCTACCAGCTGCACGACCATATCCTTCAGCGCGCGATTGAGCTCGACAACAAGCACGGCATCTCGTCGCGCTTCCTCAACTACATGAAGTCGCTCGACAACACCCTCGGCGAGAAGGTCGTCGGGCAGGACAAGACCATCTCGGCCCACGTCCAGGAGAAGGTCGCGCAGGCGGCACAGCAGGCCAAGGCGCTCGGCGAGCAGAAGGGCTACTCCAAGCAGGCGTCCGACGTGCGTCCTTCCTCTCGACACTGATGTCTTCAGAACGCTGATCGGGTCGTATCGCTGCAGTACTACACCCGTGCTGTCTCTTCGCCATGGGGCCAGACGGTCTTCCAGTTTTACACTTCGACGTCGAAGCAGGTGCTCGACATTCACGCAGAGGCGAAGCGCCTTAAGGAGAGCCAGGGTCAGACCAGCAAGCCCACGGACGTCGGCACTGCGTCCACCGGTGTCGGCACAGCTGCACCTCCCCTCGACCCTGCTGTGCAGACAACTGAGAAGCCGCTCGTGTAAGGATATACCACGTCGGAATGAAGAAGCTGCTACATGTAAATCTGTACGTACGAGCGACGAATGAATGCGTAGTATATGATGCTTGGGTAGAGCAACGTGAATGATGTAACAATTTGCACGTCCCTGTTCTAGGACTTCTTACTATGTGAACATTAAATACAACGCAGTCAGGCGTGGACAGAGCACAAGCCGCTCACTCACCAGAGGCTTGTGTCTGCAGTATGTACTATGTAAGTATTAGTCAAACTGGAGCGCGGTCGTCGGTTGAACGCCACTAACAGCCACCGACGCGTCGCGTTGGCGCGCGGGTCTCCCGCGACAACACCGAAGCCGACTCATGCTAAGTACTCAAGTTACCCTGCAACCTGCTCCTCTGGCAGTCGCATACCACACTCCCCGTGAAATCCTCGTCCTCTAATAGGCCTGGTGTTCACCGATGACTGAAAGCCGGCGACTATGCGCCGCCCTGTCAATACGAAGTAGCAGCCGGTACAATCAATCACTGTTATCGCCGGAGCCGTGGTCGAGAACAAGTCACAGCAACTTGCTATATGAGCCGTGATCGAGCGGTTCCGAGCTGTCGCTGGACAAAAGCCCTGTCTCGAGAGTCGGCGAGTGACCCGCTCGCCCACCAGAAGAGCTGCCAGCGGACTGAGTGGACCAGGAAGACGCACTCGAGTGGTTGCTTGCACTGATCGACACGAGATGAGCGTTGCGGATCAAGCGCCCCTGTCCCTCGACTCCGGATTCGGCGGAAATGTTTCCGTCGTCGTTGCCCCGAGCAACCTGCCACCCGAGTACGTTGACTCCACTGTTCACCCGGTAAATGGCAATTGCAACTGACGGTGTGCACTTAGGGTCAGCTTCGCCGATGCGACGCTCGTTTTCCCTGTCGTCGTGGCAGCAGCATCGCTGGTGATTCTACTCATCCAACTAGGTCTGCGTTCGAGATGGCAGCATGCGAATAAGGTCCGTATTAGTTTTACACTACAAGCATCGATACTCATGGTTCGACAGGTCGAAGCACCTGCAAGTCCTCTACAGAGCCGTTCCAAGTTCTCGCAGTGGTTAGCAGAGCGCGGAGGACCCACCATCTTCGCCTTGAACATCGTCAGGTCCTTGTCATGCCTTGTGTTATCCATTCTGTCCGTGGCGACTGCGGTCCACCCGAGACCCGATGCATTCATCCCAAAAGGAGCGTACGATATCGACATCTTGTCGGTGATGTATGCTGTTGTTCCCGCAGCCTATGTACGATCACTTCCTCGAAGCTTGGGCGACATCTACTTACTCTCATTGCAGTTGTACACGTGCACGCTCAGCGTCGCGGCGACTGTTCTCAATACGCGTTCAAGCGTGGTAGCTATACGACACCTGAACGCAGTGCTCCTCGTCACCTGGGGTGTATACGTCTATCGGGACATATGGCCGCTGGCCACGTACACCATAGATCCTCTGGATGCCTCAGAGGGGCCCTTGTTGTGGGCTCGTTTCGCCCTGCTCACCCTCAGCGCCGTCATAGTACCTATCATCATCCCACACCCCTACTTGCCCTTCGACCCGGCGGTGAGCAGGTTATACACCATGTCTCTGTCAAGCTATAGCTGACCAAATGAAAACAGAATCCATGGCCGAACCCTCCAGCGGAACAGACGACGTCGTGGCTGTCGTTTGTCTTCTTTTTCTTCGTGGACGAGACCATCAGAGACGCCTCGCGCGTAGAACATCTTTCGCTTGACAAGCTGCCGCCGCTAGCAGACTACGATGAGGCGGAGAACCTCTTGAAAGAGAGCCTTCACGTGCGTCTCGTTCTTCCTCGTTCTTCCTCGAAAGAGATGAGTAAGATTGACGAATCGCGTCTTTGCAGGAACTCGACCCCCTCCAGTCTAAGAAGCGCAGACATCTTGCATGGAGCCTCTGGAAAGTGTGGCGTACGTATCCCATCTTTCAACTCGTTTGTACGCTCAATGTTTACCCATGAGCAGGTCTTGAATGGATCAAGATGTGCTTCCCTCTCGCAGCCAGTGTATGTCACAAAGCCTGGGATCTATCTATCTGCGGTCACCTAATACTGCCTACAGACTGCTCTCAAATTCGTAGCGCCGCTCAGTATCAGATACCTTCTTGAGTAGGCCTTCGTGCTCGTAAGAAAAGCTGTCGTCTGACGTCGATCTAGCTACATCGAAACTGGCGGCCAGGGAGCGTCTGTGCGCCCTTGGTTCTGGATACTCACACTTTTCTGCGGTCCCACCTTTGACAACCTATGCGCGCAAGAGTACACCTTCCTGTCGGTCAGTAAGGTCACTCGTCCACCGCAAAACGCGTTCTCAGTACATTCTATTCCGCAGACGAGGTTGCTGGTCCGATCTGAGGCCGTCATCACTCAGCTCATCTTCAACCACGCATTGCGCATGCGAATGAAGGCCGAGGTTTCAAACACGCCTGGATCCGAAGAAGGCTCCTCCGCAACCCCAGAGAAACCCAGCAAGACGAAGAATTTGACTGGGAAAGTCAACAACCTCGTCACTTCCGACTTCGCGTCCTTCACCAGGGGATTTGACTGGCTCTTCCTTCGTATGTGGTCCCCTCCTCGTCTGCGGCATCTTGTATGATGGCTGATCTGCTGCGGCAGTGGTCAAGGTTCCTCTGGAGCTCGGTCTTTGTATCTGGTTCCTGTACTCGATCCTCGGCTGGAGGTGCGTCGAGAGATGCACGCCGGAGATTACAAAACCGCTGACATGAATAAATAGTGCACTTGTTGGCCTAGCAACAATCATCATCTTGCTTCCTGCACCAGGCATGATGTCGGGCGCGATACATGGAGCGGAGGTTGAAAAGATGAAGAAGGCAAGTTTTCGCTATACCCCTGCGTTGGTCAGTATATTGACACTGCTTTGTTCAGACGGATGCCCGGGTTCAGAGCATCACTGAAGGTACATAATCAATGCCAGACTGGTATCAACAATGCTAAACCTCTCGGACTAGCCATGAATGTCGTCCGCATGATCAAGTTCTTCGCCTGGGAAAGACGAATCGAACAGCAACTCTCCGAGAAACGTAACGAGGAACTCATGTGGATACGGAGGTCGAAACTGCTGAGCATCATCAACGATAACCTGAAGTAACGTCTACGCTCGGCCATTATACACTATGCTGATCCGCATTCATGCATCAGCGACCTGATACCTTTGCTGACGATGGTGGTGACCTATGCCACCTTTACAATTGGCATGAAGCGCGAGTTGACAGGTATGAACCTTTGCATCTCAAATTCTTCATTGCGCATGACAAGACGCTTTCTAGCATCTGTCGTGTTTTCCTCTATTGCAGGTACAGTTGCAACGCTGTAATTGGCTAGGAGATACGCTAACTATTCTGCAGTATTCGAGACGTTCACCGGACTCATGCACATGATCATGGGGCTGATCCCGGGATACATATCAGGTATCACGCTCGTTCGTATTGCTTGCACCAGTACTGAAAGCGAATGCTCGTAGCCAAGGTCGCGCTCGATCGCATGACTGACTTCTTACACAACGTCAGCCACATAGCCTGTGAATCTTGAACTGTCGCTGAAACTCTGATTGCGTCTCACAGACGGAACTCATCGACGAGTTTGCGGATCCCTCTGGCAATGACCATTCACCAGCCGCACAGCCGCACGAAAACGGCCAGGACGTTATCGGGTTTAGGAATGCGACCTTCACATGGGCCCGCGACGATGACTCCGGTACACCTGCGCTGAGATCAGGGCAGAGGAACTTCATGCTGCGTATCGATGGCGACGTTCTATTCAAGCGAGGCTGCATCAACCTCGTTGTAGGGCCGACAGGATCGGGGAAGACCTCTTTGTTGATGGCTCTTCTTGGAGAGATGCACAATATACCCATGGGGCCAGATTCCTTCAGTATGCTCCCGCGTTCCGGTGGCGTTGCCTATGCAGCTCAGGAATCTTGGGTGCAGAACGAAACGATCAGGGTAAGTTTACAATATCTGAGTTGGTCTCGCCATCGTGACTGACGTCGAACGCTTGTGTGATCAGGACAACATTCTGTTCGGTGCAACTTACGACGAACGACGATACCAGATGGGTATGTGGTCACGGCAAATTGACTGTTGTACATTCTCACAAGTGCATCCACAGTACTAGAGCAATGTGCACTGAAGCGTGACCTTGACTTGTTCGTTGCTGGCGATCTCACTGAGGTAGGAGAGAAGGGGATCACTTTGAGGTGCGTCCTACTACTCGCGAACGCATCGACTGCTACAGCTGACTGATGTGCATGCAATAGTGGTGGGCAGCAGGTGATTAAATCCTGAGTCCTTTCTGTGCATGCGTAGATATTAATCTATGTTATAGGCACGCATCACACTCGCTCGAGCTATATACTCGAAGGCGCAAATATTGCTATTGGATGATGTGGGCCATTCACTGACCTGCGAAATAACGGATCTAAAGTGTTGATGGCTCTGCCCAGATTCTTGCTGCTTTAGACGTGCACACGTCCCGATGGATCGTAGAAAAGTGTCTCAAGGGCGAACTTGTCCGTGGTCGGACAGTCATACTAGTTGTAAGTCGCCACACAATGAAGCCTTTAGACAGCTATACAACTGATGGGCAGACGCACAACATCACATTGGCAGGCCCCATCGCCGACTATGTGGTCGCAGTCGGGTTGGATGGTCGCGTTGCTGGCCAAGACTCAATTTCGAGCGCACTAGAACGAGACAACAGACTTGCCGCAGAAGTTGCAAAAGAAGATGAAGAGCTTGCAAAGAAAAAGGATACGTTAGATGAAGAAATTGGGGATGAGACTGCCCAAAAGGTCGATGGCAAACTGATAGTCGAGGAAGAGGTTGAAGTGGGCCACGTTGGCTGGTCAGCCAGTGAGTTACGCATAATCTATGACTTCACTCGCATACTTAATGAACGCCAGTGAAGCTATATGTACATTCGCTTGGAGGAGAACATCAATCGCTCTTCTGGCTCAGTTTCATGGGTAGCCTAGTCGTGTTCAACATATTGAACAATCTGCAGACCTGGTTCCTTGGATTTTGGGCTCGACAATACGAGGAACATGATGCTTCCGAAGTGCATGCTCCACAGTACGTGTTCAGTGCTCATTGTGTAGGCAGCGCTGCTTATACTCCTCGAAGATATCTGCTCGGATACTGTGTCATAATGGCAGCGTCGATTGGCTTCTACATGACAGCACTATCTGTGTACGTGTTGGGCACCCTCAGGGCGTCGAAGATCATGCATCGGAGCTTGATATCATCTGTATTCTCTGCTACGCTGAGGTAATTAAGTCGGTCAGCACTGATGCGAATCCGTACTGACGATGCTCTGCTAGATGGTTAGACAAGACACCAACAGCAAGAGTGATCGCACGCTGCACTCAAGATATACAAGCTAGTAAGCCGATACAAAGGTCATCGTGCAGCCCAAACTCATTTAGACTAGTGGATGATCAGGTTGGTAGATGGATAGGTGTGGTCGTAGACATGGGCACCGCGATGTTGCTCAAGCTGGGCGCCGTGATGCTCATATCGCCTATCTTCGCCGTCCCTGGAGCAATCATCGCGTTCCTGGGCGGTTGGATTGGGAGAATGTACATGAAGGCTCAGCTCTCAGTCAAACGCGAAATGAGTAATGCAAGGTCGCCTGTGTTGGGCCATTTCGGAGCTGCATTTGCAGGAATCAGTACGTCCAGGGTGTTTATCTCTCGCGATACTTATCAATGTGATCCGTCACCGAACGCAGTCTCGATTCGCGCATACGGTGCGCAAGAGGCCTTCAAGAGGGAGTCCTACGTACGCATCAACCACTACACACGTGCGGCCAGGTCGTTTTGGAACCTAAATCGGTATGTCCAGTTTCTCCAAGGCATCCCTCTTGCCCAAGTCTTACTGTATCTCACATTTCTTATGTAGCTGGGTTGGCATCCGATTGGACGTACTCGCCGCTCTTTTCACTGCTATTTTGGCAGCGTATCTTGTCTATGGAAGATCCAATACTGCTTCTAATATTGGCTTTTCGTTGGTAATGGCAGGTCAGTATGTGACTGGAATTGACATATGTTGCTCCGCTAATAGCACCCTCAGTCGGCTTCAGTAGTCAGATCCTCTGGTTCGTCAGGGTATTCAACAGACTGGAAGTCGCAGGCAACAGGTAAATATCAGCAAAAAAATCGATAGACTCATCGCTCAGTGTTACTACAGTGTGGAGAGGATCAAGCAGTATCTTGACATAGAACACGAACCAAAGCCGACAGCAGTCGGTGTTCCCCCGGCCTACTGGCCTGCAAGCGGCCAGCTAAAGGTGGACAAGTTATCCGCCCGCTATTCAGAGGTATGTCAATCCATTCCTCAACGCCACTTCAGCACGATTGACCGGGTCGCCAAGAACGGACCGCGTGTCTTGCACGAGATTTCCTTCGAGGCGAAATCTGGGGAACGAGTTGGCATTGGTATGGTCCAACGTCCACCTTCCAGTTTTAGCATAGGTAGCTGACAGGACGTCAGTTGGTCGGACGGGTAGCGGAAAGGTGAATCGTGTCGCATCATTCGGAAGGAATTGACTTTTGATAATGGATTGCAGAGCTCCCTTGCACTCGCACTGTTACGTTGCATACATACGGAGGGCGAAGTGTTCTACGACGGTCTCGCCACAGATGACATCAACCTCGACGCTCTACGATCAAGCATCACCATCATTCCACAATCGGTATGTAACGCGGATATCCATTCAGACATCGCTGACTTGCGCATGGTCAAGCCTGAGCTTCTCAGTGGGACTTTGCGTCAGAACCTCGACCCGTTTCAGCAACACGATGATGCCCTTCTGAACGACGCGCTTCAATCTGCCGGGCTTTTCTCTCTGCAAAGCAGCTTGACGGAGGGGAAGATCACTCTTGATACACAGATCGCCGGCGGAGGCAGCAACCTCTCCGTGGGTCAGCGTCAAATCTTAGCATTGGCCAGAGCCATCATACGTCAGAGCAAGCTACTCATCCTCGACGAAGGTCAGTTCGCTACCTCGAAAGATTTCATGGTACTAACCTTATCTATATTCAGCTACATCAGCAATCGGTACGTGCACACACATCTGGTGGCTTTCATCGCCGTATTCATCGACTGTCAGACTATGCGACGGATGCCGCGATTCAATTGTCGTTGCGCAAGGAGTTAGATAGAGGCGCGACAGTCCTCACCGTAGCTCACAGGCTGCAGACGATCATGGATGCCGACAAGATTGTGAGCACTAGTCGCATCGCTCCACCTGAGATACTGACACTTCGTTAGATGGTCCTCGACGCTGGTCGCATAGTGAGTAATCGATGATTCCGTATACATGCATGAGTGAGATCTGACGCGTTACTGGCAGGTCGAATATGGGGAACCTCGAGAGCTACTAAAGGACGTGAACGGGATGTTCCGCGCTTTGGTGGATGAAAGCCCTGATCACGACACGTTGCACTCAATGGCGAATCGCACAGGAGGAGAGTCGTAGTTGCGGTGTGGACGTATATGATTTCTAACGGATCTAGTGCGAGGCTGGCTGTACACGCCGCTCATAATACATCATGGACACATAGTATCTCGTGCCACCTTCGTCGTGATTGCGGATGCATACGTTCCGCTGTGAAGTTGGGAAGGACTGTTATCACGACGATCATTACTCAGTTGACCATGCAGACAGCAGTTCAGACCCCCGACGCTTTGAATCGAGAGCCGTGTTCACCTGGGTCAGTTGTATGTAGTGAACGGAAACGCGTCCTGAATTGCGAAAATCTCATCCGGAACATATGAATAGTATTGGATACGTTGTAAAGCCAGACCACAAATAACCGAAACAAGGGGGATAGGGCGTGACAAGCTGCAGGAGATACGACAGAACAAAAGGCAAACAGAAGGGGTAAGGGGAAGATCGTTCATGGATGGGGAAATGGGCTAACATCGTGTGTGAATGGAGAAAGAATCATAGAAACAAAGTAAGGAAGACAAATTATGGAGAGTTGGACGAGGAAGGCGGCTCTGAAACGTAGTGTAGATAGAGTAAGATACCGATAAATGAAACACTCCATGAAGACTTGAGAACGTAGAATGATAGAAAGGGACACTTGTAGAGACACGGCGCGCAGGGCCTACGTCTTCAGATCTTCAGAGGGGCACCACGGTCGCGACTCTCGTGGAGTACGCGCGACAAGAGTCTAAAGACGAGGAGCGGTCCAAGATGTTTCGGGCACGAGGAGATGTGAGACGGACGACCCCTTGATGCCGACCTTCTTGATCACGTCAAAAGACGGTTCCTCAGCGAGCACAGTGCTGACAGGATAGTTGTCGTCTTCGTCGTCGTCAGAGAGCACCACGATCTTGCCAGTGTCGCAGTCTTCCACATTGATCTCGAGACCAACCGCAATGGCCGCAGCGACGTCGAAGTCGAATCCCTGGTACAAGGAGACGAGAAGCTTGGAGAACCGCCCCGGCCGAGTAGCCCGGTCTGCCATGGACATGTGATGCTCCGACGTCTTGGAGTAGTGTGTGGATCGGTGAGAGTCTTCCGGGGTTCTGGCAGGCTCCGAGGGGGAGACTGCTTGGGAGGCGACATCTTCTTGAGGGGGAGTTACGACGTCCGACAGCACAGTCATTGGCTCAGATTCTTCGACAAGGGACACTTGACCGTCGCTGATCGTCTCGTAGGAAGAGGCTGTATCCAGAGGCTCATCTTCAAGTCCACGATAGTCCTGCTCAGGCTCGTGCATAAGTTCCGCACGCTCTCGCTTCGCCTTCTGTCCCTCTGCGATCGTCTTCGCCATCTCGAACTCGAGTTGCCGCCTCTTCGAGGTCTTCTCGCATTCCTTCATGAGGAGGTTGCCAAGGGCCTGCAGCGAGTAAGAGATGCCGTACTCGTAGAAGTTCCGCTCGGCATTCTCGTCCAGGTGCTCTTCGACGACGAAGATCGGCTTCATCTCGTCGCTAGGAGACGCTTGCAGGACCCGGCGAGGAGGAAGAGGCACGTCGTCGCCTACGCTGTATTCGACCTGTAGCGCGAGTCCGGAGAGGTTGTCAGAGGCCGAGCCGCTGTTGCCAGGCAAGAACTTCCAGGTGTCGGCAGCCACAGGCGGAGCGAAGTTCTCAGACAGTGGAGGAGAAGCAGTCTCAGACCAAGAACCAAGAACAGGCGTCCCAGGAGAAGAAAACCCAGAGTCAGAGTCGCCAGAGTCGCCAGAGTCGCTTGCGTTCCCGTTGTTGCCGCCAAGGTCGGGAGTCAACGGCGGCGTGTACGTAGTCGGCGCATCAACGTGCCAGTGTCGACGGCGCTCGCGGAAGGACGCATAGTGCCTGTCCAGCTGCTCCTGCCGCTTCCGGCCCTCTTCCTGGCGCTCGCGCTCTGCGAAGTTCTTCTCAACGTTCTTCATGATCTGGTTGCGGTCGGCATTCTCGTCCAGGTGGTCTTCGTACACGATGATCGGCTTGCACTCCTCGTTGCCGATGTCCAGAGCAGACATCAGCGCCGAGGCGGTGGGCGGAATAGTGAGACCGCCTTCGGAGCTTGACTCGGTGGCAAGGACAGCAGACTCGGTCGACAGTGCGATAGATTCAGAAGAGCCACCGACGCCGGGAACATAATCGGCAGGAATATGAGCGAGATGATCCAGAGTTGGAGCTGTAGGATCGTCCAGGCTACCACTGGAGAGCGGAGGCAGCGTAGTGATGGAGTCGGCGACCTTGACCTTGAGATAGCCGGCCTTCACATCGTAGCTGACACGGCAACGGTCGCCGACCTCCGCTTTGAGGTCACCAGCGAAGCGGACCTGCCAAAGAAAGTGAGCTATCTCATGTAGCGACGACAGCGTACATCATACCCCCTTGCATGGCTTTCCATGAGACAAGGCATTGAGAACATCCGGTGTGGCGGGATGTTCAGCCGCAATGTCGGTGCGGCGTCCGAAGGCTAGCACAGACGTCCCGGATGAATCGTTATTGTCATCCGAGGACCGCGCACAGCCGGTTGAGGGTTCCGGCGGATTTGCCTACACCCCTCGTCAGCCTCCGACATCTGGGGAGGAATAGCAGACACTCACCATTTCGTAGCGCGTAGTGTGTTCAGGTGTACAAACTTCCTGGTGAAAGACAGGTACCTCGGGTACGCGATTAGGATCGCGGATGGTGGGGTTCTCTGCATCAATGTCGTCGAGCGAGACACGACGGGCGAGGCTATCGAAAGCTGCTGCCCACAGATCACCCTGGCGAGGCTATACACACACAGATGACATGAAGTGAGTGGAAGCTATCGTCGCAACAGATACACACCTCCTGTCGGAAAGGAAGGAGACCACACTTCGCGGATTTGAACGAAACTTGCGTTACGCTGGTATCACCCTCGGGGTCGGACGCCGTTCTGCCGTGGCTGTGGCCAGAGGACTTCGCGTCGATAGAATGTGCGGACCGAACGGAGAGCTTCTGCGCCCGGGATAAGTGCTTGGAACATAGAAAGGAGGAAGTGCACGTACGGATGCCTTGGGGGAAGTTGGAGCATCTCCCATTTGGAGGAATGCGTTGCCGATGTTGACCGCGTCTGCGTCGGTGACCTCGCGCTTGATGGTGCCGATTTCAGGAGGCTCCTGTCGCTTGTTGGCATCAAGAGTAACAACCATCATGTCGACCTGTCCGCCTCAGTCAGTGCAGTGCTGTGACCTGCCTCGGATCGACTCACATAGTGAACATCAACCTTCAGAGCGGGGCCGCTTTCGAGCCACTTGATCTTGCGATCAATGTCGTGGTGGATGATCTGAGCTTCGGCGGGGGCGTTCTCCGCATCCTTGTCCTCCACCTCTGGGATGACGATGACGTCTAGACCTTCAAGCGGCACGTTCGCAGGGAGCTCGTTGTCGACGACCAGAGCACATTGACTGACCACCTGCTCGAGAGCAACAGGAGGAGGGTCGGTGTGAACGTGTTGGCCCTGCATGCGAGTCAGCGGCAGACAGTACATAACGCGGGAGAGACACACTAGAGGACTAGGGATACTGCCCTCGCGCTTGGAAGACGCCGGGCTATTCCGCGGAGGGGTCACACATTCGACGAGGGTAGAGGCACTGCTTGAGGTGCGTTGCTGGGTCATTCCCGGAAGGAGGAGTCGGAGAGGCGGGCGAGGCGTGGAAGTAGTGTGCGATTCTTCATCTTGAGAGGAAGCGTTGTATTGGCGGAGGATGTAGATGACGGCGAAGAGGAAGATGGCGAAGAGAATGATTGCGATGGCTGCGTAGACGATGATCTGCTGCCTGTCCCCGATGGACGCGAAGACAGAGAAGACGCCGGAGGGAGCAGACGGAGGTGAGACCTGGATGGGAGCCATCCTGGCCAACTCCCGCGTAGGGTGAGACTCGCAACTGTGGGACGTCGAGCTGGTGAGAGGAGCAGTCAAAGAGCCAAAGATGCCAGGGACTCACCTTTCAATGTACGGGCTGACATCGATGGGCTTGCCAGCCGCCAGGCCCAGCTCATGGTATGTGGTCAGCTATGGAATGAAGACTCTCTTATTAGAAGTCTGTGTGAGTCAGTACTTGCTAGCCGCGCCTGGCAATGTGGCATGCATATACCAGCCGCACGTAGTAGATGATTTTACTTTTCCCTCGCTGGCAATCTGCCTCAAAGCAGCATGTATGCGATTGGGGCTCATTGTAGCAGAAAGAGGCGACTATTCCAGGTCACCGACACCGGAGTTTGACATGGGTAAGTACTTTAGTACCAGAGTACTGGCCAGTGAGGAGCCGAGGCCGAGACGCGTCCGGACTGCCAGCCAGTGGGACGCGTAGCGGGCACGTGCTGAGAGAGCAGGGAGACTGGTTCATCTGTAGGGAAACGAACCAGGTCGTCTCGAGGGTCATCGTGATTTGCCGAACAGGTGAAGCCGCCCCGCTGCTTGCCCTCCGTGCCCGCTGCTGAGTGTGGCTGCGGGTGTCAGTGCTTGCCCGATACCCTCAGCGCTCCGTGTGTATTGTCAACAGAGTACAGTCGTGCGTTTCCCCCTTCCCGCCATCTCTGTGAGAAGTATTTGACAGACTCCGCGATACTTAACGTCATGATGGTGGTCCAACCTTCCAAACTCACATACGCGCCCTTCTCACTTACATACTCGCCTCACTCCCCGCACCACCACCGACCCTCCTCGCGACGCACCTGCTGGCTTGAGGTCCCAGAGAGCCATGGAACAACCGTTCACCATCTCCGTTCCAGACTCGGAGATTGAGCTGCTACGCAGGAAGCTCGAGGTGACGCGACTGCCGGACGAGCTGGACGATGCTGGCTGGGACTACGGCGCACCACTGGCCGACGTGCGGCGCATGGTCGCGTACTGGAAAGACGGCTACGACTGGAGGAAGGCCGAGGCTGAGATCAACACCCTGCCCCAATTCACCAGGGACATCGAGGTGGACGGGTTCGGCGCGCTCAACATCCACTACGTCCACCAGAAAAGCACGGTCGAGAACGCGGTGCCTCTGCTGTTCGTCCACGGATGTGAGTACCCGGATACGCTCGAGAGTAACCTTGTCTATATCCACCCCAGGGCCAGGACATTTCCTCGAAGTGAGGAAGATGCTACCTCTATTGACTGCCGGCTCGGAGGACCACCCCAGCTTCCATGTGGTCGCACTCAGCCTCCCAAACTTCGGGTTCTCGGAGGCTCCGAAGAAGAAAGGCTTCGGTAGTCACCAATACGCAGAGGTACGCGTGCATGTCGAAATACTGTAGGCGTCACTACAGCCCGGATGCGCATTGGAACTGTACGGCGGCAGCGGGCCTGTGATTCGTGACATCCGGGTTGTAACTTAGTGACGTCTAATAGTAGGGTAGCGCGGTCTTGACTTAACGTTGTTCCTTCAGGTTTGCAACAAACTCATGCTCGCCTTGGGCTACAGCGAATATGGTGGGTCACTCCATTCCCGCTTCTGGTCTACACGAGTTGAGTCGCAAGTCGCCTGCCAGTCGTCCAAGGTGGTGACTGGGGATACCTCGTCAGTAAAGCCCCTTCACGACCCACTCCGTTTGCTGAACGAGCACCACGCAGCTCGGCAAGGTGATAGTCTCCGACTACGGCCACAAGACCGTGAAAGCCTGGCACACCAACATGCCAGTGTATGCCCGCCCTCCCCCCGCTCCCTCGCGATCGCCGCACTCACCCCATTCACAGGAGCGGCCCACCGAGCATCTGGACGCACCCCGGGCGCTTCCTCGCCTTCCTCGGGTCTCTCGCGCTTCCCTGGTCGGAGCGCGATAAGGCGGGGATGGCGCGCACGATGGAGGCGCGCAGCAAGGGCATGGGCTACTTCAAGGAGCAGTCGACGCAGCCGCAGACGCTCGGCTACAGCCTGGCGGACTCGCCCGCGGGCCTGCTCGCGTGGATATACGAGAAGCTCGTGCGCTGGACAGACAGCTATCCGTGGACAGACGACGAAGGTGCGTGCCCCCCTCTGACGGCTGAGTCCGCGAGCACTGAAGTTGAGGGGTGGGTGATAGTGCTCACTTGGATATCCGTGTACTGGTTCTCCCGCGCTGGACCCGCGGCGTCCGTACGTATCTACTACGAAGTTACCGGCGGGGGCGACCCCGTCGCTGGCGGCACCTGGAGCTCCATCCCCCTCGGGCTCTCGTACTTCCCCAAGGAGATCGCGGTCGTTCCCAAGCTGTATGTAACCCCCCTCATTCGCGCACACGCGTACCGTATGCTGATGGATCGTGACAGGTGGGCACGCACGATCGGAAACGTCGTGCACGAGTCGGACCACGAGCGCGGCGGGCACTTCGCTGCGTTCGAGCGGCCGGAGGACCTCGCGGGCGACGTGCGGGCGATGTTTGCGAAGGGCGGCCCGGCGTATGGTGTCGTGCCGGGCAAGGACGGCTATGCGTAATTGCTTTCAGCCTTATGCGCGTCGCTTGATTGAGATTGACCGTCTGTACACTTGTTATCTAGCCCTGTCATTCGAGCAAGGTTGTAGGATCTGGCGCGGTGGCTGCGACGGATACGTAGTGTGTATCCACTCCTCACACTCGTCGCCCCGTACCAAAAGCGGAGGAACTCTGCTGGATGTCACGTCTGTACTTGTATATTGATACATATGGATACTTCGTTCGTCTTGCTCACATCACCAGCCCGTTCACAAGTCACCAACCGCGCCCGGCTTTCCGGGGCTGCCCGCTGCTCGCCATGCCGCAAGGACGAGGTCAATGACATCTTGTACGCCCTTACCCTCTTTTACACTGGTGAAAAGCGTGGGCCCGTCTCCCCTCATGAGCTTCGAGTCGCGGTTCATGACTTCGAGCGAAGCGTTCACGAACGGGGCAAGATCGATCTGCAGGTGAATGTTTGAGATGCATGTTGACGTGATTGTGGCCAGAGCCTACCTTGTTGATCACCAACAAGTCTGACTGCGATATGCCGGGGCCGCCCTTTCGCGGATTTTGTCCCCCCTGCAGCAGGACTTCGTCAGCAGCAATACTGTGCACGCACGAGAAACGCACCGAGACATCGATCACATATATGATATAGTCCGCGAGCTCCCTCGAGTAATTCGCGGCGAGGTTATCGCCCCCGCTCTCCACGAACAAGAGCTGGCAGCCGTACTTCGCCTGGAGCGTCTCGAGCGCGCCCATGTTCGCGCTGATGTCCTCGCGGATGGCCGCGTGCGGGCAGCCGCCCGTCTCGATCGCGAGGATGCGCGACTCGGGGAGGGCCTTGTTCTTGATCAGAACTCCTGGTCCTCGCGCGTGAAGATGTCGTTCGTCACGGTGGCTGCAGCGGCATCAGCGGGGTGAGAACGCAGCGGGGGGAGCACAGGCGTGAGAGGGTCCGGACCGATGTTGTACTCCTGGCGGAGTGCCTTGCAGAGTGCGAGCGTGAGCGCGGTCTTGCCTGAGCCTACGGGCCTTGGTTTTCACGTACGCGCAGTGAGCATCTGACGCTGCGGTAGATGTGCGGGACGGCACTCACCCTCCGATACCGACGGTGAAGCCGCGTTCTTCGAAGTTGCGCGAAGAGTAGTCCGGCAGGTCGCGCTCCGCGAACTTCCCTGAGCCAGGATCAAGCAATCCATCGCCCTCCTTGTGGTTTGCCGCTTACCTGCATGGTCCAAGTGTTCATGCGTGTGCCCGTGTTCTCCAGGGCCATGTGTATGCGTCGCCTCCCCGTCGTGTGCATGGGAGTGGGTCGGCTGAGTCGACCCACTGGACGAGAGGTTGTTGATGAACTGCACCGTTGTACTCATATTGTGAAGGCTCGTCGTGGATGATCTCTGTGATTGATCGAGTCGTTGACCGAGTGGAGGTCGATGAAGAGCGCCGGGCGTCTCGTATAACAGCAATCGTTCGGTACCGCGGATCTCAAGATCCCATCGTTCCCGCTGCGACGCGCCTTCTCTTCCCGACGCCTTCCTCCCTTCAAACTTTCACCATGCTCTACTGCGCGCAACATTTCATCATGCATATACCCTGGCCATCAACTGATTTTGAGTCTGCATCATCATCCGGGAGTCTATGCTCGCGAAACCGCAACGAATCTCAGACGGATGTACACCATGCTCCATCTTCCCTGCGAATCCCGGCAGTCCACGGCACACATCTCTTGCACGGCCTCCATGATCTCCTCGGCCTCCTTGTCAACCATGTTCGCCAGGAAATGCGGACGGGCGAACAGGCGCAGCCAGTCGATCACAGCACCGTTCAGCGGGGTAATGCGAGGGTGGAGTGAGATGGTCTGCACGTCGAATCCGGCGGATTCGAGCAACTGTACGTCGGCGATAGTTAACGGTCGGAAACGATAACTAGATAGCATCACCTACCTCTTATAGTCAGCGGTAGATGGAAAGTACCACGGGTCGAGCTCTTCTGGCTTGTAGCCGCGGTTCCGGAGAACATGGTGGAGGGCCGCCCTCACACCTTTCGGCGCGATGAGTTAGAGGTGCGTACTTGAATGCAGGATGTCTCCCTCACCGATGCAATTCATCTGTCCGCCCATCTCGACGACGAAGCGACCCCCAGGCTTCAATAGGCGCTTCGCGCTTTCGACGACGCCCCTCGGGTTCTGCTTGCACCAGTGCAACGCAGCGTTGGAGAATACCGCGTCGTAATTCTTCAGTGATGCATCCCAGGTGGATGGGATATCTATAGCCTGTGCGTCGCCCACGAACGCGTGCTCGATACCAGTCCTTTGCACTTGGTGATCTAGGCAAAGTATTGAACGAGACATGCCAGTCAGTGGTAGTTCATTCGCTCCGGGTCGAGAAATGCAAACCATGCTCTCGCTACTGTCCATTCCCACTACAACTCCCGTTTCTCCCACCAGTTGTTGGATCTGCAGCGTGACCTCGCCGCTTCCGCAGCCAACATCGATGATCCTCTCGCCTGGTTTGGCGTCCAACAGGGTGAGGACGGGAGCAGTGAACTCATTCGAGAACACGAAAGAAGCGGTCTTTTGGTAGTTAGCAGCGGACCATGTATCGTGCTTCTTGTCCGGGCGGGTGTCTTCCGCCATCGTCGGTGCAATGGCCAAGCTTGTGTGGGGACTTGTGGGGAATCGATCGTCAGGCGATTGGTTCCAGGAACGTCAATTATGCTCATTTATGTAGCGTTCCTTCTCGTTCTGACTCGTCGGGCCGGAGTGACTCGACTGGCATGCCAGTCCACGTAGATACATAGCGCGCAGAGTGATGTGAGGTCTGCTATTCGGGTGATCGCAATTCGGCATTAGATTATTGACGATGTACATATGGTAGGACAGAGCTGCACTGTGCAGGAGCTTCAAGCTTAAAATTTGCACTGTCCCTGGTACTTACTCGCCACAGTCGCGTTGCAGCCTGAGTGACGCTGTATCAAGTACAACTTGAGGCACGGTACATAGGTTCGACGCAAGCCCTGTAAGTGCCGTGTGGAGAGTTCGCATTCGTTCAAACCTCCAATGGCAGAATACCGATATATGCAAACCGTCAATCATGTTTACATGTACACTGCAATTGGCGGAGCCCTGGCGCCAGACATATCGTGATACCAGTCCTACTGTCCCGCATTGGGGCCTCGTATGTTAATAGACTCGGAGCCTACTTGGAAAGATTGCAAGAGCGGTGGTATGAGTCGCAGTATATCCTGTTGGGCGACCTTATTCAGATGAAATGTGCCGTCGGGTGCCCTGGATGTTACATGGTACCAATTGGAGAGTGAGATTCTCCATCCGCGAGGATCATCCGACCATGTAACATATTTTGATTGTCCTTCGTATCCGTGACGATGTATGCCTACGAGCTCCAGAGACCGAATATGCGTTGCGAGAGTCATAGCGTGCGATCGAAGCTGAGCGTTGCCTACCCCACAATTGTGCGGCAGCTCGACGATGACAGCGCGAAGCCGTGTCGGGGAAAGAAGAGAGACGATATTCGGCTGGAGAGGCCTGCTCATCAATACTGCAACGCACGACGAGCAGGATGGGACTCACAAATGTGGCATTCGTCAACTCTGTTACAGTGCTACGTTGGCGATACTCTCGGCATGCTGTCAAGTGAAAAATCCTCAGGGAAGGCAGATTCTCCGATAGCCACTGCACGAGCTTGCGGTCGTGGTAGTAGGTTAACGTAACAGGCGAAACGCGACGAAGCATCTCGAAATACTGGGCGGCATCGTGGTTGTTCCCTGGCAAGGGCTCCTCGTCATTGCCATCGTCGACCTTGACGTTGCGTACATGGCATTGTAGAGGCAGTGGACTCCTCGTCTGAACCAAGTCCAATTTGGGCCACTCGGCGTGAGCACCCGTAACATCGACCGATGCCGCTCGCACGCGCAGGGTGCGTATGTTGGGAAACGCACGGCAGACAGGCCGCCAGTGTTCGGGCCTGATCTCCCCATCTCCCAACACGAGCTCCTGGACACGAGGCCATACACCTTTCGGATTCGCATCCGCTATCAGCACATCGAGCGCCTCGTTGAGGGTGACCTTTGTCAGACACTCGACGAAGTTGCGTAGGAAACGCATCGGCTTTTGCACTTGCGTCACGGTCGTGGCAGCTCCACGATCCATTTTGCATGTCACTGACACCAGCTGGCTCTTCATGCGCGAAAGTAATGCGATGCCACTGAGATCGACGTGGAGGAAGTGTATAACCTTGAGTGACTTTGCCTCGGCGATTGCATCCACAAGTGCGGGACAACTCTGGGTGAATGTGTCGTTCGCGGTCAACAGAAAGATTTTGCGCAAGGCCGTCGCGTGACGAACGATTTCCGCGAGGCGGTCCTGGAGAGGCATGCCAGAGGGGTGTGATATGTCTGGCTCGAGAATAAGAGACAGGGTCAATTCTCGCAGACATTGAGCACGAGGTTGCGGATCGGCGAGCATGTAGTCACAAAACTGCGCATGATCATGGCACTCGAGGTAGCCGTCCCAGCATATTTCGACTGCGGACAGAAATCGCCGTGTCGCTGGTACATGTAGCGCACGACAAGTTGTCATCAGCGGTAGGGCTTCCAGCGGAGCGATGTGGGACAGAATGCTCTCGACGACATCGAGATTGAGGGTTTGGAAAGCCATAAGGGTTCGTGGCAAGCTGGGCCGGGATATACCTTGAAGGGATACATGTAGCTCAGAGAGTTGCATGCCGCGGATGTGCAGGACCTACCAGGTGAAGAATTTGCCCTGTCCGATCGCTAGAGTCTGAGGATGGAGTCGGATTGACGACAAGGCAGCGAGCTATGGCCCCGGATGGGCGACTTCAAGCTTCAAGCGCAAGGCTGGACGTGACAGTGCAAGTCACGAAGTGGGCCCCGGGATAGCACAAGTACGGGCGTAAGATATTGCGGAGACAGTTGCTGGGATGGGAGAGTTTGATGGGTAGTGAGGGTAGTAGTACAGTAGTACTTATGAATCTCGGTTGAATACGTAAGTGCACGCGTCCAAGTCCACGTTTTCCCCTTGAAAACCCCCCCCATCCACTTCCTTCTCAATGAGGAGCTCGAGAGCAATAGGTTCGCCATCCAACGCGGAACGTATCAGCCCTCCAACATTTCACCCTGAATTCGAGAGGTTAACGTTGTAACATCGACGCCTAGTAAGTAGTATCATAATCAGTTTGATCTATGTACTGTAGGCTACTAGTAGTGGGAGTATAGATGACGACACTCACGCACTCGGCGCGCTACGTGACTGGAATGGGACGAAAGTGAGCCAATAGATGTGTTATGATACTGCGGTTCGAACACAGCCCTACTGCCTCTCGTTGGGATTTGCGCGTTACTCGAGCGTTTTGCAAGATTGAACGAGCGGAACTAATCTCGGTACATCCACCTCGGAAACTCTGCTCAGCTGTGGGGTGCCATCGGTCGTCCTCGATGTAACATGGTACCAATTGCAGAGCGAGAATCTCCAGTCTCGCAGGTCTCCCACTTGTCTGAGGGTGCTCCCTTTATAGCCGTGGCGGTGTAGACCGATGAGTTCCATACACCGAGCGTGCGTCGCGATGTTCTCGGCGTGCGAACGGAGCTCGGCGCGCTTGGTGGTACAGTTATGGGGAAGTTCAACGATGACGGCGCGGACCCGTGATCGGGCAAGGGTCGACGCAAGACTCAGCTAATGAACCGCGCATGTCATCGTCGCAACGCATGGAGTGAAGGGACCTGCCGGACTCACCAGTGTGGCATCTACCCATCTGGTTACACTGCTCAACAGGCGCGGCGCCGGTGGCTCCAAATCGTATGTCTCCAAGTGGAGAAAGCGCAGGCGATGCAGCAGCACAGGCAGATAGTCCAGTATGCAACGATTGAGGTGGCAGATTAACGCAATGGGCAAACAATTTCCGAGCATCTCGAGATAGTCGGCGACGTTGTGCGGGGACAGAAATTGCTTATCCAGGCTGATATTGAGTTCGACGCAGCGTACACGGCATCGCAGTGGGAGTGGATTGCTCGTCTGGACGAGATCCATTTCCGACCATTCGGCATAGGCGCCCGCAGTGTCTATCAACGTCCCATCCATGCGTAATGTACGAAGGTTGGGAAACGCACGGCATATGAACTGCCAGTGTTCACGCTTGACATTCTCGTCCATCAAAGCGAGTTCCTGAACCCGGGGCCATACCACATGGGACTCTGTCTCCACCGTCAAGAGATCGAGCGCGTCATGGAGCTCCAAGACAGTCAGGCTCCGAACAAAGTTATGCAGGAACTGTGTCGGGCCTTGCCATGGCTGCCTGGCGTATGCTATATTGACTCGGCATTGGACTGTTCGCGGCTGACTCTTCATACGCGAAAGCAACGCGATCCCTCTTGGACCCACGAAGGTGAGGCGGATAGTCTTGAGTGACTCAACGTCAGCAAGTGCATCTGTGAGTGCGGGAGCACTATCGAAGAAGTTGTCGCCCGCGCCATCCAAGACTATCCTACGCAAGCCAGTCGCATGCCGAATAACTTCTGCAAGGTGGTCGGAGACAGGCGAGGCTAGTAGTCGTTGGTGGTTGAGTAAGAGGGTCAGCGCTCTAAGATGTCGAGCGCGGGCCTGGGGATCGCCGAGAATGAATTTGCAGAACTTCATAGTCTTCTTCGACTCGCGGAGGCGGTCGCAGCGGAGGGTGATTTCGAATAAGTGCCGCCGCATCGCGGGCACATGGAGTGCGCGACAGGTAGTCATGAGCGGTAGGGCATCTCGCGATTCGACAAAGGACAGAATGGCTTCAAGGACGTCGAAGTTGAGGGATAGAAGGGACATCCAGATCTGTGAGCTGAAGCGCTGAGGAACAAGGACGTTGCTTGGACGTTGCCAATGAAGATTTGTGCGCACCAGGATCCGAGTCGGAGCCGCACTGACTATCTCTTCTGATCAACTAGGGCCCGCCAGATGTTTAAGCTTGTACAGCACTGAGATGATTGGCGGTGAAATCGCTATGCGTGTAAGGCTGAGAAGTGGACAGTGCTTCCACCAGAAACCAGATGGCAGCTGCAGGAACGAAGGAGGAGGACTCCGAACTCGCAACTTGCAAGCCAACCGCCATCATGTGACTTCACTGTGTCCGCCCGACATTTACATATATCCGCCCGTTCGCTCACTCACGTCAACTTACACTCCTACAGGCTCTGTGAGTGCGAACTTGCTACCACCGAGAGAGGGTTGTCCGCCGGATGTCACAGTAAGTGCAACCACTTACTACTATTAGATGACAACTCAATTTTCGGGCCAGGAGACATCCGGTGGGTGCCAGTGGGCACCCGCAGCGGTTTCGGGACGAAGATTATCGACTTTATGTCGCACCGGTACGTCCGAATCAGTCATGAGTACTTATAGAAATTAGCTGATTCGCAGTGATTAGCAAGCCGCGCCGCGATCCCTGCAACAATTCGGGCAATTGCCAGGCTGCAGCGCGCAACACGGCGCTCTTGACGGGCGCTGTACATGATGATGGCGTAGGTTCGACACAAACTCCTTCACATCAGCGCCGTGTGGAGGTATGAGACAAAGTAGCTGATGGCGGCCACAAGGAGCCAGTGTCGCAGTATACAAGCAGTATATCAGACGGGTCGAGTCGGCCTGTACTCCTCAATTCGCTGTCTCGCGGGTACAACTATGGTAGAGCAGCCCTTCGATTGCTGTTCCCGACTTTGAGCTCGAGTTCCTCCACAAGAAGCTCGACCTTGTGCGCCTCCCTGACGAATTGGACAACGCAGCATGGGACTATGGCGCACCCCTCGCAGACATCAAGAGGCTCGTCGCGCGCTGGAAGGATGGCTATGACTGGCGGACGGCGGAGGCGGGCATCAACGAGATCCCACAGTTCACGAGGGACATCGACGTCGACGGTTTTGGGACACTGAACATCCATTACATTCACCAAAAGAGCGCGGTGAAGAACGCGGTCCCGCTGCTGTTTCTCCACGGATGTGCGTATGCCCGGACATCATGTCTTGCACCGCTCATGACCACGTACACGCTCAGGGCCTGGACACTTCCTTGAGGTGAGGAAAATGCTGCCACTTCTGACGGCCGCCTCCGCGGACCACCCGAGCTTTCACGTCGTTGCACCCAATCTGCCTAATTTCGGGTTCTCGGAGGGAGTGAAGAAACCGGGGTTCCGTGGCGACCAGTACGCTGAGGTGGGGAACAAGCTTATGCTCGCGCTGGGGTACGAGGAGTACGGTGCGTGTCATGCTTCTTGCCGGTGTCACTGTCCTGACAGACAAGTACCAGTCGTGCAGGGTGGAGACTGGGGCTCGTTCGTACGTTGAGTGCACGACATGCTTGAGCTGCAGTGCTAAGGAATCGTAGATTGCCAGCAAGCTTGCCGCAGTGTACGGTCACAAAAGCGTCAAGGCGTGGCACACAAACTTCCCGAGGTACGTTCCCTTCGTCAGTACGTGTTCACTCGCTGATGATGCCTGTCCTTAGAGCACGCAGTCCTCCGTCGCTCACCCAATTCCCGCGACTCTGGCTACAGCACGCGCTCACGTCCTACACGGAGAGGGACCGCACGGGGCTCGCCCGCACGGCATGGTTCATGGCCAAGGGCCGCGGCTACTTCCTCGAGCAGGCGACACAGCCGCAGACGCTCGGGTACTCCCTTGCGGACTCGCCCGTCGGCCTGCTTGCGTGGGTGTACGAGAAGCTCGTGGTCTGGTCGGACAACTACCCCTGGGACGACGACGAGGGTGAGTTGGTCAGCCCTTCTGCTACGAAGGGGCTAAAGCGTTGATGCAGTGTTGACGTGGATATCCGTGTACTGGTTCTCGAGGCCGGGTCCTGCCGCATCGGTGAGGATATACTACGAAGCGACGAACGCGAACGAGTACACGAACGTCCCGTGGAGCTCCATCCCATGTGGGGTGTCATTCTTCCCGAAGGAGATCGGCGTCCCGCCGACGTGCGTGCCATTTCCTACGTCGCTTGTCGTGGAGTACGCTGACCTGCAAGTGCTGCAGGTGTGCGCGCACGATCGGGAACGTCGTGTTTGAGTCGGAGCACAGCGCGGGCGGCCACTTCGCTGCGCACGAAAGGCCGGAGGATTTTGCGCGGGACATGCGCGCAATGTTTGGGAGGGATGGGCCTGCGTTTGGGGTCGTGCCAGGGAGGATTGGTTATGACTGAAAGTCGTGAACGGGACCTCAACGGTCAGCAAACTGGCATGCTTTGTCTCTCCCTGCAATAGGAATCTGTTCTGCAGATGCGTTCTCGGCTGGTGGTCCCTTTCGTGTCTTGATCGTACTTCACATGGTATGATGTACCGCATTATCTTTGCTTTGTGCGTCGGTCTCCGAGTCCACATCTTCCGCTTGAGAACCCCACCCACTTCCCTCACAATCGGGAGACCATCAACTTACTCCTCCAATTTCACGGTTCGTAACAACCATTTTACATATCACCACACTCACACTCTCGGCGCGCTACGTGACTGGAAAGGGACGAAAGTGAGCCAATAGATGTGTTTCGCTCGTTGCTATATAACAGCACATATCTACGCAATGTACGATTTGTCCATACTGCGGTTCGAACACATCCCTACTGCCTCTCGTTGGGATTTGCGCCTCACTCGAGCGTTTTGCAAGCTTGAACGAGGGGAGCTAATCCCGGTACATCCGCCTCGGACACTCTACTCAGTTCCGGGGTACCATCGGTCGTCCTCGATGTGACATGGTACCAGTTGCAGAGCGAGTATCTCCAGTCTCGCAGGTCTCCCACCTGTCTAACGAGACTTCCAGCATAGCCACGGCGGTGTAGACCGATGAGTTCCATACACCGAGCGTGCAACGCGATGTTCTTGGTGTGCGAAAGGAGCTCAGCGCGCTTGGTGGTACAATTATGGGGCAGTTCAACGATGACGGCGCGGACCCGTGATTGGGCAAGGGTCGACGCAAGACTCAGCTAATGAACCGCGCATGTCATCATCGCAACGCATGGAGTGAAGGGACCTGCATGACTCACTAGTGTGGCATCTACCCATCTGGCTACACTGCTCAACTCGCGCGGTAGCGCCAAATCGTATGTCTCCAAGTGGAGAAAGCGCAGGCGATGCAGTCGCACATGCACATAGTCCAGTATGCGGTGATTGAAGTGGCAGGTCAACGCAACGGGCGAAGTATGTCCGAGCATCTCGATATAGTCGGCGACATTGTACTGCGAAGGGTCAAGATTGGCTCGAATCTCGACGCAACGTACGTGGCACCGCAACAGGAGTGGACTCCTCGTCTGAACGAGATCCATCTCTGACCATTCCGCACAGGTGCCCGTAGTGTCGATCAACATCCCACGCATGTGTAAGGTACGAAGATTGGGAAACGCACGGCATATGAGCTGCCAGTGTCCACCTCTGATCTCCGTATCCCGCAGTGTGAGTTCCTGAACTCGGGGCCATACATCATGGGGTTCTGTGTCCACCGCTAGGATATTGAGCGCGCCAAGAAGCTCCAAGAAAGTCAGGCTCTGAACGAAGTTATGCAGGAATCGTGCCGGGCCTTGCGATGGCAGCCTGTAGGCACTGACTGCGCATTGGACTGATCGCGGCTGGCTTTTCATACGCGAAAGTAACGCGACCCCTCTTGTCGACACGAAGTTGAAGCGAATGGTCTCGAGTGACTCCACGTCAGCGAGTGCATCCACGAGTGTGGGACTACTCTCGAGGAAGTTATCGTCCACAAAACTCAAGACTATCCTACGCAAGCCAGTTGCATGTCGGATGACTTTTGCAAGGTGGTCGGAGGTAGGCGGGGCTAGTCGGTGGTGGCTGGGTAAGAGGGTCAGCGCTCTGAGATGTGGAGCGCGGGCTTGGGGATCGTCGAGAATAAATTTGCAAAACTTCAAAGTCTTCTTCCACCCGCGGCTATGGCTGTCCCAGCGGAGGGTGATTTCGAATAAGTGCCGCCGCATCGCGGGCACATGTAGTGCGCGACAGGTAGTCATCAGCGGGAGAGCATCTCGCGATTCGACGAAGGACAGGATGGTTTCAAGGACATCGAGGTTGAGGGATTGAAGAGACATCTGGATATACGAGCTGAGGAACAAGAACGTTGCCCAATTGGGTTTGGACGTACCGCAGTAATGCACCAAGTCGTCCTCTACTGACGGAGGCGGCGTAGGATCGGAGCCGTACTGTGACACTGGCTACCCGTTCTGATCAACTGGGGTCTGCCAAGATGTTTCGGCTTGTACAGCGCTGAGATGATTGGCAGCGAGATCGCTACGCGTGTAAGGTTGAGAGGTGGACAGTGCATCCCAAGTGCATCCACTATAAACCACTGGCAGATGAACGAGGGAGAAGGAGAAGGAGGGGGAGATGATGGCACGTGTTCAAGGACCATACTAACGTCGCGTCGCGTCAGAACGCCCAAGTGGCCAACGCGCATCGCCGCTGATTAGCCTCCCGAACTTGCACACAGCAGTCCTCGTTTAGATCACAAAGTCTACGCCGGTGTCTCCTCTCGATGTCTCACTGGCTGGTAATAATACAACCGCCTTCAGGATCTGTGCCGTCCGTGATCGACCATGCGTAAATGTCCAATCTGCCACTGCGAAGGCGATAAGACGGGCTGCAATAAGTAGGGGCACACGATGTTGCTCGCGTAGAACGACTTCCGCTCCGCCTGTTAACGTCGAGCATCCATTCGACTCACCGCCCCGCGACGATGCGTTTCCTTGGTCCCCTCTTCACTTGCGCGGCCTTGCTGCAAGCGGCTGCTGCCTGGCCTCAAGGGTTGTGGTCCAGATACGATGACGAGCCTGAGGTACTAGAGAGGGCATACGGGAGAGCTCTGTTTTCACCGAGAGTTGTCATCGTCAGCATGGTGAGCGTGTTTTTGTATTGTCATTCCAGTGCAAGTCTGACTTGTTGTCACGGTATAGTTCTCGCCCGAAGCAGACGTTTGGTATGGTATCCCGGAGTTTGACCTTCTGGCCATGAACATCTCTGTCCCCGGCCTCTCCATGCTCTATCCTGACGTCCACTGCACCGCCCACGGCGAGATATGCCAGCTGACGACGGGCGAGTCTGGTGAGCGACGCGTCCCCCGGGCACACGACTGCCCATTACCGTGTCACACGATCCTGACAGGCTCTCCCACAGAGATCAACGCGGCCACCACCATCAGCTCCCTTGTCGCGTCGCCTTACTTCAACTTTTCCCAGACGTACTTCATGATCGCCGGCATTGCGGGCGTGAACCCGGAAGTCGCCACGCTCGGGTCCGTCACTTTCGCGAAATACGCCGTCCAGGTCGCCCTGCAGTACGAGTTTGATGCACGCGAGATGCCTGAGAACTTCACTACGGGCTACGTCCCCCTGGGCGCCACCGCACCGGGCCAGTATCCCACGTCGATCTACGGCACGGAGGTGTTCGAAGTGAACGAGGCACTGCGAGACCTAGTGAGTGCCTCTCTCAAATGATATCTCCGCGGAACAACTGACCCGTGCTACTCACAGGCCATCGCATTCGCCAACACCGCCGGTCTAAACGACTCGGACGCCGCGGTGTCATACCGCGCAAAGTACGCAGCATCCGAGAGCTTCGCCGCGGGCGCAACGGGCCCGAGCGTCGTCGCGTGCGACGTCGCGACGTCGGACGTGTACTATTCCGGCACGCTCCTCTCCGAGGCGTTCGCGAACGCGACGCAGCTCTACACGAACGGCAGCGGGGTCTACTGCACGACCGCGCAGGAGGACAACGCGAGCCTCGAGGCGTTCCTCCGCGCGGCGGTGGGCGGGCGCGTCGACTTCAGCCGGATCATCGTCATGCGCACCGCGAGCGACTTCGATCGGCCGTTCCCCGGCGAGGCGGCAACGTTCAACCTGTTCTGGGCGGACCAGGGCGGCTTCGAGCCGGCCATCGAGAACATTTACAGGGCGGGAATCAAGGTGGTGGAGGGCATCGTGGACGGCTGGGAGGAGACCTTCAAGAAGGGTGTTGCGCCGACGAACTACATAGGAGACATCTTTGGCACTTTGGGCGGGACGCCCGACTTTGGGTGAGTCGATCGTTTCGTTGAGGTCCTCGCGCCCTGGCTGATGCCTTCCAGACCGTATTCTGGCGGTGACAGCTTGTCAAAGAGGAGCGTTGACGCGAAGGTCCCCATGCGTTGGCGTGCGCGCAGAGGCACCTCCGCGATAATGAAGGCACTGTGATCAGCGATGCGTGGTCAACGACTAAGTTAAGAATAATGGGAGAGTAAAAGTAACTAATAGTGATAGAAACGATATCGGTACATCCAGACTCCTAATAATCGTGTCTCGATGTCTTCCCACTGGTTTGTCATCTGCATCGTACGCACATCTGCACAACACTGGGTGGGACTGACAGTGACAATACGGTATCGTTTTGTTACGCGTCGCGTAATGGGCACGTGATCGCGTTTAAATGCCAAAGGCTGTTACATCAAGGACCAAGGTGCAGAGTTTCACAGTCAACTACACTATAACAAGGTCCTGGCTACACAGTCGCATTCGGGGCTTCACGGAACATCTGGTGAAACCATAACTTGTCAGGTATGCCTGTAGACCGTGATCCAGCAAGTATATACGCACAATGCAGAGGACAACCGGCGGCTGATCCCAATTCGGATTGTTCTCGCCCACCGTGAATCGCGTCGCGACAACGTACCCGCAGCCCTCGTAGAAAGCCGTATTGTGTGCGGTGGTCGATATATAAGTGGCTGCGCCGAGTTTGTCCGCCTGACATATGTTGTGTCGTCGTCAAATAAGCAGACAGAACCGTTCGCGTAGAGCAATACCGTTGGTCGTACCTTGGCATTAGCTACAGCCATGAGCGCGGTCCCATAGCCTCTGCCTTGCTTGTCTGGACGAGTTACGAGACCGGCCATTTGTAGCATGTGTTCGAGACGGTCACCAAACGCCTCCTTGATTGCGCCACTCTCCGCCGCGTGTAGCTCTGTAAGACGCTAATAAAGCGCGTGAGACCGGCATTCGACGTCCCGGTACATAGAACAAGCCATATGTGTGACATACGCGTTTCTGCTCTGCCGACACCCCAAAGGTTGTCGCGAAAGCGGAAAACGCTTCCATAGCACGCTCAGTCAGACTGGATTTGTGACCAGGTGTGCGACTTGGCCACGGAGTGTCTTGAGTAACCGAGTTTCGCGTACAGTGAGTGGTACACTCACATGAACATCATCGCCTCTCCGCTGTTCACTGTGTAGGCCAGGCCAGCATGGATCTTGCTCGCGAGAGATCCCCACCACTGGAAATAGAACCGAGTACCGCGGCGGGACTTGTGTTCCTATTACAGGGTACGCCGCAGAGGATTAGTGTAGGCATAAAACATGTCGCCGAAGATCGCTTACCGGTGTGTTCTCGATATAGTCAAACAAGGGATTGTTGGCGAAACCTTGTACGATGCTTTCGGCTACGCTAGGGATATCCCCTGCATGCGGTGTGTTTGCTGTCGGGGCGCGTGTACGAGATGGACAACCGACTCACAGTAGCGCATTGGCTTGACCTCAATATGTTCCCCCAGTGTCCCTTCCTTAACGTATGATGTACGTCTTTCCTCGCCAGCTAGAAGGGGCTGGCGCGATGCATCCTGGGGAAGCTTCTCGAGGTCGCGCGCTCGGGCCATGGTGGATGGGGCGACAGCGAGGGGAGGGAGGATGGAGCCAGTGGATGTTCAGCCTGGTTTGGCTGTGCCTCGAGAGGGCGTGTGGGTGCAGAATTGAAACTCCCGAGACATGATCACGATGCACCCAAACAACCCCGGTCGGCCAGTACGCTTCTCCTTTGGTATGTTGACGGTGGTTTCGTAAGTCGACCGCGAGCGTAAACCAATAATGCGCAGGAGCAACGCAGGAGTGACAGTTCGTCGTAGGGTATGAACGCGCAGTGAACCAGTCGGGATCCCGTCAGGATGTGCACAGTGCAGGAGCGCTTCAAACCCGATCGAGATCATGAAATTGTCGCGCTTGTGGCTGAAATTGCAACTTGCCAGTCGACCACCATGTCTGCCGACATCTACGACTTTCTCTCATCGCCGCAGGTGGACAGCATTCTATTGACCCATCCAAACCGACTGTTTTCCTCAACTGAGTTCTGCGTCCCATCTGAGTGGTCGTCCTGGTGGAATTGGGCTGGACTCGAGGAGGACGAATTATCAGGCCCCAAATGGCTTCTCCTTCTACGGTACTATGCGCGAAGTCAAGACGGAAATCAAGCACAGGACTGGATTTCAATCCCGGAAGAACTGAAGTCAATCATCGACAGGGCGCGACGAATGCAGGTATCTCGTGAAATGGATGGGCCGGTAGTACTGTCGGTTTCTCCCTCTACCTCTGTCCTTGTCAGACACGAACACGCGGCTCAGATGTTGTCAAAAATCTGCCAGATTCTCCAACACACCCAAGGCACTCGTAGGCCATGATCAGGACTCGGAAGCACCGTCGAAAACCCCTGTACGCTCGGAGGATCGAATATTCGGCATGTCCCCCAAGAAGGCACATGAGATCATCCGCATGTCAAGTTTCCTCTCCAAGTTCCTTTCATCGTCGCCGCAACTAGCCTCCGTGAAGCACGCAGTCGACGTCGGTGCAGGGCAGGTTCGTACCTCTTTCACCGCTCACCCTAATGTCGTAATGCTCTTGCACCATGGATCTCCCCGTAATTTGACCCCGCGAACGCTGCACTTTGCGCAAAGATCTCCGTGCATCTCCCATTCATGAGATTGCTTACGTTCTTGTTGGTCAGGCATACCTTTCGCGCGCGATGAGGGATAAACTGGGTCTGCACGTCCTCGCCCTAGACTGGAGCGATGTTCAAAGCAAAGGCGCAGTTCGCAGAGAAACGATCGGGCCAAAGAAATGGAAGAGACGATCTAGTCGATCAGCAAATGATCCAGTCTCAGATGCAAACATGACGGGGGAAAGCCAGAATGGACCGCCGGCATGCGAACATGCGAAGACAGGCACTCTCACGTATAAAACGCTCGAGATCCGTTCTGACTCTTTACTGTGCGCGGTCAACGAGTGGGCCGAAGAAGTACTGGCAACACAAGGATCGGATGCCTCATCCCCACCAGTGCCAATGTTGTTCGTAGCCTTGCACGCATGCGGCTCGCTCACACCTAACGTACTGCGTGCTTTCACTTCCCGTCTGCGATCTACCGAGCCTCGAACAATATGGGTCCCGCGGGCAGCGGTCATCGTCGGGTGTTGCTACAACCTACTGGAAGCGGGCGGTGAGTGCCCGCAACCTCGTCTCGCGTCGTTGACCACCTGAAGAAACATCTCAGACTTTCCTCTCTCATGTACATTGAAGCTGCGGTCCCACGAACCGCCAGCTATGACTTTCACGCCTAACCATCTCCACCTCGCTGCGCAGATGCCCGGCCAGTGGCTCCGCACGCAAGACACCCTTTCCGCTGCGAAGCTCGCCGTCCGGAAGGTCGTATGGCGCGCGGTCCTCCAAAGCATACTCGAGAAGCACGACGCGTCGTCCGTACAGACCTCATCTACCAATTGCGATGCCGACCTGGACGAAACAGCCATCATTAATGGCGAGACACCCGCTCTGCGGCGCTTGGGAAGGCTGAACGATTCAGCGTACGCAGACTGGGAGACGTTCGTGGGCCGTGCGCAGCATCGTCTTGGCATCATGCTCGATCCGGCTTTGTGTGCGAAGGATCCCTCGACGGAGAGCCGGTTGGAGGTGTTCCAGGTCTTGCGGTGCATTCTGGGGCCCGTCGTCGAGAGCCTGATACTGCTTGACAGAGAGGAATGGCTACGGGATGAACTGGAGGTCGGTGTGGATGTCTTGTACTTGCCTGTGTGCGGGGCTGACATTCACGGGATGACCATAGGGCACAAGCATGAATGTGCAGTTGGTGAACCTATTTGATCAAGCTTCGGGAAGCGCGCGCAATGTTGCGATCGTCATAACGCCTAGAGCGACGACTCATGGAGGATGAGGTTCGTCGTGGTCGGATTCTACCTACACATGTTGAGTAAGTCGCTTTCAGGCCGCGCACACCATGGTCAGTGTAGCAAAGCCCGAACGTGCATTCACATTAGTGAGCTAAGTACATGCAGACAAGAAATTACAGCGCTAATTCGATAAGGGTTCGTTCGTGACGGACGTGATCATCCTTGCACCATTGTTCGCATGATCCTCCACAGAGCCCTGGGCGCGATAGGTTGACTACACTCTGCGGCGCCTGCGTGCCTCGATGCTCCTCTTGGTAGCGGGAGCACCTCCAGAGTATGGCCTACAAAACTCCGTTCAGTACGAGCTAAACCCACTTCTCATTGACTACTCACCCGAAGTCTGGAGTACCACCCAGAGACCCGAAGATGTCACCGATGTAGTTCGTCGGAGTAATGCCCGCCTCGAACGTGTCATCCCAACCGTTGACGATACCCTCTACGATCTTGACGCCAGCCAAGTAAATGTTCGCGATGGAAGGTATGTGCCCGTTCTGGTGGTCATAGAGCAGGTGCTGCGTGGCCGTCTCGCCGGGGTACTGCCTGTCGAAGTCGCTGCCCGTGCGCATGACGATAATCCGGCTGAAGTCGACGAAGCCGTATATCGCCGCGCGGAGGAACGCCTCGAGGCTCGCGTTGTCCTCCTGCGCGCTAGAGCAGTACAGGCCGGTGCCGTTCGTCAGGAGCGTAGTCGTGTTGTCGAACGCCTCCGCGAGGAGGTTACCGGAGTAGTAGTTGTCCGACGTCGCGACGTCGCAGGGGACGATGGTCGGCCCGCTCGCGCCCGCGGCGTATGCGGGGTCCGAGGCGTAGTTGGCGCGGTAGGCTGCTGCAGCCTGCGTGTCGTTCAGCTGCGCAGTACTAGCGAGCTCGATGGCCTGAGGAGGTCCCATGAGCCTGTGCCTTAGTATTTGCCTGCTGAGATACACACCTTGTTCCGCAGAGCCTCGTTGAGCTCGAAGACCTCGGTGCCGTAGATGGACGTGGGGTACTGGCCTGGTGCCTTAGTCCCGAACGGGACGTATCCGGTGCTGAAGTTCGCGGGGATCTCGCGGGCGTCGAACTCGTACTGCAGCGCGACTTGGACTGCGAACCTCGCCAGCGTTACTGAGCCGAGCGTGGCTAACTCGGGGCTCACACCACCGATGCCAGCTATCATGAAGTACGTCTGTGTAAGGTTGAAGTACGGGGATGCGACGAGCGACGCAATCGTCGTCGCAGCGTTGATCTCTGTAGGCGGGATTGTGAGCTCTCGTGACAATCCCCTATACACTGCGGATTTACCTCCTTCGCCAGTAGTGAGCTGGCAGATCTGCCCGTCACCGGTGCAGTGGACGTCGGGGAACAGCATTGACAGGCCAGGCACTGTGATGTTGACGGCCAAGACATTGAAGTCCGGGATGCCGTACCATGCCCCAGCCTCAGGCGAAAACTGCGGGCAATGTCATGTCAGTGCCGTCATCCCTGGCTGAACCATGTCCTACTGAAAACTTACCATGCTAATGATGAACGCCTTGGGAGAGAAGGGACTGCTGCTAGTAGGAGCATTGGTATCCCTCGACCATAAACCTTGCGGCAGCGCTGCGACGCCTTGCAGGGTAGTCACACCGGCGAGGACCGAGCTGAAGACGTTGAGGAGATGCATCACGATCTGAGGTAGGGCGAGTCGAGTTCTCGAGGACAGGCAGAGTCGTCAACGGCTTACTCCCGAAGACTGGCCTGCGCTACCATCTGTGCTGCTCTTTTATACGTCCAGAGGTGACGCTCGCTGGTACGCACGGTCGTGTGTTGGAGGCGGACATCATGGAATGGCTGACAGACGAAATGCTCATACCGTCAGAATGGGAGGTCTCCTTGCCATGTACGTAATCTCTTTCCTGCATCGCAGATGGTATTAGCATTGGGACACCGGAAGGCAAGCGAACAAGGGCAGTCACCCGGAGGTTAGCGCCTGATGTCTGTGGTACGTCTCATAGCCCTCACTTCTATCTTCACTTCACGGGCACTGACCCAGGATGGTATTTCTTCGAACTGATAACTCAGACCGTTCACAAGTCATTCATATCCCATCAGTCAGAGGCATACACTAACGAGACTGCCTCTCTGAAGGTCGCTCCTCATAATACTCGGAAGCCCGGTTGCTACTCGTACAGATCCTCAGTCGCCGGTCAACATTGTATTTTACTCGCGTCCGTCCCCACTGCACGACGTCATAAATGCGCGAACTGGGATGCGTGATTGGGAAACGTGCGCGATGGCACGCGACCCAGGTGCTCTCGTGATGCAGCGATGTCTGCATGAGCGTCGTATTTGCACATCTGAAGACTTTCTTCGTGCATTCATCTGCTACGTGGAGGATCCGAGGCGAACTCCTAGGCTGAACATTCTCATGGGAAGGGAATCACATTCAGGTAATCTCCGCCTCCCAGAATACTGCATATGACAAATGGGGTCTTGCCAGGTCTTTACCGCGGAAATACTAAACCACCATCACCTCGGCCAACACTACCTCATCAGGAAACCCTTTTCGCGGTCATATGTGCGTCCTTCGATGCTACGTCCTCTGACGGATTTGATAACCACATGGAAGCACGTCTTTCAGCTTCCGGGAAGCCCATACTTCCTGATCACTATCGTGAATTAGAACATCGACGACTGATTGTGATGGACCGTTGGATCATCCTTAGGCTCCCCATCCGCATCTTCTACTCAGGTTCAAGTTCGTGATACCCCAGCGGCTGACGACCGGTCTGCTCCGTTCACTTTTGGATACCCTAGTGGCCATCATCTCATGAGTAACGTAGGCCTGCCGGTCCAGCCCCTGTACATAAAGGTTCCTCAAGAATAGATCTGCTTCCGTATCGTGGCGGGCCGTACCTTCTCATACATAGTAACGTTCCCATAACTGAAGCATGCGGCACGTATGAGCGCCTCCACATAATGAAAGGGGATGATCCGAGGTCTTTCAGAACGCGTTCCCGCGGAACGATGTTGATAATTAACCGGGTGCCCCGTGCGTCTCTCACATATCAGATCCTCCGACTAAAACAGATGCGCGACGTGTACTAGTAGCTTTGTATTCACCGGCTGTATGGTACACAGGCATCATCGCTGCCAGTGCATGGGCGAAGGAAGACCAACTCGCACATGGGGTTATGCTAGGCGATGACAGCGAAGGAGAAAGAAGGGCGCATTACACGCATGCTCTGTTTGCATAGGGCCTGACCCCCTGTGATGGTGAACGGATACTACTAAATACAATATGCACCCGTACGACAGCCACATAGCACGACAATGTCATTTGGAGCGCACAGATGCTGCCATCATCCTTTCATGCGCCCTGAACCCGGCCCATCGAGGATGCGTTTCTAACACTGGGATGTCATCGGTTCGCCGGGATACGTGATACCAAGCTCGATCGGAGAAGTCCCCGTCCGCAACGTCCGCGACAGCCCAGTGCGGGTTCTCCGTGGGATCGTAGTGGTCGACGCCGACGAGCTCGAGGGAGGGGATGGTCGCTGCAAGAACCTCAGCATATGACGCGTCGTGGACGGAGGTTCGCCCTATTGGGATGTCCACCGTGAGCGCGACGAGCGGTACGGCTTTGAGAGCCGTCGCCAGTGAGATCTGCAGCGACGTCAGCTTGGAAAGTAACGTTCTTGTGTACAAGAGACGGTGCGACCTACAATTGTAGGGTGCATTGGTATGTCCAACGGGACGTTGCTTGCGTCAAAGTGCAGGATCCTAAGAGAGCGCAGGTGCTCTGCGACATGTCGGAAAAGGCCAACACTTGCGTAACAGCCCAACGTGACAGGCGATGCGCAGCGCAGCATTTCGAACGACTGGTGGATGTAGGACATAGAGGCTCTTTCGCAGTCGACGTTGAGTTGCACGTGATGTACATGGCACTGGAGAGGGATAGGATCCGTGATCGAGACGAATTGCAGCTGGCGCCATTCAGCAGGGATGACCGGATCCTTCAATCGCACGTTCCAGCAGCGTAAAGTGCGAAGGTTGGGAAATGCATGTGATATGGACTGGATGTTCTTGATGGTGCTAGACGACACTGAGAGTTCGCGAACACAGGGCCACACGGTATGCACAAGCTCCTCGATGAGCATGGCAGCATGGCCGAGTTTCAACGAGGTGACGCAGTTCGCGAAGTTGCAGAGGGGGCTTGACTGCTCCGCCTTGCACAGCCCAGACATCTCCAGATAGTCAGAATCACTGACGGGGAAGAGATCGCAGTGTACAGTCCGCGGGCGGCATTTCATGCGCGGGAGCAAACGCATGAGACCGAGGTGTACACCGCATACGTCGAGCAGGTCAAGCGAGTCGAGAGAAGCCAAGGCATCCGCGAACGCGGGGGAGTCGTCCAAGGCATAACCTGCCTCCCACGAAAGCGAGACCCGCCGCAGGGCGGGCGCGTGACCGAGGACCTCTGCGAGAGTATCGAACACGGATAGGTCGCCTCTTGGGATACTTATTATGGAGAATGACCTGAGGCAGCGCGGACGGCCCTTGGCGTCAGCGAGCATGTAAGTGCAATACTGTAGAATCCGGTCGATGCTCCAGTTGTAGTCGATGCTAATGTGAGACAGCAGGCGCTGTACTGCGAGCGCGTGTAGCGTACGACAGGTGGTCGCCAATTTCAGCGCGTCTTGGGATTCGACGTATGACAGGATCGTCTCGACGACATCAAAGTTGAGCGAGTCCATCGGCATGGCTGAAACAAACCGCAAAAGTTAGAACTGAGAGCTTTCCAACGTGCACACGAGACGTTTACGCACCACTGGCGATGTTGGATTGCCTCGAACCTCTGGCGGTACTGCTTGGCTACGCTCTACACTTGTCGCGAAAGAGTCGAAGGCGGAGCAACATTCGCAGCACGGTCTACATAGCACTTGGAAGAGGCTGCCGGCAGTTGTCGCGATTGCGTCCCGACTCCGCGCAGCAACCCCGTAGAGGCAGCCTGAGCGGAGCTAGTAATGGACTCGAGTGACCTTGTCGTTATCCCGCTCGAGCGTGGTGGGCACGTGGTGCACATATACAGTATAGGTTACCTCGCTACCTGGTCCCAGCTCATCCTAAACGGAGTCCACTGAAGTCGGTCCGTAGGCAATTTGAAGACTTTTGCGAGGACGAGGAGGATGGCAGTTAGAGATGAGTTGGCAGTTGCCGCTGCCAGTGCCAGTGGCTGTTGGCAGTGTTCGATCGGAACTCAAGCGCCCGCAAAACGCGCCTGGCATGGCCGCCCAACACTGTAGCGATTCATGCGCACGCGCTAAGGCCTCATGTATTCACACAACTCCTCCGAGAAGAGCTATGGAGAACGTACTTGTTACAAATTCCGGTCGAAATGTGAACTGTACAGTATTACAGTACTTACAGATTAAGCGTACAAGTACCTGATGGTCCATGGACATAACCACATTATGTACATGTCACGGGCCCTTCACTTTGTGTGCATCTCGATGCTCCTCCGACAGTGATGGGTGTCGAGTAGACGAGCGTACACACTCTTACCTTCACCTTCCGACAGCACAGACAGTTTAGGACCCCCTCGTCCTCCTCGAGAGATGACTTCGTACCAGACGTAGTTGATAGCTTCCCGATCCACCACCGCGCCCGCGTCTGTGGTGTGCGCAGTCAGTCCGACGTACCGCACCGAGGGGCAGCAGCTTGCAATTGCTTCAGCATATACGTGCGACGACATCTCGTCCAGCTCAAAGTCCAGACGTAGCATGAGCGTGATACCCTCGAGCGGCACGAACGTCAACTTCGGGAGTAAGACTTTCTGTGGTGAGATGCCATGAACGAATTGCATACCCGCACATAGTGAATGAAGACATACCAGGAGGTCATCCGTGTACGCGTAACCACGAGCGTTGGGGACGTCGGGCACAAACAGCTGGAGGAATTTGACACAATGGGCAAACCTCGCCACACAATTGATCGAAAGGGGGTCCGCCTGGCACGCCAAAACAATAGGAGAAGACCGCGAGAGCATCTCCGGATACAATATTATGCTCCAGGTCGCCGACGCATGGAGAGACATCCGACGGACGGGGTGCGACAGCATGACCGGGCAAGTCGTTGAGAGATAGTCGATGGTAGGCCACTCCACCGGGACATGGGGATCCGTGATAGAAGCGAAGACGATGCGGAGCGTCTTGACTCTTGGGAACGTACGAGCGATGATAGGCAACTTCTTGATGACGCTATGGGACAAAGTGAGGTGGCGAACGGAGCCACAGCGCCAGGAAGCGGTACCCGTCCACTTCTCGAACACGAGAGGCAGAGAACAGGCGAGCTCGAGAGCGACAAGCGACTTGGAGAACCTCCCTAGAAATTCAGATATGGGCACGCTGGGGCCGGTGTTGCCGGTGGACGCGAAACTGCAGAAGACCGAGCTCGGGCGACTCTCCATGCGCGAGAGGAGACGAAGCATCTCGTCGTCTGACGATCGGAACTCAATCCGGGTCAGGGTTGTATGTTCGGCGATGGCATCCACGAGACACGGGGTGGCTTTGAGGACATGGCCTAGTCGAGTACACCGAAGGTACGCGAGGCGGGTCATCCGCCGGATCACCCAAGCAAAGAGTGGCGCTAGGTCGTAAGCCGTCGTTTTGCCGCTAGGCGAAGGAGGGAAGAACGACAGCGAGAGACCAGTGACACACCGCAGGCGGAGGTCGCTCGTCGCGACGTACTTGCAGAACTTGTAGAGGCGCACTCTTGTCCACGTCTGGGATACGGCGATGTGAGAGAGCCGCCGCTGCATTGACACCTCGTGAAGCGATTTGCACGTCAAGGCTAGCTGGAACGCATCCGGAGGGGGTAGATGCGAGAGTATTGTGAGCACCAGATCGACGTCTAGTTGCAGGAAGTGCATGTCGCAACCTCGGAGCACAGTGCTACTAGTATTTGCGTTCAACTATCTTTGAAGAGGATTGATTAAGTGTTACCGCTGGGAGTGAACTACGCACGTACCTATGCAGACAAGCTCGAGTGGCGTAGTGGTGAGTGTTCCAGTGCAAGGGGGGTATTGGTATCATAGCACTGAGTCCGAGTTAGCGGCAGCGTAGTAACTGTGGCTTGACCGTGACGGGGACGGTTGATCGAGTCGTGGGAGCGCCCTTGAAGTCACGGTCACGAATCCCGATCGCACGCGTAACACCCCGTCATCGGCCGGTGGCTGAGCCGCTTCTCACCATGCTCTGTGCACAGTCAAAACGTTGACTACTAGCGGCCAGCTACACTAGTAGCGACCACCTTCGCACTCGACGTCCTGAAATTACCTTCATAATACCGCTGGGATCTTGAACTCCCTCATATCATCATGAGCTCGCGACCTCTCGCAAACACCGCAGACCATCCGGGCCTCTACATCGTAGACGGCGTCATAGTCCAGGAGACATGGGGCGGGAAGTTCATGCGCAAGTTCAAGGAGAACCCGTTCGTGCCCATCGGGACCGCCGCGACCGTCGTGGCCCTCGTCATGTCCTTCGTCAAGATGCGCCGGGGCGAGTCGCTGAAGATGAACTACTGGATGCGGGCGCGTGTCGCCTTCCAAGCGGGCACAGTCGGCGCGCTTGCGATCGGGGCTTACGCCCTCGGGCAGACGAAGCAGCAGAAGGAGGCCCGCGCGCAGGCGGAGAACGACTCCGTGCTCGAGAGGGCGGCGCAGGAGCGCGCGGAGTTCCATGAGCGGCTGAAGGCGGCGGAGGAGGCGCAGCGGGTGGAGGACGAGATGAACGGGAAGTCGAGCAGGTGGATAGGCATGTTCGGCAGCGGGAAGGGCGCAGCTGGCGGGGCGCAGGCGAGGCAGGCCGCAGAGGCTCAGAAGCTGCCGACACCGTCCGAGGTGACGAGTGCGCCTGCGGGTGCGGCTGACGTGCATGCACCAGCTACGCAGGACACGCTGTCGTCCGCTCCGGCGGGTGCGAACAAGGTACGGACGCCGGTGGCGGATGCGCCGGGGAAGAGCAGCGGCTGGTGGTCGTGGTTGGGTGGTTCAGGAAAAGGATCGTAGGCTCTCTCGCCAGGTTAAAGGAGACCATTTTACCATGCGTATTCACTCCATATGATCAACCCACCGCTTTCGGGGGCGATACAGACACTTCCGGTATACACGTTCAGTCAGATGCATGACACCCAAGATGACGGCGCCGAGCGAGGATGGAGCCACCTTGAGGATCGCAGGGTTCTCGCCTCCTAGTGAGTCGCTGCCTGGCTCTGACCCTAGTATCTCAGGTGCAAATGTACGCCTGGACGCAGGCTCTGCAGTCCATAGCTTGAAGAACACCCTCATGCGATCCCGCCGTCAAGCGATTGATCTTCTCTGACAGCTAAGTCCACAACGAATCGTCGGGCCCCGCGCGCGGCCTCTCAAACACACATAGACGGGGTCCAGCGCATTCGATATGGTATCACGCCGGATTTAGGCGTATTCGACGGCCAGGCTGAGCCAGGCAGCCGTGACCTTAGCTACGGTGGCCCAGGTTGAGCGGTACATTTTTCTGGATCACTAATTCCATATTGCTAGAGGCCCATCTCGAAAACGCGTGCATAGGCGGAGGTCGTTCGGGCCCTTGTCTAACCTTCGCGTCGAGCGATCCGCATCCTCTGCCGGCTGGCCTCGGCCACAAACTCGGTCTAGCTCGCGCTGGACATCCGTCGATTGTCCGTCGATATGGTAAAAATCCTGATCGGCGGCGGAACACTCCACAGAATAGATACCAAGACCGACACGCTCGTGCGCATATTTACGCTCGCCTAGTGATATGGAAATACACAGCTGGAACACCAACGTCCGGCCTCCGCTCCTATACCGTATACGTTTCGGGGGCGGGCCCAACGTTGTGGCACCAGCTGTTTGACAACCTCATGTCGCATCTCATGGTAACACAGCTCGCGACTAAGCCGGGGGACGAGACTCGATGAGTCGGCGGGTAAAGAATCAAGATCATGCGTACTACGTATTGAATGGTACCGGTCATGTATCTGGCGAAGTTCTCTGAAGTTTGTGGTATGCAGCTGTGGTTCGCAGAGCTCATCGACGTTATGAGAACTCTTTGTCTTGAGCGGGACGCAGCGGCATAGGTCACATATCTGACAAGCATGGTTCGATCGTCGTTGAACAACACTAGAATCTAAGAATCTGACCCAGGAGTCTCCTTACTGACCCTTCTCAGGACCGCCGGCGTGGATTCTCGAAGGCTGCGGTAAGATGTTCCCTAGGAGATGCGGCCACGACCCATTGTTCGGCAGGAGAGGACAAGGAGAACAACAAGAACAACGTGCTGTAAGACGTACACGGTATGTAAAAAGACTGCGAAGCAACCGGCCACCGCTTACCGGGTAACAATAGCTTATTTCAACGAGGCTCGATCATTTTGGAGCAACCTGGTTAGCCGGAAGGCCACAGTGGACTGCGACTCGCGAGTGTGGTAAGAGTTGGTACGGTACGGCCATGACGCGTGCGGTGTCACTGTCCGATATCGGGGTCGTGACTGTATTCGTTCTTCTTCAAGTCTCGGACGCGGAGGAGTCGAGGACATGAACGGTATATTCTGCGTCTGCAACAATAGCTCCTTATGGACGTCGGTGACGAGGGGAACAACTGGTACGCCGATTACCGGATTCCGAGCGATTTTGAATATCAGGGCCGTGTGCGAGGAGAAGCGAGCGAACGCGGTCACCTGACAGACGTGTGGATTTTGAAACTGAACGCGTCGCGGCCTTCAAGCTGATCTCCCCGACGTATATGTGGGACTCATCATTCAAGCTTCCGGGCTCCATAAGCGTCATGCGACTGTGAGCCAAGATGATAAATTTAGCAGTACATGTATGAATACAACTTCCGTGAACCTCCAGCTGCCAGCGGACGCACTGTGAGTGGGCGCCAGTGCTCGCTTCGTCGCCTACCGGGATGATCGAATTGGGTGCTCCGCCCATCGACGAGCACACACTTGTGCCAACAAGGTGGAGTGTTCACATCTATCACGGACGAGTTGATGACGTCGGAAGTGTACGCAGTACAGAGTCCCGGAGGCCGATTTAGTATACTTACTCCCATGTGTTGACACTGGCATCTTCGCTCGCCATGCAATTTATCAACGAGCTCGTCCATGTCGCCGTTAACGAGGATCATTTTACCTGGGGTGACTGACGCGTCGACGTCGTGCAGTTCTATTTGCTCGGGAGCGTCCTAGCTCACCGGCGCGCGAGCTACTTATTTGCTGCCGAACAATGTCTTCGAAGCCCCGTTACCATTTCAGCTCGTGGACGGCCCCCTGGGGAAAACCCGACGGACTTCGCAGCCCGCGGGGGGATCAACAGATGTGGCTCAAATTGCCACTGCCAGGGTTTCTAGAAGCGCATCAGTGTCAAGGTGTCAGAGTGAAGCAAAGCACTTTTGTGAAGGTGGTAGAGTCGAGGCCCGGTGCCAGAGTGCGATGGCAACATGTTCCATCAACGTCAGCTTGCGAGGATGGCCTCGGCAGGTGCGGACGACCGACACGATCGCATTGCGCGTTGGAAGTGCGGACACTATCCATCCCGCGGAAGACAGGACAAACCTGTCTGGATACACATACGAGTGGCGTTTCATGGATGCAAGGCGCCGCAATCCGGGCGCTCACCGCAGACTCAGAGTCACAGATGGGCCCACGATGTGTGTGCGACGTCGCGATGTGATGCGGAAGTGGGCACGGGTCAACAGCGTGAAGTGTGAGACACATGGTGCGCAGAGCAGGGCGGAGAAGGGGGTGATTGACCAGAGTTGGCAGGCGGGCAGCCTCGCAATTGCGCACGCCGCATGGTCGAGCTGCAGAAGGCGGCGCGGCGACCCAGGAAGACGACGCGCCGGGCGATGGCAGACGGAGAAGTGGAGGGTGCCCAAAGCGTGCCATGAATCGAGTCAATGTCGACGGGAAGGGCGCGCAGGCGCCGCCGGACGCCGCCACCATCAGCGTCGGGTGCGTGGGAATCGCTGGCGGCGTGCGGGGTACGCGCCCAGGCGCCTCTTTTCCTTTATATACTCCAGGTCGTCCGTGACGGCGACGGCCTCCGTGTCGCTCTCCTCGTCCTGCCCCCACCACCGCCGAGCGAGCACACAACACACATAGCTACGGTCGCTTGAGTCCCAGCCGCACCTCGCAGCGCCCAATTGTCATCTATTGTTGTTCCCATCCAGCCTCTCGCGTGCAGACGCTCGTCCCGCGCCCATCTCCGGGCTGTCCAGCACTCATAAAATTTGTCTGTCCGCGGAGCGTGTCCAGACACCTTTCCTCGAAACCTCACCTATCCGCGCCTGCCTCTCCGACGCTACCTTCTCCGAGCCTGCTCGCAGGTCCGTTGACGCACCGCAAGTCTCACCTGAGACTCGAGTACCCTCCGGGTAGCGGACCGACCCATTCGGTCATTCCAGTCTACCACCACCCTTCAAAAGCTGGGCGGGTTTGCCCTTTGAATCTCGCAACTGCAGCTCCCTTGGCAGTGATACTCTTTGGCAGACCGTGAGATAGACGGAAGACTGCAAACTATCCACTGTGAGTGCGCATATAACCAGCCTTGTACTGCGGCTGTACCAATTCATCCTGCAGTAGACTACCGATGGACGTGAGGAAGGTCTTTCCCTCTTCCCTCCGTCGTTCCAAAAGCAAGCGCGACCAGTCTGCCAGCGTCGCCGCCGCCGCTCCATCGCCCCCTCAAAACGTCGCCACACCTGAGGCTTACACGCCCACGATGCCCATCACCATCCCGCGACGAAAAGCCGTGCGACCACCCCGAGCTCACCCATTCGCGAGCAGCCCTCACCGGATATCGTCTTCAACTTCGACTTTTCGTTCTCGCCGTGCTCGTTTCAAGGCCATGGCCAGATCCTCACGCGCAAAGACGAGTGGTCGCAGCATACGCAGTTCTTGCAACAGCGAGGCCGCACCAGCATCCTCCTCGCGCAGCAGTGCCACCAGCAGCAGAAGGCTCTATGCGGCCCGACGCGCCGCAATTCCAGCGCTCAGCGCAACGCCGAGGCACTGTACTGCAGCCAGCCCCTACGCCACGGTCTCCTCGCCCAGGCACTGCGGACGCATGAGCGCGCATATAGCCAGGGTCCGGGCGGTGATTTGGTGGATGAAGCATCGGAGGACCTCACGAGCCACAACAGGGAGATTGTTGAGTCCTCAGCACTGGCATCGGCGTACGCTTCGCCCGTGTCGTCGGAGTGTTCTTCTATCGTGTTCGCCACTCGCCCTGCGACGCCCCCAGCCCAGGCAGACGACGCCGCTACGACGAGGACGGCTTTGCTGACCCTGGTCGCACCTCTGCGTTCCACCGCTCCTTCGACTCCGCGTCTGCCTCGGCTCGCAGCACCTCACCCGTCCCCTTACCTCTCGACTCACACGCGTCGCCCGCTCCTCCCACGTTGCCCGCGCTGCCCTCACCTTCGGCCACCTCTCGCACACCGTCCGCGACCTCCTCGCCGTCCTCTCGCAGCCTTCTGCGTCCCGCGTTTCCCCACAGCCGTTCCACCACGCACCTCCTGCGTACCGCGGCAGAGCCCGTCGTGTGTCTCAAAGTCGCGGAGGCCGAATGGCCCGACCGCTCGCGTGGGCGCTCGCCCTACCCGGACACGGGACGGATGTTCCGCGCACGCAGGACGTCGAGCGCGGGCAGCCGCCCGACTGTCATGACGCTTGGCCGGACGCGGTCGTCGCTTGTTCTCAGCAACGAAGAGCTGGAGCGGTCGCTGGAGAAGGAGGACTACCGCGAGGAACGGGGTCGCGGGCCGGAGCACGGACGTGAGGAGCTCGATGAGAAGGAGATGGTTCGAGGATGGGAGTTGGAGTATGAGCGCGGGCGGACGCGGGGCCGGACGAGGGGCCGTGGCATCGCTGTTGTGCGTGCGCCCCCTGCGCATATGTGAAGCGGTCTAGGTATGTCGTGCCTCGCTCTATGCTGGACGTACTTCTGACTTGCCTCTCGAAGAGTTGAAAATCGTACGGCGCAGCGGGGGATTCTCGGACGGTTGCAGGTGCAACGTCCGGTTCCTAGACGTACCTGTCCTCGCCGTCGCCGACCGGTCGGCGAAGGGTCGTGCGCCCTGTTTCAGAGCGTATGTGGCAGCGGCGGCCGCGCGATGGCCCGTCGTCTCTTGTTCCTTATCCTCATGGTTCCTGTTTCTTCGTGTGTTCATTGTTCCTTCTATCCCCCAAGCAAGCACGGACCACGCACGCATCACTCGTATATATTCCTCCAATCATCCGCATTTTGTTCGTCCTTCTCCATTCGGTCAGACATCCACCGGCCCATCGCACCAGTCATCATCCATCATCCATCGCATTCGCAATTCCTCCTTCCTCATCTGCATCGTTGCATCGTGTTCGCATCCCAAACCCAAACTCTGATACATATACAATAGCATACGACCAATCGCATAGTCACTGGTTCTTCTGGCGTCTCCCGTACTCATTGGTCCTTCTCCTTCCTTCTGCATTGGCAGCGCAACCATTGTTTCCTCCACCATGTCCTTCTTCCCTTCTAGTTGTGCTCCCTGGTCTTTACCTCTTCAGCGGCGGCGTCTGCATGCAGTACGTCCCTCCACCCTTCTTCGCGTGCCTGGCATCCGAGCTGGCATCGCCCCAGTGCGTGCGGCCATCTCAGCTGCACCGCTCCGGGCGCTGCGCATGATCTTCTTGACCATCCCTTACTCTACGCACGTCTCTGCCCCTCGCGGAGGGCTGCCTAATTCGTCGGACTGTCTCCTCTAGATCGTGGACCCTGTGTTTCGTTTCGTGATCATCTGGCATTGTCGTCGTCTCCATCGCAACTCACTAGACTATACGCTACTATACTATATTTTGTCGAACCCAATCAAATAGAAGTGCATCGCATCGTTGTGAACGGATGGGGATAGCGACGTGATTGTGTGAGCCCTTCGTGAGCATGATACGGTACCAGGAATAGATGGTAAGAGTGTTGCTCGGGTCCCCGACTCCCGAACCCGACTCCCGACCTGTCCTGTAGAGGGACTTCTGGTATATCGAGTGTACCCTTGGTGTACCTCGTTCGAACGCGTACATGCGAGCCGTGTACTTAGCTACTCTGATCACGTGCGTACTAGTTCCATCATGTCCCCGGCCCATCTTGAGTTTATATCTCGCTTTCGTTGATAGTTAGATGCTACTCGTTGCTGGCTCTCGTACAGCTTACACGTGCAGAGCGTTCGACGAGCTCAAATCAAAAGGCGATGCGATGTTGGTATATGGAAATCAAACTCAACGCATGTGCATCTGAAAACCGTAACCGTGATAGAAACACTCATGTCTGACAGACTTCGAGATCATCGATAAGTTGCAATGCATTCGAAGAATGAATGATTGTCAGCGGAAACAGATGGTGTCTGCCGTACCAGGCGCAGGTCTAGTAGCACTCCTCATGGCCTCGAGTGCAGCAGACGCGTGGTGGTGATGCGTAGAGTTCGGAGGATTGGGTATGCGCCGGCCGCCCGGCGTACGGTCTACGAGTTTGATGCGGATGTTCTGGTGTGGTATTATTACTATAATCGATGGAATGGAGGGCTGCGGCGAAGGCGGCGCCGACTCGGAGCCCGCGGTAGTCGATGAATTAGGACACCCTCCGTCAATGTCAGCGTACTCGTCAGCAGGGTTCACGTTGCCATTATGTATCTTTCGGTGACCATAAGCAGCGAAGGGAAATATTGCTTGAAATGTTGCCAGTGGTGGACATACCTTCGGGGCCTGCGCGTTTAACGCCTCGAAAATTTGAGGTCACCGCCGGTAGAGTTGCGAGCCCGCGAACGGCGCAGCAGGTAACCTTAAAGCGACAGAAGCAGTGGCTCTCAGCGCTGTCAATACTGAGTTTGCGCGATCGAGCCTGATGGTCTGCCTACTCACTGCGACACACTTTGGTGACTTGCTGGGCAGGGCAACGCCGTGACTGTGCAGCAGCAATTTCGGCAGTCAGGTTATCGCAGCTACCATGATCTAGGCTGTGTTGTCATTTTCGTCGACCACGGGCACACCGTGCCCGGCAACTAGTGGTCCGCAGGGTGCGTAGGGTGCGTAAGCAGCGCTAGTGAGATGGTAGTAAGGTTGGCTTCATCTCACCGGTATTCAGTAGCACTAGCGGCCGCTCGCACAGTGGAGCGCTAGCACAGACGTACTCTAAGGCTCTGGGTCATAGACATGGTACCCCGAGTCTCGCCTGTGCAGATGACCTTGCCGAGTGGATGCACTAAATCAGAGCCTATTATAAGGTTCACCCCAACGAACTCACCGGAAGACCCTGACCACCCATGGAACATCGCATCCGTCTGACTAAGAGAATGCGCTGTTAGCATCCTTGACTCACGTATAGGTGCACCGGCTCGTGCGATGGTGACTGTGCCACTTACAGCGTCTCAAGGTAAGTAGCCTTGGTCGTCGGGTCATACCAATTCATAACGTTGCATCAGTACTTCAGTCAGATAAAATTAGTGCCTGCGGTCCGATAGCTGAGGACGGGGACTTGGAGACACCATCGTGACAGAGACCGAGCGTGTCCGCGTCTAGGCGTGAAAGCTAATGGAATTATTCGATACGACCGTGTAAAACAATGGACATCGGAAGGAATTCGTGAGGGAGCATCGGAGTCGGAAGAGAGCACGCACCTACCATGACGAGGTTGTCTTCTCTCCCTGGGTATAATTCGGCGCGTCCGACAGGCCTTGAGCGCCGCTTGAGCACGTTCCAGGGCCGATAAGAACCGCAGTGTCTGGTTAACTTGCCACAGAATAGGTTCGTCGGATGGGTGCAGCTACCAGCTGTGCGTGGGGGCCGCGGCATAGACATGTGGTTGCGTTCGATACTGTGGTTGAATTAGACGGCAGCTGTGCTTCCCAAAGGATCGGCCACCAGTGCACAGACTCAGAGAGCTCTAGGGAAGCTTCACACGTGGTCATTCGTCCTTCTACCCTAACTGCTGTATCCTAAACTGTGATGTCCGCGAGTTGAAGTTCACAGATATCATAATTAGTCACGTAGCAGCGTCATTGACTCCGCATAACTCACCGCATATTCTGCATAGCATTGAGTCAAAGTCATCTTCTCTTCAGGTGTGATGCATCACAATAGCGCCAGTACTACATACGAACACTACATCTGTAGCGACCGCACATATCCCGATCTGCAAAGATGGAAGTGGAAGTGTCTGATACCGGCAATCGGTAAACGAGCAGGACGACATCATCAACAGAATGATTGATCCGGAGATAACTTATGTACATACAGCGCTCCATGATATTCACATCGACGGCGGAACACCGGAATCTGCAGATTTCTTGCAGCCAGGTTACCGAACTCTTGAATTGCTTGTACACGATGTCGGTGCATGCAGGGCAACTTTGACGTACGGGCGGTTGTCGGCCGCCGGAATGCATGAGTTGCATTGTTCACAGGTTTCAGTCCGCATTAGTCGACAGTTGAGAATGGAAGGGGAAGAAGCATTTGATGCATGCGTTCTGAGCCCGGTACCGCATCTCCACCAGCCGTCTCGCTCCATCGCAAAGCCTGCATTGATCAAGGGACAACCGATGATGTCCCTTTCGTACTAACAAAGCAAAGTGGACCATATTACTCACCTATCGTTATGGTCCGCAAATAAAGTCGTATAATGGCGCTTGGATTTCAGGACGTCGATGCCATACAAATGTTGAGGCATTGCAATCATTGATCGGCGACTAATGCAGCGTGCGCTGGCCCAGTTGCTCCAGCCTCCAAGTACGCAAATGCCAAAGATGTGCCTTAGCGTCCTGGCGCCCATATGTCTGAGACGCCGTCAAAAGTCATTTTATACTTTGACGCCACGCCGGCGCGTTCCCATATTCACAGCAAAGAGTCAAGAGCGGCGCTGACGGGCATGCCCTATGTAACGTATTCTCGTTGTTCAATGTCAAACAACCGAGTACACAGGACGTACGTCGACAGGGGACTGACAACAACTGCATGCGGTACTTGGCGGCTGCATCACAGCGGTCGAAGCACAGCTGTGCCACCAGATGCGTAAGTCGACTTGCTTCATGAGAGAGCATAAATCACGCACAGTGCTAGAGATTAATTCCGGGGACTGCAGTGCCTATGTCCAGTGTATTAGACTTGAAAATGGTTGCCAAAGTTTCGGTAGCTGAGTCACCGAGCTGCGGGCTGTCGAAAAATCAAAGAGGGGCGGCCTATACGCTGTTGAAGACATGATGGACACCGATCACCATCGAGAGACTGACTGAACTTCACTGCCGACGGCTGAAATGTAAACGAATTAATCATGAGTCAGTGGTTCGTCTATAGGCGATCCAGAGTCTATTCTTGCGACCAAAAAAAGCAGCCAGGAGTAATAATGCACGCCTCAACCAGAATATTGATTATGGATGTGAAGGCCGAGGGTGATGAACTTTGAGCCAGATAACTTGAAGGCAGAGTAAGAGCTGCGATGACAGAGGCAGGCTTACGGATGAATCATTGGGCATGTTAGCTGGCCTATCCAGCTTCCTGTAGTAACTATCTTGACTATTTTCGTCCGTCAAAATGCTACCAAAATGAAGACAAAGGACGTGCATAGTGAGCAGTGAGTAGCAGACAGCCGTAGGGCCCTTCATTGATCTACTAACCGTCCCTCAGCTGCCGACCTGCCGCTCGAATCGATGTGTCAGTGCTGGCCCGCAATCCGCGGATGTCAGCGTCAGACACATGTCAGGTTCCGCCATGACCGTGGTATTCGTCTCAAAAGGAATATTGAGTCCGCGATTTGCGAGCCGCCTGATGCCGGCTGTGCCGAGAAATTGCCCTACCGGTGAACAGGGAGGAAGAGTCATCGGTGAGATGGCCTGTTCACCACGCCTGAATTTCGGTGACTGCGCCGTATAACGCGGCCTCTGGCACCTCAACAACGACAAGGTGTAGTGATGTTATTGTGTCAACTTCGTTATTCAAGATCGCCACGGTACACGTACCAGCGTTACGTACCACGGTCGTCTCAGCTCGTCTGAACTAGTACAAAGAAGGCCGCTATGCTTGTTCAGGAGACGGGTTTCATCGTGACGTTGAGGACGTTCCCCGCGCACGATCCGATGGGGTCTTTCAAAACCATTTCGGGTACAATAGCAACAATGATTGAAAAACTTCAGAGCACAAGCTTGCCGGTGCCGGGCGATTGGAATGCCGAGTAGGGAGACCAGAATGTTTGACGGTCGTCCTATACTAGTTGAGAGAAGACATCGGTGCGAGGCTCTGAAGGTTTAGGTTCCGTTTCAGACGCAAGGACTTGAGATGAGACCAATTAAGAAAGGGCTGGCTGGAAGAGGACTGTTTGTCGGGAACAAACACGGACCCACAGTTGGATCAACACCCGCGATCACGTGTACCGACGCGACCCAACTCAACGCGACCTTGCTTGCCCTGTTTGTCTCTCTTCCGTATCCGGCTCTTGGCGATTCTGGAGCCCTGCAGCTGCTTCCGCGCTAGGTGACCGAAATGAGCAATGGTCTCTCAGAAGCTAGGCCTGCTTGGCAAACGGACGAACTCGAGGACGAATGGATCGATCAGGAGGCCACCGATGATTCACATGCTACTCGCTCGATGCACGCACACTCCAGCTCAGACATATCATTTACCCAACCCCTTGGATCGGTGATAGTGCGTAGCAGCGAACTGAGAGCTGACACTCCTGCTGCAGATCAGAATGCGGGTGGCACATTTTTGATTCGGGAAGATGCTCCTGCTGTGCCTCTGCTACCCAAAACACCTGGCCGAGGGAAGAAAGCCTTTGGGAAAGACTTCTTCAGTCCGCTTGCACTTGAACGCATGTTTGAGCCACCATCACCGCCTGGCGGTAAGTCGGCTCCTCTGCCAGCTGTCCAGGCAACCGCACCTTCCGTTCCTTCGCGCCTCTCACGCGTATATATGCCGTCTCTGGAGGATACGGAGATTATAGGAGAGCTTTCCCGGGGTGATATAGCCGTAGGAGAGGGAGGAGATGGGCAAGAAGTGCAGAGCGGAGAGGCTGGCGTGTTGGATTGTCAATTTACGTTCGAAGCACCTCGGCCGAGCCCCTTCAATCCCAACGGCGTCATTCCGGCAGCGCAGAGCACACCAGGACATCCTCGCATGCATTCCGACATGCTAAATCCTCCTTCTACCGATCCGCGTCTACGTCTCTTCCAGTTCCAGTATGACACATTCACTCGGGACCACCTCTCGGCGATGGTCGATTCGATCGCTGTAAATACGCCCTCTGCAGGCAGTGGCGCCGTGACCACCACCGGTCATACTCCTCTACCGCCCTATCCCCTGTACGCGAGGTCAGCTCGGTGCGTCTGCGGAGTGCGAAACGTATCAAACTTAGCCCCGCGAGCGAAATCTCGCGTAGCGGTGACGGCGAGGCTATGATCCATCGGCCGAGACGGAAAGACTATGTCGGCGAGTCGAAGTCGCTCATGGACAAGATACGACGGGCGCGAGACTTCTCGACTGTCTCGACGGTTGCGAGTGCAAGATCCCCGGGTTCGGAACAGAGACGCATCTCCAAAAGAACAAGCGGATGCGAGTGTGTCTCGTGAGTGTATTTATTCAGTTAACCTTCAATAGGTCTGACGCATGCCTGCCTCAGCCGTGCCAGCGGCACCTTCATCTCTAGCTGCTGCCAATTCCAATGTCGGAAGACGCCTTCTCCGAGCTGGACTGTGGCGTCATCTCAGCGTGGAGTCTATTCGTCTTTGGGCTATCGGGAGCAAGCAGCAAACCTCATGGCGCAAATTAGAAGCGATATGAAGGGCTCAAAACGTATATTCTCTGAAGACACCGAACCTTCCCACATTACCGCGGATGAGACGAGCAGACGAGATAACGCCGCTTTCCAGCATGAAATGCCCTCCCGTATATCTACCGCCAGGCGAGGCAGCATACAGATTCGCGACGCTGCGCACCATACGCTCACGGGGACGACGAGGGGAAAACGGAAGCTGAGCCCTCCGCCATATGACAGCGACGAGGACACCACCGACATAGACGATATGCTCGCCGATGGGATTACACATATGTCTCTGGACTCTCAGCGCCTTCTGGAACAGTTCCCTGACCCTCCTGTTCGGCTCACCGTGACAGCTGAGGATGCACCTCCGGCGTCCACCATCGGAGGCACCCAATCACGGTCAAGACCTGAATCTAATCCCACCTTCCTCGCCCTACCGCTGGCGGCCCGCCGCGTACCCCTCGTCTTCGCTCCGCCCGGGGCGAAATGAGGATCTCACACGGTTCGTCTCATCGAGTACGGCCTCGGGGACGACCCTCACGCAGGGCAGTGCTGCTTCGTTTGTCAAGCACCCCGGGCCCAAACAAATAACGCGCATCGCGCCAGAGGACGTGCCTACTCTGCCTGACAGGGTCGGGAAGATGGTGTTTGACAAGGTCATGATGAAGTGGGTCAAAGACACCGCTGCTGCGACGGCGGGGATGGCCGAGGCGGAGAGGCGCCTCGCTGTCGACACAACTGACGGGAACGAGAGTGAAGACCCTTTCCGTGACATCGAGAGTCTCAGGGAGGAGGACGATTCAGGGGACCAGCCGACCCATGCTGCAGTCGTCGTTGAGCGCGACCATGACGAAGACGCCGGCGAGGAGTCTCTAGATACCGAAGATGACAGGTTCCAAGAGATTGACGAGGCCACTGACGTAGAAGATGAAGAGGAGATCGAGCTCACATCTTTTTCATTCGACGGACCCCCTGCAGGACAAGACGAATCTGAAGGCTCTGAGATCACCGAGTCTGACGGTGAAGACGACGAAGAGGTCACAGATACAGCCGACCTTTCCGTCCCTGCAGAATCTGTCTCAGGCGATTCCGAAGGAGACTACAACGCCGATCAAGCAGCGGCAGACTCGCAACCACAACCCGCTTTACAGGACACACCGCCTCACCATCTCGTCCCTCAATCCTATGCAACTTCTTCATTGACAACCCCCAATGCCCGCGCTGGCGCTGGCGCTGGATCCGCCAGTGGGACGCTTCGCTCTGCCTTGAAGAGCTCGAGCATTACGCCGGTGTCAGCGTTGAAAGATCCCAACAAGAACAAGACATCTACGCCGGCGGCGCGCCTCGGACGTCGTCGCTCAGTCAGCTTCTCTGATGGCAAGAGGGACGGACCGATCCGCGGGATTGGGCGGAACGTGCCTACACCTGTTGATCCAGAAGGCACCGAGGACGAGGACGACAGCCCCCTGGTCGGCGGGACTAATAAGGCGGGCTCTGTACTGGTACCTTCCGCGAGATCCAAGCGTATTGCCGATATGCTGGACAACTTGGAGGATCCCGGTAAGTGCGACGGTGGTTACAACAGAAATACTCTATTGACTCGGTCAATCAAGCTGGGCTGGAAGACGACTCTCCATCGAGGGCGAGCAGCTTAGGACGTCCGCAGACTGAAGAACTCCAGCCGCTCAAGGCACGGCGGCCAAGCAGCGCTAAGGCGAGTCCCGGCCGTGAGGTTTCAAGGAGGGTATTCTCTCGGCCACACTCGAAGACTCCTAGTTCCGCCGGTAGGAACGCGAATGCAACGTTCCTCACGGAATGTTCCTTTGGCGTCGCCCACGATCGTCTCGTACAGGTCATTACGGACGTACAGCCATTCGAACCGTACTGGGAGGACTTGACGTCCATTGATTTGTCGGCGCGCAACATAGACAGTGTGGCAAGACTGAAGGAGTTTTTACCCCGATTGGACCATTGACAATGTGAGTCATGATCTGCAGCCTGCCATGTCATGGGCGGCGAATATGCCATACTGCAGACGATCTCGGGTTCACTTGGTACTCGCGGGACGTAGCTGACGAATGTCTTCTTCGGCAGTAACCACAACCAACTATCTTGGCTCAGCGGCATCCCAGGGACGGTGCGCTCATTGTCAGTAGTGTCAAATGTGTGAGTCTTCGTTCACTCCTCCCCTGGATTATGCTGAGCAGTCGTGGTTGCTTCCTTTGTTGGAACTCAATGGGCAGCTTGACAGGGCTTACGTCCTTCAGCCATTTACTGAACATTGAGTACCTCGACCTGAGTCGCAACCAAATTACTTCGCTGCGCCGTGAGTTGCGGTCCTATCTCTGTTATGTGGTTGTGACACAGGCCTGACCTGTCTGCATGAAACAGAGCTTGCATGTCTTCGCCATCTTCGAGAGCTTCGAGCAGATGGAAACAGGATCGACAGCGTCGACGGGTTGCAGAAGATGGACGGGCTCGTGAAGCTCAGTCTTCAGGGGAACGTCGTGCAAAGTCTTGATCTGCAGGACTATCGCTGGTACGTCTGACGTTTTACACAATCCGCGCTTGCTGTCTTGGTCGGCGGTGAATTCGTCAGGCTCCCTCGAGTGCCTCGATCAATCATACTCACGGTCATCTATCTTCCCTTTGATAGGACCCGCCTGGAAATGCTCAATGTTAGCCATAATCGGGTCTCCAACGTGTCTGGGCTCGCATCAGCACCGGCGCTGGTAGCGCTGAATCTAGGTGCGTGCCCCCAGTCCCTGCGTCACGAATCTGCCAGGAGCGGTAATGTTGCCCTGGGAGAGTCTACTTGATGTTCTCTGTCAAGTGGTGATAAGCGCGCGCTTTGATCCCGCGATGCGTATGCGGCTCACTTCATGCTGTTATCAGTGCTGCTCCTTGGGAATTGCTCATTGAATTGCATTATCGCAGACAACAACGCGCTAGACGAGCTAGACCGCGATGGTACAATGCCCCGGCTCAGGATACTCCGTGTATCCGGCAATCGGCTGAAGCAACTGGATGCCTCTGCTTTCCCTGGCCTTCGCACGCTATATGCCGACAACAACTATCTCGGAACTATTCACAAGGCACACCGGCTGATAAAGTTGGAAAACCTGAGCCTGCGGAATCAGGGTGGCAAGCCTGGACTGTGAGTTTCGACGTTCCTTCCTATTGCAGCGGGTCATGCCCACGGCAGGTGACTGCCTCCTGCTAGCTATTCTAAACTTTTGCCACCGGTGATTGACCTGGGTGTTTGTGCGTATCAGGTCCCTCTCGCTGCGCGATGTTCGCGACGTAAAACGATTGTATCTCTCTGGTGAGTCTAGCCTTGTCCATATTTCATTGAACGCACCCAATGCTCCGGGTCGCGTGCCTTGCATCGTGATTCGTCCGGGCGGAATCCTCGGTGGAACGCCGAGCCTATCGTGGAACGTGTCTGACCTCATCCCGCGCCTTTGCACAGGCAATCCACTCAAGGGCGGTTTCATTGCGGAGCCTTGCTACCATCTCGTCTACCTCGAGCTCGCCGCATGCCGGCTGACGGCGCTCCCGACCGGCCTGGCGCGCTTGATACCCAACGTTCGGGTGCTGAACCTTAACTACAACTTCGTCGAGGACCCGCGCCCGCTCGAAGGCTTGACGCGCCTCCGCAAGCTCACCCTCATCGGGTCGCGGATCAAAAACGCACGGCTTCTCGCCCGCGTCCTCCGGGGGATGACTGATATCGAGATGCTCGATTTCAGGTACGTACGTTCTTTGCAGTGTTGCGTACTTTTTTCGTTTTCCCTTCCATGAATACCACCGCACCACGCTTCCGTGCTACGTGCCTCGGCGCCTGGTGCTCTCCGGTGCGCCGCGCATCGCCCCGACGCTCCAGCAGCATTGTGGCGGCATGTTGGGTGAATGATGCGTTTCGAACCTTGCGTTCTCTGCCTCCGGAGCACGGGGACGAACCCCCTTGCACCTGGACCTGCCCCGTGCTCGTGCCCCTCCGCACCGGAGGCCAAGCCTGCCGAGGAGCTGTGCAGCCAGTCGTCGCGCAGAATCCGGCGCGCCAACTTCTCTTCATTCCTGACTGAAAGTGTCCATCGGATCGCTGACAGCCTCCTGCGTGCGTGCGCCGTCGCTCTCTTCCCTTATGTTACAGGATGAACCCATGCACGCTCGGGTGGTACCTTCCCATCCTTGTGCGGGACGTGCCTGGTGCGCTGCAACCCTCCGACGGCGACCGCCCCGGGCCCAGCTCTGGAGGCAACGCGCTCGCCGGATTCGCGGCGCCCGTCCGCGGGCCTGCGTCCCAAGCAGGCGGATCAGCCCACGATCATCTCCCAACCGGACACAGAGCCAGGGACGGTGCGCATTCGCACGGACCACAACAAAGTTCAATCGCAGGCTCTGCTGGTGGTGCTAATGCGCCCGCGCGGGGAGGCGCCGAGGCGGCCGCAAGTCCCGGTGGGCACGGAGACGCCGCCGGGGGCCATCGCGCGGGCACGGGGGAGGCACCGCCGCGTGCGCAGAGCGGGCCTCCGCCAGTGATGGGTTCTGTGGCCGGCTCTGCGTCGGGCGCTGCGGTGTGGAAGGAGCTGGACGCGAAGTTCCGGCGGGACCTGCCCGACGACGTTTACCTGGGGCGGCTGGCGTACCGCGGGCTCGTCATGCGCGCGTGCCCCGGATCCGCCTGCTCGACGGCGTGGAGACGTCGCCAAGGAGCGCGCGAAGGCGGAGGGCGTGCTCGTGAACCTCGACCGTGGGCGCGATCGCGTGCCGGGGACCGGGGCGAGCGCGGCTGCAGTTGCGGCTGCTGCGCCTTCTCTGCCCAACGCGGGAGACGCGCAGGGGGGCCTCACGCGGGAGAAGGAGAAGACGAAGACGAAGACGAAGGCGAAGGCGAGGGAGGGCGTGCGGGCAGGTGCCCAGTGACCGTGAATGCGCGAGCGATGCAGGGACGAGTCAGAATCAGAGCGGGGCCGGCGCGATCACATTGTTGCTGGTTTGGTGGGTGGATTGCGCTGCATTGATTTAGATTGGGTGTATAGGGTCTGGGTTTGCGATGCGCGCCGGTGGACGGTGGCTCCTTTGCTCTCTGCGATCCCGGAGGTGGAGGGGCGCCCGGCAGGCCGTACTACTACAACATCTTACCAAACGCATCTGCGCGCGTGAGATTAGCTTTCTTCTGTTGTTCATGCTCCGCGACGAGCGGGCCTCGCTCGCCGTCGGCCAGGGGGCGGCGCGATGGTGATTTTGGATATGGAGGGTGTGTTTATTTTCTGTTGCGCGATCTAGGTCTGCGTTGCACTCTGTACGTGACACAGACTATGTACTCGATTTGCATGGGTGTATGTATGTAACAAAGGACGTGTCTGGTGATTGAGTTGGTGGTCAGGTTTGGGTGATGTGTTGAGATCAGTCCGATGCGGCGGCGGGGAGTAGGGAGACGGTGCTGTTGCCGGCACGACTAACAGGAGGGCCGGTGCGGCCAAGGGGGATATGAGGGTTTAGACTGGAGGGAGCGCCCCTGTGGGAGCATCTGATGATGGGTGAGGTGATTTGATGATGATAGAGCGAGAAAGGAGTCTGCATCAAGGGCACAGGAAGGAGTTGAGAACAGTCGAAGACATCGGGCGCAGCGTTGTGGCGACGGGAGTGGCGGCGGGCGGAGTGGCAACGCGACATCAACGGTGTCCTCGACAAGTCCTCGGTGCACAGCATTCCCGCGTCGTCGCCGGGCGTGCGCGCAGGCAGCGTCGCGCGTCGCGGGCGTGGGAGTGGCAGCGGCGGCGCGCTATCATCCATCTCCACGCGCCGGCCTGATAGCCAGCGCCAGCCCGCGCCGTGCTATGGCTGGGAACCGTGCCTGGCCCACAACGCTCTTTCGCAGGCTCTTGTTCGCAGTCGCAGCCGCACGCCGCCGGAGAATATGCCTCCATGCAGGGCCCGCCGCCGGCCGCCCGCACGCTGCACCCCGGGCGGGCGGCGGCGGCGGGGCGGCGGGCGCAGCGGCGGGGGGCGCGCACGCGTCGAAGCCGGGGGCGCGCGCCGGGGCCGGCGAGTCAACGTGAAGCAGGCACCGAGGCTGCAGGCGGCGCGCAGTGATCGGGGTCTGGCGGGAGAGGCGCCTGCACCGCACTGGGATCCCAGATTGGGACGCATCAATCGGTTGGCCGCGGTAATTAAAGTGGGCCGGATAAGGCAAGAGAAGGCATTTGGGGGTAAAACCCGATGTGGATCTGTGATTAATTGGGAGCACAGCACTGGGAACGGAGGGCTGGAGCGTATTTGCCCCGTGCGGGCGAAGCGACGGGGATGCGATTGGCGGAGAGCGTTCCCAGGAGGATCTCGGATGGCGATTAGGCAGGACTGGCACCGCTCCCTGGGCCGCGCGCCCTCGCGTTATAAGACCCGCACCGCTGGATCGCTGCAAGTCTCGTCGCCGCGCCCTCCGCACCCATGATCGACACTGCTCTCCCTGTGCTCGACGTCCAGCCGCTCAACAGCTACAACGTCGCGCAGCTCCAGTACGCGCTGTAAGTGTCCGCACCCGTTGGCCGGGACGCAGGGAGCGCGCGAGGTGTCCGCGCCGCGTCGGGGCCCTGCCCCTTCGAGCTAAGCAGGCGGGCTGTCAGCTGTCAACTGCCAAACTGCTCGCGTCGTTCCCCGGAACACCCGCGCGCTCCCTCGCGTCCCCTTTTCGTATTTATAATATTCCTCCGCGTCGGCACGCCCGCTGACGGTGGCTCTCCCCACAGCGAAGACGGCAAGTGCCTCGCCCTCGACGCCCTCCCCGACGCCCACGCCCTCGCCCTCTATCCCGCCGCAGTCCTGTCAGTCCTCCTCTCTCCTCCCCTCATGTCGCCCGCCGCTGACCGTCCGTCCCGCCCCAGCACCGCCCACGACATCGACTACGACTACGACGCACGCCGCATGTCCACGTCCGCCACCTCGGACAGCAGTCTCCAGTCTCGTCCAGAAAAGCGCGGTCCCTCGCCCAGCGACTCGCCCCTGCCCAAGAAGCCCCGTCCCGACATTTCGCTCGACCCAAATTCGTGGTCGAACCCAAACACACCCTCGCCGCGCCCGCACGCAGAGCCAGAACACCGGCCCGACGCAGACACCGCACGCGTCCAGCTCCCGTCTCTCGCGTCCACCTTCCACGACCGCTACGAGCGGCGCGCGTCGCTCCCGACGCTGTACTCAGACAACCCCGCGTCGCGTCTCCGCCTCCCCCCTCCCGGTCACCGCCCGACCAACTCCTCGTCGGGGCTCGCGTCGTACCAGTTCCCTACCTCGGAGAGCGCAGAAAGCACCCGCTCCTCCGGCCTCTACGAGTATCCCGTCTCCGGCTCGACCCTCCCCCAGGCAGGCTCGAGCTCGTCCTTCAATTTCTCGCCCCTCCAGACAGAGTACTCGCGCTCGTCCGGGCTCTCGTCGTCCATCTCCTCCGAGTCGGACTGGTCCGCAGGCGGCATCGTCCGCCCAAACTCGACGCCCGGCAACCTCGCGGGCGTGCCTGGCCTTAAGTACGACGACGCGCTCCGCCATCCCTCCCTCGGTTCGCAGGATCTGTTCGCGGGTGTGACCCGGATCTCGGGCCATCACGCCTCGACAGATCGCGGTGCGCGTCAATCGTCCGGCATTAAGAGCGAGGAGTGGTCCTTCCCCTCCAACGACTTCAATATGCACCCGCCCACCAGCGCGCCGTCATACCCCTCCACGCCGTCCACCTCCGCGTCTGCCATGGCCTCCTCTGCCTCCGCACCCAACATGTCCGGCACCAGCTCCCCCACCCGCTCGCCCCAGTCCGCCGCTTCTGCCGCGAGCCTCGTCGAGCGTCCGCCCCGCAAGCGCGGCAAGCTCCCCAAGCCCGTCACCGACTTTCTCAAGGACTGGCTCCACCGACACTCGGACCACCCGTATCCCAGTGAGGAGGAGAAAAAGCAGCTGTGTCATGCCACTGGTCTCAGCATGAGCCAGGTGTCCAACTGGATGATTAACGTCAGTGTCTACTACTTTCTTCGCTGTTTCTTCCCAGTACCCCACGTCTCCCTCGCTTACGCATCCTTCCCCTTCCCTTCTCGCGCCTGAGCTTGAGCTAAAGCTAATGTATTCCCATGACTTCATAGGCACGACGACGCATCCTCGCACCGGCACATCGCGCCGCACAAGGTCCGACGACGACAACGCCGTTCAGCTCGCGCCCGGGCCCCGGCGTCGTACCGAGCGTGCTCGACACCGGGCGGCGCGCGTCGATGCCGACGGACAGCCTACAGCTGTACTACCCCATGTCCCTCCAGAGCCTCAGCGGCGACCCACATATGCCCGCGAGTACGCGGCATATGGTGAACATGTCGCGCAGTCTGTCGAGCAGCAATGCCACCGCGGGCAGCTTCGGCCAGGGCCACCACGGGCACGGTAGCAGCCCATATGCGCCCGAAAGCGCGTACTCCACGAGCCACTCGCGGATGGGCTACGGTGGGAGCGGGCTGAGCCACTCGCACGGGCACGGGAGCTCGAGCTATGGGATGGGGATGTCGATGAGCGCGGGCAGCGGGCTGTCGTCAGGGAGCTCGAGCTTCCTCGGCTCGTCGCAGAATCAGCTGTACGGTCACTCGTCGGGCGGGTACACGCAGAGCCCGCAGAGCGGCACGCGGATGACGATCCACCAGGAGGACAGCCAGGCGCGGTATACGTTCCCCGACCACTCCGTGTCGCCGCAGCCTGGGCCGGGCTCGGGCTACGGCACCCCGCAATAGTCGCGGGTGGCTGTATGCGCGGGTGGGCTCGCCGCGGACGACGACCTCGTCTGCGGTGCCCATCTGCGCTCGGGGCCGGCCCCGCGCTCGGCCCACGCGCTGCTGCTTCGCGAGCTCGGCTTCGCACAAGCCTCGCGGGCGCACCTCTCCACGTACGCTGCATACCCTGTCTATCGCCCTCGCCCGCCTCGCCCTCGCCCCCGCCAGCTGCAAGCGCGCACGACGTCACGTTCCCCCCATCCTGCCCTGCCTGTGCTCACATGTCCGCAAGTAGACCTATCAGACAGCCCTCCTAATCGCCCGGCGCGCCCCTGGCCGAGGCGCACACGTTCTTGGTCGTTCGTTCCCACTCTGCCGCCGCCGCACGGACGCTCGCAGTGCATTGCAAACACCCCTCCGCCCGCGCGGCGGACGTGTATTCCGTACGTGTCCGTAACCGTATTGTATTTAACGCAAAACCCTGTCTCTCTCGCGCCCCGCTTGCCTGCCCCGTCGGTCCTGTTTTCTTGGTATCGCGCGCTGCCGCTGCTCTGCACCTGCATCTGTGCTCTCTACGTCTACTGCCCTCGCATATTCTCTCTCTCCCGCTCGTCGTGTCTCTGTTGGGCTCCGGCTATGGACAGCGTGTGTCTATCTCTATCCGCCGTGTCTCTGTAATCGGTGTCGCCGTAACGTCTGCTCGCCTGTTCGCTCGCACGATGTATGTATGTAACGTAAGATAACGTAAGGTACTGTACGCACTAGTAGTCACGCCGCCCGCATCAGCCCCGGCGCCGCAATAAACACATACGCATCGAGAACGCAGGCTGGGTGATCGCGCTGCGTGGGCGTGCGAGCGGAGGGCGGCCGGATGGGGCGGCGTGCGTGCATGGGGGAGAGCCGCGCGATACATTGCACCCACCCGTCAGCGGCCCTCTGCGAGGAAGCGGAGGCATGCATGCTCCTCCGCGCCCCAGCCTGCGCACCATACGTATGCGGTGGCTCCCAGGAACGCCGCGTGCGCAGGTGACGGGCTTGTCCTCTCGCCTTGTACCGACTTTGTACGTCCTATTGTCTGTCTGCGCGCGGGGGAGTGAGATGAGTGATCCGGGCGCACGTCCCCCTCGTAACCGCGCGTAGCAGAGCGCACCCCGTCCAGCGCCAGCGGTCTGCGGTCTGCGGTCTGCGGTCTGCGGCGGTGGATCGCGCGCGGAAGCATTGTTGGGCTCAGGCTGCGGTGGTCCTCGATCACGGTTCGATTCGGAGGGGCGTGCGCGCTGCTACGTGCATCCATTGCCAATAACCGCAACATGCTCCGCGCGCGCGCGCGCGTTCCCTGACCGCGATATTTACATGCGCATCCAGCTCGGGCAGTCGCCTCACCTATCGAGGATCCACCGCGGGCCCCGGACGGGGAAAGCCAGCGTAACGGTGCGCGTGCGCACGCTCCGTAAGTAGAATTTATTGGTATGTAGCCGGCTCTGCAGGGTTTCTGATTCATGCACCGAGGTCTGGACACCCGGACGGTGGGGGCCGCGCGCTGCCCGAGTGCGTGCTTGCCACCTGCAGCACGCGCGGTCGCTCGGCGGGCTTGGTTGACGGTGCCAGTGGGCCTCGAGTCGAGATGCGGGCGCGCCGCATCGCGGGGCGATTCGGTGGGCAGGACGAGATTGCATCAGCATCGCAGAGATCGCGGTGATGGTCTGGGAGGCAGGCGGACGCAAACGGCTGCGTGCTTGTTCGAATTCGAGACGCTAGCCTGTTCTGCGCCGTCGTCCCTGTGGACTTTTGCGCAGGAGACGCACTGCAGAGTTGGCAGCGTCGGCGAGACGTCACCGGATGCCCATACAGGGCCAAGCTCCGAGCGTGGGAGCCAGGCCCGCGTCTACTGCTCGTGGCTGGAGATAGATTGCAAGGGCGGTGCTCCGTAAGTAACGGTACCAGCTTGCGCGCACTACTCTCGACCGGCGCACGCTCAGCCTAGCCGTTGCCCTGCGCTGCGTCCACGAAACACGGTGGCGGTGCCCAACGCTACATATCACAAATCCGTGTCCCAGCCACTGGCACGAGCCCGGATGTGTCTCTGCCCAGAGATGAAGCGGCGTCCGCATCCGCGTCGGGGCCCCCGATAGAGTTCACGAGTGCGAGTGGCCAGTGATGATGCGGTCCTGCGCCGGGATAAGGTTCCGAGGGTAGGCGGACCTTGGGGAAGCACCGCTGGCCTTAGCTTTGATACGGCGATGGCGCGCTGACTTCGTGAAGATGGAGATGGGGGCCTGGCTGCAATGACCAACTCGTATCCACTGGCACATCTGCACGGCGGCTTCGCAGGTTCGCACAGCCCGGCGGCACACCGCCGAAGGGGCTGCAAGGCCGAGAACCAAGGGCGTGTGTTGCCCCCCACCCGCGGAGGTATGTGTTGTGTACCGCTAGAGTGGCCACCAGCAGGGGACGTCGCGCGGTGGCACTGAGAAGCGTCGACGTCGAAGCGCAGCGGCTGTCGTCCTCGGGCTGCTGCTTCTTTGTCATTTTCTGTCGTATGTCGCTGCCAGCTTGTCTGCCAGTGCCCGATCTCGATAGACAGAGAAGCCGCCGGACACGTCGTCCTCGAGTCGGGACTCGGAGGGGCTTAGCCTAGGGCGCCGTGACAGGACTGCTATCGCTCTGCGACGTACCTGCAGAACGTGCCCGCGGCGTGGCGTTGCCGCCCGCGTACGTGCACGCAACATACTCCGAGAATTCTGCAAACTCAAACTTAGGAATAGACGCTATCCGATGGCATCGGTACGACTCAGTATCTCCTTGGGAACTGCGCGGAAGATGCACAGAAGGAGCTCGGTGCTACTCAGCAGACTTCCGAAGCAGTCCAGCCTGGGGGCTTGTACGGTACGTTGATGGTTTCGCAGCCCACTTTCCGTTCTATGTGCGCTTGCCATCGCTATCTCTGAAATTCAGGGCAGTAGACACTGCAAAGATATGTATCTCGGAAAGACGTCGAGGGACGTCGAGGGACGCATCTCCTATGCCGAGATTGATGCCCTGTGGCCCACTTCCCCTGCCCGCAAAGGCACGTGAAATATGTGAAGGAACGACAGTGTTTTTCTTTGCAGGGAGACATCCTTTCGTCTGTCTCAAGCATAATGGTAACTACCGCACGACGTTCAACATAGCTTATACTATGTCAGACCGCGATCTCGGCCACCTACCTACTCGGCCACCGTGAACCTTGCTCACCTTTCTTCAAGAGTGGGAAACAGTACACCAGTATGCTACCACGATCTACAGCCACCCGCGCACGTACTTACTGCGTGTTTTGCAGAAGACTTGCGGTACTCGAATGACCGAGTAGACTAACCCGGCCGAAATCCCGACAGAAAACAGTACCACATCATCCGAGTCCAAAGCAGTAGACATCTTTGGCCATCTCAAGGTCGGCACCACAGTCGTGACAACACACTAGCATTTCGCCACCGGTACACAGGAGTGATAGCCTACAGCATACGAACGCAATTATAACTACCTATCCTAGCACAACGTTACAATCCCGTCCTACACAATCCGAGACCCGACTCGTCGCTCAGTTCAGCTCGTCGAGCTCGAACCCGCGCTCAAAGAGCCCGCCTTCCCCGTCGACAAGTCGCCCCGCGCGAACAGCGCAAAGTCGTCGTCCGCGCGGCGGTACGGCCGGCGCGGCGGGGCCGAGGGCGGGAGGGGCGGCGGGTTCGGCCGGGGGTTTGGCGGCAAGGGGCGGGGCAGGCGCGGAGGGGGTGGGGGCGCGGCGGGACGGGGCCGGGGCGCCGACCCCCGCCGCCGCCGGGCACCTTCCGCTCGTGGTCGCGCGCGACGAGCTCGTCCGCGAACTCCCGCTCGTGCAGGGGCGTGCTGGGCCGGGGGCGCGTAGGGCCAGGGCGGGGGCGGTGCGTGCCCTGCCTGTCGTAGGCGCGGGCGAGGAGCTCGTCGTACTCGCGCTCGTACAGGAACTCGGTGACCTCGCGGGGGCGCCGCGTAGGGGTGTTCGGCGGAGCTGGGGGCGGGTTGGGACGGGGGCGGGGCCGCGGGTTTATGGGAGGAGGGCGAGGGGGAGGCTGTCTGTGATCGCGAGCCTCGAGCTCATCGGTGACCTCCCGCTCGTACAGGAACTCGACGTCCTCGCGGGACGCGCGTAGGGGTGTTCGGCGGGCGGGGGCGGGTTGGACGAGGGCGGGACGAGGGTTATAGGAGGAGGCGAGGGGAGGCTGTCTGTGGTCGCGAGCCTCGAGCTCATTGGTGACCTCCGCTCGTACAGGAACTCGACGTCCTCGCGGGGCGCCGCGTAGGGGTGTTCGGCGGAGCTGGGGGCGGGTTGGGACGAGGGCGGGGCCGGGGGTTTATAGGAGGAGGACGAGGGGGAGGCTGCCTGTGGTCGCGAGCCTCGAGCTCGAGCTCGAAAGAGCGGCTGCACCTCGCATGTGAGACCAAGCAGGATCGGCGGGGTGAAAGTGTACTCACGTCTCGACCGGACGGGCAAGCGCGGGTGCAGCGACTGCCGCGAAGAGTGCGGCTTGCGCAAGCGTAGAGTAACGCATGTTGTGCTCGGGGAGGAAGGAAGGTACGGTTGCGTGAGGCGGAAAGATCGTGAGTCGTTACAAGAAAAAAAAAACTAGGGCTGAGAGACGTCGTATTAGCAGCTTGTTCTACATCCTACGTGAACAGGGGGACTTACCAGCCAGCACCCTTGTCGTTGAGCCCGAAGAAAGCGAATGAGCTGAGGGTTGACGGCGCACACCCTCGCTCTTTTATATGGCGAGGTGGGCGAGAGCGGCTCGATGCTGCATGACGACATCCAGCACAGAATGTTTTTCCGTTGACAAGCACTGGACAAGCATGTCAAAGGATGCATCCGCTTGACGGCGATCCCCCCATCTGCCATGATTGACAGTTGCTTGAGCATTCTGTCAGGGACCTGTCAGTGTCAAATCTTCAAAGCCGGCTTCCGGTAGGCGTAGCAGTGGCCTGTGCTCCTGTACTTGTCAATAGAATGCAGTGCTCTCGGCTCGATGCTCACCTGGTATCATTGCTCGCCATGTCCTGGTGTGCACTTGCATGGCCCTGTCAACAGAGCGGCGCATTCTGATCAGTTTGAACTGTACGGGTTCGCCCCACTGTAGGACACTTGGCATGCAATGCATGAATCACCGGCATTCTAACGCAGACCTGAAGATCAGCCAAGTCGGGCTTCGCGCGACTGGAACCAGATCGGCTGGCATGCCGCGACTTCCTGCGAGTGTTTCTCCAGGCGCGCTGCCAGTGCGTGCTTGGTAACGCAGAACGTGTCCGCGTGGCGGTGCCGCCTATGTGCATTGCGCAATGCGCAGAAGCATGCAACATCGCAGTTCAACTCTTCTCCGGCGGAGGCTCATCACAGTGCCTGTCATACAGCCGAGCGTTGCCGTGGGCTACCGATTGTGGCGGATGTGGCTGTGCGCGATCGGCGATACAATCGACGCACAATCGACGTAAGTACTTACTGATTCATTGCCTTGCGCTACAGTTCCGGACATCCTGTTCAGCTGGTTCCGTAGATGCTATGCATGAATCGTAATCGCTGTGATGAAGCTCATGAGCGTGGCATCCAGTACATGGCAGTACGAACTAAGTACTTACAAAGTCACACTCAGCGGATGAGTCAATCAAGTAGTTCGTCGATTCTGGCCGCGATACTACCTCCTTGAGCCTATTGTTGAGTCCAATATATCCTTGAGTGTATACAGGCTCCCTGCTGTCAACAGTAGCATGGCTAGGAATAACCGCAAAACCCTGTCCCGCGGTGCGTGTCCGTATATGGCAATTGATCAATCGATCAGGAGCAGCGTTGAGATTGTCGATCTTGAGTGGCTTTCCGCCACGGCAGTCACGCTCTGCCGCCTCTCGGACGACTTTCCTTCCCAGACGTCGCAATAAGAGACGGAGAGCATCGGAAAAATACGTTAAGCTCACTAGATGGTGTCTACTGTAAGGTTCACAGACGAAGCCGAGATCGCACCTGTGTCATTTTTATCATTGAGCGGGCGTGAAAGGCATTGAACTCATCGAAGCGCACATGCACAAACATTGAGTACAAGGCAAAGAACGTTATATGGCAATCCCAGAATATTCGGCCGGACTGACGAAGCGACGTTGAGTACTAGCTGCATTACTGCCAGTGTCGCGATTGCATTGCTGGCAAGGCTTCATGATAGTACTCCGAGATTTCTGCAAACTCAAACTTAGGACTCAATGGACGCTATCCGATGGAATTGGTACTATTCAGAATTTCCTTGTAACTGTGCGGAATCTGTCCATCTCAAGTCCGGCGCCATATTCATGACAACACACTAGCATTTCGCCATCGGTACACAGTAGTGACCACATACAGCGTACATACGCAATTATAACTACCTAACCTAGCACACCGTTACAATCCCATCCCACACCATCCGAGACTGGATCGTCGCTTAGTCGAGCTCGTCGAGCTCGAGCGCGCGCTCGAACAGCTCGCCATCCGCGTCGGACAAGTCGCCCCGAGCGAAGAGCTCGAAGTCGTCGTCCGCGCGCCGGTACGGCCGGCGCTGCGGAGTCGAGAGTGGAAGGGCCGGCGGGTTAGGCCGGGGGCGTGGACTGGCAAGTCGAAGAGGAGGGTGGCTGGGGAGACGCGGGGGCAACTTCCTCTCATGGTCGCGAGCGACGAGCTCGTCGACGAACTCCCGCTCGTACAGCATTTCCACGTCCTCGCGGGGGCGCCGCGTAGGGGTGTTCGGCGGGGCTGGGGGCGGGTTGGGACGAGGGCGGGGCCGGGGGTTTATAGGAGGAGGACGAGGGCGGCTCGGGGGCTCTCGCCTCTGATGGGCGCGAGCGACGAGATCGCTGTAATCAGCCCGCGCCGCGACGTCAGTCAGGAGTTCACGCTCGATGAGAACTGCGTCCTCGGGCTCGAAAGAGCGGCTGCACCTTCACTGTGAGACTAAGCAGGGTCGGCAGGGCACGACAGTACTCACATCTCGACCGGACGGGCAAGTGCGGGCGCAGCGACTGCTGCGATGATTGCGGCTTGCGCGAGCGTGGAGTAACGCATGTTGTGCTCGGTTAGGAAGGAAAGTACAGTTGCGTGAGGCGGAAAGGTCGTGAGTCGTTACGAAAAAAACTAGGGCTGAGAGAGACGTCGCATTAAGCAACTTGTTCCGAACATACTACGTGAACAGCGGGACTTACCAGCCAGCACCCTTGTCGTGGAGCTCGGAGAAAGCAAATGAGCTTGGTGATGACGGCGCACACCCTCGCTCTTTTATACGTCGACGTGGGCCAGAACGGCCCGAAGCTGCATGGCGACGTTCCGCACACAACTTTTTCCGTTGACAAGCATGTCAAGGGCCCATGCATGCGGCTTGAAGGCGATCCCCCATCTGCCATGTTTGACAGTTGCTCGAGCAGCATCTGAGTTACGGGTGAGTAATACTTGAACCCGTCAGATCTTCACTGGCAGAGCCGACTTCCGCTCGGTAGGCGTAGCAGTAACCTACACTCCTGTACTTGTCAATAGAATGCAGTAAGTACTTACTCCTGGGCTCGATAATCACCTGGTGTCGTTGTTTGCGGTGCAATGTAGTATAACCATGATGCGGCCCTGTTCCGATATGCATATATCCGAATTGCGCGAATCGGGTCGTTTCAGAGACCTTCGCTTAGTCAGCGCCCTACTTGGCAGGTAAAACGATGGGCGGTCTTCCGAGTCCGACTATTAGGGCACTCGGCATGCATGAATCAACAGCATACCAGTAAGTACGCAGACCTGAAGACCAGCCAAGTCCTAGTCAGGCTTCGCAACTGCAACCGGACCGGCCGACGGTCCTAGTTGAGTACGTTGAGTCACTGGCACCTTCGGACTCGGAGAGGGAGGAGGGGGAAGAATCAGGAGGAGGAGAGGGGCTTGCTTCAAAGTGACTGCGAAGTTGCGGAAGATTGCCTCGTTCACGTATGCATACCTGTACGCTTTCGCGGAGGTACTAGCGTGACCTCGCTCGGCGTGGGGATTCGGACGACCTGAGCAGCCGCCGGTGGAAGCTGAACATCGCACCGCTCGCTGGTAATGCCAACCTAGCGCGGAAATCGAGGACATTGGCAGGAGACGGAAGCGAGAGTGACTCGGATGTGGGCGAAAGTTTGGAGGATGACTCGGAGGCAATAGGTGGTTTGGATGGCCAGGCCAGTGACGAGGATTGGAGCAAGCAGTTTCCGGGCTTCAGCCGTGCCCCGACATTGCCCCGACACTCTGTGTAACTGGTGAGTCTGTCGCAAGCATCGCGATACGCGGCTGTTTTGAATAATCAGTAGTGCAGGCCATCATTGCAATAATCATGATGCTTGCCTTTGTGCACAACCGCCGTGCTGCGAACGCAATTTCGCTGGTAGAACAGCACCTCGTCTACGTCTGTGATCAGCTCGATTGCCAGGCGGATAGCATCTTGGGTGATGCGGGTCTTCATCCTCTCGATGATTGTTACTGAGATTCACAGCCCAATGTTACTGAGCACGCGCACATTCAACACCTTGAACTCGTGCTAGAGATACGGAGGGCAGGGTCGTGGTGAAATGAACACTTTCAAATAGCTTCGCGGGCAGGGAAAGCGGACCATAGAGCATCATCAAAATCTTGTCCGCCGAGAAAGGTCTTTCGATATGTTTCCAACAGACCTCTGTGTCGTGGGAGACTCATAGACCTTTTTTGCCCGGCGAAATGATGATTCTTGCAGTGAGATGTGTCCGTCCATCTCCAGCCCAGGAACGTGGTCGTAACAACAACTGGCATTGAATCATCGCTACACAGTACTGATCGTGTGCAAACGCAATTGTAACTACATACCTATCCTAGCACAACGTTACAATCCCACACCACACCATTCGAGACCAAGTCGTCGCTCAGTTGAGCTCGTCGATCTCCCGAACGAACAGCTCGTCGTCGTACTCGCGCTCGTACAGGAACTCGCCGTCCTCACGAGTGTGCGGGTGACTGGTAGTCGGCGCCTGTGGAGGAGGAGTCTTGGGTCTCGCCGGGGCCTGCGATGGAATCAATCTGATCCTTGGCTTCGGGCGGTCAAAGGAAGGCTTGCGAGTGCGAGTAGGGTCCGAAGGCTCCTGCGGCTGTCCCTGATGACTCCGAGCGACCAGGTCGTTGTCGTATTCCCGCCCGTACAGGAGTTCCCCGTCCTCGCGGCGGTGTGGAGGAGGATTAGGTTTCGGCCGTTTAGGACCGGGCGATGGAGTGGCAGTGGGTCTCGGCCGTTTAGGGCCCATCCGCTTCTGAATCTGATGGCCTCGCGCGATGAGGTCGTCGACATACTCGCGCTCGGCGAGCTCGTCGAACTCCCGCTCGTACAGGAACTCGTCGTCCTCACGAGTGCGCAGGTGAGGGGTAGTCGGCGCCTTTGGAGTAGGATTCTTGGGAGACTTGGGCTCTGCCGGGGGGTGCGGTGGAATGATCAATTTGAGATTTGGGCGGTCGATGCGAGGGTGAGGATGGCCCGGAGGCTTCTGCGGCTGTCCCTGATGACTCCGAGCGACCAGGTCGTTGTCGTACTCCCGCTCGTATAGGAGTTCCCCGTCCTCACGGCGGCGCTGTGCAGGGCCCGTCGGCTGTGGAGGGGGAGTGGGTCTCGGTCGTTTAGGGCGCATGTGCTTCTGGTGGTCCCGCGCGATGAGGTCGTCGTAGTCAGCCCGCTCCACGACGTCGTTCAGGAGTTCACGTTCGATGAGAGCTGCATTCTCGGGCTCGAAAGAGCGACTGCACCTCCACTGTGAGACTAAGCAGGATCGACGGGGTAAAGCGATACTCACATCTCGACTGGAAGGGCAAGCACGGGCGCAGCAACTACTGCGATGATTGCGGCTTGCGCGAGGGTGGAGTAACGCATGCTGTCGTCGGGAAGGAAGGAAGGTACAGTTGCGTAAAGGCGGAAAGGTCGTGAGTCGTTACAAGAAAAACTAGGGCTGAGGGAGACACATTAGCAGCTTACTCTGAATGTTCGACGTTAACAATGAGACTTACCGGCCTGCACCCTTGCCGTTGAGCTCGAAGAAGACGAATGAGCTGAGGGATGACGGCGCACCCCCTCGCCCCTTTATACGTCGCCGTGAGCCAGAGCGGCCCGATGCTCGTCCCGCGTACAAGACTTCTCGTCGACAAGCATTGAGGAGGAATCGTCCTTGATAGTGGTGCGTGATGTTCCCTAGCATTCCCATCTTCCATGATTAACGATTGCTCCAACACATCAGCTTGGGTGAGTGCTTCCACTCGGTAAGCGCAGCAGCGATCTATACTGGTCATTGGATTGCGATGCTCTCGGGCTCGACAATCGCCTGGTACCATTAATTGCTTGCCATGTACTGGGGTGCACTCCTACGACCCTGTCCACAGAGTGGCGCACTGGCACTCTGACCAGTTTGATCCGTCTAATACTGTCATGTATGCGCAGCAAGTTAGTTCAACTGGCATTGGCATGCGAAACAGCATAAGTATTGCGCAGATAGGAAGAACAGCTGAGTAAGAGCCAGGCTTCCGACTGCGATTGGACTGGCCAACGTGGCGCGACTTTCGAGATATTCGATCACGCACCTATTGCGTACCTATCACAGCAACGGCCGCACTGCGTAATAGTGCAGCGTCCAGTGAGCTCTTGACGCACAGCCAGAAACAACATTGCGAAGAGTTGATCAAGGCGGTGCTGCGCAGTGGTTGTCGCCAATTGAAACAGGGCCTTTCGTAGAATCATGAGAGGACTACAGCCCTAGAAAGGCCAAGTCGCGAAGGATCTATTATGCATCATAGGTCGACTGATACGTTGGACCTCGACTTTGATGCAGTGAAGGAACCAATATAGAAGGGGAGAGATGAGATACTCGTGTTCAGTATGAGTTCGATGCGAATTATGCGACTACGTACCGAAGCATGCTCCGTCACAGTCCCGGCGTGGCCTCCTGCGACATGATGATAGTAAGCGGGATGGAAAGGCCACCAGTCAGCGCTTCCGACTCTCCTCGTCGACTTAGCTGGTAAGTTTCCAAATATAGGAAGTCAAAATCAAAGCGTCTGAAATGGTTTGAGCGCCCAATCTCTATCATCGGATACAGGCTCTCGACATGTACGAGCGAGCCTGCACAGAAGGGGCTCTTCAGTACTAAGTACTCTTCGTTGGATTCCAGTATCACTGCACTTCTCCTGCTCCAGTACTCGCGCACATCAAGTGAGTATACGCCGGTGGAGAGTAGACGACTACTGGCGCAGTGGCATGCCCGTGAATCGTGATGGTGAGTCCACTATGTGCATCGGTGAGCTACACAGCTTTGACACGGCTACAGTACTTACAGTTCTGATCTTTCATGAGCGAGAGTCGTACTGGGAGCCCGCGTGTCATGGCCCATGATCACCAGATCACCTTCCGAGTTGCCTCGCTTTTGGGATCCTCTACTGATGTTACCCGGCTAGGCTCGTTGTCTGAAGAGTTGGCTTGCGCAAGTCTTGACTCGCCCCGCGAGCTGACCTTGAGCAGCCCCAAAGTTAGTGGTCCAAGGAGTGGGTCGACGAGGCTGAGCACAGACGAGCTTTAGCTGCGGTCAGATCGCACCAACCAGCGCAGGTTTCAGCTAACGGAGATCAGTTCCTGGATCGCGATCCCTCGCGCACGCCGATCCCAACAGTGCAGCCCAAATTGCCGAAGTCGTTGGGCAGATGGTTGTCGTCGGTTCCGAGATGCGACTGGTACGAACATCGACTCGGACTGGTGGTCTATACTCCCCGCTCTCTATCAAACCGCTGAAGGCCACACCGGTACTGTCACTGGGGTACATGGAAAGGGCCACGGAGTCGCATGACACCATCGAACACGAGTCTTTCATCTCCATTCTTCATCGTATCAAAACCGAAGTCCATTCAAGTTGATGAACCACTCGGTCTGTGATGCGAACGGTCTTCACGCATTTCCGCGCGAGCGGGCTTTCTAGGGCTTGTCCAAGGCTACAGTTCTTCTCATGGTCAGTTGGCGACAACCGTTGCGATAAGTTGAAGGCCGGCTGAACCCCCGCCGCGACGTACTACGCTCTGTTGACAGGGTCATACGAGAGTACCCCCGGGCCTGGCAGTATATGGCAGGCACAAGCAATGATACCAGGTGATTGTCGATCTCGACAGCACTGCATTCTAATGACAAGTACAGATCGCTGCTATTGCTTATCGAGTGGAAGCACTCACCCAAGCTGATGTGTTGAAGAAACTATCTGAGTCAATCACGGAAGATGGGAATGCCGGGGAAGCATCACGTACCACTATCAAGTTGGACGGTCCCCAATGCTTGTACGCGGGACGCCATTGCTGCAGCACCGGGCCGCTCTGTCTCACGGCGACGTATAAAAGGGCGAGGGTCGACCCTCAGCTCATTCGCTTTCTTCGAGCTCACCGACAAGGGTGCTGGCTGGTAAGCCCCACTGTTCACAGAGGACGTTCAGAGCAAGCTACTAATGTAACTTCTCTGTCAACCCTGATTTGTCTAGTAACGACATAACCTTTCCACCTCACACAACCGTACCGACCTTCCCTCCCGACGACAGCATGCGTTACTCCATCCTCGCACAAGCCGCGATCATTGCAGCGGTCGTTGCGCCCGCGCTTGCACTTCCAACCGAGATGTGAGTACTGCTCCACCCCGCCGATCCTGCTTGGTCTCACAGTGGAGATGCAGCCGCGCTTTCGAGCCCGAGGACGCAGCTCTCATCGAGCGTGAACTTCTGACCGACGTCGCGGAGCGGGCTGACTACGACAACCTCGTCGCTCGCGACGATCAGAATCAGGATCCTAGCCCTGCTGCTCCGACCCCTCACCCTTGGGTGGAGGAGGATCCTAGCCCTGCTGTTCCGACCCCACGCCCTTGGGTGGAGGGAGAGCCTAGCCCTGCTGCTCCGACTCCACACCCCTGGGACAGCGCGCTCGACGAGCTCAACTGAGCGACGGCGCGGATGGTGTGGTATGGTCACGGTTGTAACGTCGTGCTAGGATGAGTAGTTACAGTTGCGTTTCAAGGTGCACGCGAGCACAACTGAGGGTGAAATCCTGGCGCGTTGTTACGAATATGGTGCTAGACGACTGCTTTGTATTTCAGAGATGGCGATGGCAAGCCTATATAACTTATGGATCGGAGTCATTGAGGCAAGAGGCTCTAGTTGCCATATTAGGAAGGGGAGCTTGAACGGTTGTCACGGTCAGTTCATGTCAAAGTTTTTCTAATTGCTGTCGACTATCCAGCATTCCACTCACAGTAGCCTCCTTCGGTAAGCTGCAAATCGTCCCGGCATCGTACAACTCAGAGCAGTTGAAGAACGTTGAAGACCCGAGTTAATCAAAAGGGACAGTGCGGCCAAAGTGCGGCTCCGATCCTAATATTCATTACGCCGCCTTTGTCAGTGGAGGCCGACTGGGTATATAGCTGTGGTACGCACGAATCCTGGCTCAACGTACATCCTTGTTTCTGAACACACAGGATTAGATGTCTCTTCAATCCCTCGACTTCGATGTCCTCGAAACCATCATGTCCTACGTCCAGTCGCGGGATGCCCTCCCACTGACGACTATGTGCCGCGCACTGCACGAACCCGCGACGCGGCGGCTCCTGTCCGACATCTCCATCCACCCAAACCGACAACGGGACCATTACCATGGCATGTTATTCTGCGATCACATGCTCGCCAATTCTGCGCACCGCGCCCGGTACATGAGAACGCTCACCTTGTGGCCCGCCGGTATGAACCCCGTCGTCCTCAATCACCTTGCGGAAGTCATCCGCCATGCGACCAACCTGCGCGCATTCCACCTGGACACTACCGATGACGCCTTTTATTTCTGCCCTCCCCTTGCGGATGCGTTCGCTGACGCCTCGTCGCTCACAACCATTGAGTTCAACTTCGTGTCTCCAGAATGGATGCAGTACTTTCTCGCATCAAGAGCCGGCCACGGTCGTTACGATGTGAGATAGGCCCACGAGCCGCCTTATCCTGGATGGAGCCGACACGGTTCTGTCGAACTTGGTAGGATGTCTCACTATGGTGACCCTCAATCCCAACATTCTCGATGTTCTGGTGGACGTGGAGCCTCGCACTGTTTGCCCTCATGCCCGGGAGCTTGTGGTGGGGCAGGGAAGGTTCAAGAGCGATCACTGGGAACTCATTTCCCGCGTGTTTCCCAGTACACGCATTTTCCGCACCCAGGCATCACCCTTCGGCATTGGAGAGGCACACACCGAGTGGACCACATTGGATCTGGTTCAGACCACGAACCCGATCCTCCTACGATGCTACGTGACTCGACTCGAGCTCGATGTCAACCTCGACGATGTACTAGTACCCGAAGAGTCGACATATAAACCCGCCGACTATTTCGAGACACTCCGCTGCGTCTCCCCCGTAGCGTTGACCTGCTTCGTCGACTTGAATCGCCAGATAGTCGAGTGGGTAACGGGGCATCTCATTCATCTCAGGGTCCTCCACCTGATGACATGCGACTTGCGTTGGTGGCATCTGCGCACAGATGTGGCTGCGTGGACGGATGACACACTGGTGAGTTCCGACCTATGTCCTTTGCACCACGTTTGTAACATGAGGCCCGCCAGCGGCATCTTGCATCGACTGTCGCGTCGTCGAAGCTTCGCGCGGTCATCATCGAGCTTCCGCACAACTTTCCCGCCACCCGCGCCTTGCTTCGCTCTCATGCTGAGAATATTGTGGCACGCGCTGGAACTGTCGAACTCGTCGGGATACGCTGTCACGCCGCCATGGACAGGGGGATCTCGCGGATTGACAAATACACAATGACTCGGTACAACTGGTACCGTGTAGAGCGCAGGGAGAACGATGGCAGCTCGCAGTTGAATACTCTCGCCCAGGATGATGTTTTGCGGATAGTTCCCGGGCTTCTTCAGTCTTTCGAAGTCGCTCCCTGACAAGCCTTTGCAGTGCAGTCATGTTCTGATACATTATTCATATGTTATACCATCCCAGACCGCATTGGTTGCAACCGTGCGACGTTGCGACGTGTCGATTGGGCTCGATGTGGCTGCGCTGTACAGAAAACGATCAAAGGGGGGATCCAATTGCGTAGAATTGTCGTTGATACCGATGCTGTAACGGGACACTAGCGCCGGATAGGAAGTACTGACGCGAGCATGCTATACAGTGTAAATTTCGACAGTATCAAAACATTGCTCACTTCAACGTTCAACTTCAGCCATCGAAGTGACGGTCGTAATTCGAAGGACTTGTTTATTTGTCTTCTTGTTCGAATGCCACTGAGGGCGGACCCGATCAGAAAACAAATGATTGCAAGTATCCTCCTGTGACTTCGAGTTGCTATTGTGACGTGAATGGGGTGAAGGTCGCAGCAGCTCCAATGTAAGGGGGCCTACTGCTGCCTACTGGCAGGGCGCTGAACGGACCTCTGACCATGCATCATGCTTACAGACAGCATATGACGCAGCCGGGACAGACACTTCTGCGAATAAGTTTCAAGAACAGGTACTTAGCAATATAGCAAAGTCTCATCCGACTCGGAGTAGGAACTTCCGTAAGCTGCTCACTTGCCACGAAGCCCTTCGGACCGAATAACAAGTCCTGAGATGCCGTCGTTCGACCAGCTCATACGGAGAGATGTCCGTAGTACCCGCTTGCTCGACGAAGCTATGGAAACTGACCAGCAAGCCATCGCCTGGTCAACTCCAGTGATTGCAAAGGTTTGTCATACGGGACCTGATGTCTCATAATTCAGAACATGACCCCGTGATTGAAACAGAGTACCGTACCATGTGCCCGGCGCCGTCAATCGTCACGAACGTCAGCGGCCCTGCGCTCCTCGTCAAGCCCGCGACTTTGCCGTCCACTTTCCACGGAGTCAATGGCTGCGAGGAGAACTGCTCCTTCCCGGTCCAATCCAGCGCAAGTGTCATGCGATCGTTCCCTACCTGTATCATTCCATTCAACCAGTCAGTGATCGCGCAACGTGAGGAACGGTTCCACGGACCCAATTACACATCCAGTCATTCGCCCCGACGTATATGAGGACACGGATGTCTCTTTCCAAGAGTGCGGATAAGTACAACTCTGTGGGGAAGAGATAGTCTAGGGACGCGTCGAAGGCATCGGCGACGTCGTCGTTGCAGCCGGAGAAGTTGGCGCTGACAGCCGGATCTACACCAAGTAGCGATCGGATGTCAGGCTTATCCAAGTATTGGCTGATAGCTCTGTACATGTCCGTAAGCTCACGAACAGGTCAAGGAAGCGCGGCGTACTTCGTGACAGGGTAACATAGAGTGTCTTCCATGGTCCCGTCGCTACATAGACGATTTCATAATTTACCTATCGGTTAACAACGCAGCCAACATACCAAAGCTTGCTTATGTCGTATGGATTGTATCCTGGAGGTTTCGTCAGTCGATAATCACACCCTGCCTATGATAATGACCGACCGGTCGCGAAAAATGGTTCATACAGCTCTGCGTTGCAGAAGTTGTTGGCCGCCCCGCAATTGATGCTGTCAAAGCTATCCAAACACGATTCCTTCACCATCTGCTGACAGCGTGGAAGCTGCGAGACAATCACATCAGCAGATTGAGCGTAAGTGAGCTGAGACGGACACATACAGCCTGCTTCATCCGAACACAGGAACTGGAGAAGGTGAAGGGAGTTATTCGTGCCTGTAAATATACACTTACTTGATATCCATGATTGGTGGTTGGGACATGGGCCTGCACTGCATATCAAAGTACGAGGCTGTCATGCCCGACCAGTCAGTGCAACCATTGCCTACGGGATATACTTAATAACCGCTTCAATAACAAGATCGTGGTAGCAGGAGTTTACTTGCCTATCATTACGGACGTGAGGTTTACAGGCGTCATGCCAGCGGCTTCCAGCTTAGCATTCTGATCATAGATTTCCGAGGCAAAAAGGGGGATGTATCGACCCTGCAGGGTGAATGTGAGTCGATTCCTTCGTTGAGGGACTTGCGCAGCATTACCCCGTACGATTCACCGGCCATGTGGAATGCTCTTCCTTTGAACTTGCTAAAGTGCTCGAAGAAAATGACCACGAACGCGGCAATATCTTTGGCAGCGTCCGGCGTGTTACCCTACCATTCGAGTGACTAATGTCATCAGCGAGGTTATCGTCGACGTGTGGCGTACACGCACAACTGTCTCGCCGAACTCTGCGTATGAGAATCCAACGCCCACGGGTTGATCTATGAAGAAGATGTTGGCCTTCTCATTCCAAGAGTAAGGATTGTATGTCGTCTTCTCTGGGTTCGTAACCCTACAAGGTCCTGAGATATCATTGTCATGAGCGTCAGGAAATTGTCATGAAGTCCCGCTTTAGGTACCGAGTTCCATGAACAATCCCGTTGAGGAGGAACATCCTGGTCCTCCGTTTGTCCAAAAGATCACGTCGTCCTGGTCTGGATCATCCCTGCTCTCAAAGAAATAGAAGAACAGATGTCGAGCCTGAATGTCAATGTATCCGGTGTATGCACTAGATCATAGTCACATCAGTACTCGTCGTAGTGTGGAACCAAGATCAATCGTCTCCTCACCCGACAGAGCCATCGCAGAAGTCGGATTTCTTGATCCTTACACTGTGATTAGGAAAGGCTGGGTGGTGAAGAACCGTATATTCAGTAGCAGAAAGGGTGTCCAAGTCTTCGTGTGGCGTGAAGAGACCCGCATCGTATCTGTCCCGGGCCGAGGCGCCAGCATCGAGGACTCGGAGAGACCAAGGATCCCGACCCGGCACCACTGTTGATCGCGATAATGTACTGGGCGGCGCAGAGAATGGTCCTTGCGTTGCCAGTACTAGACTAGCATAGCTAATGAACGACCATAAGGCCCGACAAGGAGCCATGTCTAGCAAACCCGATTCAAGTACTTATGTGAACGTTGTTGAAGTCAAGCAAGTAGGACTGGGACAAAGACGCCCATACTTACCTCTGTCCCACGGCCGCAATACTCATGGTCTGTTCATGTTCTTGTCGACATTCTTGTGGTATACGCATCTAACACTCGAAAAATCTGCCTTGCGCAGGAAATCAATCACATAATAACGTACAGTAACTTGTATTGACGCAGAATCGAACTGTATATGCCATCTCGGAATCGTGCATATTATACTTGACAACGCCAGTCAGCAGCAAGACGGATCGGGAACAGTCGAACGGAGCAGGGAGGGTGAACGATGCTACATATGAGAGCAGATATCGACGCGAAACTACAGACGGGGGCGGACGAATGAATGCGGAACCGGGGGCCTCTGAGAGATAGTCCATTGGGAATGAGAAGGAGAGACGATGAGTATGTGCTGCTTTTATGATACAAATGCACCTCGACGTCTGACGAGACAACTATGAGGATGGGGAATCGCCGGAAGTGGAGACACCCTGTCGGTGCGTGTCAATAGACCGCTCATCAAGACGGTACGCAGTACGACGAACCTTAGTCCGACAAGCAGGGCAATTGTTCCGGCCAACTTGCAGCCATTTATCAACACACTCCTTGTGGTAGGCATGTTTGCAAGTCATGAGACGTAGATCTTCTTCCGGATCATAGTCCTCGAGGCAGATGAGACACTGACGGGAATATCAGCAACCAATGAGCGTAGGTTCGTATCGAGCATTACTCACCCGCTCAACACAATTGTGTGCAACGCGGCCTTCCTCTTCATAGCGTGACAGCTCTGAGGACTTGATGATCTGCAGGCCGGAGTTGTCGATGTCTTCCCGTGTTGCGACCGGGGGCTTCACCTGGCCCAACAGCTCGGCAAGTTCCCTGTAACAAACGGTTAGCGATTCGCCCATTCCACGACACTCAAAACGTACCACAACGCCTCATAGGAGTCGAGGCTGTCTGAGCCAGTGACCATGTGGTGATTTGGCGGGTAATAACCTACACAGGTAGGACAGTCAGCGGGGGTGTTGGGTGTAAACGGAGGATGCGCACCTCCGATGACATAAATCAAGAATGTCCTCGCACCCGTCGTGTCCCTGTTCTGTCGATTCCTCGACGAACGGCGTCCAGGCCTCAAGCCCCTGAGTGCACTGGCCGCACGAGACTGCCACGTCCTCCCACGCGGTTGCGACTGGCCAGCACCTGCCCCGGGAGTAGATGAATCCCGCCACTCGCCTGACGAACGCGAATCACTCTCCGACGAGAGTGCGTCGTCGTGGGCCTGGGCAGCGTCAGCGTCGCCGTGTGCATGTGCGGTATCGTTATTGCGGTTCATGTCGACGGACTGAAGGCCAACCACAATGACAGGCACCACCACGTTCGCGTTCGGATCTGTCGCAGGTAGTGTTGACGGAGCCGCGTCGCCCTCTGCGTTCTCTGCAGCAGTGGGTGCCGTCTCAGCTGCGGAGGCAGCTTCGGGCTCGTCGGCTGTGGTAGGTGCCTCAGGCGAAGGAGCGGCCTGGGCGTCTGCAGAGGGGCTTGTAGTGGTCGTACTCGTGCTGGCCGCATGTACAACTGTATGAGAAGCTGGAATAGGCGCAAAACGGTATAACCGCCATAGGTTGACGCCTGGTGGTCTCCGCTCACCCTCACCTGCTTGCCGGGTGTCAGGTCCGAAGGGAAACGCGCCAGTAGGTATTGGCGTTGGTGTCCGCGGTGAGCGGGGTGCCTCCAGATGATCTGCGTGACTGTCGTGCGAAGCGTCCTCGTCCTCGTCGTCATCGCCCTCATCGTCATCGTCAGAGTCGGAATCGGACACATCTTGGAGTGGCGGAAGGTCCGCATCGTCTTCACCACGACTCTCGGTGGCTTGGGTTTCTGCATCAGCCATCTGAGCGGAATCAGTCGACCGGCGAAGGTTGGAAGGGCCAGCGACAGGCTGGTGGTCCTCGGAGAGGGCTGATGTGGAAGCAGCAGTAGAGACTACGCTGGTTCTCTCCCTTCTTGACTCCCTCTGACCAGCGCTATCGTCAGACAACGCTACTCGAAGATCCGCCTGAAGGTTAAGCAAGAAACGCTCAAAGCTGTCTTCTGGCGGCGGGGGTCGCTCAGCGCGATCGCTAGCGGAGCCATCTGTAGCACCAGCCCCTTCACCTGTCGCAGGCGATTCATCCCCTCCAGCATTTGCGTCCGATTGGCGTGATCCAGGAACACCCCCATCGCCGAGACCTAGCCCGATATTGAGTGCGCGCGCCATCTCCGCAAACATGTCGCCGGGGCGCATACGGATCTCGTTCGGGTTGTCACCTTCAGTTGGGTTGGTACCGTCAGACTGACCGCGAGGGTGGAGTCCTAGGCGATCTCGCACACTTTCCCAGACGTTCCGGATACGATCGCGGCCGTCCCGAGGTTGTGAAGCATCCTGGCCCTGGCCCGCACTGGTACCAGATGGGTCCACCCCTAATCCGGCAAGAGAACCCAAACCCGCTAAGTTCCCTAGGCCCGCTGTTGGCGTGGGCGACATTGGCCGTGCTCCGTCCGGATTACTGCTACTGTTGTGTGGTCCAGGAAAAGCGAAGCCCGGAGAAAATAAGGAAGCGGCGGTGGCGGCTGCCGCGACGCTATATTATAAAATATCAACAATGGTACTCCCAAAATGTATTATCTTGCCGGCATACCTGAGTAGTGTTCCAAGTACATCGATGCTGCCCTGGGATAACGGCCTGGGACGCATGTCATTGTCGTCTTGCTCAGAATCTAGGTCGTCTGCGATCGATGATTCCTCCGCAGAGACAATATCATGGCTGGTGACACTCGACGATAGATCCGAAGAGACAGCTGAGTTGCGATTTGACGATGCGGGTTCCACCGCCCGAGAACCTGACGATGGTCTCGAGCGATTGATGAAGGAGGACAGTCTGTTCCTGCCACCGTACCGTTCGCCATCGCGAACCGTAGACAAGGATGCAGATTCCGCCTGTCGTTGCCCTGCTGAAGCCTGTAGACCAGCCGGCGGACGGGGTGTCGTCGAACGTGATGGTCGCCGAGATGACGAAGCTGTGCTATCCGCAGAGGGGACATCGGTGGTGTTGACAACGCCTTGCACGACTACTAACGTGCCAGGCGGCGGGAATTGGCGCGGCGGCTGCAGGGGCGCCTCGGCTTCTGGCAATGAGTCCGGATTTGTCTCGGTCGACACGGGAGGCGGGTTCGTAATCGCGGGAGTTACATCGTCGTCCACGCGGGTCTCTGGTTCTGCAGCCAGTGCAGGCGTAGGCTCTGGTGCGCTGTCGCTAGCGGGACGCGCGACGGGCTCGCGCGAGGTGTCTTCCTCCTGCTGCTCGCCCAACCACTCTCTCACATCGGCATCGACTTCTTGGTGCTCTTTGGGCGCAATGACGGCCTCTGCCTCTGGTGGAGGCTCGCCCGATATGACGATGTCAGGAATCGGTGGGTGGGTATGCGTACCGGGCATGCTCAGCTCCTCAGCCTGACTGCCACCAACCTCCACTGTAGCCTCTGTTTGGACCTCCTCCTGCCGCAACTCTGCTAGCTGCGGGGGTATAGGCGCCTTTGAGCTGCGTCTTGCGAACGATGAGCGCCATCGTTTCTTGGGAGATTGACTGCCCCCGGCACTCGACGGCGGTGTGTTGCTGCGTGCGGATGTCGACGAGTCTGAACGCGGGACCAGCCCCAGGAGGCTGCGCCGAAGAGAAGATCTACGAGAGCGTTTGCTGGTGGAAGATACGGTTCGTGAGCCTGCTGGTGACGGCCTGCTACTGCCAGGCTCGGGAGGCGTGTTATCTTCGCGGGCAGGTGGAGGCGAGCGCGACGGACGATGTCTTGAGACAGACTGACCCATTGGGTGAGGAGAGTAAGGAGGGACTAGGGAGGTTCAGACTCCTGGGTCGTAAAATAGCGCAGCGTTGGAAAGTGAAGTGGTCGTCGTCGTCGTCGATAATGAAGGGGTGCTGGCGCCGCCACCGCGAGAGCGGGCGTTACATGGCCCTCACATGACAATGACGGACGATTACGTTTCTGACGGTGACTTTCCTCTTATGGGCTGTTGTCATTTTTGACAATAGCAATACACATGGGCCTACGCAGGGCCTACGTGGGCTAAGACAAGGCTAAGCAGTACCGAAATCCGCAGGGAACGTCGGAAATCAAAATAGGATTCGTGTCCAAGTCGGGCGGCATGGTACAAGCTCATGTAGCTAAGCAGACTGACTCGGCTGAGTAGCAACATTACAGTATCATATCTACTTCTCGTAAGTAGCATTTCTAAACCATCCTAGCCTCACGCAGCAAGTCTACAACCTGGCCTTCGAGCTGATAGGTCGTGAAAGCTTGCCAGCCGCCTGCATCTCCTTCGCTCGCTCACGCAAGAACCGACGGAGCAGCTTCCCGCTCGGATTCTTCGGTATGGCATCGATGAACTCGACACCGCCAGCGAGCTGCTTGTAGCTTACTTTCGCGTCGGCGACGTGCTACACAGTGAGGACGGCATTTAGTCTACATAGGCTACTTGAGGAAACCGTTGAAGGCATGCGGAACCCACCTTCATGATAGACAACTTGATCCGTGCTTCTTCCTTGGCATCCTTCTTCATGCGTGCAACGGCAGCAGTTGTGGGAACAATAAAGGCCAGGGGCACTTCTCCGCTGTACTCGTCTGGGAGACCGATGACGCAGACATCGGTGACATCGGGATGGCCGAGCAGATGACCTTCGAGCTCTGCGGGTGCGACTGTATGTTTGTAACGGAAGGCCCACGAGTGAGAACAGCGCGAAATGTTGAGAAAAGACGACGGACCTTGGAAACCTCGGACTTTCAACAGTTCCTATTGAGTAGATGCAGTCAGGTGAGCATGTACAGCCGCGGCAAGACACGACACATACCTTGATCCGGTCGACGACGAACATATCCTTCTGCTCGTTGATAATGACTTCGTCGCCCGTGTAAATCCAGCTATGCGGCCTCTCAGCATCGGTATACGTAATCCCCCTGTCAATCCTGCTCACCCGTCTACAAACGTCTCCTTTGTGCTAGTGGCAGCATATCAGTGTCAATCGGAGCACATCGTACCATTCATGACATTTACACTCACGCCTGGTCGTTGTTTAAGTATCTTAGAGCATTTGCCGGACTCCAAACCACCAACTGTCCCGTCTGACCGTAGCCCAGGAGCTTGCCATCAGGATCAATCACCTTTGCGCGCACGCCAGGAAGGAGCCTGCCAGCGCTTCCGGGGGTACCGATGTGCATATCAAGCTGCGGGAAGGTGATCGTAGTGCAAGACTCGGTCATCCCTAAGGGCAGCACATAAGCCTTATTCCAGCGAGAGTACCGGGGAGGGTATTTCAAGTTTTGCGTACCATAAGACTGACCGATGCTCATCTTAGGCAGGCGTTCGCTGAGTTGCTTGACGACCTCCGCGGAGAGCGGGGCAGCGCCACTCTTCATGGCACGGAGGGAGCTCAAATCGTACTTCAAGACGTCCGGATGCTGGACGGGAAATATGTTGGTCACATGTCCTGAATGTTTCAGCGAGACTTACCTTGCATAGAAGGACTACGATTGGCGGTACTACCCTGATTATTATGAATAGTGAGCCGGTGGCAGTGGAGATGGTGATGCTAAGCCTACGGGATGTAGTTGATCCTATGGCGCTCTATACTCTTCAGCATGTCGACGAGATTGAATATGGGTATCACGACCAGCGACATCTGCGAGCAATCCTTAGATTGCCGCGCTAGGGGAGAGGAGTCTGATCATACCCCGTAGAAGATTGCAAAGTGCATCACAACCACCAGACCGTATATATCTACAGACGTACTCCACGTTAGCTGGTGAGCGCGACTCAAGGAGGTGTAACTCACGGTAGAAAGGCAATACTGCACAAATCATCAATCATACATGAAGGCAGACTGAATTGACATCACGTACAAGCCATCCCAACGTCTCCAGGCCTATATGACCTTCTCTCCAGAGGCGCCGTCTGCAGATTGGCGGAATGCGCCATCATGATCACATTTGCTATTGGAGAAATGTGAGGTATGCAGACGGCCTACGGATACATAAGCGCTCGACGATATGTTCCTCAGAACCAAACTTACCTTGGGCTTCCCCGTCGTCCCACTCGACAAGCTCAAGAATGCCAACTTCGTCCTCGCTTCGCCTGGCTTCAACCGACATTCCACGAAGCTCAGCGGCTTAGTCACCCCTTCACCGATGAACTCGTTGATCGTCCACTGCGAGCCGATCGCGATGCCGGATACATCGAAGAGGACGATGCGCTCAGCGGGTATGCCTACCGCACGGGCAGCCTCCAGGGCAACAAGCAGGTTTGAGGGGTGCACAATGATCGCTTTAGCCTTGGTCATGGTGAGTTGGTACTTCAGCTCTTCCACGGTGAAAGTGGGGTTTGACGTGCTATTGGGCGGTCATTCACCGGTACTACGAGTACAGCAAGGCACTCACGTTAGTGTGGCTCCTAATCGATGCGCCGCCCTGCGAGACGTCGATCAATGTCTACCATGAGCAAGCATATGGAGGTCATACCATATGGCTATTGGATAGTCTAGGGGTATTGCTATTCAGCAACCATCGAACACACTGTAGCATCTGTAGCCATACCAATGTGATTCGGGCTGAATATGCAGATCACGTCATTATCCTCTGCAAGCTCAGTTGAGCAGAGCCCGAGACAAGTATCGTTCGAGCGCACCAATGTCCCATCGGAGCTTAAAGGCGTTGGCCAGTGCCTGTACGCGATCGCGTACCTGTCAAGGTGCAGTGCACGTTGAGCTCTCGCAGGTAGCTGATTACGGTGGCTCGACCATACCTCGTCCACAGTGACTCTCTTTCCCGTCGCATCCTCAATCAACCAGGCATTCGGCGGAGCAACAGAGGGCCGCGCAGGATGCCGATAGTCGAGCATGAACTGCACGAGCGTCAAGTCATCCGGGATTGCAGGCAGAGGCCCACCCGGGGCCAGAATTTCGCTCATTCCTGCGCAGTCGATGAATGCGCTGTCAAAGATGAGGGCAAGGAGGAGACGTACAAGGCATCATGTACTATTTCGATGCAGATGACCTTCGGGATGTCGAATGCGGCAGCTGACCACCGTGGGTGCGCAAGGTGACCCTCAGCGAGGCGCCCGCGCAGCAGACGGGACCGGGACGGCGGACGCGTCGCAGACACGGTCACGAGATCGATCAAGATTCCGAGTCAGGCTTGCGCACTCCGAGTTCAAGTTGTTGCGTTCGCCTCCAACGTACTGCTGCGCTACTGACGACTCGTATTTGTTGTCAGAGGTGTGCCACATCCGTGTGAAGTGGCATAACCATGCAGCGACTCGGCGAACTTACTCAATACGGAAGCTCGGACGAGGGAGAAGCGTCAGAAAGCTCCCCGCCGCCAGCAAAGAGAAGGTGAGGCACACGCGCTTGATCTGCCTCTGTTGTTGTATTTGCGCTGAGATCAGTCTGTTTAGAAAGCTGCCGAGTCTGCCTGAATCCTTGCGGCCGGGGGTCCCCATTGACGACCCGGCGCTCCACCAGGGCAGGGTCCGTACCTCTCCTCACGTTGAAGGCCAATACGCAGCGTATGTCTACCTCCCTTTGATCGTGGAACGAAGGTCCCCACTTCACAAGCTACTGTCGAAGGCCTTTGCATCTGCAAAGAGAGCGGTGCCGTCTTTGCATTCAATAGGTCTACCAGAGTTGCCGCAAACGGGCAACATTCAACCGCATTCGGTGGATCATGAAGACGATCATGTTCTGGATGTCGAGCTTCACATATCGCTCACACGACCGGTGTACCTCCGAGCGTATCAGCGCGAAGACTTGAAGCGTGCGGTCAAAGCGATCGCGAAGTCGCACCTAGCGTACGTATGTTCGACAGCCTCTATGCTAGACAAGTTTCCCTGTCACAGACATACAGTCATGCAGCTGGCGGATGTGCGAAGTTGGTTAGCGTACAGTCGCACATATGTTATCTCGTTGCCCATATTCTCTGACAGGCTGGTAGAGGGTGTAACGGGCGATCCGACGTTGAGCGATGATGATCCTCATAGCACCCACAGTACCACAGAATGAATATGGGGACGTCTGACATCAGAAATCTGTGCAATGATATTTCACGCCCATATTGGCCCGCGCAGATATTTCCATTGTCTGTCTTTCGGTATCAGACCATGCAACTGTGCTCACTGCTCTGCACCTTTCTTTAGCTTTCCCGCATCGCTTGCGTCCTTCTCAGAGCTCACGAATGATGAGCGGACCCGCACGTTCCTCGCGGTCGAGATTGGCGCGGGTCATGACCAAGTGCGTGTCTCCCTGACCTCTCTTACTTGTCGATGTCTGATGAATTCGATCGGATCAGCTGAAAATTTTGTCGGATGGTCTCATCCCCGCGCTACGGTCCCTCAAACAGAAAGAATTCTATACTGAGCCCCGCTTTCACGCCTCCTTCGCTTGGGCCCTATTGCATGGCACCTACCCTTCTGCCACAACCACGGAAAATTCAACATCTCCGTCTGCAGCGGCGACACCATCTCCCGGGCCACTTTCTGCATCCATGTCAACGGATCCGACGCATCCTGAGTCTAACAGCGGAAAGACCGCAGCAGAATCGAGCCCCAACATATTCCCAACTATTCCTCGCTTCCCACCATCGTTGGTACATTCCCTGAACGACGAGTTCGGCGAGATGTTGCGGGCGCGGCATGTGGGGACGTTCGATGCTCGCGAGGTCCATGTCAAGATCGGAAAGGACGTCTTCAAATGGACCTTGTCCGGAGAGTAGGAAACATCATGACCAGTGCAGGCTTCAGAGGATCCACTGCCGTGAAGCCGTCTGTGCGCTTGCTTGGCCGATGTCAATAACCGGAACGGGGCGGCCGCAGAGGGACGCGAGGATCTGACTGCCGATTGACCGGGGGATCTCACCATGTACCTGCCCGGCGGCATGTCAACGTTTTATCTTCTCGCCTGCCCAACTGTCTATCCAATTAACTTACTCGCCTTCGGCTGAGCCCAGCGGTCGGCTGTGGATCTATGTTTCGTCATCGAAGCTAAGACGATTTCTACTGGGCTACCCTACCTGTTCCATGCCTTTCAGCATTGTGTAATCCCGTTACTTCGCCTCTGGAATTACGAGACACTCGAGACACGCTGTGCAGCTGCGCTATCTTTCGTTCCTAGATGATCTACATCGCCGAGAAGCCCAGGACAAATGCAACACCGCCTACCGCGCATCGTTGATATGAACGCAGAACAATGACCGCCGACGACTGATTATCCATGCCCATGTTCTGCAGATACTCCGTCGAAACAAGTACCTCCATTTCCACTTGTGGCTCGTCAACGACCTCGCTGATCGGCCTTCTATGCACTCAGGTACCCATCCCTGCCTTTTCGTCGCCCCACAATAAAACCTAAGGCAGTAATTATCCACACCACCCAGGCCTTGATCCGGCTCCTTCGCAAGTTGTAGCTGTCGAGCGCTCCCGGCAGCCCACCACAGGGAAGTATGTTTTCCTTGCAACTCTTCAGCGGTGTGCCGACAGTATGCGATGCGAACGACGTCCTCGTCGAGGGCGCAGAATGGTTCGTGGCCAATCCCTCGGGTCGTCCGTGCGTCTCGGGCTAATATATCCGTTCGTAGGTGGGCAAGCTTCCCTGCACCTCTGCCTGGATGACGTGTGTATGATCAGATCTATGCACGAGGGTTGCTCGCCGGTCAGATCCATCGAGTCTCAAAACTGGATACAAGGCCGAGCACGCACGTTCCGGACGTTATGACATGCTTGGGCTTCCTTGGGTAGCCCAGCCACTGCGCGAGCGCAAGCGGTTTTTGTGGATTCTATTTGCCTGTGATGCCGCTGCTAGTACTAACAGTGTTGCCGGTCTGCGGCACTTGGCGGCAAGGGTGGTCTTGTATTTTCAATTGAAGCCACGTCAGCGAGAGCCTTGAGCAACACCTTGCTGACGCCTTTCAATTTAGCAATCATGCAACGGCAAGATTGTGGATGGAGTTGATGATATGACCGAGATCCCCGGCATGGGCGTCGCCCTTAGTGATTCGTTCAACGATCGCGTGAAAATCTCCGTGGCGCTGCGTGTGCTGCTCCTGCGGATCATATTCTGGCAGCCGGGACAGGCTCATAAGGTTGGCTATTTCTGCATCCGTTGGTCGACGTTCATCGAGGGAGGGCAGCCTGCTTGCGTTCCTTATTTCAAGTTCGCAGAGCTCGGCGCTCAGCCTGTCGCAGAAGTATTCACGCAACTTGTATTGCTGAGGAAACTTGAGTGTCCCGGTTTGGTACCGGTACCGAGCACCGGAACTCCAGTCATCTACATGATAGAGCAGATGACATCCACGTCCGAGTCCACCGCTGCGCTTCCCTCGGTCAACTCGGGTATACTGATTGAAGTCCGATGCTGGTGGTCATCGGTGAAACGAGCTTGCATCGGTTCTATGCGGTGCAACGTCCGTATGAAGCGCAACGAACCAGGCATTCCATCTCACCACCGTGACGATGGGCCGGTGGACTCAACAGCGGTGTTCTCTCCGAGTTGGCGCTCCAGCTGAAGAAGTCAGTGCCCTACCTTTGGTGAATCAAGCGGCGTAGAAAGGCGCGTTGGTCAACGGAGTAAGGTAGATACCTCATATGCTTCTGCCTCACTGGCAAGTACGTAGCTGTTACTAAATCTCATCGTTACAGGATTCCACCCACGATCCACCCGTGGGCTTTTGTCGAGGCAGTCGTGGAGGATGCCACATCGTGATCATCGATTGAGGTCGTCGAAATGAAATCGCACGCCGCCGAGGGTTTGAGCTCGTTCCCCGGTTTGCCGCGCTGCGGTCCAAGCGAAGTTCAAGGACAGGTGCCGGTCGTGGACTGCCTGTTCTCGGAGTACAGTTTTCTGGGGGTTTCGTTGCCCTGGAGTATTTAGAATTACCGTAGTCGCTCTGTGTGACCGGGCGGAGAGGAGCGGGCTGTAAGAGACCATGGTCAATGAAGGGCATCATAGATCTGGGAATGTCGAAGCAAATCTGATCAAGATCCCAGGAGAAGATACGGGGATTCCGGCTGATGGGCCGGGCAGCTCGGAGCGCGCATGCCACGCGATGGTGCCCGACGTAGCCGAGCCCGATGCGGCAGGAGAGGATCTTCCCACGGCTGCTGAGTGCTGGTGGAGAGACATTGACCCTGTCTCAGTCTGTCATCCGCGACCATCTGCTCTGCGAGCAGCTGGCGGTGTCTCTCTGCTGGCATATCTCTTCGACTTCCCTGTCCTATCTATTCCGCATCTGTTCCTGGCCCCAACTGGTCTTGGGCGCCCTACTCGTTATATCACTGCGCCTGTTCGGGGATCCTCAAAAGTATAAACACTGCCAGCCCATGAGAACGTGTGCAGCCGGCCTCCTTCGCCAAGCCCCCAGGTCCATCAGCCTTTCCCTCTCCCAGCGCCGTCCCAGTCACCCCTGCGATGCTCTATGGCCTCCTCCTAGCATGCGTCCTCCTCGGTGCCGCACTCGTACTCTATGTGCTGTCCACCTTTCTGCTACTCTTGCTCCGGCAGGTCCTCTCACCGTTGCGCCACCTCCGAGGCCCAGCGTCCCCGTCATTCTTCATGGGAAACCTTCGGGAGATGCACGACCAGGAGAACACTAACCTCATCGCCCGTTGGCAGGAGCAGCACGGCAGCACCTTTGTCTACCGCGGCTTCATGGGCGGCGTTCGGCTCATGACTACGGACCCGGTCGCTGTCGCCCACATTCTGGGGCGCGGCTACGACTATCCAAAGCCCGACTTCGTGCGGGATAACCTGTCCAACATGGCGGCGGGCGAACACGGGCTGCTCACCGTCGAGGGTGAAGATCATCGGAGACAGGTGCGACCGCCTTGCACATTCTGGGTACGGACTATCGCTAACCCGCGAAAATATACCTCGTACAATTGTAGCGCAGGATACTGGTAAGTGACACCTGCCACCGTCAAAACACTGCATCGCGATGTGCAGGTACATCTGCCAGCACTCGATCGAATTCACGATCACGTGCCCCGTACACGCCACGACTGCCCAGTTGTGGAAACGGGGCAGATATTTTGTAATACACAGTTTCTGCGCGGAGTACATCTTATGGTCTTCGGTCTTGATATATCTTGGCAGCGAGACACTCATTTTTGACGACAGAGCCCAGCATTCACGTCGGCGCACATCAAATCGCTCAGCCCCATATTCTGGGTGAAGGCCGTGGAGGTATGCATCTTGCACCGTCCTCGTCCTGACCATAATAACGGACTCGGTGCCCTAGCTTCGCGACATCTGGCTTGATATAGCCTCTTGTTCACAAAGCCGGGCTGCTCCTTCAGACCCCTTCTATGTCGCACCGCCGCAGCCGGGCCGGGCTGCCAAGGACGACTTGCGTGCTCGCGCCTTCGCGACGACCACGTCAGCCCTTCCGAATCCATTCTCGTCTTTCGTTCCTGGGAAGACCACTGCTCGCAGGCAGAACAGAAGTGCTTCCACAGCTCAGCCGGATAGCGCAGCCGTCTCGACATCCGATGACGGGCCCACGCGAGTGGATGTGCTTGCGTGGCTTGCCCGTGCAACTCTCGATGTCATCGGCGAGGCTGGCTTTGGTTACGAGTTCAATTCCCTGACATCCGCGGCAAGGAGGGGCGAAGAGAAGGGGGGCGAGACCGAGAACGAGCTTGCCCGTGCGTTCGGTGTCATATTTAGCGCAGCGCGCAAATTCAGGGTCATCACGGTGCTCCAGGCGTGGTTCCCCGGATTACGGAGATTTGTCAGTGAAGCCTCCCGCTACTCCACTGCGTTTGAGCTGACTATGTCTACCTGTCCTGTCTACAGAGCAGGGAAAGTGCAGCCCAGCGCGAAGCACGCGAGACGATGCGCCGCATCGGGCTGTCTCTGATCGAACAGCGGCACGCAGAGGCGACCAAAGAGCAAGCCGCCACTCTCCGCGGTGCGGACGCGCACCTCAAGCAGCAGCCAGCGACCGAGCACACGACGGACGGGCGAGACCTGCTGAGCGTCCTCATCCGCTCGAACCTCTCCTCCGTCCCATCGCAGCGGCTCTCCCTGGAGGAGACGCTCTGCCAGATCTCAACGTTCCTCTCTGCGGGGCACGAGACGTCCTCCTCCGCGCTGACGTGGACGCTCTACGCCCTCGCGCGCGCACCGAACGTCCAGGCCCGGCTCCGGCGCGAGCTGGCTGTGATCCCCCTGCCCGTCGGGTCCCTCGTATCGGGGTCCCCGCCTCCCGCAGACACGATCGCGGCGATCCTGGACCAGCCGTACCTCGACGCGGTCGTGCGCGAGTCGCTCCGGCTGCACGCGCCTGTTACGTCGACGATGCGCGTTGTGGGCGTCGACGACGTCGTGCCTGTCTCGCGGCCATTTTTCGACCGCCATGGGCGCACGTGCGATGCGATTCGCATGCGGAAGGGCGACATGATCACGGTCTCGATCCAGGCGATGAACAAGAGCAGGGAGGTGTGGGGCGAGGACGCGGAGGTGTTCCGGCCGGAGCGGTGGCTCCTTGCTGGCGAGAAGGGGGAGGATCGGTCCGACGACGAGGACGAGGGCGAGGACGAGAAGGTGAGGCGAGAGGGGAAGCCTGGGAGAGGGCAGAAGAAGGCGGGCGCGCCGGGGCTGTGGGGCAACATGCTGACGTTCGGGAACGGGAACCCTGTTAATGGGAACCGGGCATGCATTGGATTCCGCTTTGCCATCAACGAGTGAGTCCATCCGCCTTGTCCTCCTCGCATACGGAACTCATGGGAGTTGACAGGATTAAGATCTTCTTGTATGTCCTGTTGCACGACGTAGACTTCTCCATTGACCCGACGGTGGAGATCGAGAAGAAGGTCAAGTACGTGGTCCTATTTTATCTCGATTATAATGCAGTATTGAGAGGTGTTGGTTTGCAGCGTCGTCACTCGTCCAGCGGTCAAGTCAGAACCACACATGGGAAACCAGATGCCGTTGAATATTCGACGACGCATTGTATCAGAACACATAGTGTAATATAGATATCCATCGCTGTAGCCTGCATGGGCATTTTAGCAGGAATTGTAACTTTAAGACTGCATAATGCAGCCATCCCTCGTGGTACTACCACCAGACAGGACGGACTCGCCATGCACATGAACTCAGTTAGGCGACAGACGAAGCTATGCATTGCAAGAACCTCAAGGAGGTATACACAGATACTGTACTTTCAGGTTTATACTAGTCGTACACGTAGAAGTGATGAGGATCAATCTCTGAACAACCGTAGAGACACCTGGAGAGGAAGGCACATTAGCATATCGTTGATCTGCATCAACAGCGAAGGGGTGCGTATTCAGGTTCCTCAAGCGTAAAAAGAGGAACTGGGAGATTGTCGTCGTGAACTCCGACTGGTGCACAGCATAAAGCTCATCACAGAAGAAATATGGAAACAAGACTCACGAATTCCAACAGACTAGGTCTTCAGCTGTTCACTATGCCTTGAGCCTCGGGCGCGACGACGACATAAACCCGAACGGGTGTTCGTACTTGAGTCTGGCTATGAAGAGTTTTGAAAGAAAAAACGAAGCAAGTAGAGTGGAAGATGGTCGGCGGTCGAGAGACAAGGAGGACGCTCGAAGGACGCGCGAAAATTCACAGCGTACTCGAAGTCGTTGTTTGCGACGCTTTGGCTGCGGTGGCGGGGCGCAGACGCTCCTCTGCCACCAAGTCGAGCGTAGAAGTAGATGACTAGATCGCACTCTCTGCGCAGATGGCGAGCATTCTCATCCACCTCAAGCAAGGATGCCGACCCAGTCTCGCACACGCGTTTGCTCGTAGAGCATGCATGAGGCGGGAGATTCACCAGACTCCCATAGGTACGTGATAGATCACATGTACCGTGCCACCGACTGACCGGCCGGGCAAACACCAGCCTTCAAGAAGCAAAAGGCACATCTACCGGAACAGGGCGACCTTTTCGGTGATTTCTCAGAAGGCGAGTCCTCTGGGGACCTGTTTGCGAGCAGCAAGGATGCGGTGGAGGAGGTGGTCACAACGCCCGGCGTTCCGCTCGACGCCGTCACGCCCTCGCGCAAGCTGGACCCCGAGGAACGGCGGAAACGTTTCAAAGCATTGCTCAAATTCGTGACATTGAGGGTAGGCCGTAACCCGAAAGAGGTGTTGCCTCCAGTCCGCAACTCAGCATGGCAGCATCTGTTTGGGCTTGCGACGACGAGGGAGCAGATGGAGGCGGTGGTGCAGCTGTTCCCGAAATGGAGGGACTCGAAGCCGAGGCGTTCCTTCAACATACAGAACGCAGAGCTATTCGCTCGTGAGTAGCCAAATCAATCATCCCTGAAGTAATGCTGACGCCTTAGCGTAGGCCGCTGTGAGGAACTGAAGTGCCCCGACCTCGCTCTCAACGTCTTCGCCGACCACTCAAAATACGGCTTTGACCTCGCCTCGCCCCGCGCTGCCAGGCGGCTTCTTCACGCCCTCCACGACGAGTACCCGCTGAAGGACACCATCACCCTTGCCGCGCTCTTCGGCGTATACAAGCTCCCGCCCATCTCGTCTGACCTCATCTCCTGCGCGATGTTCACCGCCGCGTGCCTCAAGCACCGCACCTCCCAGTCGCTCACGGTCGCGCGCCAGATGGTCCCACAGCTCAAGGAGCTTTTGACGAACACAGACCCGAAGGAGATGGAGCTCCCGCAGGACGGCAGGGGCTGGGTGAAGGTCGACGCGAAGGAGAAGGGCTGGCTCGCGCGGAGTTTGGCTAACGTGGAGCAGGCGCTGGGCAAGGAGGAGGGCGACCATAGCTGGCTCAGCAAGTGGCGGCAGGACAGTGGGCACGGAGAAGCCGTGTCGCCGTGATTCTGTTCTTTTGGTCGGCACATCGGGTCAATGCTAGACTTCAATTCCAGTGACAGGCAGACCTGCCTTGCAGGCAAGGATCGCTGTCCGCATCGCGCGCCCAGTCCCTGCTGTGATAGCATAACTTATACAATTTGAAATGCGACAAGGTGAGTGTATGCACACTGCGTTCTCGGTATCGCCCCCGCTACCCCCGATGCATGCTGGTATGTACGCAAGCACAATTCGACGTCCGTCGTGGAGAGGTCGTGGAGAGGACACCAGAAGCACTCGAAACCTGCCATGCCTATCGCCCCTTACCCGTCCTCTTCATACGCCGGCGGTGGCTCCTCCGCACCATTGTTCTCCGCCTCCATCATTCGCACTCTCAGCCTTGCAACTTCCATTTGCAATGTCTCTAATTGCCTGATCATCGTGTTGCCACCCGACGATAAGGCGGCGCTGCCAACTAGTGGAATGAGCTCTGGACCATCAGCAGGCGGGACCACGTCTTCGTGCCCTTCCGCCGATGGTTGTAAGGCCCGGAGTTCCGCGACGTGCTGCTCGCCGTCCCGTATCTGACGAGCCAGGGTGTCCCGCTCTGTGACGAGATGTACGTCCTCGCCAACGGTGATTTGTGGCTCCAAGGTCACAATGCTGTCAGCTCGAGGTGTCAAACCCCCGCCAGGAGGCTGCAGAGACTGTGGTGCTGTGGTATGCGGCTGCTCCGTGTCGACGGGAGGGTCGCCATGTGGTGCGGTCTTCAAAGACATCCGTGGCTTGCGAGTGGGTGACGGGTCGACACTGGTATCGGCCTGCACGACAGGTACCGGTTCGACTTGTCTGCAGCCCACTCCGTGGTCTGCAGAATCAACAAACGCTCTTGGGCTTTGAGTGCGCCCACCATACCGACGGCACAAGATGAAGAGGAGCAGAACAAGGGCTGCAGCAGCGCTGCCGCCAACGGCGGTCCCGATGATCATCGAGGATGACCTTCGAGCGTGTGTCGGCGTATTCCCTGACGCCACTGGCACTGATATTCTGGCAGTGGTATAAGTAGTTGTCGGCATCATGGAGGTCCGGTAGGATGAAGGTAGACTGCTATGTGAAGGGAAATTCGTGACTGCTGATGAGGGCAGGGATGGTGTCGTAGTTCTGACAGAGTCCACATTGGCTTTTGAGGGAGGCGATGGCTGAGTAGTGACGGACTCTGCACTTGTGAAGGCAGGGGGTGCTTGAGTGATGACGGACTCTGCGACTGTGGAGGAAGCGGGTGGCTGAGTAGTGACGGACTCCGCACTTGGTAGGGCAAAGGATGGTTGGGTACCAGTAGTGGAATTTACAGTGGTTGTTGGGGAAAGCCTGAGGGAAGAAGTGGTATCGCTGCTGCTCGTAGATATGCCACTCGATGATCCAGCATTCGATATATACGATGAAGCTGCATACGTTACTGTAGTTGTGCCTGGTGTGTCCGATTGCCTGGCAGGCAGGGATTATCAATGTAGCCCTGCCAATGAGGCCGACAACAAGCCTCCACGTACCCTGTATATGATATACACTGCGGGCCCCTGCCCAAGTAGCACACAGGCTCTCTTCGTTGATTGCCAACATGAAGGTGTGTATCACCCTAACAGCTCCTTGAATTAAAGGGTTGAATCACTGAGTGGAACGGCCAATGCCACCTACTGAATTCATTGCAGTTTTCAACATGACAAGAGTATTTGCGGCAGGGATGATGCACTACACACAGTGATTGCAACTAATGTGTTGGTACCACTGAGCAGAGATACATAAGCTGGACCAGTAAGTGGTGATCACACGATGCCAAGGCCTCCAGTAGAGTAGACTCACCAATGTGCCAATGTGCCAGCGCGAGTACTCTCAGTCTTTCATACGCAGAGGCAACGGAGGGTCATGGGGTGTCAGACATATGCATATATGCTCGTTCGTCTCCACGTCATGGTCCTTGCCTCGGACAAGATTCAATATTTAAGATGATACTATACGCAAAAGTTCAAGGCCGTGCCAGCGGTGGTGTCGTAACGATGGACCTGATACCTATCAATCCATGATCAACCCGGGCCCTGGATGGATTGCCACGGGCAGTGTTCAGTCTGAGATCATGCACGTTCACAAGAGTATCGTAGTCTTACCTGGAGGTATCTGGATGTTAACTGAGGCAAGAGTCTTGAGGGTCACTCACCATTTCTCATACTGTGGAATCTCGCAGTTGTCCGCTGACGATGCACGCCGATGCGACTCAGTGTTGTTCGGGGACGAGCTAGTACGGTTACCCGCTAGTCCGATGTAACAAGACGAGTTTACGCCTTGTACGAAAGGGTTCAGTCCTCACGCGGTTTGCTTAGGTAAGGGGCTCGACGGGTGATCAGGCCGACGAGGAGGGCGAGAGAAGGGAGAAAGGGGAGAAAGGAGTTGGATTGTACTATCTACGGGTACAGGTGTACAGTAGATGGTACAAGAGAGAGGCAAGAGGCGAGACGAGAGGGGGTAGACGTTTGACCAGCAAAGCGTGTCGTCTGCGAGTGTTTCGGCCCTTCCTATATACTCGCAGCGATCCTCGCATTGGTAAGCTACTCTGTATCTTCACGAGTACTCTCGAATATTCCATAGCCTTCGATAACATGCCATAGAGGTCGTGAACATACTAAATGATTCAATATCGTTCTATCGAGGACTAGTAACAACTAGTCACTCCTTACAATTACTTCCCCCTTGAATGAGACGAGGTCCCCGAGTCACTCGAAGTCACGGAACCTCGACAATTCAATGAATGGGAGAATGAACATAGATCATGCTGACTCTTCGTTTTCATCATACATGCTATGGTAATCATCGGAACGCGCATCCAACTCGCCATCGGACCCAACGATTTCCGAGCGCGAGTCAACATCGCTATGACCGAGATCATCAGCACCAGCACCTTCCGAACATGCTGACGAACCCTCATAGTCGAGGTCATCGTGGACATCAGCCCGTGAGCCATTTTCACTTGTGTGGCCTGTTTCATCCTCGTCCGAAGACTCGTCTGCTTCGTCTTCGTCCGAGGAATCTTCCTCCACATAGAGATGACCAGTGCAAGGGTTAGCAAATGTCAAGCCATTGGAAGGCGGAGCAGTCGGCGACGACAGTAGATGTCCGTACTGACTCCCGAGGCTATGTTCGATGTCTACAATGAGACGCTTGAAATCTGCGATAGTTATTGTGGAACCTGCGGGGTATCCCATACTCGTATTGATGAGCGCGTGCATGTTAGTTGGGACACCTAGTAAGAGATCACTGATCAACACTTGATCGGCTGCATTCTCACCGAAGACGATCTTCTGAAGCTTGCGTCGGTCGGCGAAGTATTGCGAGAAAGCCTCGCCTTGCCGCCACCGACGCGCGCGAAGCTGTTCAGATTTGCTAATATCATAGTTAGCCTTCCGGAACTCGCGTCGTAATGCCACTTGCCAATCCGCCCACGTTTGCAAGGCTGCCAGATCAGTTAGCGAAAGTGTGTGGAGCCACTTGAACGCTGCTCCACGTAGTATCAGCGGAAGAGACCGCAAGATCGTACCATCGTTGATGTTAGCGTAACACGCGATGTGCGAGATCTGACCAATCCAGTCGTCGACGTCTTCATCATCGCTGCCGGAGAATTCAGGCAGGTCGCTAGGTTTGAGTCTGACGAAGGGATGCTGACCAGTGGAAGTTGACTGATTCGCAGATCGTGTGGCAGAGCGGGCCAGTACTGAGACGGGAGGCTGCGGAGTGAATTGATTTACTTCAGAGGCTAGTAAATCCGGGGCTGGAGCGAACCTACGACTCGCGGATGCTCTCGTCATTGGTGGCGGGCGGCGAGGCGTGGCGGACATAGCAGCATGTGGACGTGGAGGCAGAGCCATGGTCGGCCATGCGGGTAAAGCTTCTTCATCTGGAGGCGATGCAAATGGCACACGCGGTGAGCGTACCTTCACTTCAGCAGGATGTTCATGGCGCAAGCACTCAGGATCAAGCTGTCCAGCGGCACTAGCACGCTGAGACACCAGCACCGAAGGACGTAGGGTGTTGCCCTGCTGTCGTGCAGTGTCGAACTGATGTTGCATAACTGAAGGTACCTTGTTGCAGACATCTGAAACATCTAGGAGCTGTCGAGCGTCACCTTGTCCTGAAGACGGGCGAAGCGAAGTCTTATCCCGCAACACGAATGGATGGTCGGCGACAGTGTGCGCCGAAAGCATCGGGGTAGAGGTGATGCAGTTCGAGTGGCTGTTAACCCGGGCTGAGCTTTGAGGTTGAAGCCTAGGTCCCGGGAACCCGCGACGTGTGGCATCGTTCGTATGGGGCGAAGCTGACGGCGTGTGGCTCCGTTTGCGGATTGGGATGTCGCATGACGTGCCAGAAATGTCCAAGCTACGATCTGCCCGAAAACGCGGGAGCGAGTGCCAGTGTACCGTCCCCTCAGAAGAGGGTGGACTCACCGAGGACGTTGCAGGTGGCTGTAAATACGGTGCCAGTGGATTCGCTCTGCGCGACTGGACTGCGATCGGGGGCATCAATCCACTAGCCGACTCGAGTGGTGTGGGTAGATCGTAAGTTGAACGCACGATCTGCGGGGTGGCTTGAAGGTTGGTGGCGCGAGCGGATGCCTCACGTGTACGGCGCAGGGTCGAGGTACGGGTGTCGATCGGGGTTTTGCCAGCCACACCGTCCTGGTGGCGAACTACAGGCACGACGCCAGGAGATCGACATCGTACCGTCCCTTCAGAAGAAGACGGACTCACCGAGGACGTTGTGCGTTGGCGAGCAGGAGGAGCTGTGCCAGTTGTGGAAGGCGGTGCCATGCTGGCGGAACTGCGTGCGGGACGCGTGACGACAGGCGGTGTGAACGTTTGAACACAGGCGTCGCGAGTCGTGGTGTGGGTGGCGAGGAGTGCGAGACCGCTGAGGATCGCACGGTCCGAGCCAAGGGGAGGTCGGGAGCGGGAGTGCGTCGCACCGACAAGCACGTGCAAGAAAGCGGCGCGCTGGCAAAGGGGAGAGGGGAGGAAAGGCCGGCAAGGGGTACGCGACGGGCTGCGTACAAGGGGGGGCAGCTGCAGAGGGCGGTGTCGGGGTACACCGAGCTCGAATGTGTAGCGCGACACGAGACGAGCGGGGCTTGTGCGGCAGCAAGGGCGCGCAGCAAGCAGTGCGTACCAAAGCGAAGGTAGCACGGAGAGTCGACGACGTCGTCACGCCGAGACTCAGGGGGACCGAAGCAAGGTGAGGGAGCTGAATGTCCACCAAATTGTAACAAGACGAGTTTACGCCTTGTACGAAAGGGTTCAGTCCTCACGCGGTTTGCTTAGGTAAGGGGCTCGACGGGTGATCAGGCCGACGAGGAGGGCGAGAGAAGGGAGAAAGGGGAGAAAGGAGTTGGATTGTACTATCTACGGGTACAGGTGTACAGTAGATGGTACAAGAGAGAGGCAAGAGGCGAGACGAGAGGGGGTAGACGTTTGACCAGCAAAGCGTGTCGTCTGCGAGTGTTTCGGCCCTTCCTATATACTCGCAGCGATCCTCGCATTGGTAAGCTACTCTGTATCTTCACGAGTACTCTCGAATATTCCATAGCCTTCGATAACATGCCATAGAGGTCGTGAACATACTAAATGATTCAATATCGTTCTATCGAGGACTAGTAACAACTAGTCACTCCTTACATCCGAGATCAGGCCTTTCGCGCCACGCGCCGGACCCTCCACGTGCGCCTGTGTTCAAGGCTCATAGTTGACACTGGACCAGGCCATCGCGAAAGTCGGAGATCACAACGAGTTGACTGAAACATCAGTTATTCTTCTACAACAGAGAACAGTGCTGCACGCTTCGCCGGATGCTGACCGCGAACTCCACATGGTACCAAGCTATGAAAGGATTTTGATCCGAGACCGCACATATACCGATACAACAGAACTCTCCTAAGTATAAGCGGTCAGAGGTACCGCAACCGTGGAGACACCTAAGCACGGCCTACCTGACTGGGCGTTGACGGCAAGCTCAGAATCGTAGCGCTGCGCGAGGTCAAGCAGGTACGCAACGGCACATCGCTCTGGCCATCACCTAGAAGAGAACTGTGGACACAGGCTGTAGCTGCAACAGGAGGACTGCAGACTCACTGGCTCGAAGCGTCGACGCTGGATGTTGTGACTCTCGGGACTTCGCCGAGACGAGTGCGAGAGAACCCATGATTGCCCGTGTCCGCAGACGCTTTTCTATGCTATGATGCCTCATGCTGACGGTCCGTTAATTGAACAACGTCGAGTACATCGTTCCACTCCGAGAATGCCTCTTGGAAATTGTAGTCACGATGATGGTCCAGCGATCTCTCATGTTGTTCCAATGCGAGGTCACAATTAGCGTATGCCCATGCAAACGCCCTATGTGGACCGATTTTGACAGCCCCGGGTGATACCGTGGATGGAGGCTGTCCTAAGTAGATGCAATGTAGATGTAGATGTCAGTTATGAGCGCCGCAGACGCCCAGCGGCAGATGCACCGTTGAGTCTTTCCATCCACATCTCACGATGAAAGATACCGAAGGTCCGCACCAGGGGTGAACTTCTTCTTCTCGTGTTGAATCCATCTTGTACACAGGAAGCTGTCACTGCGGGGCGGTGAAACTGCGCATCCACGGTGAAATCAACGAGGATACCAAAGCAGGTATCTGTCACTGCAAGGACTGCCAGTTATTCTCCGGAAGCTGTACGTATATCCATTTCTCAAGCAAGCGACAACTTGACGGACCTTAATCATCCTATCCTTCGCGCAGTATTCGCGTACGCAGGTAAAGTAGACCGGGAGAACCTGCAAGTCGTCCAAGGTCAACCAAAGTCGTACAAGCAACCGACGGACACGAGCCTCTCCGGCAAGCAAGTCACCCGGCACTTCTGCGGGGACTGCGGCACCCCGCTGTGGGTCGAATCCGACGCGACTCCCACCATCTACGCCGTCAAGCTCGCGTTGTTCGCGAACAACTTCGCGCCCGGGATTGAGATCTTCTGGCAGAACGCGCATGGTACATATCTCCTGTGCGCTCTATTTCGAAAGAGATGCTGATAAGTAGCCTTCTGCGCAGATTGGGAGAAGCCGATGGCCCCTCCCGAATTGGTGTTCGATACCTTGCCAGCCATGCCTCCGACCGCTTGATGTACCCCCGAATTCTGTATACCGTAGAAGGAGCTTGAAAGCCACCACTCACTTGCTGTAGCATCGCCGTAACGGCATACAGACCATTTAAGCCACACAATTTCTGAGGGATTCGACCGTGAATTTCTGCAGATTTCTACTTTTGATTGGGAGGGACAAGCTCGGAGGCAGGCGAGCGACATCATCTTGTATGCGAGTCAAAAGTTAACAGAAAGCAGACAAACATAACCGCATTTGACAGGCGCATCGAGCTCATAGAATGTGTACTGCACTTGGAAGAGAACGGAGGGAACGACCCATGGTCTCTCCGCAAGCGCGCCTGTGGCAGATCCTATTTGTCTATGTTAGGATTCAAAGCCTCCGCCTTCCTAATTCGTCACCACATGCATTCAACGCCCACCGGGAGATGCGCCACCAGCCTGCAACACGAGCGCTTGGGTATCCAAATCGATTAGTAGCACTACATTACGATACACCCCAGCAACCGATACATGTCTACAAAGGCAAACAAACAAAGCAACGAGAGGCAACAACATCGCATCGACCGAGACAGACGCTAGAAATACAATAACTTATCGACTACCAACGTCAACGCCAGCTATCCTGCCCACCCTACTAGACTAGCTTACTCGACTCCTTGGGCATCGCTCAGCTGACTCGCGGGGCGGAGGACCTGCCGGATGTCACACACCCCGCCAGCTGATTGCTACCTCTCCCACGCCGCCGCACGGCCCCACCGCCGCTCGAACCACCTCCGGAGCACGCGGTTGACCTCCGCATCTTGGTTCGGCCGCGACACGTCGTCGTTCATGCAGAGGAGCGCGACGTTGTCCGCGCGCTCGATCCGGTTGATGACGGCCGCTACTTGCATCCCGGACACGATCCGCTCGAACGACATCGGCGTCGAGCCTGCGCGCGGGGATCACCATTAGCACTAGTGCACAATGCTTCGGGGCGAAATGATAGAACTTACCGAGCACGTAGCGATATCGGTGCAGGAGCTGCAGCGTCCATTGCCTCACGTTCGTCTCCTGGCTGCTCGCCATGACCCCCGTGAGCGAAAAGTCGCCCTTCTGCCAGTCATCCACGAGCGGCAGGTGCGGGACGTCCCTGCCCACATCCGAGTCCAGCGGAGGCGTCGTCTGGACAACCCGCTCCGCAGGCGGCAGGAACGCCGACACGCCGAGCTTGCCGCTCGCCTTGACGAGTGCGCTGATCACTGTGGTGACACATCAGCCGGGATGGCGTAAAGACGGGGGAGGATCAACGCACCGCAATCGCCGCACCGCGGATCCCGGAACGCGAGATGTTTGAACACCTCGCTCGCCTTGGACCCGTCCCCAAGGGTCCTGTCCACCGTGAAGCACTGCGAGTAGGACAGTCGACACCGGGGGAGTGCCATCTCCGCCGTGTCTGGCTTGACCGATGGGAAGCTGGGCTTGCCGGTGGGCCCCAGGTTCAAGTACGGGAACCCGTCGAGGGAGGCTATCGTCGTCCAGAGAGTGAGTGTCGAACAAAAGACAAGAGCCAACGGCACGCACAGAAGATATACGACGTCAGATAGTCCGGCTCGTACCCATGCGCGACCATCGTCGCCCGCACCCTCTCCGTCTCCAACGTCTCCCGATACCCGCTCGTCACGACCAGCTCATCCACCGCGGCCAAACTCTCCCAAAACCCGCCCCCGACCTCCAGCCACGCCCGCTGCGCTTCCACCGCGCCCCACTCGTCGTCCGGCCCGCCGATCGCGCCGACGACCCACGCCCACAGAAGCGCCTCACGCGCGCGCTCCACGACGAAGTGGGTGCTCATGAACATCGTGTTTACGTCCCCGTCGCCCTTCACGGTCTCCCGGAACTTGTGCAGGGCCGAGGACGCGAAGACCTGCGGCCAGATCGTGTGCAGCTCGTGCAGGAGGTGCATCCCCGCGGGCTTCGCTTCGTGCGCTACGTACGGTCGGGAACGCGCCCCGAAGCGATTGCCTACGTGGATGGACGATGAGGATGTGAGCGAAGGACGATGTATTGAGACGCACTGAGGAGCCAGTTGCTCTCGCCGAGGGAGCGCCATTCGCCCATCACTCTGGTCGTCGGTCGGTCGGGCTTGACGAGGAGATCGGGCTGCAGGTGGAGGACGATGCCGTATGCGGATGTGTAGAATGTTGCGGGGGTGACGGGATTTAGCATGAAGAGGTCGTCGTTCTAGATGTAGAACAATGTGATCAGTTTTAAGACCAGGATGCGCATCACATTAGTGGGTTTAGAGAAAAGTCGGTTGAGAGGCGAGAGCTCATCAGAGACTGGCAATAATGGTGCGTTACAGCCACTCTGCCTTGGACACTGATGATTGTCTCACTGATCACTAGAGAGCTTTGACACCGACTTTCGAAGTTGAAGGAAGAAATCACGCCGGAACGAAATCAGAGGAGCACTCACCATGTAGACGCTGCCAGAAGCGGTTGAGCAATAGGCAGCATAATGGTACAGAAGTGCTCACAAGTAATTTGACATGTCCGGAACATGTCCGAGCTGCGATTCGATAGCAAGACTTGGGGACAACGTCATCCTCGAGCGTACCGTACATGTCCGAGCGACGTACCTGTTGAAAACCGTACCACCGTACGGCCTGAAGAACTGCGCGTGGTGCGTAACAATGAGCTCCATGTCCCCATCGCTCCACCGTCCAGCCCCGACACGTTTGTCGCAGTCGAGCCATTGCGGCAGCTGGCCGAGTCGCCATACTTCCGGTGTTGTGAGATTGGTTCTATTGGCGTACTGATCGGGCACGGCGAAGTCGGTGGTCAGTAGTCGGTACCGAGACCCGGGCGATTTGAAGTTGTTGACGACCGATCGCATTGAGTATTTGAGCTCGTCATGATCGCTGAGCACGAAACGGTGCGTCAGCACAGCTACACAAGGCGGCCAAGCCTACGCACCGATACAGGCGTGCCTGAGTGCCCGACTTCACAGGCCTGTATGGGTCGTTTTGGTCGTACTGGGACTGGGCGTGCTCCTTGGCCTCCTGGAGGAGGAAGTCGGAGCCGTTGACCCACGTCCAGAGCACGTCGAGCGGATCAACCTGGTCGCCAAGACAATCATCGCCAAGACTGAAGTGGGCGTCGAGGCATGACGCGCGCAGATCGCGGACAGGCAGCAATGGCGTGCGTGGCGGTGGCGGGAGCGGGGCGATTTCGAATGGGATGTAGGACGTCGACTCGAGGCGCGCGGTGAGGCCGAGCTCGTCGTCGAGGTCCTCGAACGCGCGGTGGAGATAGATGAAGAGAACAAGGAGGGAGGCGGCGAAGGCCGTGGCCAGCACGAACCGCCGCCGGAGAAAGTAGGCTGGGACGTACTTGACCATGCGACTAGCGGGCGGGCATGGGGCGAGGACGTGGGCGGGACGTGGCAGGGCTGTGAGGTCTATGTACATGATATGGCAGCTGCGCACTGCTCCGCGCCATGTTGGGACGGCTGCCTGATGAGCGTGCTCCTCTAGCAAATCGTCCCCTAAAAATAGCATCTGCCGCCCGGCACAGGCCGTCTTCTAGCCTCTTTTGAGTCTTCTCCCTTTCCCCGCACACGACCGCGTAACTCCTCGCGTGCCTCCTCCGAGGCTCCTCCTCCTCCATCCTCCGCACCGCGTTCGCGGTACACAACTGGCTGCATATCGCGACGCCCGCATCATGCAGGCCGAGCCGTCTGCCAGAACAGTAACCACTGAACATTTCAGGGACCGAGAGTCAAACCCGGCCTGACGTTGCCGCCGGACATCACCCAGTCTTGTTTCTCACAAATACAGTTCCGGTCTGCGCAAAACACAACCATTTCTACACTGCGCAGAAACGCTTCGACCTTTCGTATACTGTCACCTGACGAAATACAAGCAAGCTTGAAAGAATATAAGTATTATATTGGGAAAGGTTGGCCGGTGAGGCCGGTGAGCAGATTCCGATCGGACCGAAAGGGGCAAACAGCTTCCCCGAATGGAAAGTGATGACGATGTGATCGAGATCGCACGAAGCTGGTTCGAGACATCGTGCACTATATGATCATCCGAGTCAGTATAAGAACACCTGTACGTATACACTACAGCAACCTTTGTAACGCTCTACGTATAGCAGTGTTACTAACATGTTCGGTATGTCTGATTTCCTGCTCACTTATTCATGCGCGTCTCTTACTTTGCTCGTTCAAATGGTAGAACCGTGGCGAATGCCGTACACATGGCAATAAATCCGAACTGCGGACCCGCACGAGCGCGTACGTTCGACAGTTGGTTGACATACAGAATCTCAAATGTCCCAACGCCTCTCAGGCCATTCGCATCGAGGTTCAACCAGCAAAACATCTTCATTCCTCAGGTCCCACGCATATCCGAGAGAGGAGCAGAGTTCGGATGAACAGTGAGCGATCCCATAGTATGAATGCTCTGCGCGATAACATCCCGACGTCCATGAGGCACACTTCGGTACTTAGCATTGTTGTGCAGGACCCCCACGGTCTACTCAATCGCACCCGGTTACCGCCGTTCATCCGACCGCCACAGGTACGTACTTATGAGTGACGAGTCGTTCTCACCCTGTAGTACTTGATCTCTGATTGCACCCGTGCTCAGAAACATTGTAGCCTCGTAAGTATTGCCTGATAGCCCCGCACAGCATCTCAGACTGCGCTTGACCGCCCAGTGACAAGCATGGTTCCTGAGGCCTTGCGTTCGCAGTCGACGATTAGATGCAAGTACTTGGTCGCTCAGAGTCTCCCCAGTATACTCACGAAACCCCCATGTACACAGGATGCACGCGTCCGTGGAGATCCCACCTCAGTCAAGCTGCTTGGTCCACTCACATCGCGACTCAGTACTCGGGCGCCTACTCAGGCTCAGAATGGCACGATACAACTCGGAAGGGGATGACCGATGGTCTCTTGCTAGGTATCAATGACCGTATCATTGGGCGGTGCAGCTCAAACGAGATGGACCCACTATAGGCTGAGGACACATCGGAGCAGGTAAGTACGTTAGAGTCATTAAATCTCCCCGAACATCTACTGTAATCCCAGACACGCCGACAGACATGATCTTCATATTAATCTACCGCCTACAGCAAACTTCCATCCCAAGAATCAACCTCGGGAGCGTCCATCGGCGAGACTCCTACCCGCCCGAACTCCAGCGAGCCGACATAGTCAAGCACCCGTCTCCCGCCCACTCGCAGCACATCCGCGTTCCATTTTACGAATTCAGGCTCCGAGTCATCGCTCGCAACCGCGGTGAACTTCACCCCCTCCAAGCGACGACCACGCATGGCCCGCCGGATGACGAGACCCAGGACCTCCCATGGCTTCCACCCCGCAGGCAGGTCGCCCACGAAGTGCAGCGTTTTCAGCTCCGGGAAGGGTGCGTCCGCCTTCGAGAGGCACCTGCTCCAAAAGCTCCTGTGCACGCGCGCGTCAAACCCGACAGTGCAGGTCCGCACCTTGGGCATGGCAGCAAACAAATCCCGCGCGTCGGCGACGAGGAGGGACACCCCGCCGATCTGCACGCTCAGGTCCACGACGCCCCGCAGGTCCAGCGCCCGCACGACCGCGCGCACGAACTCCGTGGGGAACGCACGCGCCACTGTCAAAAAGTGCGTCTGGACTACGTGCATCTCAAGCGGGATCAACCCGTGCACGAGGTTGAGCGTCAGCGCGCAATCGGGGCCGCTGCACATCAAGCAGTGCTGGTTCTTCGTCAGCCAGAGCGCCACCTTCGTGATTCCGCTGAGGTGCGCCAGGAAGCCCGCGTCCCTCGTGAGCACGGGCAGGAAGTCGTACATGGAGTGTCCATTGCCAATCACCGACCGTATCTTCGAGCAGTCGGACTGCACGGTCGCCCTCCGCGCGGGGACGACGTACCGGAGGAGACGTCCCGCGCCCAGCCAAGCCTCCTCGTCGAACGTGATCCGCTGCAGGCGCGGCAGATGCACGCGCCGCCCCGCCAGCGCCGGCGGCTCGTCCCGACAGCGCCGGCATCCGCGGCGCCTGCAAGAATCGTGCACGAGCACGAGCTCCTCGAGGTTCTGCGAGCCCTCCAGGAAGTCGAGGAACGACGCCAGGAACGGCGCGTCGTGCGGCAGCTCCGAGTCCGGGGTGTCGCCGAACGCCGCAGTCCCCTCGTAGAGATACAGGTGCGTCAGACTTGCGAAGCGGTTGTTGATGTGTGGCGAGAGGCCGATGCAGACCAGACGAGAAAGGCGAGGGGCGGAGCCTTTGAATAGCCTTGGGAGAGGCTGGGAGGAGATGGAGGGACCACCTACGAACAGCTGCAGGCCTTCGAGGAGCGGAGCCGGCTGATGGAAGAAGGGACGCTGCAGCAGCTGCGTGTCTTGAACGTCCCCGCAAACGCATGGCGCCCGAGGCGAGTCGTTACAGCCGGACGGTGGCCGCACAAATAGTTGGAGATTCCGTATCCGTATCGGGGGCCCGGGTGAATCGTGTCTCGCGTCGAGATACCGAACGAGGTGGTCCGAGCCAGAGAGTGCCAAATTGATCGGAAGAGAGTTGCTGCGCGCAATGAGGCCCCAGAGGCCGCGTGAGGTAGTCTTCTTGCACACCTGGATGGTCGTCCAGAACTCGGGACAGTTATAGACCGATTGCCTCCACGAGCGGCACACCGTCAGGATCGAACACATGGTGAGCTGCGCTGGCGATTGGTATGACGGCCGGTTCATCGGGAACTTGTCGTAGACGGCCAAGGTGAAGATCCGTTGCAGGACCTTCAGCGGGAGACGATGGATGCCATGGGATATATTTCGAGCGCAGCGAAGGCCTGTAACTGCCAGATGCAATTGGCCAAGGGCATGGGCAAGAGTGGCGCTCTCCTCGCTGGTCACAAGCGCATCAAGGTCAGTGACGGTTCATACGCTCAAATCCAGATGCTCTCACCGGGACAGACGAACATTTCTAGCAATCAAGCTATCGGCGATGTCGGACACCCGCAACGCGATTGTGGAAATGGTTGGTGTTTCAAGTTGCTCCATTGCGGCTGAATGTAATCGACGATGAGCAGGAGGATTCAGTGGTCAAGGGGTACGACTCCTGAGGCGCTTATATATGTTGTTTATAGCTCGGTGGCCATGACGCCCAGACATTGTGGCCAAAGCGGTGGCGTCCGTGTCAAAGCAAATCAAGTTCGGTGGCTGGGCGAGCGTAGCTGGGCACTCCTCAACGCATGGCGAGCCCTACGGCGCTCGAACGTGGTGACTACATGGAATCTCCTCCTCCTCAGCAACTTCAACTTATTGCCTCCGCGGTGTCGGTGAGGCTCACTGCGCATCGTTATAGAATTGGTTCGCGTCAACAGTGCAAACCGTATGATTTCGGTTCAACACCCGAGACATTCGCGATATGGAGCAAGAAATCGACCACCTCCGTGCATCGCAGCCGTCGATGGGCGGGCCAGAACCGCTGGTTTCATCGGGACATGTTGGGGACTTACTACTTGCTCCGACCGAGATGCTCGACACGCACTCGCGCTTGATAGGTGAAGAATAGGACGCCAGAGCCTGAGTACGATATACATGAACGTGACCGGAATGTTGGGAGTAAGACGAGTCGTACGAGTCGCAAAGAGTTTTTATGTACATGACCGATAACGGAAGCATACTAGTACATGTACAGTAGATGGGTCTCCTTCATAGAACGAGCAACTCGTGCATATCCAAAGAATCAGATGTTACCGTCCCAGTGCGTGAACATCGGTGGCGCCATGGGGGACTCTTCAGCAGCTCTCACCTGTACAGAATCGACGAAGTCCAGAAGGCGGTGACTACCGACCTTGACGGATTCTACATCAACGCGAGTGCATTCGCTAAGATCCGCCCATTGGGCAGGGATGTTAGTCAACTTGAGCTCGCGCAATGGGGAGCCACGTCGCGCTCGGCGGATGGCCACATCGAAGAGCTTGAGTCGCTCGGTCTCGGGGAAGGTGCCGACGTACTCGAGGGACGCCAAGGCAGGGAACGTAACGGACTTCTTCGACAGAGTCTTGCTCCAGGACTTCAACGGAAGGTGCGAATGGAGCCGAATCGCGCACGACTGGACGGCGGGCATAGAATGGAAGAGAGCTAGAACCGTTAGCGACGGCAACCCTGCACATACGTCGGCGTCGATCTTGAAAGTGTCGACGTGCTCCAAGTTGAATGTTCGTGGCAGCATCTCTATAAAAGGTACGGAGAGGTGATGGTGCCAGTGCGGGATGCGGCGGCCGTCAGGCAAGACCGGTTTCTTCTCTTTCTTCTCCTTCAACTCGAGGTTGAATGTGAGTGATCCCGTGGCCGAGACGCATTTGAAACACAGTTGACTGCCAGCCCAGACGGAGAGGTCAGTCACGTTGGTGACGTTCTGCAGAAAACCAGCGTCCTTCGTGAATATGCGGAGGAAGATGTGGGGCAAGATATGTGCCCAGTTCTGGTCGACTTGGATCACTGCGTGTTGAGCTGGGACGATATTGCGGAAGAGTTGCGCCGTGTTCTCAAAACAGGATTGCAGCAGAGTGATCTTCTTGAGCCGTGGCATCGACACACGTCGGTCGGCGAAGGTGTGTAGATCCTCCACGAAATGCGGTCCAGTATGATGCAAAGCCAGCTCTTCAAGGCTGGGAGAGCCCTCCAAAAAGTCGAGCGTTGCGGAGCTAACTACAGGGACGTCGGGATAGGCCATCCACAGGAACAGACGGGTAAGGTTCTGGAACTTGTTGGTGGCGTGAAGAGGATTGCCGATGCAGCATAGATCGCGGAGCTGAGGCGCTTGCCCTTGAAACAGATCGGTTAAGGGGTCCTGTATGCCCACGCAGGACCGATGAAGATCTGTAGACCCTCGAGGATCGGCGCGGGTTGGCAGAAGAATGAACGTTGCAGAACGTCGGGATCCATGAGCGGCAATATATCTCTATTCAAGAGCCACTCTTTCGGCTCGTGCACGAGCAGCTGGAGCCTTCGGACCCGAGAAATGTTTGCGTCCAGATGTTCCACAAGGTGCTCGGCGCCGAAGAATGATATGTCGAGGGGAAGGATTTACTGCGCCCAATTAGCGTTTGAAAGGCCGAGGGAGTGAGCTTGCCCCGGACTTCGATATTCGACCAGAAACTAGGGTCCTCGAAGATGACAGCTCTCCACCATCGGCAGACCCTTTGGACGGCGCACATAGTGACGTTCGGCCGCGGTGCGTGCGAGCGGTCTAGATGGTCGGGGATGAGGTGCATGAAGATAGCCCGAAGGATCTCGACGGGCAGCTGGTTGATGTGAGATGATTGATTATGCAGAAGGGAAACGTGAACGATCGTGTCGTTGAGTCGGGCAGCGACATGGTCGAGTGGTGTCACCCCGAACCTAGGCGCAATGTGAGGAAAGGGATAGGTATGGAGGGAGATTGGGACCAACCGAGGAGGGCCACGACTGCTTGTTTGTAAGAAGGCAGAAACCATCCGGTTGATATCGGATGCAAGTTCGTCGATGTCGGCGACACGCGATTGCAGCTCAGGCTGTGGAGATGACATTGCGCTGGAAGTAGGGGAGACAGAACAACACAAGAGGAACAGTGGCGATGTCCAGGAAGAGACGTGTTGGAAAAAGCAGAACCTATATATGTGTACTGTGGTCACGAGTAGACAAAGAATGGCGACAAGGTGCGGTCAAAGCGCTGCACCTGTCCGAGTCAAAGCATATGTGGCCGGTGGCCACATTTGATAATCCAGCTTCACGACAATCTCGTAGATGCGCAGAATAGAAATGAGACCTCACCTACTTCAATTGATGCCGTAACCCCATCGCTAGCATAATTTGGATGAGAAGTTGACAGCAGTTGTGAACTTTGCATCACAGGCCGCCTTGAGACAGACAAGTCCTCTGACGGACCTAGAATTTTATCTATTGTCAAATCTGTGACGAAGAATTTCACATTACAGCGGCGAATTCAAGGGAAGATGCGCTGGAGAGTGCAGATTGGCACAGGTCCTCTGTTTCGTGTATGTGGCTGCGTCCGAATCGATGTGGCAGGCGGTAGGATTCGGACCACACTGAGCGCCAGCTGCAGCCACAGATCGGCATCATCGGGATCAGCAGTGTGGCCGCGGCGTGTAACGCCGCCACACGCTTCCACGAACCACCCGGTTGGACACTGCTATGCAAAGACAAAGACAAGTGATCGTCACAGCTGAAAACTACCATATCTGTGCAGCATTGTTCTCGATGTTGCTAAGCAACCAAGCAACCATTGGCTGGACGGTACTAAGCGTCGTGCTGCAGCATGCAGGGCCACGATGCGGCCAAAGCCACCGTGAAAGACAAAGGCGGTACGGTTACTTGTGGCTTCACTTCCATCTTTGCTTCGATTGCCTTACACGGAGGTTTGTCACTACGCAGCGCCAATGGCCACCAGCATATATAGTGCACGTCCCATGGATCGGTGCCAGGCCGCTACCCTGCCTCTAGTACGTTTGCATACCCACATGATGGACGCCTCCATACCACCGAGTCTAGAATTCTTCAGCAAGACGGCTGCCGAAGTTCTTATGCTTGCCGCCAGCGTCGACAGGTCTGCGGGCGAGCTCTTCAGGTGGGTTGCTTCCACCACCAAGGCGAAATGGTTACCAATGACATCGATTCCCAGCGGCCACCGAGCTATCTTGGACAGTGTTGCAGACCAACTCCGACGTGCCATGTTATGCGTCGAACACACGCGCAATATTCTGGCTCCTATCAACCGCCTTCCCTCCGAAATCTTGTGCATGATCTTCTCGCGCGTTGTCATGGACTGTCCACGACAATCGCAACGGAATCACCCGAGTAGAGGGAAACATGCAATCCAAACTGTCTGTCGACTCTGGCGGCAGATAGCAATATCCTTCCCCGTGCTTTGGTCCGAGATAGAGCTCACCCAGCGGACGCCAACGGCTGCACTCCACGAGCTGCTGCAGAGGGCCGGTGTCGTCCCGCTACAGGTATCTGTATTCCGTGCCGACCACCTGGTGAAGTATATCGGGCCGCACATGCATCGGATGCAAAGGCTGGAGGTTACGTTCGAGAAAAGCTCCACGCAGAACATGCAACTCTCACGGCGGTTCTCGCTCCTTTTCCAACCCGCCCCGTTTTTGAACGGCTTGCACGTCTCCACGCACGAAGATGACCCCTACCTCATCATGATGCCTAAATTGTTTCAAGGCCACGCTCCCCGGCTCTCGCGTCTCTCCCTCAGCCGGCACTATCTCTGTTCGACGAACCGGTTTCCAAACCTCACCCATCTGTATCTCAGTATGCAGTATACGTTCAGCCCGTCGTCGCTTGAAGATTTCCTCGACTTCCTGGAAGGCTCGCCGAAGCTAGAAGCAATCGTTTTGGAAGAAGCGGGGCCGTGCATTCTCCCAGAACTCCTTCCTAGTTTTCCGCTGTCTCGTTGCGTAACCTTGAGCCACCTCCGCACTCTCGTATTCGACGTGTGCCGTTGGCAGGTCATCGCTTGCGTCCTGCGACACGTCGTCCCCTCAACCCATGTCGAGATCGAAATTGTCGAACTGCAACAGTTGACACTATCACGCGAGCTACTTGCTATCCTCGCGCCGGGTGCAGCGTTCTTGCAGCACGTCGATGACATGGCTCGGCTGTCCCTCTGGTTCAATGACGGCCAAATTTGCTTCACGTGCGAAGGCCCCCTGGCTATGTTGAAGATCGACATGGTGTTGGACTGCAGCCTACCCGAGCCTGTCTGCGGCACGCTGGCATCGGCTCTCGTGGCGGAGCTCCCGCAAATTTTGCCTCTCCACAGCGTCACGGACTTCCGACTCAAGATACACGACTTTGCTCCTATATGGTCGCCCGCCGTTCAAGGCATGCTGCAATCTATGCTTGCGGTTCAATCGTGCACAATCTGGATCGACCCTAGCTTGGACAAGAAGTACTGGCGCGCCTGTCTAGAATCTAGAGTCCTCGGCGTCCCGTTGCCCAAACTGAAATCTCTCCACTTCGTCGGAGAGCTTCCTAAGTGGTGGAAGCCATTCTGGGCCATGGGCGTGGCGATCGGACGAGCGAAGCGGGGATACCGGCTCCAAGAGCTGACTTGCACGGGACTCAAGATTGGCCAATACGTCCCGACATTCGTCCTTTGGAATCCAGAGACAATGAAAATCGGACGGCAACGCGTAATGGACTTCGTTGATAAGGTTGAATTGCGGGCAGTTGGGTCGTCTCCGATGATACCGCCTGTAATCCATGGCTGGGACGGTATGCTGTAGGAACAATGAAGGGGACGCTGTGCATCGAGCATGAATAGAAGTTGCTCTCGGAGGGTTTGTGTAACTATGCTAGTATACGAACAATGGTAGGGGACGTGGGGAAGCATGTTCAGTAGCTATTGGGATATGACGATTGTAGTGTATATATCATTCATCTAATCTTCCACTGTAGATTGGGTATTTATACGAATTAGTCGCAATTTCTGCTTTCGTAAAGACACCTGTAGTGCACAGCGATCGTGGCGTGTATGCAGCGGAGACGGGTAGCATTGCAGTTAGAAAAGAACGCAAGGTAACGTACAATGGGTTGTAGTTGGAGACACTACATTCTACCGTTCCAGTTCACAGGCTCGGGACGGTCCAGAAATCTGCGGTCATCATCCATGCGGTCAAGCACCAGCTCGTCTACATAGTCCATCACACGGTCACCGTCAAGCGTCACGCTCTCGGGATCCCACCCGTAGAGTGGAACCATCTCTGGCTCGGACGAGATGGCCGTACATGTCAAGCTGCGCAGTGGGTAGCCAAGCTCGGCCCGTTCCATCGCTACGTCCAAGACGGATGTAGGCGTCCACAGAAGGAACGTTTCATTGTGTTTGGCGACGCGGACGTGCTTTAATTGAGGCAGGAGTGGAGGGTCGTCGTCTGCTAGAAGCCAGATCAAGCCTTCTTCATCTACGTCTTCGAACACGAACACGGTGAGCGACGCGGCGGTGGGAGTGGCGAGGAGAAGCGCGTAAAGGGCGTCGTAAGACCTATCCAGAACGCGGGCGACCTGAAGGCGAAGCTTGTCGACCGTGGAGAGATCGAATCTTTGGGCAAGATACTCTAGGACTGCTTCGAGGATGTCATCATCGTCGTCCTATGGTCAGCGAGTAACCCAGAACCGCGTTGAACGTAACACAACCGACGAGGTCGCGACATGCGAAGCAGAATTCCCCGCACACGTAATCCGTGGTCCAGAAACTCAACTCCTTGACCGGGCTGATTCGAGAGAAGAATGGCGCACCGGATTGGAGGATGTCGAAGCGCCATGTAGCGCCTTTCGGTGCATCATCGAACCAGTCGCAGCGCAGCGCGACAGTTTCGGAAGGGATGACATGTCCGATAAAACATTCAAGGAGGGATTCGCAGTTGTCCAAGACAACACTTCGCAGACAAGGTAGGGAGACTATCCGGGACGATTGCGACGGAGGGAGATCTCCGACTTTGACTCCGTCTAGGACGACTTCTTCTAGATTCGGAGAACCCTCCAAGAAATCCAAAACCTCCGCGATCGGGGGATTGTTGTAGGCGGCGTACGCGCAACCGACGAAGATATGAGTGAGGTGCGGAAAGGTGTTGTGTGGCCACGGCAAGCACCGCTTGAAATAGGCACGGGTAAGGCGTGCGGTGTTATCGAAAAGGCGCGGAACGAATGCGTGGTTGCCCAGGTTCGTATTCGCATCGAAGGTCAGATGAAGACCTTCGAGGACAGGTGCGGGTGTCGCAAACAACGGTACACTCAACAGAGTGTCTACCTTCTCCACGCGGCCGACAAGAAAGGTGAGACAGAGCCGCTGTACGCGATGCATGTGTTGTTCGAGGTGGGACAGCAGGTGTTCAGCATCCATCAAAGATATCTTGAGTGGCATGGGGGCACTACGTCGCAGGAGTTACTCGAGTTTGCTTGACGTCGTATCGCAGTATACCTCGATATTCGACCAGAATGATGGGGTATTGAGGAAGACCCGCCGCCAATATCGGCACACCGACTGCATGGAGTAGAGAAGATCCAGCGCGCGACATACGAGATTCTTGTCTGGTCCTTGAATATAGCGCGGCTTTTCTTTCGCCGAGTAAGACATACAAAGCACGAAAATCTCGTGCAGGAGTTCCGGCGGCAAGCGGTTAAGAAAGTCGTAGCCATTCCGCTTCGTCAACGCCACGTCGCATTTGGAAGCTTGGTCACCAACACAACGACCAACAGGCAGAGGGTAGCATCTGAGTATACATGCAAAAGTTAGGTCTACGCATGGAGCACAGAGAACGGATACACTCGCATCGTATTGATACCACCGACACCTTCCATCGCACACAGCGCCTTCCAGTGGCGGGTCGTTAGAACGCAGACAAAGGAGAAGAGCTGCAGAGGACGAGACCGCACGGATCCAATGCAATGTGAGGTGGTCGTGGACGCAGGCCAGGCGCCACAGCCAGGCGCAACACCGTGACGCGCCAATTTGAAATGCTGTCCCAAACGCGGTCACATGATAGAACGAGCGCAACGCGAATTGGTCAATCTTGATTCTGATGTTCATGCACGCCAAAGAGTTACATGTATGTAATGGCATCGAGCGGCGAGGAGAGAAAAGACACGACTGCAACATGGAGTAAAACCCATGAGCATCACCTTTAGTACAGGCTACTCCGAGTCGCGATCCTTACTTCCGATGGCACAGACCGACTATGCCATGTCCCACCTCCGACTAGTCCAGGATTCCATGAGCAGGGTTAGTCGAGCATTACATAAAGGATGACAGACCTGCCAGCCTGCTCCACTGTCTCGTCAGACTGCAGTACAGTAGCTAGCACTACAACTCAGCGTTCTAAATCACTTCGGAACGACCTAAAGTGAGCATAATGGCGCGATCGCCTGCATATGGATATATGACGGCTAACGTGTACTCGCCACTATCACACATTTTAGTCGAGCCAAGCTACCACTAAAACATAGCACAAGAATCATTTACAGGGGCAGCCAGCGCGAGAGAATGACAACATGACGATTAAGAGACGACAGCAAGACGCGAGGAATCCGCTGAGTCTGACTATGATAAATAGGGAAAAAAAGGATCCACAAGCTTAAGACGAAAGAGAAGTCCGTGGAGCAGAGGGAGGTACATACGTGCGACGATGCAAAGAAGACTGCCCGAGACACGCACCTCCCAAGCACTGCCCGGCCCGATCTAAAAGCCGCCGGACGTGATACAGGAGCGTCGTAGTCGATCTACCGTTTACACATACATCATTCCCATTCACATCAACAGGCCCAAGTCACACAAGTAACGGAAAACAAGCTGGAATAAGTCACCAATAACTGACACAGTGGTGGCTCTGGTATATTGGACCGTCTTCGGCGCAAGACACAGCGCGCGCAATGAGCAAGGACGAAAGAAAGAGAAGCAACAGTTCTGCAGATCGTCACGACGACCCAGGATTCCTCTGTCTGCTACCCGGTTACCAGTTCATCGTGTTCTCCCTCAGGATCGGCGTCGAGATCGCTCCCGCCATGACACCCCTGCGCTCGCGCATGGCACTATCAGGCGATGAGGGCTGGTCAAACGTCGCTGCGGTGTTGGCGACCTCGGAGAACCCGCGCAGCGAGTCCGCAGCGAAATAGAAGCTACGCCGGCGTTGGCCACCAATACTGTCCCGGTCGAACTCCTGGCCATCAGGGCGCGAGCCGTCGTACATGTCCGCAGGTTCGTTCAAGCGCTGGTGCGCGAGCTCCCTGCGCTTCTTGATCGCGCGGACGGACAAGAACGCGAGTGCAATGAGCGTGACGGCACCAAGGGAGGTGACTACGCCGATGATCGCATCCTTGCGGGTGTTCGACGAGGACGAGCCACTGGAGCTGGCAGCATTACTACTGCTCGAACCGGTGCCACCGCTACTCCCGTTGTCTCCGTTAGGGATAGTGACGGAATTGACGGCGAATGACGGGTCTACTTGTTCCGCGAGGGTGCTGTACGGGCTGATGAGCGCAGTGTAGAAGGGCGACGTGGACACCTTGATCTGTTCCGCGAGGTTGGTGACATTCTGCGACGGAATATAAGCCAGCCAAACGGTCAGAAGTTGATCTTCATCCTGGGGACCTGTGTAAGTGGACGGTTGCCACGGCTGCAAGGCGTACTGCTGGACTTGCGACGCTACAATCACAGTCCATATGAGTTCGTTTCAGCCACCGGACACCAAGGCATGATACTCACACGACAGGTTGAGCGCATACTCCACGACCACTGGCATATACTGGAAGATCTGTGCCGACGACTCGGTGTTGTTCGCGACGGTGACCCAGTTAAGCGACGACTTGTACAGCAAGCTGACGAGCGTGTAGTCGCTGCCAATCGCCGTTGGCTCTGCCTGCGACGAGGGGTATATACGGACCGGCAAATTAGTCGGCAGGGCCGCCGTAGACGGGCTCGCAGACGCAGACACACTGCTCGGGATCGACACAGTCGAGGTAGGCTGGTCAGGATCGGTCATGCTGCTCGTCGGCGTGGCGCTCGAGGACGACTGCGACGCGAGGATGAGCGTAGACTGGGTGAGGAACGAGTCCGAGTTGGCGGAGGGCGTGATGCGCGAGTACGAAGTCGTCGACGTGAACGTCGAAAGCGACGTGAACGACAACGACGTCGAGGTGTTCTGCGACGGGAAGCTGATGATCGCAGAGCTGGTCATGTTCGCGCTTGCTGAGCTTGTAATCGTGCTGTTCGCCGTGGACGTGGCGTTCGCGCTCGAGGTAATGGTCGAGGTGCTGTGTATGTGTATTCAGTATCCGAGTACCGCGCTTATCAGTAAAAGGAAGACACTCACGCAGAGCTGGTGCCATTGAGCGACGTTACAGTAGTAATAGCACTGGTCGACGTAGAAGTGATCGTCTGGTTCCCCGACACCGTCGTGATAGTGGTCACACTCGAGATCGTCGTCGTCGCGTTCCCAACACCCGTCGTAGTCGACGCGGAGCTCGTGGCCGTGGAAGAGATGTTGCCTGAGCTCGTCGCGGTAGCGCTTGAGGAACAGCCATCGCCAATACCGAGGATACAGAGACCAGACGAGGTCGCACTCGAGGATGTCGCGCTGGCCGAGCCCGTGGAGGTCGCGGTCGAGCTCAACGAGTCCGTCGTCGAGCCCGACGTAGAACTCGCCGAATCAGTCGCCGAGCTCGACGCGCTGCCCGAGTCAGTAGAAGTGGCGGATACGCTCACGGAGCCGGACGAGGAGGCAGTAGAGGAGGCCGAATCGGTTGAGGACGAGCAGTCGCCCAGCCCGAGGAGACAGAGGCCGGACGAGGACGAACTCGCGGATGTTGCGCTGGCAGAGTCCGTCGTCGTGGCCGAGCCGCTGGTGGAGTCAGTCGCAGTCGATGAAGCAGAAGACGGGTCCGTGGTAGTCGAAGGAGCCGAAGACGAATCCGTGGCGGTTGACGAAGCGGTAGACGACGCGCTGTCGCTCGTAGAGCAACCATCACCGAGACCGAGAAGACAGATGCCTCCACTGGACGAGGCGCTAGCAGAGCTGGATGAGTCGGTCGCAGTGGGCGAGCTGGCTGCGCTCGAAGAGTCGGTGGCGGATGTCGAATCCGCCGCGCTAGAGGAGTCAGTCGCGCTGGCCGTGGAAGCGGGTGCAGTCGACGACGCGCTGTCGCTCGACGAGCAACCATCACCCAGACCGAGGATACAAATCCCACCACCGCTCGATGTGCTGGTAGGGTCAGCTGAGCTGCTCGCAGGCGTGGACGCGGAGGTGCTGCCCGCGCTGCCCGAGTCGGTGGTTGACGCGACGGTCGCAGACGAGCTGGGCGACGCGCTTGCGGTACTCGAGTCCGTTGCGCTGGGGGTGGACGACGCAGCGACGGTGGACGATGCACTGTCGGAGCTCGACGAGCAGCCAATTTCGATGCCAAGAAGGTTTACGCAGCCGCCTGACGAGCTTGCACTCGAGGACGACGCCGGGTCGCTTGACGAGGGTGCGGATGTCGATGAGGCGGAAGAAGACGACGTGGACGAGGACGACGCGGACGAGGAGGCGGACGAGGAAGAGCTCGAACTCGACGCGGAAGACGACCCAACAGACGTCGACGTCGCGGGGACCAAGGCGGTTGTCCCAGATGAGCTGGAACAACCGTCCGTCAGTCCTAGGGACGGGAGACAAAGCCCGCCGTTTCCTGGATTAGATGCTAACGAGACAAGCGTAAGGTCAGTAAATCATCTCAGAGCAGAGGTAACGATCACAGAACGCGAAAGCGAATCCCTCGCATTGGGCAACAGACCTGACCGTCCCCTGGCATAGCACACTAGCGAGGAGTATTCCTGCCCATGATGCGACGAGGTATAGCTCACAGGACAAGGTCACTCATACCTGGCCTTTCCCAGTGCAAACCCTACATTCGCCCGAGCGACGTCAGGCGACCGGTTCTCCCGAAACAACCACATTTTCTGGAATGCTGATCTGACCTCCCTGCCCAACATCAGGCACTCGTGGTGAAGGCATAGCAAGACCCCTGATAATTGGGGAGGGAGCCTTGATCAAATGAGGTAGGCCGGCTATGAGAGACAGCATATTCTATCCAGACTGTTCGGGCGAAGACCATCCCGACAAGAAGGCCAGATCCTACAAGTTACGGTTCAAGCCTCCTCGGTCCTGGCACAACGCGCAAACGTTGTCTTGGATCATGCCGAAAGGTAAATTGGTTAACCAAACACTCCCGCTGTTACCCACCGGGGGCAGTGCGCACTCGAACATGCCTAGTAAGCGCCCACCGAGCGAACCCTCTGCAACCACAGCGGACCGAATGGGGCATGTTCCATGTCCGTAAGGAGCACAATAGGAGCCAGAGGAGGGTTTCGAGCCCATGGATACCGGATGTGTCCTGCTGCTACGGGTGCAGCAGGTTCTGTCACTCGGGGACAGCCAAACCCCACGTCCGCAGCGCACAAGATCATACACTCCGCATTGTATGTGACACGAAGATCGTGCTGCGCAGGTCGTGCATACGCGTAACTCGTCGGTGGGCCGCGCACAACGTGGCAGGAAAGATCGACGTGAAGAACGATCGGTCGCCACAGGCGGCGCGACGACGCAGAGGTCGTAAAGAGGGAGCACAGCGAAAAGAGGGGGCACAGATGAACATTCGCGAAGAATAGGACGACTCACGAGCGGTGCTACCTCCACTGCCAAAAAGACCATGATCCTGGCGGGGGTCGAGACCAGAGATCTTGTCCTGGATTTTGTGGAGCAAGGAGCGACGGGCATGAGAGGACTTCCAGGAGGAGTGCGTGAAGGCATGAGCATAAGAGATCTGCAGGACGAGCGCGAAGACGAAGAGGCGAAGGACGAGCAGACGAGAGGAGAAGACAGAAAACATTGGTCGGGCGCGTGGTTACGGGCGAGAGCGGTGTTGCTATGCTGCGGGTGAGCGGGGACGGCGCGACACTGCCTTGAAAGCGTCCGCCAGGTAGAAGGAGCGTGGTGCTGCTATGGTGGGCAGGGACGGGCGAAGGCGAAGGCCTGTGCGAGGACGAGGAGGACAAGGAGGAATAACTTACGCCTGGGGCAGAAGTCCGAGACGCGCGCCGCTACCCTTTGTCTTTATTTTGCCGCCAAGGCGTTTCCGCGGCTCAGTCCTGCCTCAGTCTCCGGCGGATCGCACGGCCGCACTAATCAACCCCCAATCAACCTTCCCGTACGTCTGTTGCGAGTGTTCAGATGGATGCTCGTCGCTGCCAGCGGGGGACTCGGGGCAGCTCGATTTCTGGATGCATCCGTCGCAAGGCGCCCGGAGAGGCCTGAGGACACTCGCTGCGCAGCCACACGCAAGCTACACGCGAGTCGCGCGTTTCGTTGCGGCTCGGTGTTGGCAACCGCTCTCGTACGCGTGTGGACAGGGCGATCTAAGTAGTATCCACGAGGTCGTTCGCTGCCGATTCCCAGCCGCGCTTTCACCGGCCAGCAGGCCTCGAACGCTTCCATTTCGCCACAAAGCCGAAGCCGATGATCTCATACACACCCAGAAGATTTCACTTTCTCATGGTAAGTATAGCATAGCTGGTTTCGTACGTAGGCATGGAGGTATGCATACACGACATGATAACACCGGTTCGATGCGAGGAAGACGCGGACAGGCAGCAAAGCAGCGGCGCACACAGCCCGACAGGAGAGGAGGCAGGACGCCATGGTGGGATTTAAATGAAGCCAATCTGTCAAAAGTGGACTTCCGTCAGTATTTATCACCAGCAGCCTGAAAAGCTCGAACAAACCTTGTTGGCAACATCCAAGGCATCGTGGTCCGCCGTCAGGCGGACGTACGCCTTTTTCTTGCCATCAGGCCTGCAAGACAAGAATGTCAGCAATATTCATCGAACATAAACCCAGTACGACGTACCGGATGAGGGTGTTGATTTTTGCGGCCTGCACGTCGTACAGCTTCTTCACCGCGTCCTTGATTTGACGCTTGTTTGACCGGAGGTCAACAATGAACACAAGCGTGTTGTGCTCCTCAATCTGCTTCATCGCACTCTCCGTGTTCAGCGGCCTGCCAAACCCTATCAGCTTCCTTGCCCTGCACGGCAAGAACGTTATCACGCACGAGACAATCGTCCTGAATTGGTCCATCCGCGGCACATGGGGAATCGACTTGCGCGGGTACTTGGGGTCGCGGGGGAGACGGAGGGTCTTCGGGCGGTGGAACGAGACGGAGTGGCGCACTTTGCGCGGGGCATGTGCGTGCGTACCGTGCAGCGCCGCCTTCTTCGCTGCCTTGGCTTTGGCATCCTTCGAGGACGCTGTGCCAACGTGTTAGTAACGCAGGACTCATAGACCCAGTCGAACGTGCACTTACCCTTCGCGGTCTGCTTACCCTTGGTGCTCTTCGTGGGGGCCATTGCTACCTAGTCTAACGCAGAAAAATGTCAATACGCAGGAATACAGCAGTTTGGGCATGGACGGTGGTCGTGCGGGTGTAGTACGCTGGAGGATTGCAGACAAACGGCGGTGCACAACCGTCCCAAGGAACAGTTTCCATCCGTCCTGAGGTGCAATCAGCTCCATCCCACAGGCAACCTCGCTTCCAGCAGCTCGAACCCACCCTCCCCTGACAAGCGCCATCCGACCTCATCCCACTGCACCCCGTCCAATCCATCCCTTCCCCAATCCCTACCAAGTCCGAAACCACCCAGCAAGCATCCCGGACATCTGTCGCCCACCGTCTGTGCATAGACTCGAGGGAATTGTGCTCACCTTGACGAATGCCGCCCTGTGTTGTGTGGATTGGCGAGGAATGGGAGATTTTGCGCGGCGTAGCCGGGGGTTGCCGAAAGGAGCAGGAGCAGGAGGCGCTGGTAGCACGAAGCGGTGGGCGCCAATGCAAGGAACTCGACTTGCTACGTACTGCTTACTGCCTCATAAGTAGAACTCTCTTCGCTTCGGGTCTGGATGCATGTCGCGTCGTTACACGGCAAGAACAGGGAATGAACATGTCTCTGTGCGCCATGACTTTGATCTCTGAACTCGGAACGGCCATTAATCTCCAATGACCTACCAAATCGCCAGGCAAGCCGCGGAGTGACTTGCTGCGCGAGACACCATTCGATTCCAGACACCTTCGGCGTCCTCTATTCGCCAGCGACGATGCCATGAGGATGTCCACATGAGCGAACTTACTCCAGATACGTCGCTTTTCATACCGTCCGGACGCTCACCCTGGCGATAGCTAGCCAACATGACGTCGTGACAGCGAGGCTCTAACGGCAAAATTCAGGGCGCGCGGCAGCTCCAGTCTTATTTAACGAGCGTGGTATTGACTGTGGACTATCAGAGCCTCGCTCACTTGCACCGGGACATACATCGCAATGTGCCGCTGGTTCACGTACATCTCGACCACCGAGCCTTGCTTGCTCGAGGACGTGCTCATCGTGCCGAAGCACAGTCTGGCGAAGCAGGTTCACGACCGCTACCTCCCCCATCTCGCGGAATATGAGCCAGACCTAACCAAGGCTGCGACGAAGGCCGAGTCTAACCTGCGAAACAGCCCATACAACATGGACGGACTTGGCGTAGGCTGGTACATTCTCTCTTACTCTATACTCTTTATGAAAATGCTCAGTGTCGGGATACGCAGGTACTCGAAGGCTCGCGCAGACTACGGAGAGTGCGACGGGCCCCACCCAGCCCTCTACAAAGTCCTCCGCCTTCCCACGACAGACCCAATCTTCGCCTCCATCTGCGCCAACACGTCCACGCACTGCGTCTTCGCGCACATCCGCGCGGCCTCCGGCTCCACCGCGATTACGGAATCGAACTGCCACCCGTTCCAGTTCGGGCGCTGGCTCTTCATGCACAACGGGTCTGTCGCGCACTTCGCCGAGGCCCGCCGCGAGCTCTCCCTCGAGCTCTCCGACGAAGCGAGCGCGCAGGTGAAGGGTACGACCGACTCGGAGACCCTCGCCGCGCTATTCTTCACATTCCTCGAGCGGAGCGGGGGCGCCAAGGCGTGGGAGACGTCGCAGCCCCTCACGGTGGTCAAGGCGGCCCTCGAACAGGCGATCGCGAAGGTCATTGAGGTGCAGAAACGCGTGATGGCGAAGCAGGGAAAGGGCATTGACGCGTCGAGCTTGAACCTCGCTGTCACGGATGGTACGCAGCTCCTGGCCATCCGCTTCCGGAACCACGCTACCGAACATCCGCCGTCGCTGTACTACTCGACGAAGGCTGGCGTGACGCTGAACAGGAAGTATCCCGATCATCCGGACGAGGGCGTGGATAGGGACGGTGCGAAGCCCGAGAGCGAGCATGGGAGCATGTAATCGTTGCGAGCGAGCCGAGCACGTACAAGGAGCATGACTGGCAGCTCATCCCGAAGAACCACTGCGTCATGGTTGATGCAAGGATGCAGCTTCAGGAAGTGCCTGTTGCAGTCGCCTTCTAGATCATCTGGTTCGTCTGTGTCTGGGACCTTGCGAAATATTGGAGATACCGTATACCGTAAGCACTTGTATATCTTTCTGTCAAGAGAAATCTACGCATCTGCTTTTATCGAAGTATGTCTTATGCAGCACGCCTGGTTGTCACAGTCAATGACACTCTGTCCTGGGAGGACTCGTGGAGTAGTACCATGGAGCCTCCTCGACGAAGTGTCACAACTTGGATTTGGAAGAACGCCGAGTAGCACGTGGCCGCGTTTGCTTCGTGTCAGTTGGCGACGACGCGTGTTCAAACGTTCAAGTCGCACTTCCCGCTTGCTTCCCGCCGCCGACATCATAGTCCTACGAGTGAATACTTGTGAGTCGCGACTGCCTTGACACACTTTTGCTACGATTTAACACTTCTGGCAAGCGTACGTAACAGCCTTCCGTGCACAACGACTGGTGACTCTTGACATCTTTCTCGTCCCAGTGAAGAGGTAGGCTATGTGCTCTGCTGCTTGACATAAATATCGAACTCATGCGTCGTTAGACACAGCACTAAAAGGGACAACACCGATACTGAGCCACTGTTCTCTCCAATGGATCAGGTGCAGCAATCATCGTCGAAAATGATGTCGATGCACCATTTCGCCTCGATGATACAGAAGTTGGCTTCCGAAATAGAACCCGGCAAAGAGTGAGTCATAATGAATGTGCGTCTAGACCATTTTTACCGACCACAGCACCTTTCAGTTGGCAGCCTGATGCAATGGATACAATTGCTCATCAGCTTTCTGCGGCAGCATCCACGGTCAAAACGTTGCGCAACGCCAGTGTGCCACTCCATCGTTTACCACCCGAGCTCCTCCGTGCCATATTCCTCGCTGTCCTGACGGACAGCCCGCCGGGGCTTGCGATCGACAAATTCGAAGGCTGTCACTACCGTGTCGAGCCGAAACCTCCAATTCATACTCTGCAGTCACTCCAGTTGGTCTGCAGCCTCTGGAGGAACATCGTCAGACCGTTTCCGAGGTTATGGTCGAGGATCTTTGCAGACGAGAATACTTCATACCAGGAAATCGACGCGTTCACCGAACGATCCGGAAACACTCCTCTTGATGTTACATTTCTCAACGCGGATCAGCTGGGCGACATCTTATGCCAACATATGGACCGAGTTCAATTCCTCGATATTGCGTCGGATTTCGACTCCGGACTTGGCGTCCAAGATGCGTCTTACACAGACTTCATGGATCAGCAAGCTCCTATTCTCGAGCGCTTCCGTCTGATGTTGGCCGACGACATTGATACCTATATTCCGTTGTCATTTTTCAGTGGGTTCGCACCGCACCTCACGCACCTCTCGCTGCGCCGAGCTCACCCGTGGCGTACGCCTGGGCTTCCCGAGTTGGCCCACTTGTATGTAGCAGGCGCACCTGAGGATAGTGACTCCACGTCGTCAGAGGCCTTCTTGAACTTCCTCGACAGGTCACCGAAGCTGGAAGAGATCATCCTCGTCGACGCCGGACCAGAGTCGCACATCGTCGACTTTCCAGGGCCGAGTACACGGCGCGCACACCTCCCTCGTCTGCATACTGTCGTCATACGACGTTGCCACTTGCGGACACTCGCATGTGTGTTGCACCATGTTGTTCCCGCGAGTGGCGTGGCCATTGAAATGAAAAGTGTACACGAGACACAGGCCAGCATCTACATCGAAGCCATTCTTAAAGACTGCGCATTTGCAGCGCATGCTCGTTCCCCGACGGATTTCTCTATCTGGATCCAACAGAGCGGTCGGTTCACGTTCTCGTGTCGTAGTGACACAGGCTCTCTGACTTTCAACATAATGTTGCCGCCCTCCTGGGCCCTAGAAGATATCGTAGGCGCATTGACATCATCATTACCTCATTTTCTTCAACTGGAAGCTGTGTTGCGGCTCTATGTGGACATCGGCCACTTCTCTTGGACGTCACACACTGCGCGACCTGTGCGCAAAATCCTTCACGCCATGCGAAACGTTCAATATTGCACCTTCCGTGTCCACGACAAGAAGTCTCTGAACCACGGCCCTTCCTTCCTATACCGGACGCCGGAGAGCCCTGCGCCGGGACAATTACCGTCTATCAAATCCTTGAACTTTGTTTGTAACAAAGATGTCCCTCTAGAGTGGGAGCGAATTCAACAAATCGCTATGAGCCGGGATCTCCACGGTTGCTGGCTGCGCGAGCTGATCTGTGCGGAAGTCTATGGCGGGAATCAGGACTCCGACATGCGACCCGTCTCCCGAGATTTTGGCAAGCACGACCTCTCGGACATCGATGCTTCTCGTTTCCAGCCTCCGGACTTCGTGCATTTTTCGTATGTAGAGGAGCACACATACGATGTTCCGGACGTACGAGGATGGAATGGTCAAATATGGAGAAATCTGTGAAGCTCCGAGTTGGCGTAGTAGCTTCCACTTTTTGGTCTGCAATATATGTCTCAGTTCCCTCTATCATCTCAGTCTGAGACTCTGAGTTAGTATACAGTCAACAAGACATGTATACAGTTCGAGGACCGATTAATATTCGGGCCTGGCTTGTGCCAAATTCAGTGAATACGCTCATAAACCACGTGACAGATCTTGACTGACGACCATCGTCACTTGGGTCTGACGCGTCTCGATCGAGACTTGACAAGTACACGAACTTCGAGGCCCAGTCGACGCCAGCGTCGACGCCGTACAGTTACAGTGTTGTAACTGTTGCACCCACTATCTCAACTCGAACTTACTCCTGAAGCCATTCCAAATTGTCGCCAGCTGAGCCATCTGTACCTGAACACACCTCGGAGACTCCCTCAGCCCCGTAGCACGTTAGAGACGGTGCATAATGGAGGTTCGCACCACAAGGTGGGTACTCGTTCTCATCGCTCGAGACTTCTGAACTTGACATTAGTGCAGAGACTCCAGTGCACCAGTCGCTCATTCCGGCATACCAGGAACTGCAGAAGGCGGGACTGTACCGATCGATTCACATAGCCGCGCCAATCCAAACCGTCTACCGCCAGAGCTACTACACAAGATTTTTGTGTCTTGCATATTCAACTCGATAACGAAAACGTCACACTATGATGACAGGCCAGATGGATACATTGTCTGGTACTGTTTCCGCATTCTGTACAACATGCAGCTGGTATGCCGACACTGGAGATGGTGCATCCTCACCACCCCGTCGTTCTGGTCAAATATCGAGGTGTATCCAGAGACGACATCGGACAGCTTCAAGGAGATCCTTCGACGTAGTGCCATGCTACCCCTCAAGGTATCCTTCATACACGCGGAACATTTGATACCTCATATCGAGCCACACATGCACCGCGTTCAACGACTACGCTTCGTCTCCGACTTCGACTCCATCGAGGAGGGGGGGTCTAATATGATGCACTTGAGACTGTTCAGTCAACCTGCGCCCGTCCTCGAAGGCCTCCATCTGACAGTTGACAGCGACTACTACGGGCCGACCATAGACACTCCGCGTCTTTTTGACGGCATGGTGCCTCTCATGCGTCTATTCGTTGATTGGTACTATCTGCCGTGGCCCCAAACCCATTTTCCCCATATCACCCACCTCTTCGTAAAATATCCGCCCATGTATGGCAAGCTCTCCTTTGAAGAGTTTCTGGACTTCCTAGGGAGCTCCCCGCAACTGGAACAACTCGTTATACAGGGAGTTGGACCAAGCGACTTGCCCCTCGGATCCCGGAAAGTCTCTCTTCCTAGCCTACGGGTCGTCGATTTGACGGATTGCGATTGGCTCGTCCTTGTATGCATTCTGCAACAAATCATCCCTAGCCGGTCAGTTGCGCTTAGTTGCGAATCGCCCGACGGTGTACCCACAGCGGCATGGAGTGACCTATTACTCCTCAAGCTACCCGATGCGCCCTTTTTCTCTCGCATAGGTTCTGTCAAGGAATTGGGCCTCTGGGCCAACGCCTCTCTCTGGTCGGGATTCTGCTTCGAATGCCACGACACCCTGAACTCCTTTACGTTTCGCACAGAACTAGCACTTTCGCGGACCGAGGAAAACGGCATGCTCGAAGCAGTGGTGGAATTCCTCGACCAGCGCTTCGATCTCTCGACAGTGGAAATCCTTCGCCTGAGGATCGGCTCCCTCTCGCAGAGCATCATTCGCACGCTCTTCGAATCCGCACCTGCTGTTGAGTCCCTCACCATCTCAGTCGGCGACTCGGAGGGCGTGAAGTCGGAAAAAGACGCTATCACGCTTCTGGTGGATAACCAACCCATGCTCCTGCCTGGCTTGAAACGCTTGCGCGTTGCAAAACACATTCAAAGCTTCAAACCATGGATGCCCGTCTGTGCCTTGGGGGCAACGATCAAACGGGCCAAACGCGGCTATCCCTTGCGCAACATAACCTGCACGGCCGTCTCTGAGTCCGACTCGGGGATGGTTCCATGTGACGGCAGAGATCCTGCAAGCGTGATGCTTGACGATGAACGTGTCATGGACTTTGTGGACGAGCTGGTGTTGGAGTGTGTCGATGATGATGGGACGTTGCTGGACCATCCAAAGATCGAGCATTGGAACGGGAGGATGTAACGTTGGCCCGGCGACTGGAGCGCTTTGCTCCCATGGACGGGCTTGAAGTAGCAAAAAGGTGCATTGAAGGTTCCAAATGAAACGGAAGAAAGGTGCATTGGAGATTTCGAATGAAACGGCTATAACAACGAATGGAAAGAAGCCGCAGACGTCGTTACGCACTGCTCTCGATCTCTATGTAAATCAGTCTTGATGTATACTGTTACAACCAGTTCACAAAGCTGGCTCTCTGCCATTCCCTCGATCTGAGTTGCATAGTCGCTCAATCATAAGCGTCCCGATCAGGACGGTATATGGGTCTTGTTCTTTAGTAGTGCTGGCCTTCCGGCTCCGAGCTTCATTCAACAGTAAGTCTGCTGTTGTACCGAGTCTCGAATATGGCGGCATCTGCAAGGATACTCTGTCGTCTCAATTTAAGTGTTCTAGGCAATTCTCAGGGAACGATGCCACTCAACGCGTCTACTCGCACCACGGACGGTCTCACGTCAACGCCCGAGTGTCTAGGGCGGTCTTGCTGACGGGGAACTGTGCCGCAGGCTTGCTTGGATAACACAAAAGGTCCGTAACGTCTGAGAACATGGCCTTGGTATGGCACGGCGCGAACGGAGCCGCCTCTCCGGTGACCCAGTGGGTGCTGCGGAGACGAGCGCTGAGATGCTTCGATAGCCTGAGTGCAGTCAGAAGTTCGAACTTGGTACTGATGCGTTAGAGTGACCTTGTGGACCCACTGCTTCGTCATCTTTCCTTATTGGCTGGTCTAGGTAATCATCCGCAGCACACTGAACCGAAACACACACCATATGTGGGCAGGTGGACTGCGCGATCGAGGGACGAAGGATCATCATGGTGATCGATCTATGAGTCCGCGTCGAGGAGCAGCAGCAGTGCTGCGGAGCCGTTCGGATGTTGTCCACTTCCGTGATAGACCATGTCGCTTCCCTGGTACGTCGTGCTGCGTCTAGAGACAGCGTTTCTCGCTGAAACGCCCAACATACTGATTGGCACTGTCACCGACAGTTTCGCAGTGTCGTTGCGAGGTCGTCTAGCCTACAGGCACAGCTCTACGCCCACGGTGGATCTATAAGAGCAGTGAGTAATTGCAACGATTCCTTTTTTGGTTCGATTCAGGATGACCAACTCGGAAGGACGGTGGCAGTTTGCATCACCGCTGCGCGTCGCGCTACGCGGAGGTGTGCAGCGTGGATCAGTGCCATCTGAGGCTTCGAGCAGCAGCTCTTGGGCTGAATTTACTCGCCTGAGCAAGGATGAGTAGAAGCTCATTTTTGTCCGAGGGTGCAGACTTGCAGTCGGGTATGATGCACAGATCTAAGTAGAGGAAGAGGATAGGTTCCAAAACGAGCGGCGAAGAGGCTGTAGCAATACAAGCGCAAACAATGCTGTGACTCGCGACGCGTGCGGTGCCGCGTGCGCGCAGACAGTCAACAGCATATCTGGCTTGCGGTAGCAAGAGGATCAATTACGCTGTCGTCTCGCGATGTCACGGTCTTGCACGCGGGCCCTCTCGAGCTCGATGTCTAAGGACTACCACACCCGAGCCGCTTAGCGTACGAACAGCCGCTGCGGCCGCCAGTCGAGTTTGGTATGCAACGAAAGTTCGCTAACAAACCTTAGGTATTAGATCCGGCTTCCAGCACACCTTAAAGAGATTCTATGCGGAGCGGTTGTTATTGACGTGCGGGCACCGGCAGGAGGCTGGGCATGACAAGATATTACAAGGATTCCGGATAACTCAAAGGGCTTGCATCCAATGAGCGCCGCAGCATCGACTTCGTGCACGTTTAGGACTGCGCGATCCCGACTCTGGGCTCCTCACCATGTGCTACCTTCATACCTTACGCCCTGCTGTGCACGGCTACGGAGTGTATGGCACAACTCCGATGTATAGATCTGACCTGATGCCTCACTGCGCAAACCACCCGCTGCGGTCCTTTAAGACATGGGATGCTGCGTCATTCCCACTCTAGAGCACAGAGTCGACTCTTCCTTACCTTAATGTCTTCTCAATCCGCAGAGGCAGGCCCATCCAACGTCAAATCGCGCAGAGCTCCCCGTGGTTCCGCATGCCTCAACTGCAAACGGCGCAAGCATGTGCGTAGCATTCTAGTACCCGTTCATCATCACAACTTATAATGGCTCTACCCCAGAAATGCGACGGAGGAAGACCGATTTGTGGGCCGTGCATCCGCTCCCATAGGGAGGCAGAGTGCGAATACCTTGACGGTCCGCGACCGAGCCGCAAGCAAGTCCTAGAAGAAGAGATCGCTCGCCTTCAAGAACGGGTACAAGAATTAGAACAGTCCGGACGAGGTTCAACCCCCATTGCGCCCGGTGACTCCCCTGTGTCATCGCCTACGTCCCCTTGTCAGTAATCCCTGCATCTCGTTTCCACTGTTATTGCTGAAGCGCTCGCAGCCTCAGAAGGCTCTGCCTCTTATACACAGCCACGAAGCGATACTAGGGTTGCGGAACTGTCAAATGCATATGTACGACGTTCCTCGGGCAGTCCAGCGGCACCGCTTCATGCAATGCCTGATCCTTCCCCAGGAGCAGTGCGAATGATGTTCGTTGGTCTTTACTCGTTCGCATTTGGCGCTCAAAATTAACCCGGGCCATAGCGTCAACGCGTTCCTCGTCCACGCAGATCAAATCGCATTTTTCCTGCACCGCACGCGTTTCTTCTCAATGATGCAGATGACGATACAGTCCTCTGCAGCACAGATGGCACCGCTCTCCCCAGCGCTTACGAACGCGGTCTGTCTCTGGGGTGTACGCTTATCGAGCGCAGAGGCGATGCGGGTTACGAACCACTGTATCTTTCACGCGCCGTCCAGGCTCTCAAGACCCCCCTCGTGAACATGCCCGCCAGCACGATCATACACACCATCCAGGCCAACGTTCTACTGGCGAACTACCACTTCGCCACTGGCCGTATGTTGGAGGGTCAGCACTACTGCAACGCCGCGGTCGCGTTGACTCTGAGCTCTCGCCTGTACAGTATTCGGACGATGCAGGATCAGCAGCGGTCGGGGTCCTTTCACGCGATGGAGTTCGATCTATCTCCGCCGAACGACGCCATAGAAGAGGGCGAGCGCATCCGCGCGTTCTGGCAGTCTACATGCTCGACCAGACGTGGTCCTTTGCCTGCAAAACCCCGTCGCGTTCAGCGCCTCCACCGGCCCGCCGATCGACACGCCCTGGCCTATGGAAGCAGACGACTACGCAAGTGTGAGCTTTCCTCGGCCTCAGCTGCGGTCTTTGGCTGACTGCCTTGAAGGGCCGCTTCCCGCCGCACATACGAGGATCGCGCACCGTAGACGACTTCATACGCGGAAATCCCCAGAACGACCGCGGAGGTGCGTCCGCCCGGCTCTGTACGCCAAAGCCGCGACGCTCGTCGGGCGATCGACGATGCTCTCCATGCAATGGTCGTCTAGTAAGTATTGCTACGCCGTCGTATCTCGCACGCTTTAACAATTTGTCTCCCTTCCTGATGACGCGCCATCCTCGTACTGCTGCACGATCCAGCCGCGGCGGATGCAAGCAGTTCGCACGGAGTTCGTGAACCTTGATGGCCTGGTAGACGGCTTCATTCACTCGCTCGCGCCCGTGGGGGCAGCGCCCGATCAGCAGACCGCCAGCAAACTGCTCCTGGTCCAACACTCGCTGCGTGGCCTCGTTCAGCTGCACGAGAGCTTCCGCGTAGGGACGTCTCGATCTCGAATAAGGACTATGATGTGCCATGAGCGTCACCGCAGCGCTTGACGCTATAAACCCTACCCAAGTTGCGTTCGTCAACCCCATATTCGCCGTAAGTCATCGGGCTCTGCTTCCGTGTGAACGAAGTGTTGACACACCGAATGCGGCATAGATCTTGTGGACAACCGTCAGCCGAGCTCTGGTCGCTGAAATGGTCCGGTTACGAGGCCTTTGGGCATCTGCGACCGTGCAAATCGGACTTCCCTCTCCGGAGACGAACTGCAGATCGTTGAAACGACACGCCAGGTTGTCGCGCTCTGGCGAAGATTACCACGACGATGTCGGCCTTCAGTCCCGGTTGCCCACTCATGGGTGAGCATGAAGTGATTCACACTTATTCGCTGCTGATGTTATAACGCTTGTAGCAACTCAAGCCGCAAAGTGGAACAAATGGTGGCGCAAGCTGGATAGCCAACGAGATACCAAAGCCCACCCTCCATTCATTATATTTCATAATATGCGTCGAACATTACGATGCATCGAGCCTAGCGAATACTCCACTGTGATCACTATTCTGTCTGCATAACAACAATTTCATTCAACAATGTCACAAGTAGCAGTAGTCAGCACGAGCAATTACCTTCCTGTATAACGAATAATCATCAGTCCATACTCCTTCCGTGTCAGCGCCCTTCAGTATGTGCGCTGGTACCACTCAGTATAGCGCTGCGTAAGTCACTCCGTCGACACAACCGCCAGTCAAAACACAATCCGGACATTCCGCGATGCGGATGTCAAATTGCGCGCGTCAACCGATGACCCCTCCGACGGACATAGTCAACCATAGCATTAGTGCATATTTGATCATGAGTACATACAACAGTAGCCTACAGCAAATATGGTCGGAGATGAATATGTACATGCATCAGTCCATCGTAGACTGGCGCCTCGACGGCTTGTAGGTGAGACGACAGCTTGAAGGCAAGGACGCCAGGGCGTAGGGCGCGTCCAGGAGCTATGAGCCTACCCTTTGCCCACAACTCCGTTATCTTGAGAACGCGACGTGTGCTTCCTCCGGGAAAAGGGCATCGACTGCCCCGTCCCTGATCGACTACGCCGAGTATAGTGACTTTAGTGACACGCAGCGCGGGACAAGAGGGTCAGCTGCGCGCTTGAACATACGGGGCTGATGACAGCCATCTACAAATGCCGGGTAAGGCACACGACGACTCGAAGGACTCAATGGTAGCCACTCACGTATCATGTCAACGTATGCCTCGATAGCATCATCCCTCCAGCCAAAGATCCTCCACAACCTCCGAAGCCAAGTTGACGGCCCCGGACCACGACCGTCTGCCGAACTGTCAATCTCGACACTAGACCGCCACCGGCTCCCCTCTGGTTCAACGACCGAGTCACGCTGCATAGCGTCAACTCGTCCAGGACCAATGAAGCCGACATGCTTGATTCATCACTGGAGTCATCAAGTAACCCGGGTGCCTCGCATTCAGCAGGACCAGAGGAGCGTCCGGATGGTGATCGACGTCCATGGCCTCCTCCGAGAGCGCGACACACGTCGTGCTCAGCAGGGTTGGCGTCGTGAACCTGCGTCGCACCGGTTGTTTGAGCGTAGGTACGCCGTTAGGACAGGAATGGTAGCGACGCATCCTCTTCGGATGGCGAGGCGAAACGTTCGTTTCAGAGATCGCGTCACCGGAAGGTCATCCGCGTGTCGACGCCGCTTCCTCGTGTCCGACGTAGCCGTCGAAGACGAGCTGGACCGACCATACGACATGCCATCGGCCAACGCGTCAGGCAGCGCCGAGACATAGCCCGTGTCCGTCGATGTGGAAGCCACTGGCGGGCGACGGCACGAGGTGGGCGGGATATCGACAGTCGAATCCCGAGAAGACGAGGCGAGGAACCTCTGTAATGGAGATGTGGTACGGTTGTAAGGTGCGCTTTGTCGCCTCCGGAGCTCTCTGCTTTGAGCGAGATACTGCTCCAGCGGCACGGACATGGGCACCCAGTTCCTGTCCCGGACCGTCCAGTCCGGGGCTGCGTTGATGTCGATCTGCCGCAGGTGGTCAAAGTTCTGCGGCCAGTCCTCGATCCCGAAGCGCGGCTCGCAGAGCTCGCGACAGTCGGGCAGGACGGGAAGCGCGTGGGCGCCAAACGAGGGCGCGGAGGGGTGCGCGGAGGGAGTGGCATCGGGGTTGCAGACGTGCTGGCAGTTGTAGCGTCTCAGCGACAGGTGCATGTCACGAATGGCTTCGTTCACGGTGCGGACGTGGTGCTTGCCCTCACCAGACTGGATCCACATGAGGGCATAGCAGAGCTTACTGATCACGCTGTCGAGGTAGGCCGACATGGATTCCATGACCGTACGAGGCAGGAAGTAATGAGTGGATGCTTCATCGTCGTGGGACGCTGCGTACAGCTCTCGTTGCTGGTGAGCGCAGACTACCTGATGACGGAGATGTCAAGCTCAATTCTACGGAACGCGATAGACACTCACGATCGCAACGACATTGTGCACCACGCCATCGTCGAAGAACATGCAGATCTTGATCAAAGTTCCTTCCACAACCTCCACACGGCGACGCAAATCCGAGTACGCGACGTTGGTCCGACGCCGCTCAATCGTTGGCAATGTCCAAGACGTCTCCTCTCCTTCATGTTGCACTTCAGCCGGACCACCATGTCACAGAGACAACGGCCACTCACTCTGGCGGTAGATATCGATCACTGCTTGGACTCTACTGTCTGCCTGTTCAGTCGTCAAGACCTGACAGGGACTCAGAAGGAGGGTGGGCGGCGAGATCATAGCCCAGCACAGGGGCAAAGCGTCCAAGTTACGAGACCAACAGACAAAGGCCACCTTATGATAATCTGCTACACAATTACACGTTCCCAGGCCCATCGAACTCAGACAGTTCGGGATGCAACCAAGATGATTCTGGATAGCTCCGGTCAACGTTCGAAGGGAAGGTTCAGTATATATTTGGGGAAACTTGCCTTTCTGGGACGCGTGGGTGATGGCTGCGTGGCCGCGGCCGCAAAGACAAAAAGGAATGAAACGATCGTAGTGAGGACGGTGGCTGACAGACAAAAGAGCAGGAAATGCGGGAATCAAAGGAATCACAGCAATGTCACGATAGTTGCGAGCCTTCCTGAGGCAACAATAAGCAAGCGCTTATGCCGCCAGCCACGAGTCACCGACGCCAAACGTGTGCAGCAGCGACCAAGTTAAAGGTGCTCGGCCTGATGTTATTCCTGTCGACAAAGATAGCGTCAGTGAGAAGAGAATAATGATGACTCGAGCGTGGCTCTGGGTATCAACTGCGTATATAAGTGGTATGTTCAGGCTCCCGGTACTGCGCCAAGTACCCTCGCCATCACCCTCTTGAGCTTACATACTCAACGCTCCTTTGTCCGCCGATGGGTAAACTGCGAGTAGCATGCGCGAATCCTGCAGCGAGCTCTACATGCTGAGCTCGTGTACGTGTGCCAGAGCCACGTTCCTACGAACAAAGCAGTGAGGTCGCCAGTTTGCTTTAACACGAGTGAGCTCACCTTCATTATGGTCCAAACCCGCACACTCGTGGTCGTAAGAAAGCAAGACACTATAGGAGGTGCGGTCCCGGCCGAGACGAGGATGGGAACCAAACGCGCTGAAGAAACATGCCCTGTCTCCAGCGCCGGATAGCTTACATCGTGTGCCATTTCCGTGACAGAACACGATAGGATCGACACGGCATCGTGTCGAGATTCCAATAACCGTATTGCTACGAAGTAGAAAGATCATGAGGGCACGAAGAGTCTAGATGCGCATTCGGAGCGTAGTGGCTGGCAGGGGCCCACTGGTCACCCCCAGTGGCCACTACCATGCTGCCAGTTGTCATTGACACTGCGCGTCGGTGAGTTGAAATCTTTTGAATAGTTTCTGTCATCTCCAGTTTTTGTAGAGTATGGCTCAGAGTTCGACGGACGAGATGGTGACGGTTTGCAGGGACCTCTCTCGGTCGGGTGAGTCTCCAGTTACTGCTGTGGCACGTGAGCGGACTTATGGGGGGGTAAGTCCGGATGTTCTGCCAATCAGCTCGTACACCGAATGACCGTGGGATGTTGTGTAGACCCATGCGAGTGTTATCGCGGCAGCCTGAGCCAGACCTGAGCATACCGGCTGCGAAAAAAAAAAAAAGGGAAAGCTGGCTGCGGCGGCGACGGACATGGTGTCAGCAGCCTGACTCCTATCTGGCCTTCGCACGCTGTCGATGTAAAACAGTGCGCTATGTCGTTGTGTCGACGAATACACACCAAGTTGTCCGACAAGTGGAACGGGCATTGGAACTCACGTTACTGACTCGATGTGTCGTCCGTCACACGCGGGGTTCAATCTGGTTCGACATTTGATTCGCAATAGCTCGTAATCCACGACCGCACCTTCGATGTGGCCATATGCTACCGTCAAATGACTCCCTAATCACCGAGGGCCGAATGCAATCAATCTAATGAACTTATAGCGAACCCTGTATGTGACTCTGAGGGGTCAGATAGCTGCACGCGGCGGGCGGCGGTACCGACGATGTGAGTCGCTCGAAGCGCAGGGACCGCATGGTGTCGACGACTCGCAAGGTACGACGGCCTTCTTGATGGAGATGCAGTGCGTATTTCACCAACACGGCATTTGACAGATCGAGATGCCAAATGCCGTCAAATCCGGAATTACCGCGCGCGCTTGTCACGGTACATAGACCCTTGGTCTGAGTCGTTGTTGTGTCACTTCTTCCTCCACCACGTCCTTCAAGTGTTTCGTCTGCCAGGCAAGATGGACATAGGGAGGGACCAGCTCTTCAGTCATTGGTCCACGAGCATACCAGGACCTGCTCAGTATGTCTTTGCTCAGGCGCAAAGGGCTCACAACCAGAGTCTCTCCATACTGACTGCGGCACGAGACGAAATCGAGTATGTTCAACCTCCACACGCGTAACATATTCTAAACTCACAATAACTGTAGTTTCGCGGACTCTACGCTACTCTACCCTGCGGGAGTCGCTGCGCTGTCGATCCTTGTATTCCTGGTACAGTTGGCATTGCATGTTCGCACCCAGAAGAAGGCGTACGCGAAGCTTGCTCAGTCCGAACCTTCGCCCATATCCGAGCCTCTCCATGCTCCAGAAGAGAGTGAAAACGCGTCTGCATTGGTAAAATACGTCAAGGAACACGGGGGCGTCGTCCTCGTCGCGTTCAACGTATTGCGGGCCGCGTCAACCCTGGCGCTCCTGGGCATGTCCATCTACAGCGCGACCGAGCCTTGGTCCACTCTGCAACCCTGGAGCCTCAGAGCCTCGAGATCGTTTTCCACGTTGGCACTTGTGTAACCTACGTGAGCGACCGTCCGCCTTGCTCTCACGCGCGTACGACAACGCTGACCGTGTTGTCCAGGTGTACGCATCAGCGCTCGGCATCACCTCGCTGCTTGCTGGTCCCGTCCTGAGCACGACAGCTGTTCGCCACCTGAACTGTATTCTGTTCACTGCGTGGGCGGTCTACGCGTACCGCGATCTCTGGCCCTTGGCGACGTTCACGCAAGAGCCCATAGATCTCGCCGAAGGCCCTCTGCTTTGGGCTAGATCTCTCTCTTGACCATCATAGTATCTTTGTGCCCCTCTTGATCCCTCGGCGCTACATCCCTTCGATCCAGAGGTAGGTCGATTCAATGACGCAAACTGGACGAGAGAGTAGACAGCTGATGGCTGTGTAGAATCCGTGGCCGGACCGCCCGCGGAGCAGACCGCTTCTATCCTGTCACTCCTGCTATATAACTACCTTAGCCCGACGGTCAAGCTCGCGTCGCACGTCGAGCACCTGACCATCGACATGCTGCCTGCTCTGGCCGACTACGATGACGCTCAAAATCTAATGATTCGCAGTATGAATGTGTGTTCACCTTCTTGGGACTCACCTCTTGTCTGCTGACGAGCTTTGAAGGAAATCGACCCGTTCCGAGTGAAGGCGAAGGGCAGACATCTCATGTGGGGCCTCCTGCGCGTCTTCCGTATGTTTTCAACGCGTCTTAGCTCCACGCATGCATGTTAATGAACCTCGAACAGGAATGGAGTGGATCGTCATGGCCATCGTGATTTCTTTTGACGTGCGTTTATAGTTACCGAATGAACACACTCAATCAGGCTTACATTGCATTCGACAGACTACCTTAGAGTTCATCAGCCCGCTGGCTCTTCGTTACATCCTGATGTAAGCTAAACAATTTGCAGTCCCGCGTCCAGTCTATTGACATGCCCACAGGTACATCGAGACGGACGGCGTAGGCATCACTGTCCGGCCCTGGTTCTGGATCGTGATGCTGCTTATCGGACCGATCGCCGACTACATCTTCGACTCCGTGTACCAGTTCCTTTCCGTGCGTCGATCCTTTTTTGCTCCCTTACCACTGCTCGTCGTAACACGTACTACAGACGAGATTGTTGACCCAAGTCGAGGCGATCATTACACAGCTCGTCTTTGAGCATGCTCTGCGCATGCGCATAAAGGCAGACGCCTCGCAAGATCCCGCTCAAAGTGAAGGTGACACGACCGTCGCCGGCACACCCGACACGGCTTCCGATGCTGAGTCGAGCGCTACCGCTCCAACAGCTCAGAAAACGGTAACGACGACAATGACAGCGACACCACAGCGGGCAAGGGAAAGCAGAAATCCACGGCGCAGACGGTTCCCGTGGCTGCACAGAGTGCGGACGCTAACAAGATTATTGGGAGGGAGGAGAAGGCAAAGCCAGCAGACGATGAAAAGAAGGGCAAGAACGTCGTCGGGAAGATTAACAACCTCATCTCGTCCGACCTCGCCTCTATCGGCATGGGTAGGGAGTTCTTGGTCCTCCGTGCGTGTTTGGCATATCACCGATCTTGCGCTGCTCGCTCATTGCTTCGCGTCGCAGTGGTCAAGCTTCCCGTCGAGATCATCTGCTGTGTATGGTTCTTGTACGCCATCTTGGGCTGGAGGTCAGTGGCCACACATCATGACGGGCAACACGGTAGACTGATTAGGCGCATAGTGCATTCGTCGGACTTGCTTCCATCGTCATCTTGTTCCCTGTTCCTGGTTTGATTGCGTCGCGCATCCGCAAGATCCAGATATCGAAGATGAAGAAGGTATCATTCATTCCTTCTCGCTCGTGTCTGCGCATGACTGACATGCTCCGTCTAAGACCGATGCACGTGTGCAGAGCGCGACGGAAAGTGAGTATCACAGTGTACTGCTTTGGTGCACATGCTGATCCCCTTCCTATGAAGCCATGAACGTCATCCGTATGATCAAACTCTTTGGCTGGGAGCCCCGAGTTGGGAAACAACTAGCGGAGAAACGTGAGGACGAGTTGGAGCTCGTGAAGAAGAGCAAGCTGCTTGACCTCATCAACAATAACCTAAAGTGCGTACGCAGAGTGTCTGCGCCCTTCCGAGCTTAGTCTGACTCGTTTCAAGCCACGCCATTCCTTTGGTTACCATGATCGTGACCTACGCGACCTACGTGAGTTTGGCTGGAATATATGAGATATGGACTCTATCAGCTGACTTTGGCTTCCAGACCATGATCATGAAGCGAGATCTTACAGGTGAAGCAACTGCTAACCTCTTACACACATCTCTCATATCGTCTCATAGCGTCTGTCGTCTTCTCATCTATTACGGGTATGTTTGGTGACCCGAACGGAACGCACGATGCTGACATGTATGCAGTGTTCGATACTTTCAGCCACCTAATGCATATGGGCTTTGGTTTCGTGCCTATGATGATTCGAGGTAAGTCCATGAGGTCCATGAACCATAGAGGCGTGAGATTGTTGACATCCTGCAACACAGCTAAGGTGTCGCTGGACCGAGTGAATGAGTTTTTGCAGAAGGTTGGCCTTCTCTACTCAGTTCCATAGCGGCGACTGACAGAAGCAACTTGCGCGACAGACCGAACTACTGGATGAATACTCTGAACAACCTGACGAAATCCGGACTCAGATCGCAGCGCAGCCGGAGGACGACGTCGTTGGGTTCCGCAACGCTTCCTTCACCTGGGCGAACCAAGTCAGCGGCTCCGCGGCTTCGACTCCTGGAAGCGGGCGAAGGAATTTCACCTTGCATATCGACGACGACCTGGTATTTGAGAAAGGCAGTATTAATCTCGTGATTGGCCCGACTGGCTCAGGAAAGAGCTCCTTGTTGATGGCTTTATTGGGCGAGATGCACTACATACCCGCTGGCCCTGATTCCTTCTACAATCTACCTCGGGCTGGTGGTATTGCTTACGCCGCGCAGGAATCTTGGGTTCAGAACGAAACCATTAAGGTAAGTGGCACGTCGCAAGAATGACAGTGGTATTGGCTTAGCTTTGTATAGGACAACATTCTCTTCGGCGCCCCATACAACGAGGAACGTTATCAAAAGGGTGTGTTGAGACGATTTGCTGTACATGCTAGACGGCTTACCTATTGCTGTAGTCATTGAGCAGTGCGCGCTGAAACGCGATCTCGAGTTGTTCGCTGCTGGTGACCAGACGGAAGTTGGCGAAAGAGGCATCACACTGAGGTATTGTCACATCTATTATTGCAACCCTCGGCATTCGCTGACTCTTTGAATGCCAGTGGCGGTCAGAAGGTACGCAGTGTTGTGCTTGGTTGTTCGTACCATACTCACATACGCAAAAGGCGCGCATAACACTCGCCCGTGCTATATACTCCAAGTCGCAGACGCTGCTGTTGGACGATGTGAGTGACATGTATCAACGTTTCCTTTTCATAGACTGAACTTCCTGCTAGGTTCTCGCTGCGTTAGACGTTCACACGTCACGATGGATTGTCGAAAAATGTTTTAAGGGTGATCTTGTCCGTGGGCGAACGGTGCTACTCGTCGTGAGTCACATTCGTTTGATTCTCGACTCTTCTGATCCCATGAGCGATAGACGCATAATGTCTCGATGGCTAGCCCAATTGCCGATTTCGTCGTTGCCTTGGGCACAGATGGTAGAGTGACCAGTCAAGGTTCCATCGCTAATGCTCTTGCGCACGACAAGAACTCGCCGCGGAACTGCAAGGAGGAGCGGAACTAGAGAAAGCGGAAGCCACCGTTGACGAGCAGACCCCGGAAGAGGCCCCGAAGGAGGATGGCAAGCTTGTAGTTGAAGAAGAAGTCGCAGTCGGGCATGTCGGTTGGCAAGCAAGTACGTCTTAGTATTTCTTGTCATGAACTGTTACTGACACGCATCAGTGAGACTGTTATGCAGGCATTGGAGGGACCATCAAGTCTTCTTTTGGCTTAGCTTCGTTGGAGGTTTAGTTCTCTACATGGCGTTCACATCATGGAAACTTGGTTCCTTGGATTCTGGGCTCAACAGTACGAAGAAATGCCTTCGTCCGAAATCAAAGTGCCATAGTATGTTCTCATGACTTACCTGAGGTTGCATCGCCTCATCGTTTTTTTTTAGCTTCCTCGGCGGATACGGGTCGATCATGATCACATCAGTCCTCTTCTACATGGCAGCCTTCTATGTATACACATTTGGGTCGCTGAGAGCATCAAGAGCCATACATAATGAACTAATATCTCGATTCTGGCGACGACATTGAGGTAAGCGAAAGGAAATCGCTGCGGTGACGCGTCATGACGGTTTTGTAGATGGCTTGACAAAACACCCACATCTCGGATTATCGCTCGATGCACCCAGGATATCCAAGAAGGTACGTTTCTCCTGCATGTGATGGGTTTCGTACTGAGCAACACAACGCAGTCGATGGTTCCGTGGCGAGATGGTTCAGTGTCATCGTGGAGATGTCGTTGGAGATGCTCATGAAGCTTGGTGTGGTGGTGGTGATATCCCCGATCTTCCTCGTTCCCGGCGTATTCATTGCCGCCGTCGGCGCCTGGATTGGGGAGATCTACATGAAGGCGCAACTTGCGGTCAAACGTGAAAGAAGCAATGCGAAGGCTCCAGTCCTCGGCCACTTCGGAGCCGCTTTTGCAGGTCTCAGTACGTGACGTGTCGTTGTACCAAGCAGCGAGATTACTAATCACTCGAACAGCCTCCATCCGTGCATATGGTGCGCAGGAGGCGTTCAAAAAGGAGTCGTATGTGCGCATCAACCGATACACGCGGGCTTCCAGGACATTCTGGAGTCTCAATCGGTGTGTTGAACATTGCCCTTATATGGTCAGGCATTCTAATTTTGTTTTAGCTGGGTAACCATCCGTATCAGTGCCCTCGGATCGTTCTTCGCTGCGGCTTTGGCTGCCTACTTGGTATATGGGAAGGGCATCACCGCATCCAACACTGGATTCTCCCTGAACATGGCAGGTCAGGGATATCCATCCTGGTCCTCACATTCTCTGCTGACGTCTATAAGTCGGATTCAGCGCATGATCTTATGGTGGGTGAGGATCTTCAACGAGTTGGAAGTCTCAGGTACGTCTCACTTCATTGACTGAACGCGGTCTCTGATCATTCTCGATATTTCCAGGCAACAGGTGCGAGATCATTAAGATGGGACTGGAAATTCTCTGACCATGACCACAGTCTGGAGCGCATCAAGCAATACCTCGAGATCGAGCACGAGCCCAAACCGACACCCGAAGGTGTTCCGCCCGCGTATTGGCCAGCCAGCGGAGACCTGAAAGTCGAGAAGCTCTCCGCTCGGTACTCTCCGGTATGTACTAGGTCGATCTTCCGGATGGGCGAATATTGAATTGGCCTAGGACGGACCTCGCGTCTTGCATGAGATTTCATTTGAGGTGAGATCAGGGGAGCGAGTTGGCATAGGTGAGTGCAAGTAGAGTGCGCAAGGGTACGTCGCTCATATAGCCATCAGTCGGCCGCACTGGTAGTGGCAAGGTATGCTCCGTAGCATGATGATCAGGCGTTCCACTACTGATGTTCCGCTCTCAGAGCTCTTTGACTTTGGCACTGCTACGGTGCATCATCACCGAAGGCAAGGTGTATTACGACGGACAACCGACAGACAACATCAACTTGGACGCTCTCCGATCAACTATCACGATCATCCGCAAGTGGTATGTGCCATTTGAGTGTCTCACTCGCGAAGCCTGACTTCAAATTCGTCATTAGCCAGAGCTCTTGAGTGGGACGCTCCGTCAGAACCTGGATCCCTTCCAGCAGTATGATGATGCCGTTTGAACGACGCTCTAAGATCTGCGGGCCTTTTCTCGTTACAAAGCGACCTTATCGAGGGCCGCATCACTCTCGACACTCCCATCGCGAGTGGAGGAACCAATCTGTCCGTTGGGCAGCGCCAAATTTTGGCTCTCGCGAGAGCCATTGTGCGGCAGAGCAAGCTACTGATCCTAGACGAAGGTCAGTGATGTGCTCCAAGCGGTATCAGCCATCTAACCACTGTCCCTGTCTCAGCTACGTCCGCGATTGGTGAGGTTTTTGGGAAAGCTGAGCTCAGAGAAATGCTGACTGCGCTACCTTTAGACTACGCAACGGATGCTGTGATTCAGGCTTCGTTACGTGAAGAACTTGACAAAGGCGTGACTCTGCTCACTGTCGCTCATCGTCTCCAGACCATCATGGATGCCGACAAAATCGTCAGTTGTCCTGTCTTTTGAATTTCTTTATCGCTCATATAGCTTGTGCAGATGGTGCTCGATGCGGGCCGAATCGTACGTGACCTATGTTTTTCCAATTTTAAACATGGATGCTGACACTCTCCATAGGCGGAATTCGGGAAACCTAGCGAACTCCTGAAGAACGAACAGGGTATGCTCCGTGCGCTCGTTGACGAGAGTGGCGACAAGGAGACGTTGTACGCTATGGCGAACGGTGCAACTGGTTCTTCCTGAGATGTACATGCTTGTTGATCCCTGCTCCTATTGTTATCATGTGATCTATCCGGTAATTATCTAGACGTTATGGTCTGCGCGTAGCCATCATGATGGTCCAGTTTTCCAGATGAGAGTGTGTGCTAATACAAAGTGCCAGTAAGTAGTCCTTCCTACGCCGATATGATACCTCGACGCCATGTACTATCGGTGGAGTGTCCCTGCCCGAGGTCGCCGTACCTCCGAGGTCTGGCAAGACTCCGCGGTGAAGCAGTGGTTGAAGCAATACTCACTGCTCGGCTGCTTGGTGATCATAATAGTCGTGAATGTAATCCGACAAATCGGTTACTGCCGATCTCGACAGGTCCAGACTTGTCACTCTTGAAGACGATGATCTTGTCGTCCTGCGCAAGAGTAGTGTATTTCTTCATCCCCGAAACTCCTGCTTCCTTGTAGACGTCAGGCTGTTGCTTCAAGAGCATCTGGCCCAATTCCGAGTAAGAGATGTAGAGAACGCCCTCCTTCCGCTTCGTTCTCAAGATATCCACCAGTGTCTGGAACTGCGATTCCACGGCGATAGGCTCGCGGGGATGTTCGCCTTCTTGGGCGACTTCAATATGGCTGTATCCGATTTGGAGCTCTGTGTGCTTTTCTGCGCCGATTGTGCGTCAGAGACCGGCTTCGCGGCGGCTGAGAAAAAGGAGTTCTCCTCAGGTAGTGTCCTGCTGGTAGGCAGCGATTTCGAGCCCGACACACTTATCGTCTATTGAGCGAAGCATGCATGAGCATTCATCTCAGCTGTCTACTACTCGAAACGCACAAGTACTCACAGGTGGACTTTGTGCTGCCATTGTTCCTGACGGCTGGGTAGGATTCGCATAATCTTGACTCTAGTTCGATGACGGATTCAATCCGTTGTGTATCCACCCCGGAGTAGAGAAGCAAAAATACTCACCTCCAACAGCGTGAGTTGGTCTGACCATTCATAGACTGCGTGACACTGAGCGAGGCGCAAGCCCGCCTGGGCAGTGACTGGGGTGATGATAACTACCGTGTAGCCTCGCAGCGATAGCCTGGAGAGCATGGGCGCATAGCCACGATCTCCGGAGATGAGCATCAAGGTGCTCGGGGCGGGATTGTCGAGTGCATATTCGAACATGTCGACTGTTGTTACTACCTGTGAGCTGGTCGTATACACATTCCAGTAAGATACATAGCATACCAGTGATAGCCTTGTCCACTACCTCTTTCAACCCGTCATGAGGGCAGTCGACCAGCTCAATTCCTGCCGAGTACAATCTCGAGCGCATGGCCGTAGCCCGGGGTGCAGTGAGCTGCGCACGATCCATGTACACTCTGAACGTGACATTGCGACCAAATTTATGTGCTAATTGACGCAGGGCAGACAGACGTGCCATCGAATATTTCGGCTCCGGAATCGGGCAGTTCTCTGTGATGTTTGCGATCAAGGCCGCTCAGCTAACGCCATAGAAACGGCGTACCCCAGTCCCAGAATACAACGACACTAGAGCGCGGCGAACCGTTTGCCCCCGTCATTCGATTGTCGTCGTGCTTGGAGCGATCGCCAGTGAACGGCACTATAGCCGTAGTACTGAGGGGCTTCTGATTGTGGTGTCCTAGGTGGCATTGCATCCTCCTAGCAAGAAGCACAGACAACGCAACGTCCCTGCAGCCACTGGGAGGAAGTAAAGCCAGGGCTCGACATCTGAAGAGCCTCTGCACGGATATCAGGAACATAATGCCTATGTAGTAGCCTCAGGCTAGATGAGTGTAGCGAGGACCACCCGGTCTGAATCGTAAGGCGCTGAGCGGCGCAGTAGCAACAGGGTCCAGTGTAGCAATGCTTGAATTAAAGGTTCCGCGGTCTTCCGTGGGATGTCAGGCGATGGATGTAACTTGTAAGTACCGAACAACATAGACTTTGGGATCCGTGGCGGTGGCGCCTTCTACCGCCATGAGGCCGACGTGCGGAGCGAGAGCACTACGAATGACCGAATATTTCAGGGCACAGTATCTTCATACTGAAATGAGAAGACACGGAGTGCAGTTCATATACTTGTCATATGTATATCACCATGGTCAGCCGCCGCTGCCGACACAGACAAGTGAAGGGGCCCATGACGGTCGCGGCGTTGTAGTAGATTTGCTGCACGATCAGAGGCATTATTTATTGACACTGCTACTAGTACTGCACAACGGTTGGGGGAGCGCAGCAGAGGAGTGGCTATATAAAAGGGCGCGGCCTATGTATGATACCAGAGTGCATAGACCACCACGGCATGACGACGTAATCGTACCAGTGCGGTGCGGTCAAAGCTGACGAATACAATATTGTGATGTACAGTATCTAGACGAACGACGATGGCAGGCTCTCGTGTATCTCTGCGTACGGCTACAGATGCGAGGAATGTTTACTGATACAGTATGAAATGTTGTGTACACAGCGTAAGAAATCACGGTTGCTTTGTGTTTGCGGTATGTTATGGACAAGCGACAAGACCCAAGATGAGGGTTGACGAGAAGAGGGTTGCGATTACAGGTCGTCCTCGCGGACTTTGTCGAGCTTTCGTAGCCACCCGCCGACTTCCCAATTACAATTTGGTTGGTAGACGTCCTTTGCTCGCTGCACCGTGTCAACGACGCCGCGGAGGATGACCCTCAGGCGCTTGAAGTCGATTGGTTTCAATATCCAACCGTCAAACCCGAGGTTGAAGAGCTCCTCCTGCTGGTCCTCGAACAAGGAAGCAGACACGGCGAAAATGGGTATTCGACCATTGATCTTGTGCGAAGTCCTGTGAAGACTGTTCACCCTCGAGTGTTCCAGTCCGCGGATGCGTTCCGTGGCTTCGAAGCCATTCAGAAGGGGCATTCTGCGAAATTCATGAACAGGTATACCAAATGCGGAGTATAGTGTTTCTTACTGGATATCCATGAGCACCGCATCAAACTCGAAGTCGGACTGCAACATGTCGAGACCTTCTTGGCCATTGGTTGTATTGACAACGTTATGCCCATCCAAGGACAGTCGCTTGGCGAGAATCATCCGATTGATGTCATTGTCCTGTCCACATCACTAAGCGAAGTCCTGGTAAGGTACACAATTTGGATGAACATACCTCGACTATCAGCAGCCGCAATTTTGTACCAAAGTCGCCATCTGAACGATTGCTGCGAGATGTGGATGATCGCGGGCCTGAACGAGGCCGAGAGGGGACCTTGGACGACATGTGGGCTCGACTTGACCTGCGACGCGCAAGATTATTCGAGTCCCCTTCTGGAGTCAACAACTTTGAACTCGGTTCTGGCTCAGTACTAATTGTGTTGAATCTTCCTTCGTCCAATCGAGATATCTCAGAATCCGCAGGAGTGCCACTTCCAGAAACCGATGCCTGCCTATCACTGAGAAGGTGGCTTGAGAACGCTTGCACGAGATTGTCGATCTCGTTGCCTCGCGATTCGTCATCAGCAGATCCGAAGGATCGTGACGAGGGACATCTTGAGTCAGAGGTGACACTGTATTCGCCAGCATCCGTGGTGAATGGAATGAGAAAGGAAAAGCGACTGCCTTCGCCGATCCGTGAGTCCACTCGTAGCTGGCCGCCAAGCTGCTCGACAATACGAGCAACAACAGCCAGTCCAAGCCCTGGGGAACATAGTTGAGTATAACCAGATTGATCAATGATGAAATCGAGCTCACCTAAGCCCGGCACGGGCGCTCGCGTCGGCGTGCTCTCTACCTGCTCGAATTCACGGAAGATACATTCGAGCTTCTCGGCTGAAATGCCATGACCTGTGTCCGACACAATGATTTCGACGGCCACATTGTGAGAATCACGAAGTCCTGCGGGCTCCTCAAAGGCATGGCACTCCAAAGAGATGCCTCCACGTTCCGTGTACTTCACTAAGATGGTATCAGCGACTCCGTGGATCTATCCATACGACATGTTGGCTTACGGGCATTCGCAGTGAGGTTGGCCACGACTGTCCGGATCTTGCGGTAGTCGCCAACCACTAGTGTTGGAGAATTCGACAAATCGACACTGAATATCAATCCTCTGCGCGCTGCTTCATTCTTGTATATGATGATTGCATCCTCGATGGCACGATGTAGATCAAAGACTTCATTGAAAGATGTTTCGTTGCCACTTTCAAGGCGTGTGAGGTCCTGCGATTTGACAAATATCTCGTCCAGCGTTCCATGTCTGTGGAAATCAGCTATACGTACCAGCAAATCATTGATCGTGAGCAACAAGCTCTGTATACAAAGTCAGGCAACATCAAAAGGACTACTCGTGAGGACTCACTTTCGATGCAGCATGCGATTGACTGAGATTTTCCCGTGTCTCAGAATCCAGCGAACCGTTGAGAGCCATCTCCAAATAACTGCGACGGAAGGGCATGAGATTGAGACAAATGACAGAGATTAACCCACGCACTTTATGATATGATTAAGCGGTGTCCGTACTGTACGCTGTCAACATGACGTGCCACTGTACAGATAAGCACATACCTTCATGACTAGCATTTGAGAGCAATAAATTCGTGAGCTTCGTGGTCTGTAACGCACTCTCCTTTTGTCTCCAGACCTCGATGAACTGATGCATGCCGATCAACATGTGCCAAATGGATAAGGAAGGAGCAACGCACCTTGCCATACACAAGCGCGAGCACGCCGGCTGTCTCCAGATGTTCGTCTGACCATGCACGGCAGCGGCCAGCCACGGTCTCTGACCATAAGCGGAACGATGCCCGGGGCTCGAGCACATTGGGTGTCTGTCCATCCTTGTACGGCCGCCCTGCCCAACGCACTTCTCGCGGCTGGCCCTTGCGCAAGAAAGCGATGAAATCCCGCCCGCCAGCCGACAGTGGCACATACAGGAGACCGGCAATGACCTCGAGACCAGTATTGAGGTGAAGATCGGGATAGTCCTGTGTCACCGCTTGCGATACCTGAATCGTGCTGCAACAGAACCCTGGTCATGGCATGCCATAAGTGCAACATTAGACGTCACTTACTCGAACTGCTTGAGGCGGAGGTACTCCGCAACAATCAGAATCTCCTGACCATGCTGATTTGGCCCCAATATCTTGGCACCTTCACCAATGACAAGGACACCATGATCAGCATCGAACAACCCAAGGAGATCGTCCGCGTTCGACACGATATAGCCGGAAGGGTGCTGGTCACTCGGCATCGTATTGATCTGCAATCATACGTTTCAGCGGGAGCAGGAGAACATTGGCAGAAATAACTCACCAATTTGCGAGAACTCAAGCGCTGTGCGTAGCTAAGCCGCTCCACATTGCGCGAGACGGACTGGCTGAGCAGACGAAGCATCTGTCGAACAGGGAAGGAGACACGCATCCCGTGGCTACCATAAGAGTGACAAGCGACCAGACCCCAAAGTTGGCCGAACGCAACGATGGACTGCGTCCTTGATGAGCAACAGAGGCAACCAAACGAGACCGCTGATACTTACGACGGACATCGATGCGCGGACCTGCATGTTCTCGAGGTCTAGACAAATGGCATGAATTCCCCACCGCAGAAACCAGGTGGGACGACGGACACTTCAGGTGGATCGGACTCATAGCGCGCAAGTAACAATGGGTCATATCCTGAAAGGCTCGTCAGACATTTCGTGCATACAGCAGAGAACACATACGAGTGGCGTCTCCAGGTCTCTCTTACTCCTAACCACCAGCCGCGCAGTCGGGGCAGCACGGTCATACAAGAGCCGAACTTTGTCTGCGCAAAGTCTTAGACATCAAACCCTAGAGATGAAAGAACAAGCTTACTGAGAACATAGAGATGCCTCGCCTACACTTGCTTCAGCACTCGCTTCCATAGAGCTCAACGAGGACAACGTACCTGCGCAGGGATATCCGTGGCCGGGAAGTGTAAACCTCGGAATAGTTCGTGCGTCTGTTTCCAGTCCACCAGTTCCGCGACGACCTGCCCGTTCCAGAGCTCATCGAACTGATATGCGACCACGCGGTGAAACTGCGTAAGGTCCTTGATGACACCGACTACGACCTTCAAGAAGGTCTCCAAGTCTGGTGCGGCCCCAAGCTGCTCATTGATCTGCGCCATGACCGCAAAGACGTCCATCATCCCCACAGCACCCGTACCTCTGCGGCGACGAGACAGGCCCCGTCGCAGTGACTCTGGCTGAGCATGCCCACTTGGGGAACCATTGCTGGACGACCCGAAGGCAGTGTTGCTGCCGGCTGCAAAGGAAGAATCACCGACGACGCGACGCGTACGTCGAAGACGCTCAAGAGCAGGCAGAGGTTTTGCACGGCTCGTCGTGCTCTCCAAAATATCTTCAGGACTTGGCATCCAATCGTCTTCTGCGTTCGTATCGAAGGCAGATACTCCACCTGCCCCCGAGCGCGCAGGTGAACTTTCCGCTTGACGAAGGACTGCGTCACTGCCACTGCTAGGCACCGACGCTAAACCGGATGACGATTCCTCTGGCGTGCGTGCGAGCCTATCCTGAGAGCTGCTCGAAGAGACCAATGTCCGGCCAGAACTATCAGTCGCTGAGTTACTTGCCGAGTTCGAGCTGGCCGCTGTGCCCTCCGAGGGCGAGGATACGCCCGAGTACATCGACGACGTATCGTCCGCAGAGACAGCAGGATACAGTGGGTTGAACGTGTCGCGCTCGAGTTCAAACTCGAGGATGATGATGACCCTGTCGGCCTTGAGGGACGTGTCATTCGACTTCGTCTCCATGTTCGCCGGCGCTGTCATCTGCGGGCGGTGCGCGGCGCACCAGCAGCTCCAGCTCCGTCGTCGCTGCGGGTCATTCGTGGCGACCCCCGCCGGCACAGTGTCTGGCTCACCCCACCCACTGAGCATGAAAACGTGCAAATTCTCGGCCTGCTCTTCGGGCGTGAGCGAAGTGTCGTTCAGATATTGGATGTTGTCGAACAGCACGTCCGCCTGCTGGTCAGGTAGCGTCTGCGAGAAGCACTCGAGCGAGAAGAGGTACTTCGGCGACAGCCCGAGGAGCTCTGCGGAGTTCTGCTGGGCTGTGAACATGCTGGGTCTACATGGACGCGAGAACCACACACCTCTGAGGCCTGTCGCACGACGAGGTCCCCTGTCTCCTCGTCCTCCTCCACCGCGATGAGGATGCCGTAGCCCTGGACAGCGCCAGGCGTGCGAATCGGCTGCGTGTCGTCAGCGGAGAACCACTACACACAGTCTGCGCACGTACCTCGTCCTCGCACTTAACCAGCTCCCCTTCCCTCCCAACAATCAGATGGTGCCCGTCCTCGTCCTCCGCATGCGTGTATCTGAACGCAATGCGCGGCCCCTCCCCGCTGTCGCCGCTGCTGCTCGAATCCGAGGCCTTCATTTCCGAGGGCGCCGCGTCGGGCTCCTGCGCGGAGGGCATCTTCACGACTTCCGCCTCACCCAGCGATGTCTGTATCGCCGAGCGATCTGAGCCGACTGCCGAGTCGCGACTGGCGCACCCGCGAGACGACGACGGCGAAATAGTCGAGGGTGCAGATGGATTCGAGCCTGATGTAGAGTCGAGGGGCGGCAAGTGGACGATGCCCGACTGCGAGAAGCGACCGTGTAGTACAGCGTCATAGTTGGAGTGGTTGTCGTCTGGCAAAGGCAGGAAATCAGGAGCGACCTCATGGAAGGCCTCCGAGGCAAAGTCTGAGAACTGTGGCGGGTGATGCGCGGCAACCTGGACAGCGGCCTCTGCGTCGGATGCAGGGTCCTCATTGAACGCTGAGTCCGCCATTGGCTGATGACGTGCAGAGGCAAACGAGCGGCGGCAAAGCGGGTCCTCGTTCGGAGCGAAGTCGCGAAAGTTGGGCGTGCTGAGTTTCCGTCGTGTGTGCGAATCAGCGCCTTCGCTGCCAAGAGATGTAGAGGACGGTGCAGGGGGACCAGTGCCGCTACGAGAACGACTGAAAGGGGGCGCCTCCCCGGAAGAGGATCCGATGGGGGCGTTGCCGTGCTTCTCTAAAGGCGCCGCAGGCGTGGTGACATCTGCGACAAAGGTGAGCATGTGCCAAGGATCGTCGACGACGGATAGGTGCCGCACCTTGCGAGTCTGTGTCCTCGCGAGCTGGGCGGATCCCGCTGAGGAGCGAACGAACGGGGTAGACGTACGACGAGGTCGACGGCAGGAGCGGCGACTGAGCTGTGGGCTCGTTCATGCGCGGGGCTTGCTGGGGCATTCGCGTTGATGGAGGAAGACGACGAGGGGTGTGTTCTCCAAAACCGTCAGCAGCGCGGCAGCGAGGGTTCTCTCAGCCATCGCTTTCCTGTTTGGAGAGCTGCCCGACTGGACTGTCAACCGACTGCCGCATCCAGGCGCGGCGGGCGTCTACACGTGATCGAATTCGAGATCCAGCTGCGATCGAAGGCGCTTGCAATCGTACTTTGCTTCCGGAGTCTACTGTGAGCGTGTCAAAGGCGACATTCAAGTCTGGAAACCGCACGGATACCTTACCTGCATCGTTCAAGGCGATTTGAACAGGATTGAACGATTGAGGACAGGTCGGCCGACTTCGTTGGCAAGAGACGATCAGATCTTAATCTGACCGCTCGGCGCTTGCTTCCTTGCCCCAACGTCAGCTCGGTCACGGCGTGCCATGACGTCCTGATCCCCTTTCCTCAAGCTCCACCGTTGCGTGGTGGTGGACGTGGCCGGATGCGTTTTGCAACCGCCGATGAACATGTGGCGGCTGGTACCAATTCCGCCGAGCGAATATTTAGGCAGATGAGCGGCAAGCCTGTTTTGTGGTTAGAACCGCTCGCCGTGTCGATTTGAACGCACAGGGGAGACTCACCGATAACAGCCAGTCAACCATGCAAGACGCATGTAGGGGACACCAGGCGAGCACTCTGGTTTATATCGCGAGAACGTATAAGTAGGTACGGCGGTCCTTGGTGACACGCGTACCTGAGCTGCCATTCCGATATGTGGGTCTTCGTGGTACATATGCCCTGTGTGATGACATATTTGCGGTGCCAGCATGGATGCGGGTGCTATGAAGTCAAGCCAGGTGAAGCAGGAGATCAAAGACGAGGTGCCTGATGATGACGAGTAAGTACACTAGGCGGGAATAATGCAGGTAACAGTAGTGACACACACCAGATATATGAGAATCCGTTGGATTTGCAGCCGTGGTCAACGACGTTCAGAAGGCGTCGAGAGTAACACATCCCGTCAGAATAACGTGGGTTGCTAAACGGCAGTGGCGACCTGTAAACTGTGATATGAGTTCACAATATTGGAAGTGACTGTAGTTATATGACGGAATGTACGAGCAAACTAGAGGGTAGGATCTCAAGAGCCGGTTGTTCATGTATGCTTTTCGACCCAGGAAGGGTTTGGGAACTTTCCAGGTTGAGAGTCGGAGAGACTGAGTAAGGGGTCGCCAGAGCTTGAGGCAACGGCAACCGAGATGATACAGCACGCTGGAATTCTTTGCTAAAGCATCCTTCTTGCGATTGGTACGCAAGGACCGAGCATATATGCACTCGGATACCATGTGTTGGGCTGTGGATTATAAGTAGGTAAAGTACTAACAAGGAGCACTACAGTCTACACTTCCCAGAGCCATTAATCACGGCACTGACCTGTGATAACAGATTCTCTGTTAATACTGCCAAGATTAAGTGGTTATATGCGGACAGCGTTTCGGTCCCTCGTCCTCAGTTGCGACGCAGTGACTTGAGTGATCCGAGTCGGGACGAGTGAGAGAGAGAAGGAAAGGGATTGTGGATGGATGACGGTCTTATATGCCGGAAGATTCGGAGTCTGAACAAAGTACGCCTATGACGTCGTTTACGAGTGTGCAGATCCACTCAGGCTGGATGTGCGTCGGGGTGTTCAGTAGAACGCGAGCTCAGACCAGGGCCCGATAAACGCGATCGGCGGGACAAGCTCCTGGATCACGTGTGCGCGTCGCGGCGGTCTCCGCTGCTCTCCGCTGCGTCCGCATCGAAGAGTAGCGCTCGCACAGTGCACACAACTACTACACAGTATTTAACTTACCTAGAGACAGCTGAAGTGTGGGCCAGCATTCGTTCAGAACGTGGGATGGTGGAGAGCGTGCTTCAGGTAAACTTGAAGGACGCGACCTCAGGTGCTCACAAGTTCGCCGGACTATGACAAGTCACAACTGGCATCGAACGTGTTCGAACGTTCGCCCCCTGGTCATGAATTATCATATGAAATTGAAGGCACAATAAACCTCAGAACAGTGTTTACATCATGATAAGATCCATGGTCGTATCTACTAGCTACTTGTAATTGTCGCGTCTACTAAGTATGAGGCTGCCAGTAGGCATCAGTTCAGTAGTGCTGCCTTATCTTTTTGGTCAGCTACGGAGACTAGTGCTGCCTCCACCTTCTAACAGACGTCATCGAAGGATGAAATAGGTTAACGGTGATAAGATTCAACAGCGTTGTTCGTGTTCGATCCAGCCCGGGCCCGGGAGACCCTGGGCCGTCGGACTCGGAGGACGCGATGAGGGGCTCGGATACGCGCCGGCTAGACTCGATCCCGTGACGTTAACGCGACACACTGTTCGTCGAGGCTCCGGCCTCCTTGTTCAGTAGTCTGATCCTCACCTCCATCTTGCCTTCGTCGCTCCCTCACACCGTCCGCGTCCGACACACTTCGGCTCACACAACATATCAGAAGATAACAAATATCCACACGATATGTCAGCAGCAGAGCCAACAGAGCCAACACGTAGTCAAACAGAGGTCGAAGATAACCAGTCAGAGCGGCCGTACGCTATCCTGCGCATCAAGCGCAAGCGGAATGAGGAGCCTCTAGATGCATTGCGTACGTTCTCTCTACTGTCTCTCACGTACTGACTTGTGACTGGCGGATGATCTTCTGCAGTGGTAGATCAAGATGTCGCTCGCCCGAAAGGCAAGCGCTCCCGCGCTGGTCTCAACTTCTTCAAGTTCGCCGAGACAGTCGAACAGGGTGCATGGGATGATGAGCAGGCTAAAAAAGACTTAGAAGTATGCACTCTGCTCTGTTATCCTATGGTCGCCGAGACTCACCCCATGGTCCATCACGTCGCCACCAGACTCGTCTGGCCGCCCTCGCACGCGAGTCAAGGCAAGGGGGCGAGAGGGACCAGACACAACAAGCTGAAATTCCCGCATCGAAATCTGCTCCCGCTGATATGGGTCAACCCGCTCCGGCGACCGCAGCGGGATCGGTGACAGCGGAGGCCACAGTTGCAACACCACCTCCTACGAAACGCCGCAGAGCAGATCACACCCCTCGCAAGTACACTATCCTCAGGCGCGAGGTTCCCTCGACGGATCCGCCGGTCCGGAGGCGAATGCCTTCAGCTCCGTAAGTTGCTTGTGGCACTCGTCTGTCTTGCTACGAGACTAACATCTCGTTGGACACGCAGTCCGAAGGTATGGTCAATGAGAGAGCTTGAGGCGGCTCGCGCAGCGCAAGCTCGACTCGCCATGTACGAAGCCGTCCCATCTACGTCGGGTGTCGAAGCCTCCGACTCGGTTGATGCCGATATAGCCAAGTTTCTACCGCTCCTGCAAGACTACCTCAAATGTGCTTCGTCCCTTGGCTTATACTACCCTCTTGACCTGCTTGCTGAGATATCTTAGTGGAAGATCCGGTAGCTGTCCCCGCTACCTCCGCCGCTCCGCCTGCAAGAGAAGACGACACCGACTACGTGTATGATGTCTTCTACCAGCGTCTTACGCGCGACCCGAGCGCGATTTACGGCAACGTCGGCACGCTGTAGGTTCCACCTTTTGTCCTAGGCTAATTGTTTCTGGCACACTCACTGAACACCCTTGCAGAACTGGTGTACCCGACGAGCTAATCATGTATGACTCAGACGATGATAACGATTCGGAAGTCTACGATACCGCTGATGAGGACTCTAACGGTAAGACTCCTCTCGAGAGCATACGACCGTTCGCGGAGATCTGATAGTTGGCCTACAGCTGAGGACTGGTATCAAAATGACTATCCTGATGAGGAGTCTGACCGGGATGACGACGGAAGCGAAGGTAGTGGTGAGTGCGCCCGCTACACGGGCACGCATTATGTTGATGTCTGTGTACTTAGATGTCTTCCATGAGAGCTCGGATCATGAAGATATGATGTACGATGATGATGATGACGAGCATGAATGGCGATGATGTATGGGCCGAGGACGGTACGTTGCGATTGTGTATCATATAGTCAGTCTCGGACAAGGATTCATGTATTATCAACGAGCATGTATCATTACCTTCCATGCGGCCAGTAATATCGCAGAACGAGTCCCACTGAACCAGTATACTGTTCCCACAAGGGTACTAACGTCTCATATGGTCTAGGTTCTGGTGCTCTCATGAACGATTGAGCGCGAACCGTCCACAGAGTTGCGTGTTTCTGGAGTGCCCTTGGGACCGTGCCCTCAATGTTTTCGGCGGATCATTGACCTGCTCAAAGCCATCGAAGGCTAGTGAGTTGCTGGTCGTTTGGTCCACATCGCCCTGTATTGGTGATGCGGTGACCTGTACAGTCGTCGCGCAAGAGCAAGAACTCATGGTGTCGGGCCCCTCGTCCATTGAAGGAGGGTCGAGGCATTCTAGGTGGCTCTCGTTCCCCGTTCAGCGACAGGGAGGCCCCTTCTCTCAACCCTTGCTGTCACTCACACTGAAAACTTCTACATGCATGGCATGGACCATCGCAGTCGCCTTACGAGGCAGAAGCTGGCGTGCGAGTCAATTGCAGCACGTCTGTGAGATCCATGCGGAAGAGGACGATCTTCTGCGTGTCGTTTCCACACGGTGCTGTGCAGACGGGGCACGGTCCACGCTTGATCGCCACCAGTCTGACGTATAGGAATGCGCAGTCTTCTACTCCCTCCGTGTATGAGAATGGAGCGCATACGACGATGACGGCAGACGATGATGACGGCAGGCGTGGCGAATGGCTACAATGCGAGCGGTCGGAGAGGTGGCCTCGGACAAGGTGAAAACGTGTATTGTGTGCAGTCCCAACATCTAATGAAATCCATCTATATTTCTATTAGGCAAGGAGCACTGGTCTACGGAAGCAAGGGTGTATGTAATCCCGACAATTAAGCATGTTCGCTTTGCCCAGATTTGCGGGTCTCGCTTGCTATCGCCTTCTCCCGCCATTGTCCCCCTTTCCACCATACAAGGAGGATCAGCAGTTCGGAGATGAGGGTCAGGCCACCCCACAGGGAGTACAACCCGCCGTCACCTATGGAGTTCTGCATCCAGCAGTCAGCGTCATGCGACATGGCGTGGCCTCTCGTGTTGCATGAGGGCCGAGACGTGTCTATGAACATACCTGTAGTGGGACGGCAACTTCGGTAGCAACGAAGGCCGACAGCCCGCGGAAGAAGCTGTTGGAAGCTACAGCGGACGAAGAGCGGCCGACGTTGGCATCTACAATATAGGCGAGCGTACTCGAGTAGATGGATCTGCAGGTAGAGAGACAAGGTGAGTCGCTTTGCGTCCCAGGGATGAGGCGAATAGATACATTTGGAAGAACCTGCCAGGAACAGCATCACACAGACTGCCGATATATGCACATGTTCTTCACACACCCAGCCATACGCCACGACGGAAGGTGGGAAGAACAGCATAGGCACCATTGTACTTGGAGACGCATCTACAGAAGAGGCAATGAAATAAGCATGGACCGCCCATTGGGTGTGGACACTGTACAGGGTGCGTGCCTCCGGTTGACTCTTTCCTCCGTGTTTGGCCTTGAGCTTGGTGAAGATATGGTCCGAATACCGACCCCCGAGCACGCTACCAAACAGACAGCCTGTAGAGAGCTTAGCCATGATGCCAAGCTCGTACTGACGGAGGCGATCGACCGCACCTATTCCATATGCTAACAGGACGAACCCAATATCGAGAGCATCGTAGTGGTACTCATTGGCTAAGGTCCGCGACGCGGTATACGTGATGCTGAAGTTGAAAGCGAAGAGAAGACCTGCAGCAGCGGCGAATCTTCAGATAGGGGTCTAGGGCATTTCTCGACAGACAGGCTCACCCGAGGCAAACAATATCACGACATTATTCCGCCGGTAAAGGATGCGGAGAATCGGGAGAATCGGGTTCACATCTCTCAAGGAAGGCTTGACCTCCTTGACGGCTGCAATTATCTCGGAGGTTGGCAACGTGGCCTGTGCCTCGACGTCTCGGTTACCAGCACCTCCGCCGTATTCTACGCCAGCCTCCCTGTCTTTGGAACCCTTGTCATCCGCTGGCATAACTGCAGTGCGCGCATCGTCTACATCTACCGCCTTCTCGGAGGCAGGGTGCCTTGCGGCCTTTGCGGCCGCCTTCTTTGCCTCCTGCTCGAGCACACGCTTGAGCACGGTCTGGTACGTAAGACTACGTTCCAGCCGGAAGGTATCCCGGAAGAATACGAAGGAGAATGTACACAATCCTGTAAAGATTGCGAGGAACCAGAACGTTGCACGCCAGTTGAAACCCTGGGTCAGCACGCCTCCTAAAATCGGACCGAGAGAGGGGCCGAGTAGAGGAGCACTGCAGCAGTGTGAAACGTTCAGCTCTGACGGCACAAAGACCATGTAGAACCATCCGCGTACGCACCAGTAGTATATCCCCATCATCGTGCCCCGTTCAGCAGGCTCGTAGAGGTCAGCTAGCGTCGCAGCACCGATTGATATGACAGCGCTCGAGCTGCGATTGTCAGTCTAACAGGCATCATTTGAGTGATAGGTGGACTGACCCGGCAGCCTGTAGACAACGCATACCAATGAGGACATTGATCGTCTTTGCCGTAGCTGCTACGATGCATCCCAGCATGCATATGGCGATAGACGTCAAGTATACAGTCTGTCCGGGTATGAGACACACGCAAGCGGCGAAATTTGATTCCTACCTTTCGTCCCCGAATCTCACTGACCGAACTCCAAATTAGGGGGAATCCGCCCTGAATGAGAATGAACAGAGAGAGCGTCAAACTTAGTTGGCTGGCCGTGGCGTGCAGATCCGACTCGATCTGTGCAATCGCAGCTGTTGTGCGACAACTTGTTTGTGACCCAGCTAGAGCAACTTCGCCAGAGACTCACGGTTGTATATATTCGCACCCAATCCAGCGATCATGGAGGCCCCAGATATCATGGCAACTATAACGTACTGCCCGTTTGTTGGTAAGGGCGTCTCCCACCACCTGGATAGGAAATACTGCTCACTTTACGACCCTTCGACCATTTACGCGGATCGTCCTTGACCACCGCATGCTCGATGTCTAGTTTCACTTGGACTAGGTTCTCATCAGCCACAGGTTTTCCGCTGCCTTCTATGCGTAGGCCCGGCCCAGATGGCTCGAGTGTCTGACTCTGGCTGTCCATGAAGAGGCGCTCGTCACAGTCGTGAAGGTCGTGGGGGTCGTGAGTCAAGAGCGGGTTGCGCTCGGAAACTTGGAATGCAAGACCAACCCTATGATACGACTGCCGCTGACTCTTCCTTGCGGTTGCCCGTCCAAATGCCCGTGGAGGTATGCCTACAATTCGTTTGGCGCTCGGCAGTCGACGGCATTGGCGTTTGGTGAAGCGACTTCGGCTGGATGGGCCGAAAAGAGCCTACATGAGAAACCATCTGCCATTCAAGACGGCGGACGGGGTTCAAAATCATCCTTCAGTACTGTGTTAACTACTGTAAGCAAGTATGTAGGCTCGAACCAGTGGAGGGCTGAGGCAAGCAATATGCCTACAGCACGACATTAAGTCGCCTATAATGACGCCGGGAAACAGTCTGACGTGTTGCTATGTTTGAACTCGCCGAGTAAACCCGATGAATGCTATCATGCGAGCTACTCTATTGAACTTAGTCTCTAGCGAGGTCGCTCTGCTGAACCCCGCAAGTATGTCGAAGAAGGAAGATATATGGGTTTTGATTTGACAGCTCTGCAAATAGAACGCATGATATGATACATACAGTAAATTACAGGATGCTATCCTGAGCACTACGCAGTAACCGAATATGACGATGATACGGATACATAGTCTAGTCTCGCCCATAGCGATTCTATACAGTACGCAACATCTTAAGTCTCGATTTCTGCCGCCGCGGCGAGCCGGTTTTCAGGCGTTGGAATGTTCACGCCACTGCTTGCCCTTCCACCAGACAAGCACTATCAGCAGTTCTGCCAATACAACCAAGCCACCCCACAGGGTATACAGTCCTCCGTCGCCGAGAGCATCCTGCATAACAAATGCAGTATGGCGGATGAGATGTAAGGTTAACGTAGCTGGAGTAGACTGACCTGCAAGGGGACGGCGATTTCCGCGGCGACGAAGCCAGACAGACCTCGTGCACAGCTGTTCGTTGCAACCGCCGAAGACGATCGCCCAGTATTCGCGTCGACATATAGGCTAACGTGCTCGAGTAGATGGTGCTGAGAAGAAGGTGTCAATCGAGACTGCGTGTGATCGGTTGGCCAAACGGCGGAGACTTACATCATGAGGAAGCCGGACAGGAATAGAAACACACACACGGCAGATTCGTGCACATGTCCTCACACACCCAACCGTAGGCAACGATCGAGGCTGGAAGGAAGAGCATGGGATACATCGTGCTTTGAGGCGCATCTGTCCGATGTGTCCAATAGCGTTAGTCACCGCGCAACATCGTGCCGATACACGAGACGTACTTCAGGAGAGCTCTTGCCGTCATGGCTTTGTCTCATCTTCACAAGGACATAATCGGAGTAGCGTCCTCCGAGGATGCTTCCGAGAAGCGCACCTATAGACATAATGCGTCAGCCAAGGAGACGCATAGGTTCAGCTAGATGGACTGACCGAAGCCAAAAGAGAGAAGAACCAAACCAATCTTCAGGGAGTCGTAATGGTATTCGTCGGCAAGCGTTAATGATGCAGTGTACAGTATGCTATACTCGAAAGCGAACAATAATGCTGCCTCTCGTATGAGTAATCACCCGGTAAGTCACGAACAACGCGAAGCTCACCTGAAGCAATAATGATAACAACGTTGTTGGGGTGCCGTAGGACTTGAATCATGGGTCCCACCGGGTTGACGTCTCTGAGCGACAGCTTCAATTTCTTGGGTGTCGATCCATCGCCAAGCTTCGGAACATGGGCTTCCAGATCCACGTCGCCGATCTTGGTTTCCACGGAGCTACACTCGCTCTTCACCTCCGCGTGTATGTCGTCAGAGGACTCGGGGCGGCAAGGGTGCTCTGCAGTGTGTCCTTGGAAACTCCGCTCTCCGAGTCTCTCGCCCTGGAATCCTCTGCAACGCTGCCTGGTACGTCAAGCTGCGCTCACGACGAAACGTGTCCCTGAACCACACGAAGGGAATGATACAGAGACCTGTGAAGATGACCAGGAACCAGAACGTCGCGCGCCAGTTGAAAACCTGAGCAAGTATGCCGCCGATGATTGGTCCAAGAGAGGGACCGAGGAGTGGAGCGCTGACGACGGTCAAGGGCATCTGAGTGAGGAGGCAATGCTACGTAGCGGCCCTATGGGTACTCACCACAAGTAAATTCCCATCATAGTTCCTCGTTCTGCTGGCTCATACAGATCCGCCAAAGTCGCTGCGCCAATGGTCACGACCGCACTTGCCCTTGTGGAACCACAATTCAGTTGAACGAGTTCTTTCCGACGTGTCAATAAATAACGTACCCCGCTGCTTGTAGGCATCGCATTCCAATGAGCACGTCGATGCTTTTTGAGAGGGCTTCTACGATGCATCCCACCGTGCATAATGATATGGAAACTAGATAAACCACCTGCCACATCGTTAGACACTTAACAATTCGGTCATCGTGATGGCTACCTTCCGTCCGTGGATTTCACTGATAGCACTCCAGAACACAGGAAACCCGCCTTGTATGAGGATAAACAGCGAGACAGTCAAGCTGACTTGTTCGCTCGAGGCATGCAAGTCAGCCTCAACCTCGGCGATGGCAGCTGAATGATATCAGTAAGAATGTTCGTTCTCGCATGTGTCAAACTCACGGTTGTAGAGGTTACCGCCCAAGCCTGCAATCATGGCAGCGGCACAAATGATGACTACCACGGTATACTATGTCCCGGTGAGTATCAGTGTGTAGCAAGTCATATATGACTTGCCTTGCGAGTGTTCGACCACTCTCGAGGGTCGTCCTGGACGACCGCATGCTCAATGTCGAGCTTCTGTAGGGGTTCGGGCTTGGGAAGAGCCTTCAGATCCTCCGGGGCCAAGGGGATGGCGCGGATCTGAATGGTTTGTATGACCGATTCTTGCCTCTCAATAGTCGCCATGCAGTGTAGTTGTGAGCTCTCGAGTGCGTTGAGACGGGTGTGTGGACCGGTAGAGATGGAATAGATGCGCTTTCCATCTGGTCGTTATATACGCGAGTTTCGACCGACCATTCCCTTCGCGCGTTGAGACCGACCGTTCACCAGCACCAGGCCTGGACAGGGTGAAACGTCAGCGAGGAGAAGGTCAGTGACCCCGGCCAACCAGCAGGCGAGCTTCAGATTCTGGAAACCTCAGTGCTCTCCACCGGGCGCAGCGGCAAAAGCGTGGGGGCACCATGGGTACCCGACGGGACAATTCTCTACGCGGGTAGCGTTGCACTAGTTCATTGCATGGGTGTTTAATAAACGTTACGTTAGGCATTCTGGCCGTTACGTAAACCGTCGTGTTCTTGACTGCTCCCCAACGTCCCATGCAGAGGCAACACTGAATTACCGCGACAAGAGCTTCCTATGTGTCACAAGACGGACGAAGTAAGATGCCAAGTGGGGATGGTCGTCGATGATAGAGTTTAACTCCGAGTACAACCCGCGATACTGTACAGGCAAACCGACTACTGCCAGTGTGTTCTCCAGGGCAGCTGTACGTAGCGGGAATGCCTACATCGGCTACCCTGCAGAGGTGCACCTGCTGCACGCATTGGTGGCTTGTCCTATGATGCCGAATTAATGAAGCCCCTTGGATTCGTCTCGAGAACTCACCGGTACCGGCAGCGACTGCAGCTTTCTCAGTGATCGTTAGAACGAAGTCAGAGAGGCGCTCAAAGCAGAGTGTCGTACAAACACGTGGTAGGCAGGTGGCACACTAGCCCAAATCAGGCAAGTTGCTTCCTGGGTCACTCCATCGAATCGACAGTTCGTTCTTCAACTTCTTGTCCACTCGAGCTCTCGCGGGTCTAGACGAGCGAAGCCTCGTGTTATGCGAGGCCTTGGCTTCATTTTCTGCAATTCAGCGGCTCAGGTGAGTGCTAGGCGCACGACGTCGTTGTCGGTGTCTTATGAACATGCATGCATCTCCAGCAAAAATATATATTCCGTGACACGCCGCGAGCATACTCAAGCTACGTGGCGATATCCTGCTATCAGGTAACTGAAGCTTAACGCAGTGGTCAGTTACGCTGAAGCCGAAGTTTGCGTAGTAGTGTCCCATAGACGGTCTGGAGCAATCGCCGTCGAGGGCTCGCTGTCTTAGCCTAATGTCGACATGGGCGCCGTACAAGAAGCTAATTTGAGCACGGTAAGAATGCCCCCGACACGTTTTCCTCACGGCCTCGTTCGAAGACTTTTTCCCGCACATTTTGCCTGGACCCATGTGCTCTACTAAACAGTGCTGTGATGCCTAGACCCAAGACGTCGGCATGCATCGGGAGTACTTACGAGTGCCCGCATCGTGATCCAGACTTCTGACATAGGCCTCAACAAATGAGACTCTGATAACGCCGTGAGCCGTCTATCTCTTTGCCACTAAACTAAACCAACTAGTGGCCGTCCTCGGTCAGTAACGACCCTGACTTGCTTATCTCTTCCATTGTGTCACGATCCATACTGGAACGGCGGATTGGAATTTGGTACCCGCTGCTATTTATGACGTCTCATGCCAGCGGAGACCACATGCTGCACTTTGTAGCGAAGACTTTTGTGGACGTAGTTTCAAGAAGAGTTCAGAATGTGCTCAGCCTTCCATTCACTTGTAGCCGGTACCGGTTCGCCTAGTTCATTGAATCCATTAAGAGAAGTCGCGAAGCCATAGTATTGTTGATCATGGATGTCAACATGTCACCCTCATGCGCGACTGAGCGCCGAGATCTGCATGCTCATTGCAGCTATGATTGACAGAGCGTCCTGTGACTGTGACACTCGCTCAAGGCCTCTCTACAGCTCGTTCCACCCGTTCGTCAGCGTGTCGGCCTCGAGCTGGCTTGTCTCTACTACGTAACCCACCAACCATGCCATCTGATCCTCCGTCTATGGTGCGGGTAGAGTATCTAATGATGTTCGCGAGTATATTGCCGTTTATCCGAGTCGATTAGAAGTAAGCGGGCGCTGTAGAGCTACGGAAGCTGCGGCACAAGGTGATCATGCATGCGCACATCCGCGGTGTTAACGTCTGAGTAGGACTGGGTAGTTTTCGAGCTCACACCATGAAAGGCCGATGTACTAGGAATCCAAAATCTCCCTCGCATGACCGTTCCTTCTCGCCCTGGGAAGCTCAGATAGAGGAAAGAATTGACGTGCTATGCAATAAATAGACCCGTCTATAGTTAGATCTTAAAGAGGCGATAGGGGGTGGGACACACGAGAGTTCACCCTCTCATATATACACGATTCAAAGTCTCAAGCAGAAGCTTCCCGGGCCATGGCACACAAGGTTTCTTTGTCCCCGCTTTCATCGACCAGTGCACGAAGCATACCCTTCTCTTCCATGAGCAGCTCGTTAGGCTTGCCGAACTCAACCTATAAGATTATAAGCGTGGCACCTCTTTCTTCATAAAAGGGTGCGACTCACGATTCGACCCGCGTCCAAGACCATCTACGAACGAGATAGCACGCGTGAGGATCAATACCAGCTTTGTACTTTACGTCAGGACTCACGATCTTGTCAGCGTCCATGATAGTGTGCAGCCGATGGGCGACGGTGAGAACGGTGACACCGTTCTTCAATTCTCTTCTCAGAGAGGCTTGGATGACAGCATCAGTAGCATAGTCTGGGCGAGTCCAATCAGTAGGCCTCGTTTGACCAATGAGAGGCAGCTCACCGATAGCGGATGTAGCTACCGTGATTTGGTCATTTCATGCTCGTCATCTTGTACAGCAAAGAGAACGGACCTTCATCCAAGATCAGAAGCTTGCTTTGGCGAACTATGGCTCTCGCTAGCGCTAGAATTTGTCGCTGACCGACGGACAGGTTACATCCTCCACTTGCAATCGGAGTGTCCAACGTGATCTTGCCCTCCTCGAGCTCACTCTGCAAGGAGAACAGCCCTGCGGAGCGGAGAGCGTCATTGAGGACAGCATCATCATGTTGTTGGAATGGGTCCAGATTTTGCCGCAGAGTTCCGCTCAGTAGCTCAGGCTATGAAAGAATGAGGGTTGGGAGGTTTGAGAACATGTTTGACGTACAATTTGTGGTATGATGGTGATGTTTAACCGCAGCGCGTCGAGGTTGATGCTATCTGTAGCAATGCCGTCGTAGTATACCTTGCCTTCTGTGAGGATGCATCGAAGCAAAGACAACGTCAAAGAGCTCTTCAGGATATGTCAGCCATAAGACAACAGTCCAACAATTCTTAGTGACCGACCTTCCCACTCCCAGTGCGACCGACTGATTAGAAGGGTTAGGAGTCATAACTGCATGCGGGTAGAGTACGAAAGATACCCACCAATGCCTATGCGTTCACCTGATTTGACCTCGAAGGATATATCGTTTAACACTCTTGGACCATCCTATAAGTTGCGAAATGAACACGACGCATGATCGAGCTGTTATCAGAGCACACACAGGGGAGTATCTCGCCGACAGGTTCTCGACTTTGAGGTTACCGCTCGCAGGCCAGTATGCGGGAGGAACGCCAGTAGTGGTGGGCTTGGGCTCTTGCTCAATTTCTACATATTGCTTGATTCTCTCCAGACTAAACCGCGTCAACACCAGGTTTTTGACCATAGATATTTTAATTACCTATTTCCTGTTTGTAACACTTGTCATGAGAGGCGAACTTTTCAACGGCATGAGAAACATGGAACGACCACGCACCGTTGACCTCAAGCTCGTTCAACATCCTCACCCACCATAGAATCATGCCGCTGAAACCGACTGTACTTACACGACATCAATGACCCGCAGACAAAGTATTTTCCAGACTCCTACCTGCCATGTTCAACGAGAATCCGGTATTTGATGCGGTGACTGATTTGGCGTATACTAAGTACCCTGCAAGAGCAGCAGTGAAGGTAGCACCCAGTGCATCGATGCGAATGCACAACCAGCTATACACACCTGCTTAGGCAGCCAGTCGTACCACTGTTATGCAGTTACGTACCGATTGAGTCCCCAGAATATAACAGATACCCGACTATAGCGATTAATTCGTTTGTACGATTCTCTCCTGAAAGCATCCTGAGCGCCATATGCCCGGATCGATACTGGAACGACATCAATTTCAAGATAATATCTGGCTTACGTTCGAAAGAGCTTACCAAGACCTGCGAAGGCAGCGCCGAAGTGCCCAAGAACGGGAGCTTGCGCATTGCTCCTCTCGCGCTTGATAGACAACTGAGCCTTCATGTAGACGCGGCCAACCCAACCGCCAGCGCCAGCGACGAGAACTGCCGGCACGGAGAATATTGGCGACATAGCCACTATCGCGCCTACTTTGAGCAAAATTGACATTGAGTAGTTCAGGATGTCTCCTAAAAATCTTGGAACGGGCATGTCGACTATCGGGGAAGCAGGTGAACAGCGGTTCAGAATTGTGTATATGGCACTGACCAGCTTGAATGTCCTGAGTGCATCTAGCGATCATCCTTGAGGTGGGCGTTTTATCGAGCCATCTGCGCGTTCGAGTACGTTAGCTGTGGAGCAACTACAGCGTACTGACAATACCTGAGCGTCGTCCCGAGCACCGAAGAGATTAGGTATCCGTGTACAGTCCGCGATCCCCTCAGGGTACCATACACGTAGACAGCTTGCGCTATGTAGTAAAAGGCAGCAGACGCCAGTAGAATCAGAGAATATATCACGAGATAACTGTCATCGTGTCAGTTATGCTCAGGGTAGTATGAAACAACTACTTACTAAGGTGCGTCGACGTCCCATGGATCGCGAACTTCGTACTGGCGTGCCCAGTATCCAAGGAACCAGACTTGAAAGTTTTCCAGAGACTGCGAAACAGCCAAGATACCGATGAACGAAGACCAAAACAGCCACGGCCGCCTTCCGCCAAGACTGGACAGGTAAACCTTCACTGTTGTGCTTGCAATTACGACATCGGTGAAAGTGATCAAAATGAATACACTCACTAGCTGACCAGCCTACGTGTCCAACGGCTACTTCCTCTTCCACCACTAGCTTCCCTGCTGACTTCACATTGGCATTCTCGTCCGGTCGAGTTTCATTCATGTTCTCTTTCGTCTTGTCAATGAGAGCTTGTTCCTCAGCGACCTCAGCCGCTAGCTTGCTATCATGTTCCAAGGCATTCGACAAGGTCCCTTGACTCGAGATACTGCCGTTCAGCCCGAGAGCGACAACGAACTCGGCTAGGCCCTTCGTCATTGCTATGTTGTGAGTCTGATGATTCTGGTTTCAACGCCGATTGTTTGTAATCTCTGACAAGCACCACGTACAACAAGGAGGACAGTCCTTCCACGAACGAGGTCACCCTTGAAGCATTTGTTGATGATCCATCGAGCTGTGTGCACATCAAGTGCAGCCAGGACCTGGCCAAGACGTCAATAAAACGGTGTGATGTTTGGGAGTAAAATTTACATCGTCCAACAGCAATATCTCTGCTGGTGAATATACAGCACGAGCAAGCGTGATACGTGCCTAGACGACCATAAGTTAGCATAAGGCGCATGTGACTAAAATGTGGATTACTTTCTGACCACCGCTGTAGGTTCCTGTCAGAACGTTGAATCTGCACGGTATAAGAAGCCTTTCGTACCTCAATGTGATGCCTTTCTCGCCGACCTCCGTCAGGTCACCAGCGGCAAATAGTTCGAGATCGCGGCGCAGGCCGCACTGGTCAATTACTGCAAGCCTGTCAGTAATAGAGCGCAGTAGGATGAGCATGAACGCACCCTTCCCGTATCGTTCCCGATCGTAAGGAGTACCGAAGAGAATGTTGTCCTTTCAGTGAATGCGTTTAGTATGGGTTTGTGACAAGTAACCGAATGACCTACTCGGATAGTCTCGTTCTGTACCCATGATTCTTGAGCAGCGTACGCGACACCGCCTGCGCGTGGAATCTGGTAGAACGAATGTGGACTGTCTGGTATGTAGTGCATCTCGCCTATAATCGGTGTTGGGAGAAGTGTCACGCAATATGTTTATGACCCTACCTAGCAGCGCCATCAACATCGAGGTTTTCCCGCAACCAGTTGGACCGACAATGAGGTTGATGCGCCCATTCTTGAACAACAGCTCGCCTCCAACGCGCAGCTTGAATGCACGCATCCCACTCCCCGGTGTAGGGGGGAGGTCACTGTCCTTCGCCCATGTAAAGGATGCATCCCTGAAACCAATCGTGTCGGCGCTCAAAGGTATGTTGAACAGGGTAGCACCGGTCAGAGAGTCGGCGGGCTCAGAGAACTCGTCGATTAATTCGGTCTATCACCGTCACGTGAGCCAGGACCGCGACAGCAACTGATCTGCAACACACCTGATGTAAGAAGTCGTTCACTCGGTTCAGAGCGACCTTGGCTATATCAATGGACAAACGTTGGGCAGTGAATGTATATATCTGTGAGATTGCACGCACCTCTCATCATCAACGGGATGTAATTAAAGCTCTGGCGGAGTTCGCGGCTGAACATGGTAAAAACTACCATAGGGCCCGTCAGACAATAACCAGAAGAACACTGAACTTACACTTACCAGTCATGGACGAAAAGACTCGGGATGCTACCACGACGTGAGTATAAGGCCTGAATGATCTGTACCGCTATTGACACACCTGTCAGCTCTTGCTTCATCACCATCGTCTACGACAGCAGACTCAATAGCCCATCGAAGTAATATCATCGCAGATACACGCACGTAAGTCATGAACGTTACAATCATCGTCAACAATGGGATGATATAACTGTTCCAATCAGACTTTGGGGAGACGCGCAACAACACGAGAGCTCACTTGATATTGCCGTTTATCAACTCCAGCATCTTACTCTTCTTGATCAGTTCCAGTTCATCGTCCCGTTTTTCAGTGAGCTGTTGCATGACTCGAGGTTCCCAGCCGAACAGCTTGATCATGCGTATGACGTTCATGGTTTCTGTGACGGTCTGCACGCGGGCGTCCGTCTAGTGTTGGAGCACCACATATGTCATATGAACACTTCGAGGTGTCAGGGAACATACCTTCTTCATCTTCTCGGTCTGTACCTTCCGAATTCGCGAAGCAAGCGCTCCGGGCATCGGCAGAAGAAGTATGACCACCGCCATGCCAGCTAGGGCACTGAATGTTACGCGTTAGGTCGGTCGCATATACAATACGCGAAGAACACCAACCTCCAACCAAGCAGGGTATACAGGAAGAACACGCAGCCTGACACCACCACCGGTATCTTCAGTACTGGAGAACACATTGTCAGGACTAGACGAAACGTTTGCGGATTGCACGTACTTGGAGCCAAGATTTCCCTTCCAAAACCAAGTGCGTTTAGATCTGAGGTGATCAAGTTATTGACCTTCCCCTGCACGTTCTTACCCCTCGCTTCTTGCCCTCGCTCTTCGCGCCTTCCCGAGCTGAATTGTCGCCTGTCTCTACCGTCACACGCATACGAAGGGCATGTTCAAAGACGAGTTGCGTGATAATTGCTTCCATGCGAACCAGCAGGCGCATCTAAGAGTTGCCGCCATGAGCATACTCGTGTTTCAGACTACCGACGACGATGCTTACCGAGTAAAGGTAGTAGAAAGATATGCTCACGGTCTCGAATGCCGGTCCGAGGAAGAGCCAGACAACCCAGACCCATGGATGTACCAGTGCGCCGTCGCCATCATTCTCGATAAAGCTGTCGAAGTGTGTGGAAATGAGTAGTGCAAACTCGAAAGCGCCAATAAAAGGCACCTAAGCAGGTTCTTGATGCTCAGAGGGTTGGCGAATTGGAAAAATGTCTACTGAAGTTAGTACGCGCTATGATCCACAGAGGATTGCCCACATTGAAGATCAACAAATTAGACATGACGAAGAGATCGATACCTAGAAGGACAATGAGATGGATCAGTTAAGTGGAATGGAGCATTACTTACGGAAGATCTTGACAAAGCCCCAGAATATGTGTCTATCTTTGTTTTTGAGCAGAAATGGGCTCAGTTCCTGATCCGAAAAGCTGTGAGCGAATCAGTTGCTTGACAGTGGGTTACGCACAGGAAAGCTCTGTATAGTCAGCACTTGGGCATCGTCATAGTCTCCCAATGGCGGGAGTTGGTCCAGCTTGAGGTGGTCTGCGTGATATGCGTCCACGACCGTCTGATCTAACCAGCTATAGAGCAGCAAAGACAGTAGAGACGCCGTCTGTTCTGGAGATGGTTTGGGTGCCGGGTGCTGTTGATAGGGTTCAGTGGGATCATGATCTCCATTTTCATAAGTTGACCGAACCTTCAGATCGACCGGTGTGTACGGTCGGGGAATGATCAACGGGACGATCACAGCGGTGTAAGTCAGTAACAGTATTTTGACCCAGAGCCATCCGCTTTCGGCTGCGTCCATCGGTGAGAGTGTATACGTCGTCAGTGGGAACACGTCCCGGTACATGTATATGCCCCAGGTCGGGATGAGGACAAGGCTGGTATGCGCGGTCCAGAGGCTTGACGCTGACGTCGTAAATGCGGCCGTCAGAGAAAGGACCGAGGTGTATAGCTATATCAGAAATTAAGACATGATGCGTTGCTTCGAACCTTTGTGAAGTGACCTACGTATACCACTGAAAGCCCGAGATAGGCCAACTGGGGCGTGAGTTGAAGACTGTCCTGCTCAGGTCGTTCTGACGAAGACCCGCTGAAAGTGAGAATGGAGATGCAAAGGAGGGCTAGACAAAACAGGGACCGAGAACAGTTGAACGCGAATATTGTGCTTCCACGACGCTTGGCTACAAATCGCGACAACTTCGACGGATAGTCGACGTTCCTCAGACCCTCATCGTCGATCGGAGAAGGGAAGCCATTTTCCGCGGCGAAGACCTTCATGCGCGTTGAGCGGAAGACGAGTTGCACAGCCAGAACAAAGACCGAGAATCCCGCGGCCACTACGGGAATGCTAAGGGTCGAAAACGCGGGTCTCCAGTCGTTGATCAGCCTGTAGGTCAATATACGCTGCCGGAGGAAATGGTGTACTTACGAGAGCTGTCCTTGCTGCGACGCAGCACTCTCGCGCACGTCCGCCAGTACGACTTGTGACGGCAGTGACATCCTGTCTCAGGAATGTCGTCGAGGGCGTCCAGGAGAGTATCGTCAATGAGGTTGACAGTGGGGGAGAGACTTCTGAGTCCCCACGAAATGAATGGTAGGCGTTTAGACACGTTGCACACACTGCGCAATCAGCAGGATGCCGCAGAGTGCTGCGCGCAGCAGCACCTGGTACGCTGTATATCTAGAGTTCATGTTAGAGGCTACGTGGCAAAATGACTTCTTCAAGTTCCCATCATATCATCCAGCGCTGATGATACACATCCCGAGGACCCGAGGAAGCATAGGCCGACGGATCACAGAGACAAATCGAAATTGCTGTCAAGTACGCCTATATCACTCGTAAGCTTCGCGCTAAGACTCTTTAAAGACGTGTAGTGAGTCGTCCCCGGCAAGTCCCCGGTGGCAAGTTTCAGAAGTAATTCGTCACCAGTATCATATTACCACCCGGAACCGGGAAGTTGCCGGGAAGGCAACCCCATCCTAGGCCGAAACACCGTGTTCTGGCGCACGTTGCTGTGTTCGTGGACCGACTGGCCACGTCTGTTGGCCAGTGTGCGACCGCAGATCAGGACGAGGTCCAAACGAGCCTAAGCGCCAGTCTGGCGTCCGATAGACACGTAGCCTTGTCGCGGTCACATGACGACCTATTAGTACGTCGTACGAGCCCTGCCTGTCAGTTTTCCTTCACACTAGCAGACTTTTACTCGTCTTTGACACGTCCTTGCTTTCTGGCATATCGATATTGAACGATTGAACCCAACAGGTTAACTGACACAATATTCCACATCGTCACGCAATCGTAACCTGTGGTTTCCTTCGCGGTGTGACAGGCTGCAGTCGTCGGGATACACGTCGGACACTTTACAAATACAAAGCAACGTGGACGTCCTCAAAACGTCAGACTAGCACTGTCACATCACAAGAGTCGTTTTGAGTCTCCATTAGGCCTTGGACATAGAGTTCGACTGGTACCAGGGTCTGAGCAAGAGTTTACATGAAACGCGATCATTGAGACTCACCTCCGAGTGAAGCTCGACGTCACCAGTACCCCTGATCTTCTCCTTAGACGATGAGATCCTCCTGCTCCATCTCCTCCCACCGAGAGTCAAAACACCGAGGAAGACCAGTACGCCCAGCGCCATCAAGAACACCGCCGCCGTCAGTCCAGCGCCCAAGAAGCCCGCTCCCACCCTGCTAATCCTCTCATGTCCGCCCGAGCCCGCCGTGTCCGCAGCCGCTGCCAGTGCGACCGCGCACCCACGCTCGTCCGTTGTTCCGCAGACCTGGCACCACTCGAGCGTGTTGTTCACAGCCGCGGGCGCGAATGCGCTCATGAATGTCGACAGCGGGACGTCCGTGCCGCTCTGTGCGCCGTCCCAGCCCGCAAAATTCATCGTCATGGGGGAGTACTCCGTAGCGGACGTCCCGTTCTTGAACATCAGGCGTACGGTAGGCTCGGAGCTGTTTGACGGCTGGCGAAGCTCGAAGACCGTCGTGCCAGCATAGTCGACTGGGCCCGGGATTGGTTAGTGTCAAGGAGCAAGCGTCCAAGCAGGTGCGTACCAATCGCCTGCGGGGCTTGGCCGTCGTTGACGATGCCGGTCATGTTGAAGAGGCCAAGGAAGGGCTTGTACGAAATGGCGTAGTAGCTCAGCTTCAAGCCTGTCGACGCGTTTTGGAACTGCTCGAATGAGTCCAGGATGCCCGGGAGCATTGTGCGGAACGCCACTATGGCCATAGTTAGATGGGATACATCGAACATAACTACTGCGCCACTTACTGTTACCGATGCCGTCGAAGGTCGGGTCCGTGAATACCTGGTATTGTTGCCAGTCGACAAGGTCACGCGCGTGGGCAAGAAATCCCGTTGGCAGGGAGGCCGCGAATGTCGCGTTGTGGATGGACTGGACGTTCATGTAGTCATAGATCTAGTAAAGTGCGTTCGGCGTTACCTCCTGAGATGAACTGGAAGCTGGTAACTTACGTTCCACTGATATCATATGAGTCAGTGTGGCAAGCCTCCGGTCGGCCAATGCGTGCACTTACCATGTTACTAAGCTTTAGAGACCGACCTCCGACATATGGCGACAACTCAGAGAAGAATTCAGAGGCTTGGTCTGTCTTCGCTTGGAAAATAGAGGAGTTGTAGACCGTCGTTGTGTGCGTGTTGAATGCCTAGCAGTGGTATCAAATGAGTCAGACAGATTGTCGAGGTTCTCATACACAAGAGGCCCACGGACGGTACAGTCCGTCGTTCCGTCCAAGGTTATGTCCCCGTCTGGATTCACTGAGTTAACTGCACAAGCCAGTCAGCTCGGCCCGAATAGCAACCATGGGTGTATCTCACTAGGCACGTATTGGTAGCCCCCGAGAGGACTGATGATCGTCGAGCCGTTAGCGAGGGTCGTGTTTTGCAGATCCGTGGCCTGCCAAAGTCCTTGGACCAGCGCGGCGGCGCTATCCATGATGACAGAGCCTTCTCCGCTGTTGTCCGCATAGACTTGCACCTGGCTCAGATTGAACGCGGAGGTGGCTGGTGCGATGCCCTGAATGTACGACGAGGACGACTCGTTCAAATACATCGACCGGAGCAGAGCACCGAGCTGCCATTCCTCTTGCTAGAGGGCATCGAAATAGTGTTAGCATCAAATTGACCGCATAAAGTAGAACCGAATCGTATGCGTACCTCCCCAACGGCGTAATGGTCGTGTCCGAAGCGGTTAGGTGTCGGGGGATTGGTAGTAGCCCCTTCGATCACCATGTCTGGCCATGATGACGACCCCAATCACATCGTCCGCGCTGCTACTACTTGCCATGGTGCTAGTGTGCGAGCGCTGCTGACTGCCTCGGGGAACGGAGGCAAGCTGCAGATCAGCTGGATAAGATAGCTCGGTCCTCAAATACATTCGAGACACAGGCTCCGGCGGGCCGACGGACTCGCGATTCAACACCCTGAACATGGTTCTAGACAAGCCTGTGTATTTTCGGCCCCAACCGGTTAGCCTGAGGCCTTTTCGTCGCATGAACTCAGCCGCTCTCCTTCCGACTGGCTTCCTCCGAAAGATTGACAACCGCACGGAGGGCCGATTGCTGCAATGCGGTAGGACCATAGATCTAATTCGGGTGCACAGGGGCAAGATTGACATTCTGGGAAAGTAGATTGAGTTCGAGAGTAAGAAGGCAGGGGCACAGCTGGCAGCCCGAGCATGTGGTGGTGAGGACGATCCATGCTGGTTCCCATCTAATCGGTCAAAAATGTCAGTTGATAGATCCTCCTTGATCTAAGCGCTCACCGCTGATTTTGAATTAAAATTTCCGAGACTAACTCAATGATCGAGGCGGCTTCAGTTGCCGCCTCTATAAGTACTGTAAGCATGTGCGCGACTGTGCGTACTGACGACTTTGATGTCGCGTCGGAACTGTCCTTACCTTCATACGCGTTGTTACTATTCAGTGTGAATCTACCTACATTCGTTATGGTTGATGCAATGGCTGGACATAGTACCCAAGGGGATAGATTTCGCAGCTGCTTTATCTCTTGTTCATTCCTCAGGCCTCAGCCTGAAGCTGGGTCCTAGTCGTGCCTGAAAGACCGGGTCCCTTATTGGGTCTTCAGTTGCCAACTGTCACAGTGAGATTTGTGGCAGCTTGAAATTAATGCCATGGAAGTACATAACTGACGAAAGGCAATTATGTAAATCACATCTAGACTTGAACCCGAACCAAGGCTTAACATACGTTTCATATATGCATCGTCTTCTCGTCTACATAATGATAAGGTTGCATGCCGAACAAAGGGCTGACAGCAGCCTTCGAGCTCTTCCCGCGCTTCCACCTTACCATCAACCCGGTGATTATGACCATGAGTACTATGACCGCGCTTAGCGCACCGCACCACATGCCAGTACTGAATGACCCAGTACGATTACACGCATGCACAGGGTGTTCGACAGAGTATGCGCCCATTCCTTCCCGAGCGACAAGGGCCGATGCCGTAACACCGGCACTAGCAGCAGCCAAGGCGACATCGCACCCGCGTTCTGTCGTTTGGCCACAAGCGTTGCACCACTCAAGAGTCGTGTTGATCCCGGCAGGCTGGAAGGCCGATATGAATGTCGACAGAGGAACATCGGTGCCCGAGGTCGTGCCGTCCCATCCTGCGAAGGCCAATGGGTACGAATGCAGTTCGGTGTCATCGGTGCCGTTCTTGAACTGGAAGCGGAGGAAGGGCTCTGGAGATGATGCGGACGTGCGAACTTCGAATACGACCGCGGAGGCATAGTTCACTAATTAATACCGTCAGGTTGAGTCGATCTACTATGATTGGCTTGTGAACAGACCGAATGCCTCGGGAAGCGAGCCATCTGCAACGACACCGGTCATGTTGAACATGCTGAGGAAAGGCTTGTAGTTGATGGCATAGTAAGTCAGCTTGAGACCACTGGACGGGTATGTGATATCGTTGAACGCGGCGATGATGCCAGGAATCATGGCTTGGAAAGCAACTGGTAGCGTATGTCAACCACACCGGGACTCAGTGCTTGATGATGCAATACTTACTGTTGCCGATGCCATTGAACGAAGGGTCACTGAATACCTGATATTGCTCCCAATTGGCGAGGGCTCGCGCCTGCTCCAGCAGTGTTTCTGGGACGGTAGACGCATAGGTTGCATTGTGAACGTCTTGTACATTCATGTAATCGAATATCTGCAATGCATGAGGTCAAGGATGATGGAGATTGAGGCAAGCACTTACATTCCACTATGAACCGGCAGTGACGTAGGATTAGTGAACAGCAGTAGATGGAACACGTTGGTGATGTTGCGTACCGAATTCTGCAGTTCAATGGGACGGCCTCCGACATAGGGCGGAAGCGCGGCGAAGAAGGCGGAGACATCTGCAGACACCTCTTGGAACAACGTCGAATTGTACAGGACTTGGGCGCGATTGAGAAAAGTCTTGGAGGCAATGGGTCAGGCTGGTCAATTACCAGAGCAGATGGGATGTACTGTGCAGTCCGTTGTCCCCTCGAGAGAAACATCTTTGTCAGGGTTGATTCCGTTGACTAGCGCACCATAAGCAGTCAGCAACATACTACGAGGACGACAGCACCTGACTAACCTGGTACATACTGATATCCTCCGAGTGGGTTAGTGATAGTCGTGCCATTGGCCAACGTGATCTTCTGTAGAGCAGTCGGCGGCCAGAGGCCCTGCGTGAGAGCTACAGCGCTGTCCAAAATGACGGTATCGTCCGGAAAGTCATTGTCGGCATACACCGCTACCTGGCTGCTGTTGAAAACAGAGGTGGAGGGTGAGATGCCCTCGATATATGATGGCGAGGTCGGGTCGAGGTACACAGAGCGTAGGAAATTGCCAAGCTGCCATTCTTGTTGCTGGGACGAACATAAACGAGTTAGCGGAAGGTTAAAGGGTTGCCATCATACGACACTTGACGTACCTCTCCCAGTGGTGTAATGGCCGTCTGCGACACAGCAAACGTATCTGGATTCTGGAAGTTCTCGTACCGGTCGCCATGGCGGGCGATGAGGACAATGCCGATGACGGTGCTATCGGACATCGCAGCAATGTACAACACACCGGGGGCAGTGCACGAGGGTACATTCCGAAGTACGACGCGACTTTATATGCATCTCGGACGTGACTCAGGACACCTCTTGCACACTTTGAGCATTACCGTGCCTTCCCATGTCAGAAATGTTGTCCTCCATCATCTGTCAAACGTAAACGTACGCGTCTGCTCATTAGTAAAGAGCAATCCGTTGCGCGGATGAGACAGCACCCCACCAAACCGGAACATGTCTCCGCCCAAATGACTCATTATAATGGAGACACAATGAAACATACATTGTAGGGTTCCCCACGGACCAAACAACGGGCCATGAATGTGTGGCTCAACCGCGCTGTCCGATGTCAAGTTCGGGAGTGTCTCGGACGCCGGAATGTCCAAACATCGCGCCCAAACTCGCGCTTCCTGTTTTCATGTCAATCAGGAAGACTATACATCCGGGTGGCACGACTGTCTGTGATGATATTCAGCGCGCAGCATGCATGCTTCAATGAAACGCTTGCCTCAGTCTGACGAAGTCGATCCGCACGGTCTCTCACTTCGATGAAGAGGTGTATCCGTTTCAAGATCCACAGACAACACACGGACATACATGCCATCGCATCTGGGGGATCCATGCGCGCTCACATTCAAGTAAGCGCTAATGGGTTAAACTTCATACTCGGTCCAGCTCATCGCTGCAGTCATAACGAACGCCCAGACGTCACAACGGCGACCCGTGAAATGCATTCATTGCAAGGCGTATATTGCTTGCTTTTCTACACATCATCTTACGCCTCCCACAGAAGCCATGGTCTACACAAGACGTCAGGCACAGATGTCGAGCGTAGGCGTTGTATATCATCACTCACGAATGGTGATGCCGTAGGCCCGTCCAGGATAGCCAATTCCTCCTCGGTGAATGGAAGGCGAGGAATGACCAACGTGCGCAACGGAATCAGCAGCATGATGATGATGGGGAAACCAATCGCCGCTACACCTCCGTGAGCATCGCGGGTAACAGAAAGCAACATGAAACCCACCAATGGTCTGCGTAACAGCGAACGTCGCGCCGAAGCCTGCCAACTGCACGGCGACGAACAGCAGGATTCGCGACTTGCGAACCTTGCGCAAAGGCTCGTCCGCCGGAGTGAGAGCCTTGTCCCGGAAGAAGTACAGGAGGCGCTGCGTGATCCCATTACCTTGCAGCGCGTCCAGGCCCATATACCAGCTGTCAACGAATGGGATTCAACCGTCCTACATCGCACAAGGGGGATCAGTCAGCGTGACTTACAAAAGGCCCGCCAATACACCGCGCGGAATCAGATGGAGGACGTGCAGGAATGGACGTGTCAGCAGGACAAGGCACAGCGCGCCCTGGGCGAGGTTCGACACGCGTTGTTCGACCACCGCGATAGGGACTTCGTGCCTGCGTGCGTCGCCCTCGCCATCCCGGACTTGCGTGGGATCGGGCTCTAATTCCGGCTCGAGAAACGAGTGGCGGGTACGTACGGGCTGCAGCTCCGCTTCGTTGTGATCGGATGAACGGCGTTTCTCTTGCGTCCGCCGCTCTGGGGGTCTCCCGTCATCGTGCGCCTCATCGACTTCCTTTTTTTCTGGATATCCCATGATGAGCAGCGACGTAGTATGGATCGGTGCTTGCGGGATGAGCCCATTGGGAGCGGCAAGCCAAGTAGACCCGCGATGAACGTCGTGATACCAAGGAGGAAGAAGTCGTAATGGAACCCTGGGGGTTTGCGTAGAGGAAAAGCTGTGCCCTGGGCCATGAGAGACTACGACGAATAAGTATTACGCGTAGTCATACAAGGGCGATGCACCTACCGATACGTTATGATCGAAGAAGAACAGGACCCAGAGAACGAAGCCAAAGGGGAAGGCGATTCCTACCCACTTGCCGTCCAACTGCCAAAATCGCACGAGCCACTCTCTTCCATTGGCAGGCTGGAAGGCTTTGCTGGTAGGAAGCGTGCTTGGGTTTGCAGCGTTGAACCGACCCCAGTAGGCCATTGCCGATGCAGCAACCAATGATATGGGCATTCCATAGTCGGCGAGGAAGCGACGGACATGCCGATGGAAGTAAGCTGACTGTGACAAAGACCGGAAGAGAAATGATGTCACGAGCATCAGCAAGGCCAGGATGACGCCTACAAAGGCACCATCGAGGGTAGATGAACCCGAGGGCGAAGATGATTCTGGGGAAATTCCCTTGTGATGACCTGCACTCCGTATTGCAGATAGACCCATGACACGTAGAACCCGAAGGTGTCGCATGGGAAGAGGGTGACATAGCGCAGGAAATTGCAACCTGGAGGACCTCAATACCTGAAGACGGACGAGAAGACTGCAGTATCCTCACAGTTCAATGCCGCTGTGATCCAATGCAGTATGGCGCCCCATAGATACACCCACCCAACGAATTGGAGGTAGTCGGGTGCATCGGGCTGCCGCTCAATGATGTTGTAGATCGTCTTGTTGAGTACAGTAATCGGACCGGTTACGCCTGCGATGCAGAGCGGCTGCGCCCCGAACACGGAGAATATGAAGGCGGCCATGAAGGATGACAAGAGAACCTCCGAGACGCCATACTGATTGGTAGTTTCTATGAGATCTAGCGAGAATGCGATGCCTGGCAGGACACTACACTTGGATTATTAGTATTTGAACCACTGAAGTCAGCGCGGAGGGATACCTGTATCATCCACCCTAGCCGCGCCGGCCTCAAGGCACACGGAGAGAGAACTCACTTGGCAAAGAATATGAGAACAATGGCAGGGATGACACGGTAGTTCCATGCGTCTGTCCAATCACTGATGTAGTACGGGGCTCTGGCACGAACATCGCAAATCATGCCAGAGCCTATCCAGAGGCGTCGTATCCATCGTGGGAGGTCGTTGGACGTATTGGATTCGTTTAGTCGTAAAGTAGCGGATGGTGATCGTGAGACAGGCGTCGAGTTTTGTGCATGTCCCTTTCCGACCTGGCCACGTCTCCAGATTGGCCTGCCCTTCTAAGTCTCCAACGGCTTGTTGCGCACCGGATTTTCCTGTCATCCTTCAAGTCTAGATGTAGCCCTAGCCACAGCTGGGAAGACAAGCCAAACAGGTATATCCAATGTGCAGACCGAATACAAGTTGTTGGTGGGTTGGGTGATCTACGGGGACCAGGTTCAAGTTGGGACCAGTGAGCGTTGCATGAGCCGTCGGCAAATCAGGTGCTCACCTATTCTCGCTGTGCCCACACACCTCGCTGCCCCAAGGTCGCTCAGAGCATCTGTATCAGGGATGACTCCGACTCAACCGTAATCCGTGAATACTTGAGTGAGCAGCCTGCCTCAGTCGGTCAAAGTCAAGACGCAACATTTATTTCGCAGCCACAATGGCCGATTATGGAATTCGGATCATCCGAATTGTCGAGATAATGGGCGTTTATTACACCTTCATACTCAGCGAACGGCCGCGACGACAGACTCATGGGGACGCACAAGAGAAGCTCTCCCAACAAGGGCTTCTTAGCTCGAGCGCACAAGCTTTGCTCTTCGTCACTGTGATCTATGCTGCCGTGATTGCTCTGCTTTCGGTTCCCTTTATCCAGAGGCAGTAAGTCCACCAGCTCGTCCGAGGCCAGCACCGAAGTTCAGCTGCTGGCACCCAATAGTGTGGCCTATGAGCATTGGATCACTGAGCCATGGCATCGAACATTCGACGTCCCGGAGAAATATGGTCTTGCGCGTGAGTACTCTCCCTTGAGTGTCACCGAAGGTTGATGTGGTACACGTGCAGTGATACTACTCTGTGTATATTCACGATTGATGAAGCTCACATTGATCTTGTTGCACAGCTGGCAAGACACTCGACCTGAAGGTCCATACCTCCGACAATGTCACCCTTGGGGCATGGTTCATGCTTGCCGATCCTTACTACCAGATTCTTCGTGTATCCTCACCAGAGCCGCTCTCACAACCATCTATCGCGACCATAGAAGACGCGATCAAATCCCGTCCAACCATCCTCTACTTTCACGGCTCAGCCGGCTCTCGCTGTACCACCTGGCGCATCCAGCACTACCTCGCCTGGACAGCGCGCCTCAATGCAAACATCTTCGCAATCGACTACCGTGGCTTTGGCAACAGCGAAGGGTCGCCATTCGAAGATGGCATCAAGCTCGACTCTTACGCCGCCTGGGACTGGCTCATGGACCATGGGGCGAAGCCGGAGGATGTGCTGGTACTTGGGCACAGCCTCGGGACGGGTGTTACTGGCAAGCTAGCGTCGCGTCTGGCGCGCGAGGGCGTCAAACCAAGGGGTGTAGTGCTCCTTGCGCCGTTCTCAAGTCTTTCGATACTGCTAGAGACCTATGAGATATGGGGATTCCCTCTGCTGCAGCCGTTGCAGAGTTTCGCGCTGGGACGCAGTAAGCATCACGCTGACGTTGTGTTCAGACAGTGACTGACGTATCCATCCAGAAATTGTAAAGAGACTGGCCAGCGAGTTGTACGACACACTATCTGTCATCCACGTAAGTAGAGTCACACTGATATAGTGTGCCACAGAGCTCAATGCTGGTTCCACAGGAATTCAACGTGCCCACGCTGATCGCACACTCGACGGACGATATGGACATCCCACACTCGCATGCCAGAACTCTCGTAGACAAATTGCTAGACCCTCTCCTGCCTGCCGACTTCCCTCTCCCCGACATGCCCGGCGCGCCCGTCTCGCACGAGCACTTCCAGGCTTTCATGGAAGCACAACAGAAGCGCAAGGAGGCGCGTACCGCCCTCGTGCGTAAGGTCGACGTGCCCGCCCTCGGCACGATTGAGCAGTTCGACGGGACGTTCGGGACGGTGGTGTACGTGGAGACCAAATGGGGGGCACATAGCAAGGTTGGTTTGCAGGAGGGTGTGCAGGATATTATCGCGTCGACATTCAAATTGGGCGTGCACGCGTGAGGCGGTCTAACAGCTCTCAACTCTAGATCTGCCCCTGCACTGCACTCGGAGAATACACTATTTATTATCCCTGTTTGACCATCCGCGCATTCAGACTAAGTGCGACTGCTATGCTGGCCTCGATAACGATAGCAACACTTATCCCCTTCCAACGAACGGCATGCGCGTTGCCCTATGATGCCCAGTGTCAGTGCGTCGCAAAAAAGACGTGTATCTCGACTTACATGATGTTTACAGTGAGCATGGTGACGTCCAAGGGCAACCCAGCGATGTACGCGACAGTATCGCCAACATGCTGCACGTCCATCATTTGTTCAGCTGCGACCTCGCCGTTGGCTTGCAAGATCCCAGCGGCGTGGCCGTTCGCCATGCTCGTTGCAGCATTGCCTACACACAGACAGTCTCGTCAGCTGCGTTCCCACCTGCTCCACACACAGTTCTCGGCGACGCACCGATATCGATCTGCGTGCAAGTGATGTTGAATTTCCTCCCGTCCAACAGCGTCGACTTCGTCATGCCCAGCACGGCATGCTTCGTCGCCGTATACGGCGCTGAGTTCGGGCGGGGCGTGTACGCCGAGATGGACCCGTTGTTGATGATGCGCCCGCCCTGGGGTGTCTGCGCTTTGAAGATCCTGATGGCTTCGCGCGTGCAGAGGAAGGTCCCGACGAGGTTGATGTTCGTCACTTGCTGGAACTTCTCGAGGGAAAGCTCCTCGATGGGCACGGCGGGTGCGCTGATGCCTGCATTCTATCGATGTGAAAGACGTCATTGTCGGATGCTCCGAGTGTGAGTGCGGGGACGCTTACGTTGAAGAGGATATCCAGACGGCCTATGCGTTCATGAGCGGCGATGTCCAGGCAAATACGTGACACACGAGCTGGACTTACCGAAACGCTCCACTGTTTTGCGGAACAGGCTCTTCACGCTTTCCTCGTCCATGACATCGCCCTGGACGACGAGGATCTGGTTCGGATTGGCGCACATCGTCTGCGTCTCCTGCAAGTTCTCCAGCCGCCTCGCATAGAGCGCGATTGACCATCCTGCTTTCGACAGTGCGATCGCGCTACTCCGTCCGATACCTAGATGAGATCGCTTGCGTATGACGGATGTGGGGAGTACCTAGAGTGAAAGTACACGTACCGGAGGAAGCGCCTGTGATAATGGCTACTCTCGAGTTCGTCATATTGTGTTATGTTCGACGTTTGAACACACGAGTTGCTGGAATGATGGTTGTATCTTGCGCACTACGATGCCTTTCAGGTGCCCTCTTATATCCCTCCAGTTGGCACTGGCAAACGCTCGGAAGGCCGCTGAAAGCGTTGGGCTAGGCTCCCACGGTATGCCCCATGGTCCATGTAGTTCCAAACGAGGATGCGAAACGACTCCTCCAAAGTTTTCAGTGATGCCTTTAGATATTCCTATCAGTCCCATTACCACCGCTCTACCGAGGCTGTATCCTGGCTGTATCAAAGGGCAGCCTGAGACATCACAATCGCCGAACCTCTCGGGGAGAAGTCGGCCTAACTGTCCCTCATCCTCAGTCGACGGGTTCCGACTCGAATTACTTACAAGTTTCGGTGTTTGATGCCAGGGACTTCTAAGAATTATTATTGGTGGCAATACTCTGGAGCGATTCTGACCGAGAGCAGAATGCGCCGCTGTGAGGAGGTTCAAGATGCACTTCAATGGTACGCTAGCCCAGAGACCGCCCGGGCCAAGATGTTTCGTACCATCACTCGTACTCACGACCAAAAAAAAATATTTGTACAGAATATGCAGATCGACAGTAAGGCATCTCCGCTAAGCTCTTTGTCCGCACGCATCGTAACTTGCGCAGGTCTGCAGGTCCCAGGAGGGGGAATCCTAATAAGGCTATGGGTCACGAGACCGTGTTGCTGATGTCATCGGGCGCGTCCGAGCGCGTTTTCGGCCGCCTCGACTCGGCTTCCGCTCCATGTGCGTCTGCGAGCCGCCCTCCAGCCTCCGAGTCCAGGTGAGTATAAGACAAGCACTCGTCGCCACGCGAAAGTGGTTATCGCACGCCCGCCGTCCAAAACCCCCTTTCACCACTTGCTCACTACCACTCTGAGCCCATTTACGACCCACTTTACGACCATCCTCCACGATCATGACATCCTCGACTTCATGGTTCACGACCTTCCACGTCTTGTTGAATACCCCCATGGTTCCGCCTGAGCAGAAGGAGGAGACGATGGACGTCCCACTGCAGGACTTCTCTTCACACTCGCCGGTAAGTCGATGATACCCGCTCAAATGGTTATGCCAACTCATTGGTCGGCTCTCATAGCGGTCGAGTACAGACAGTGCCGATAGCGTTGAAAGCATCGACTTCATCGACTCCCCTGGAGCCCTTTCATACAGCCGGAGCCCGAGGATGCCTCCACAGTGATCCATTTATCAGAAAATGGGACCATTGCAGTTGCTCTTTGTCTGAGCCTTGTGCCATCGTCCACCACAAAGGCGTGCACACCAGGTCGACGGCGCTGTGATTCTCCAGTCTACACTTACTATACGTACTTGCACCGCTAATGTTGGCTTGAAGCTAGTCGTAATGATTTTATACCTCACGTATAACCACACTTTAGACTTTCATCTGATTGTAAAGTCGGAATCTGGACTTGGCGAAACTATCGTGCTTTGCCAAATGGTACATAGTAGGCGGCGGATCCGAGATCAACGTTTCAACTTCGACAAGCAGTTGGATACATAAGTAGTGCGCGGTGGGCAACTCCTCGGATTGAAGTCGGGCCCATCGAACTGTCTAGTCGCGCGAATCACTCGGCGTGCTAGTAATTATTACAGGCTTGGACCATATGCAGTCCATGAGACGCATCATGTCCGCGACATAATAGACTGTTTCCCTCTCTCCCTACCTACCGAAGTAGTAAATGAGCTGACGATACAGTATTATGCATCTTTGGCGCTTATGCGATGTATACGGGCGCTTACACTTCTACGACCAGTGCCTGTCTGCTTAAGTATCAAGCGAGGACTTGCAACAAGCAGCGAATGAGCGGCGACGGACGGTCATCTATTTAGTTACTGCAAGGGTGCCATAAGTACCTCTGAGCGCCCCATGCCATTTAACCAACATTGGACGCTCGCAAGTGCGACTCGGCAGCACTATTCAGCCGCCAAAGCGACTGGCACGACCTGGCCCATCTGACCGGGCATGACCTTTCGTCTCATCCTCGGGCTCCATTGATTGCGAGTGGGGAACCTACCTTACACGCAGGATTGCGCAAGTTCTGAACGTCCTGGCAGCTGCTTCGCTCTGATGGTCAGTTCCCAAATACCACCGCTGTCATATCTGGAACCGCTCTGGGAGCTACTCTCGACGACCACGGTGTCCACATCACACACAATCTAGGCAGTTTCTCAGCCCTAATAGCCCATCGGAACTACCCATGTACGTTGTCGGGTAGGCCTAAATCGACTGCTTATCTGCGTAGGGGCTCGTTGTACTAGTGCCTGACGCCCACGCGCAAGCTTTTGTGTTGCTTTGTCTCAACGTACGGCACGCGAGCCTCCTATTCGAAAACGTGCCGTCAAAGCTTAACCTGATTGTGTGGACAGTCTTTGTGAGCCGCTCCTCTGAAGTCAAAGCAAGTCTGGTACTCCTTATATTAGGTGCGTCCGTGCGCTCCTGAGCAGCACAGCCGAACCCCTTCTTCCACTTGCCCTCTCGCCAGACCCCCCACCGTGCCCGAGTGCCCACGGAAGCGGGCAACGAAGATGGCTTCAGAAGACACGATCTATACCCCTATCTCCGAGGAGTCGACCTCTCGCGAGACCTGCACAAAGAACAACCCATGGGGCGCACCCCTTGTCCAGGCAGCACGCTTCCAATCCCCGTCCACCCCCTCCTCTTCTGCGTCCAGCAGCAGCCTCACGCTCGACGAGGACGACGTCGACGCTACACCATGCAAGGCCATCTCCCACTCCGAATGGCTGCAACAGTTCGCCGAGCAGGCGCGCCGCGCCCACATGCGCAACATCTCACGGCCCTCATTCAACCTCGACGCCTCACCCTTCGTGCCCACCGCCTTCCGCCCATTGGACCTCGACGACGACGACGCCTATCCCGACTATGACGTCTCGTATGAGGTGCCCGAGCGTGGCCTCTTGCAGGTCAAGCAGCCCTGGCTTAGCGCGTTCCGCCGCGGGTGCGTCACTGTTGACCCCAAGGCGCGCCTCATCCACGCGCAGAACGTTGTCGCCTTCGGTACGTGGGACATAGACTCCCTCGCGGAGCTCGCCAACAAGGTCGTCGACCGCGTCTCGGAGGCGTACGACGAGGAGCTTGGTGTCCTCGCGCCGTTCGCGCGCGACCTCGCCGACTACCTCGCAGCGGATGTAGGGCAAGCTGTGGCGGAGCAGTTCAAGGACCTTCTGCGTGAGTGCATCCTCACCGAGTTCGCTGTATGGTGGCACATGGTGAGTGCTCCTCCCTCCTTCTTGAGCCATCTTCAACCCGCCAGCTAGGACTTCCCTACCTCCGTGGCCACGCTCCGCTACGAGTTCTTTCGGGACGCCTACCGGCTGTTCGACATCGCCTTCGCCGTCGCGTCCTTCGTCGGCGACGCCTTTGCGCACGCGCTTCTCCCCGCACGCGCCGTGCACCACTGCCTTGCCCTCCTTGTCCGCAAGCTCTCTATCATCGAGCAGGTCCAGGCGGTCCACGCGATCGTCTCGCACGCGGATGCACGCCTCTATGATGGGCGCACCCTGCTGCTGCTCATTAGCGTGTTCAAGTTCCGCGCGGAGCGCGTGCCCGGCGGGACGAGTGTGCTCGGGGAGCCGTTCTGGGAGGAGGACGTGCGCGTGTTTGTGAAGGTGAGTGTGATGTCTGGGTGACGATGGGCGATTGGACCAGTCTGATCTGTGTGACGATCTGCAGGAGATCGACGCGCTTGTTGATGGATGGGTGAAGGCTGGTCCTTCCTCGAAGAACGACGCAGAGCGTGCCCCTGGCGCCTTCCCCGCGCCCGGACCATCCCAGGAAGCTCCAGACCCCTCTGACGAAGTGATACCCACCCACACACCGACAAAGAAAACTCGGCCAGCACCGCTCTCATATAGCGACGTCGTCAAGAAGCGGAAGAAGACGTAGATCGTCGAGCATCCTCATCCAAGAGTCCTCAAAGCTTATATCGGATCGGATGTAAGATAGTACTGACGCGCTGTTGTTGTACGAGTAGACACTGCTGTTTGCGAGTGGTCAACGGACGTTGATACATCTGTAGATAATTGTACCGATATAATCTAGCATCTTCGTGTCATCTAGCACCTACGCGGAACAATTCCGCCAGCCTAAAGACTGGTACCTCCGCTATGAGCTTGGTGTGTTCGCAGGGACATGCTCCCGCGCCCACCCGGCGGTCTCCTGTGTCGCATTCCATAGCGGATCAAGTTGGGGGAGCTCCCAGCTTTCGTCTGCGCCTGATGGTCGGAAAATCGCGAGCGCCGCGAGGGATAGATACGTATGGTAAGGATCTGCAAGACATCGTGGTTCACCAACAGGTACTGTCATGACAGAGCGTGCACGCTTACCGGCACGTTCACCCGGCGCTTTGGCTATCCCGCCAAACTTGAACTGACATTGTCCAAGAAAGGATGCCAACGCGGCCCTGTCAACGAAGTCGCCCACACCAAGTATCTGCGTCGAGATCGACATATCAGCCCGAGGGGGATCACTAATGATTCTGTCTCTGAGACGCACACTCAGAGAAGCGCCACACCAGAAGCAGTAGCACGCATCGGCGATCTTATTCGCTCGCCCGCAAAACCCGCCGGAGGACGATTGGTTCGCTGTAAGCCATCTGATCGTGCGAAGGCGTGCAGCAGGTGCGATGCGCGACTCCTGATGCGAAGTTGACGTTGTGGGCGCGAGTTTGAGTGATGCTAGGGCGCAGTATGTGGTACCTCCTAAGCTCCATATGAGGACAACGGCATGGGAAGCTGACGGGATGAAACATACCCAGAGCTTCACTGTCGGGTGTCTGGCCGTACCCGCCTTCGTGGCTCTAAAAATAGTGAGTCTACAGATGATTGGCATGCAAAAGGCTACACCCACACTACATCGCTGGATATACGCAATAGCGCGCTCAACGTCCATCCCGGACCAATCGTCAAGGAGGCTACAAATCACGAAAGCACAGTATGCCGTGCGCAGATCAGCTTCGCCGCCATTGGGAAGAGCAGAGAAGCTACAGCAATGGCTGTTAGCTTCAACGACGACGGGGCTACTGGGGGTAACCGACCTTCCGTCGTCTCGTTGACACGAACGAACGAACTTCAGTATGCCCGAACGATCCAGCTTGGTGAAGTCGTCCCGTAAGATCGCGAGGGAGAGGAGGGCTGTGTAGGTCACGATCAGGTGAGGGACGTCATATTCAGTGTACTCTGTCTCCGCCTGTGATAACGACCACGTCAATAGAGTCTGCAGTGATGCGCGCAGCGAGACGCACGGTGTGATCTTCTGGAGTCATGTAGGGACCTGGTCGGAAGCCGGTGCCATACTTCCCGTCTGCGATTACCGTGGGCCCTTTGACGACACGAGGAGGAGAGGAGCTACGGACGTGTCTGTTGCTCCCAGATCCACTCTCGCCAGCGGGCGCGCTCTGTCGCTGGGATTCTGGATTCGAGAGCACCAAGTAGGTCGAGTGTGCCCAAGCAGTAGAATATCACGGCTAGTCTATTGTGTTGGTGAGATATCGTCATTGCGAACATGTATCTTGACAATCATACCGGGAAGAGTCCACTTCAATCTGGGAGAACGGCAGTCCGGATAAACATAGCTGGGCCAGCTTTGCATGTCCACTCCGATTGAGGCGAGGGAGCGAAGGCACGTCCGACATGAGGATGCAGCAGTCGATGAGCAAATATGGACGAGCTGAAACCAGATCTTTGACGTGAGGAGGACACCGAACAATATGCTCAAGTCTCTTCAAGTCGTGCTTCAAGCAGGTTACAGTAAAGTCGATGAACAGCACAGGACGACTCACCAAAACCCGATATTCCCGGAGTTTCTATATCGGTCGGACCAGAATGTTGAGGTTATGTACGCTAATTACCTAGCATAGCAGATAGCATACAAATGCCAGTAACTATGATAGAGTCATACTTACTTATAGTAGACAACCCATAATTGAGCAATTGGGGATTGGGGGAATCATGAGACTGGGCGCCGGTGGCGCATACGAGGATTACTACTAATGATCCCGACTCGGACAGCTTCCTCGTCGGGTCGCTCGTCTTTGGACGCGTTCTCTTCGTCGTGCTCATCATGCATACGCTCTGGATGCCAGTAAATGTCGCCCTACTCTTTCGCCGCGTCGTGAACGTCGTCTCTTCGCTGTCGATCTCCCAACAGTATCTGCTTCCGCGTCTGCAGCTTGGGGCTGATGGCACGAACTCGGCCGAAGATCGTCTGAAGCCATGGGAGGGGTTTAGAGCCATACAATGGCCATCGTGGGCCAATACTCATCGGAATCTTTCGTCGTCTGCAAGGTTGCGGTCAAACGGAGATGTCGAACAAGGACGGGGACACTCGGAGGCGGCAGAAGTAGACCGCGAGACACCAGAACACGTCCCGCGACGAAAGAGACCGCCGGAGGACACAATCCATCAACTTATTAACAGTCCTGTGCTATATGACCCTGTCAGAAAGCCAAGGAACCCGATTGCTCTCTGTCATGGTTAGCTGGTTCACGTCCGCATCGCGAGAAGCTCTCACGAATCATGACCTGCAGGTCTGTACGGCTTTGACGTGCGAGGACCCTCTGCGTTTCCTATCCTTCAAATGCACTATTGGTCGAATGTTCTGAGCATAGTGAGAGATAAGCTGGGCGCTGAAGTGATTGTGACTTCCGTGCCAAGGTGAGCTGCTCGTAGTCAAGTATTCATGCGCGAACTGCGAGGCTGATTTGCATTTGGCCTCCACGCACAGTACCGGATCGGTAGCTTCGCGAGCTGAGAGCTTGGATCGCTTCCTACGAGAGAAGGCACCTGGCAGAGGAATCAATCTCATGGCACACTCCATGGGCGGACTGGACTGCCGACATCTCATCTCCAACATCCGGCCGACAGAGTACACGCCACTGTCATTGACGACTATGCCACCCCGCATCGCGGAAGCCCGTTCATGGACTGGTGCAGGGTGAGTTCCCAAGACTCGACTACATATAACAGCGTCAACTAACAGCCTACCCAGGAGAACATAGGGATAGGACGTCTCCGCCAGAAGGAACAAGCTGTAGAAGCGGGGAGGCGTCTAGCAGAAGACGACGCGCGAAGCCGGTCAACCCCCACCTCCCATGACGTCCAGCCCTCCACCTCCCCGCCCTCCCCCAAATCCTCCCTCTCTCTCGCCTCGCTCCCCTCCTCATTCACGACCCTCCTCCTCTCCGTGCTCGACTCGCCCGCCTACGCGAACCTCACTTCGACCTACCTCAACTCGACCTTCAACCTCACGACGCCGGACCACCCGTCCGTGAAGTACTTCAGCGTCGCGGGCCGCATCGCAAACATGAGCGTCTGGCACCCGCTCTGGCTGCCCAAGATGGTGCTCGACGGGTTGAGGAGAAGGAGCGCGAGCGCCTGCGCAAGGAGGGCAACCCGCTCTGGCAGCGGGACGAGGAGTGGGGCAGCGACGGACTCGTGACGGTGCAGAGCGCGCGGTGGGGCGAGTTCCTGGGTGTGCTAGAGGGCTGCGACCACTGGGATCTCCGCGGTGCGAGGGGGCTCGAGGTGGACTTGCCATCAATATCCGTGCCTAGGCTGAACATCGAGCTGGGCGGAGGGAGGTCAAGCGATGATAGCCGCAGAGACGGGGACGGATGGAGTATCGCAGATTGGGGTAAGTTTGTGAGGGCGTGGAAGAAGGAGGAACGGGACGCAGCAAAGAGCGTGGGGCGAGGGATCAGCGAGCAGCAGAAGTCGAGGGAAACAGAGCGCAGGAACATGAGAGGGGAAACCGCCGAGGAGAAAGCGCATGCAGACGAGGTGGTCAAATCGTCCACGGACAAGGTATCGGCCGTGTTCGATTGGCTGGTCGAGCAAGTCCCGTCACCGAAGACCATCGCTGCGCTGGCACCGACATCGAGGTCCTCGCGTGACGGAGGTACACCCCCAAAGTCCAGTAACCCAAGCCGGGAGACAAGCAGGAAGCAGGCGGAGCGGAATGAGTTAGCCACGAAGATGGACCTGGAACGTTTCTACGTCGCGCTCTGCAGGAAGTTGTATGACGAAGGCCTTTGACTGTACCACTACATACGATACCATGGACTACCATGCCCCCTGGATAATACATAAAACATAGAAGACGCATCCACTCGTCGCCTGCTCGATGTCAGATAGCCGACATCCCTGATTTGAGTTCGCGCCGAGAGTTTAGTTCATGAGAAATTAATCCCACTGTCCTATCTACACGACAAGCAGCGGAAGCAGCGACTACTTTTACGTCTATCCATTGACTGTCCTAAGCTAATTGTCAGAACGCACCACTGCCAACGACGAGTATTAACGATTACCTCGCTCTCCCCGTCTAGTACAGCAGCGACGACATGTCCGCACGGATACGGTTGTAGTCCAAAAGACCCTCGATCGGGCCAACAGCAGCAAGAGAAATCTGTATGGATTAGTCAATCACTGCGTACATTCGGAAACAACGGCCACTTACATCCTGGTCCCAGAGGTACTTCTGCGCTACCCGCTTAATCTCCGCAGGCGTGACAGCATCAACGGCCTGCTCGAGCTGCTTGGGCGTCATACGGCGACCGCTGGTGACTAGCTGCCTGCCGATATCCTCCGCGACTGCGGTTGTGCCGTCCAAGCTGAGAAGCAGACTCGCCTTGAGCTGGCTCTTTGCGCGCTCGACCTCAATATCCGTCGGGCCAATGGACATGCGGGTCCACTCCTTAAGGGTGAAGTGCACCAGGTCGTCCAGGTTCATGTTGTTCTCGGTCACAAGGTAGATACCCCAGAGACCGGTGTCGGAGTACGATGTCGAGAAGGACATGAAGCTGTTCGCGAGGTTGTTGCCTGAGATGATGTGCGACAAGCGCGAGGACATGAGACCCGCCGCGCCGAGTGACCTGTCCCAGTTGCCCATAATAGACTGCATCACGAGCATGGGGAAGTAGTCTGGCGAGCTCCAGCCGACACCCTCAACAGCAATGGCGATGTTCGCGTGGGCAGCTCGTCGTCGCGAAGACGCACCTCCTGTCCGACGAACTTCGTCTTCGGGTGGGCGAGGCCGCCGAGGGGGATGGGGTTCTGGGAAACGGGGAGGGAAGAGAAGTGCTTCTCGGCGAGCTTGACGAGCTCCTGGTGGTCGACACCACCGGTGCCCACGAGCACCATGCGGTCAGCGGTGTAGTTGGTCTTAATGTACGACGCCAGGTCGTCACGGCTAATCGACAGGATGTTGGCCTTGGGACCGAGGATTGTACGTCCGAGTGGTTGACCTACACCGAGTAAGTCCGCTGCCCGGGCACACGAGTCGGCCTACACACCTGCGAAGGCAACGGAGTGCAGGTGGTCGAAGACGACCTCCTCCAGCTGCTTGTCCACCTCCTGCTGCTCCCGGAGAATGACATCGCGCTCCCGCTCGATGGCCGAGTTCTCGAGCTTCGAGTTCTGGAGGATGTCGCTGATGATGTCCACCGCGGCGGGCACGTCCTTGCGGAAGCTCTTCGCGTAGTACACCGTCTGCTCGCGCGAGGTGTACGCGTTGAGGTGCGCGCCGAGGTTCTCCACCTCCAGCTCGAGCGCATGCTGGGTTCGGCGGTTTGTGCCCTTGAAAGCCATGTGTTCGAGGAAGTGTGCCGTGCCATTCGTCCTGTCCGTCTCCGCCCGCGAGCCAGCATCTATCCAGACGCCAACGGTTGCGGTCTGCGCATGTGGACTCGACTCCGTCGCGACAGTCAAGCCATTAGAGAGCGTGGTGCTCTCGGTAAGGGGACTGGGGACATTGACCGCCGTCGCGAACGAACGCAGCGATCGCTGCAGAGTGTCAGCGCAAGATAACTCGAGGACGGCTGTCCTGCAGACACACCTGTGACCGCGCCGAGCTACGGAGAGCACGCCCGAGAGAGGCGGTAAGCGTTCTTGGAACCATCAAGGTCGTCGTGGAAGAAGAGTTCGTCACTGTCAGCGACGGCCTCGGGCGAATTCGGTCATTGCGGCTTTCAGACTCCGGCTGAATCGCCCCGCGTCGGTGGTTCAATTGTCACACATCGGTTTCGTGGTCCGATACCATTTCATTCACGCGGTGCGCGCTTCGCATCACAGGCGCTCGATTGAGTGGACGCGTTTGAAGACCAGGCTGCGCTCTCTTGCTCAGAGGACCCTCTTGTTCACGCTGCTTCCTCGCAGGCTTGCTATTTACGAAGACGGTGAGTCGGGGACATCTTAAGCATGAGCTCTTTATACGCCATGGCGCTCTCGAAGACTGTCCTACATCCGGCGCAAACGGCGGTGGCTCTCGACGCGCTTGTACCCCTCCCCCCAGACATAATCAGTACCCCGGTTCATACTTTCAGAGAGTTGGTCATCTACGGGTCAAACAACACTTCTGCTCAGTGGTCTCGTCTGCTTGGCTTCCTAGTTGCTGGCCTATGCAGGCGTTGCAGTGGACCGGCCGAGTATGCACGCGGGGACGGAGCCTCCACGGACGGGCGCGCAAGTCATGAGATCGGTTGCTGACGACCCTGAGCTGCAGGTTGACTCCCTACTCCTCCCACCGCGATGAGGCCAACAGCAGCGCGTCTTCTGCACATCCTGGTCCCGATTAAGAGGTGAGCACATTGCGGTGCTTCGAATGGTCGGGTCTGAACTTAATGCAGGACAGTAGACTATGCGGTCAAGATCCGAGTCAACCCTGACCAGAAGGGCATCGACCTCAATGTCAAGCATTCCATGGTGCGTGTGCGCACATCATCCAAGACTGCTTTGTTCACCCTTTCGCTGCGTTAGAACCCGTTCGACGAGATTGGTTCGTGCACGCTCTCCGTCTCACCTCGGGGCATCCCACACATGTGATACTGACACCCCTGCTCAGCGGTCGAAGAGGCCGTCCGGCTGCGCGAACGCCTCAAGGACAAGGTCAAGTCCATCAAAGTCGTCACCATCGGGCCGCCCAAGTCGTCCGAGACCCTGCGCACCGCGCTCGCGATGGGCGCGGACGCGGCCATCCACGTCGAAGTCGCGGACGGCGCGCCCGCGCCCGAGCCGCTTGGTGTCGCGAAGGCGCTGCGCGCGGTCATCGCGCGCCAAAAGGAGGGCGTTGACCTCGTCATCATGGGCAAGCAGGCGATCGACGACGACGCGGGCCAGACAGGCCAGATGCTCGCGGGGCTCATGGATTGGGCACAGGCGACGTTCGCGAGCAAGGTAGAATTGGACGTGGAGAAGAAGGAGGCGAACGTGACGAGGGAAATTGACGGCGGTCTGCAGGAGCTGAAATGCCGTTTGCCCTTGGTGCTCACGACTGATCTTCGGTGAGTGTGAACCTTCGTCCCGTGAATGTCCTCCGTTGACGGTGGTATTGCAGGCTGAATGGTACGTGAACTCCACGTTGCTCGAGGGGCTGGCGCCGAGTGACTCTGCGCGTAGAACCACGTTACGCCTCGTTGCCTAACATCATGAAAGCAAAGAAGAAGCCGATCGAGAAGCTCTCACCTGCGGACCTCCAGGTCGATCTCACACCTCTTCTCGAGACGTTGAAGGTTGCAGAGCCTCCGAAGAGACAGGGTGGAGCGAAGGTGCGGACACAAGCTCATTTCACGAGGCAGCATACTCACGCTTAATATCACGCAGGTCGAGAGTGTGGACGAACTGGTAGCAAAACTGAAAGAAGCAGGGATCAAGCCCGTGGCGTCATGATCGGCGTGTCTGATCGACTCGTGTCGTTCATGTTCACACATGAAGCCAACTTTCTGCTCATCACTCAATGCATTGTACTCACCACACTAGTGTTAGCATCTCATGTGTCTGACGCCCTATGCGCCCTCCTTCACGGGGACCGTTTGGATCAAGCCCCTCAGCAATGTCTAGGATATGCGTATGCAGATTTGACGTTGTTGAAGTCGTGAAAGTCCGTGTACGCTATATCATCGTCTACTCCTATCCGACCGTCAACTCCTTTCTGCCAGCAAGATGCCGAAGATGGCTGTGATGATAGCACATAACGCGACGGCGACCAAGACCGTACTGACCCGCGCAACTGGGAACTTCCCCACCACGAGTGCATACTGCACCGTGAAGTACCGCGACACGCCCAGGAAGAGCGTGCACAAGCCAACGATGATGATGGTCGCTCCAAGCGGCCGCGAGTATCTTGTCAGCTGTTGGTTCTTGTCTCCGGCGATTGTGAAGAGCTGCACCAGCGCTACATTCGGATGGTCAGACGGTATAAGTACCACCAGAGATTTTTCCAGGACGTACCGACTCCCATGGAGGCTATAGTGAGACTCGTCCGCACGTACGCGAGAAAAGTGCGTTCAGAGGCGAGGTGGTCTCGGGCGACGCTGCCCGAATTCTCCAACGTCAGCGCAGGATTGAGCTTCTTCGCGACTTCGCGCATCCCTTTCCGCGGTCTCCTTTGCGCGCTGCTCCCGCCGTCGGTTCTAGCGACTCTGCGCCGGGCGCGCGCTCCGAGGTTGGGCCATGGGTCTCGTGTGAGGTCCTGGCTGTCTCCTCTGGCGGTGACTTGAGCACCGAAGGTTCTGCGTGAAGGGTGGGCTCCGGTGAGGAAGACGTGCGGGTGGGTGAAGAGGGCACAGGACGCGAGTCCATGGGCGGTGATACAGGAGTCGTGCGGCGTTACAGCCCGGCCGGCCAGGTAAGTATGGGGGGTAATTCGGAATTGGGCCTTGAGGCTGTTGCGGAATTCGGAGAAGTGTGAGGTCAGGAAGCAGGAGAAGCGAGTGGCATGGCCTTCGCGTGCGACGAAAGAGTTCGCCGCCCGACGGTGATTCCTCCAGGCCAGGAGAGGCGCGTGATAAGACGTGATAGACGCGTTACGTCACGCGTTATGGTGGACGCGTCGCGCCAGGACCCCGGGCAAGGCGCTTATACGTCCGATCCTGGTGCGGCCATAACCAGCCCAAATAGGGCGCTCATGTCCGATCCTGGTGCGGCCATAGACCTGCCAGAGCTCGCGCCATGTCCGATCCATATGCGGCCATAGATGCTGTCACGTTCGCATGTCCTATCCGTATGCGGCCATAAATTGACCTCGTGGTCGCCTTTGACGGCGAAGCCAGTATCGCGAGATTGGTACGTAGCATACTTCACGTCGTGGATCGATCTCTCAGCTAAGCAATGCTACTAACTTCTGTGGATGGCATCGCGGGTGATGGTATCTGCTCGGGCCTGGAAGATAACTTACTGATTTGCTACGATGATCGCATGCAACTGCTTGTTATGATTGGGACCCCGGAATTGCAGATTCTCTGAATGCGTCCGTCATGTGGGACTTGGTAGACTGGCCAAGCTTGTATTGTACTACAATGTGAGTCTCGCCTCCTGTTTACAGAATACTATACATAGCTGTATTCACGCTGAATTCATGCACCGCAGTGTAGGATTTACGCGCGCAACGCGTCTCATTAGCCTCTCTCGCAGATCACGCGCCGATGGCTCGACACGGACACATGAAGATTGCTAGTAGGGTGCGTTCGACCTGGTTTGGCTGACCAAGATACAGGAGACTAAAGCATCTCGTTCTTCGAAGGCTACCACTCGTCCGGAGACACGTACGTGTTCTTCAAGGCGGGGGCCACTCAATCATTGTGCCTGACATGCTTGGCTACGGCGGCATGGACAAGCCGGCGGAGACAACAAACACAGCGCGATATGCGCGGACGTGAGAACGTGAGCAAGGCGATCGTGACAGAACACCAGAACACCACTGGTGAGTGCTTCAGTACCTGGGAAAGGGCATCCGACGCTGCACGTCTCATTGAGACGCGATGTGGTCGTAGTGGTACCGCTTGGGCCAGGTTCAGCCAGAGCAACTGGCCCGTAGGATGTTGGCTACCCAGGCATACTGGCCAAGTGTTTGACTCGCAGGGGCGCATTTCTCGTACTCTACCGAGAGCGTTTTCTCGCGATCGCATTCGTCTCGGTCGGCTACACGCCATTGTTCGCGAGCTTCAAATATGCGACTGCCATCGCCGCGGTCAAGCAAGCCATCGGTCACGAGCCTTAGGGCCACTGGCAGTGACCAGCTACAAACAATCTCACAGTCGACCTCATTCTAAAGATGCGCCAGGTTCTTCGTCGACCTCGAGTACCAACCAAGTCATGAAGGACCATATCAGTACTCCTGACCTCCCATGTTCGCTATCATCTCGCAACCAACTGGCTTGCCCGCTTGATTGTCTCTCACCATCCGTGTCAATTAGCGACTACTCTTGTGACGCGCCACCTAGAGTACATTCGTACTTACGAATGTTGGGCGCTCGAGATATGGTACTCGGCGCTTATGCGTATGTGCTACTCATGCAACCATTTTGACGATAAAGGGAGACAAATGTGGGCGTTTTCCTTGGTAGTCTACTCCGCCGCAATGTGTAGGGCATGCAGCGATTTTTTGGGCATTTTCTCCGATTTTACCGCATTTTTGAGAGGTCCGATCCGTCATGCGGCCATAAAGCACCCCTACAGGTAGGTCCTATCCTGATGCGGACATAACAGGGGTCAAAATCGTGCGGACATAAGGGCCCAAAATCCGGGGTTTTCGGATCGGACCTATAAGCGCCTTGCCCGGGGTCCTGTCGCGCCCGGGGGAGCGAACTTGAACATCGACCTGCAGGACCACAACGCGTCGCTAACCAGCACACCTCGCAACCGCGATGTCCATGAGCATCCACCGCTTCACAATATCTTCTAACATCTTTGTATGTGGTCATCCGTGCTGTGGCATCCTAAACGCTGACTGAGGATTTTTCTTCGTATCCGCTTGCGGGATGCACTCCGGGATTCAGAGTAAGTTCATATTTGAATCAATGGGCTGAACGTCAAATGTTAATGCATATATGCTACAGATGATCTGCAAGCTCCCCCAAGACGCCGAAACCTCCTCCTATTGAATTACGACCTTCTGACTTCGATCTTGTCGAAACTCGACTCAATGGATGCGCTTCACCTAGGGGAAACCTGTCGCACAGCTCACGCACTCGCCCTGCCTTATGTTCTTTCTGAAGTTGAAATAGGCGGTCGTGGCTTGGTTGATCACGTCCCGCCCCAAAACCAGCTAACTTCATTCTGCGCCTACATGCTTGCTGATGCTGGACGTCGCATCCCCCTCCTCAAAGGATTGACGCTTCATAGGGATGCGTTCAGCCTTAAGCCCGACCCATTGGGGTTTCTCACCGTACTCGACAACTCTGACGTCGACTATTCTGCCGCCCTACCACTCGCCCTAATTCTTCGGCTCAGTGTCAACATCCGTCAGCTCTGTATCACCGATGCAGAGAGGCTTTTCATCTGTGTGCCTTGGATGGGCAAAACCATCGCAGAACTGACCCGCCTCGACGACATTCTATTTCATGATGCACACGACCGGACTATGCGAGTGCTCTCCCATATGAGGAGTCGCCCTCGTACCTTGGACATTCAGTGGTTCACCCTTATGCCTACCGACTCAGATGATGACTTTACCGATTCAGACGACTTCACCGATTCGGACGATGATTCCACCAGTTCGGATGACAATCCGGACAGCAGCTCCAGAGAGTCGAAGGTCAGTTTGCTTGCTGCTAGCGTTTATCAACTCGGTTTTGATTTTGGACAGCATCCATTCAAAAATATTGCGGCTTCGACGACTACACTCACGCTCTCTGGCGTCCCCGAGCGCCTCATCGAGTTGGGGTCGAAGACCGTTTGGCCTGCCGTTGAGGTCTTAAACCTTACTGCCGATTATGACAGTGTCCCTTCCATTCTGAACTTGGCCGCCTTGGCAAGTGCGTTCCCGAACATTCGCCGCCTCCACACGTACGACTACAGAACACGTCCTCACCAATTCGTGGTCCCGGCGGCAACCTGCTGGCCAAGTCTCGACTTTGTTAACGCGAATGAGCCAGTACCCCTAGGCGACCAATTCGACATCTTCGCTTCCATCCCCTGTTGCGTGACATGCACGAGCCAGTCATGTTGCAGGCCACCCGGGACTTTCTACATCAATCGTCGCCAATCATCCTCAGCTGTGCCGCCGAGCTCAACGTGCTACAATGTGTGGCTTCCGCTGCGCCGTCAGTCCGATTCCTACAGGTTTTCAGTGAGCGTCCTGCTGTGTCCCGGTCGGCCGTGCCGAGCGGCGCTGACGTCGAGCACGGAGACTCGGAGAATCTCTCAGTACGTGTCACAATGATCTCCTCGTTGGGAGGTTGATTTGACACTTCCGACCCTGACTAGAAAACACTTTCTCCGGTGCTGGAGTCAATGCGTCTCCGCGCCATTACATGGAGCGTGGAGTACGATGCGCCGTTCGATACACCGTCTGTGCTGGGGTACGCAAGTGACATCGCACGATCAATCCCAGCCGTCCAATACATCGGCCTACAAAAAAACGAAAGCTCATGGGAGCGATTTCACTACCAGTGGTTCCGCGTAGTATCGCGTCCGGAACGGGACCCACCCGTATTGGAAACGTTGTCGGCCGGCGAAGCAGATATTCTTGAGCTTGAGCTTTTGGCGATGCAGCGAGATTGAATGCGTCTCTAGTGAGTCGATTGGCTTCTGGAGTAGAAGCTAGGCTCAATATCCTGCCAGGCTGACGTGCGCGTCGCCGCACATTTCGGACACTTGGCCGATTGTTCTGTTGGCGAACAATCGACGCACTGGTCACCATGACCTACGCAGCTCACCATTGCTTTATCTTTTTCTGTGGAATCCGAGCATCTAGGTTTACGTGGCCTTAGCGTATATTCCACCTCAGGCCTCAGGCCTCAGGCTTCAGCTGCTGTCGCTGATGACCTGTTGGTTACTCGATCCGCTCCGTGATCTTGGACTATGAGTACTGTGCATGTTGAATGATGTTCTGCAGCAGCGATCATTCGTAGTCGCCCTGGAATATGACACCATCCTCAGCGTTACTTCTTGCTTCATAAGATTAGACAAACAGCCACTCACCCGGAGTCACCGCGGATAGCAGGCTGGTGACCGCGGCGGGGAGGCGCGTTATGTCACACATCACGTGACTGAGAGTATCAGAGTCACATCCGACGCGCGGCGAGTTCTGACAACTGGAGTGAAGTGAGACATCGACCACGACCACAATACGTCGCTGACCGTGACCGTGCAGCGCGCTGCTCCCTTCTGGACCGCGATGTCACCCAAAATACTGTCCACGAGCATCTATAACTTTACAATCCCCCCGGACATCTTCGTATGTGATCATCCATGTTGTGGCATCCCGAAAACTGATTTTAGACGATACCTTCCGTACGTATCTGCTTGGGGAATGCATTCTGGAAATTAGAGTGAGTTACTCAATAACTTCCGGGGCCGTCGTCACCGTGACTATGTTTTCCAATCTACTTACTCACATACCATACCCAATTACCAGCCAAGCGAGGGACCGCCATGGGGAGAGAAGACGTGACAGATATCTCAAGCAGTCCTGCTCAAGCTTCACCTGAAGTTACTGGTATCGGTCACCGCATGTGCTATACCACGATCAACAACCTGCCTCAGGACGTTTTCCTCATCATCTTCTGTATGCTTTCCCGTCCTCAGTGGTCCAGAACCCCGACGGTAGTGTCTGGTACCACAATTTCTGGCTGGGAGGGCATTGAGCTGGATCCTTGGCCGTCATCCGATATTCTCAATCCCGAGCATCCGTTCCCAGACGGTCTCGCCTCCGTATGTCGCCTGTGGCAAGCAACACTTTCATCCGTGTCCAAATTCTGGAACCGTTTGGTTATATGGGTTGGCAGAAACCCCACCCCTCTCTCGAAGATCCGCAGTTACCTCGCTTGGTCGCAAAATCGCCCCATTAAAATCTACATCGTACGGAGGTTCGACATGTCTATGGAGGACCCGATGGAGAAGGCACAGGTCGCGGCCGTCATGGAAGAGCTCATACCCCATATGCAGCGGTGGAAAATCCTTTGCATCAAAGTCCTTCACTCCAGCTCACTTCCTCTTCCTCGCGTTGACCTCGTGGGGCATGCAGACAAGCTGAGCCAGCTCACGCTGGACTTTGTGGTTGATGACTCTGTCGCAAGTGATGGGACGGCATCGCCGCTCGTTGGCGAACTCCATGCCCCCAATTTGTCCACGCTCTTCATGAGCGGGATTCACTTTCGCGAATTATTCGTGAAGCCGTTTCCGCAGTCGCTTCTGCCGCCTGCCCTCCAATACCTCATAATCTCCGAGTACGACTCGATGCGCCATCCGCCTTTCTTACTATCCGACCTCCTAACGTGCCTCATGAGCCACACGTGGTTTGGGTCCGTCGTGCTTGCCAACCTCGATCTCGACCTCTCCTACGATGGACCACCCATCCTCCCACCCTTCAGCGACTGGTGCGCAAACAGAGTTGGCTTCGTCGACATGAGCGGTGACGTCATCGCGCAATACTACCAGTTGCTCCGTTTTCCCTGGGCCGAGACCGTGCACTACGTTCGGTGCTCGATGGACACAGTCGAAATGCTGGGAAAGTCATACTACCTGAAGCTCGAGGAAATTGCGAACCTAGCAGCCCTCGTCAATTTTCTCATCAACGAGCAGGGACAGAATCCGAGCTATCGGGCGTGGTTTAGGGACTGCGACGCATTGTGTCAGCCAGTCCTGTCGGCACTCACGCAGCCAGTGGGCCACGGCGTCTGGCTCTGCCCAGACCTTTGTTGGCTTGCGATCGAGGGGTGCAAGCGATTTCAAAGCTCGGACTTGCGTATGATGCTGGAGGCCCGTCGCGACGCACACGCGACGATAGGCTTCGCGGACGATGGCCATCCGGAGTACGTGGTAACATCGGTGAAGTATCTCGACGTGCAGAACTGCTGCGAGCTCGCACCAGAAGACAAGGAATGGCTCGACGAGAATGTGAACGAAGTCTGCTGGGACGATTGGAGCGGAGGATGTGGAGGCTGGTGAAATTTCGTATCACTTGAGAAGGTTCGTATTGTTGCGACGTATATTGATATAACTCAACGTTAAACACGATGCCTTGTATACGTAGTACGTAGGCGTCGGGACTCAGCCTCAGTACTCAGTACTCTGTAATCAGTACTCAAGTCTTAGTTTCAACCTTCAAGTTAGGCCGTAAGATTGGCGAAATCTCGGTCACAGAATCTGGGGAACATCTTCAGGATGTAACTGTCTGTGGGATTTTGAGATCCTGATTTACCCAAATTTCCGGTTGCCAGCTCAAATAGATGGTCACTGGTACATATGTGCATAGATAGGCCATTCAACAACAGTTCCGAGTCTCAATGCAATGAGCGGCTACGCGTCTGTGGCGCAAATATCGCATTTGGCAGGATTCCCGCGGTCTGGTGACAGCTGCCTCCGTTCCGTAATCTACTGGAATTCGAATTGGTACATACCTACGAGTCGCAACGTTCAGTAACATCAGTTGATGCACATCTCCTTGAGAACTTACAATCATTCCCGGTTCTGACAGAGTGAAGCGTTCGTATTCTGTGTATAGTAAGTTCATGGCTTCCTCCAAACTGAGTCTGCTCATTTAAAATCAGTTTATTATTAGGTGTCGGCATGAGCGAGCATAGCGCAGCCAATACAGACACTCCCGAGAGCTTTTCCGTCAGCGACAAACCGCGCATCGCTATCAACGACCTTCCCCCGGATGTTCTCCTTGTAATATTTCGTGAATTGCTCCTTACTGTCCGGCAGCCCATGTTCTGGGGAATGTATGCCATAGGCTGGAATGACAGTCACCTGGAATCCTGGCCATCGTACGACAGCTCCATGCCCCGGCATGCGTTCCCGGAGTCGATCGCCTCTGTCTGTTGCTATTGGCGAGAGATCATGTCGACCCTGTCCTTCTTCTGGACGCGTTTGGTCATATGGGTCGGCCAGGAGCCTACACCACTCTCGACCATACACGACTACCTTGCTTGGTCTCAGGATGGGCTCCTCGACATCTATATTCTTCGCAAGGCTGATCCGTCCATCGAGCGGGACCCCATGGAGAAGATGCAGGTGAAGAACGTCATGGAGATACTCCTTCCTCACATGAAACGTTGGAGACTTCTCTGCGTGAAGCTCCTCCAGTCCACCTCGCTCCCGCTTCCTCGGATTGACCTCGTTGGCCGCGCAAACAGACTCGTCAAGCTTCAAATGCATTTCGACATTGACGATTGTGTCGCGAGTCCGGAAGCAGCACCGCCTGTGATCGGCGAGTTCCACACGCCCGTACTGGAGAAGCTCCATATGGGTGGCTTCCACTTTCGGGAGGCATACTCGAAGCCATTCCCGCAGACCCCAATGCCCCCAGGCTCAGCTACGTCAACATCTCAGATTACGACTCACGCCTGCCTCAATTTCCCCTGATGGACCTACTTTCTTGCCTGGTGAGCTGCAAGAAGATGTCCAAAGTCCGGTTCGCGAACCTCGAGCTCGACTGCTCTTACACGGGACCCCCTATCATGGAGCACGGAATCGACTGGTACGTCGACGCGGACTTCGTCGAGATGGGCGGCCACGTCATCACCGAGTACAACCGCCTCCTCGGCTACCCCTACGTCGAGACCGTGTCGTACACGCGGTGCTCGTTGGAGCGCCCCGCCGCACTCGGCGAGTCGTACTACATCAACCTGGACGAGATCGCGAGCCCGACATCGCTCCTTGGCTTCCTCGCTGCACCTCGCAGCCGCTACTCGTGTCGCGAGATATCGTTCGCGAACTGCGACGGCCTGAGCCCGGAGGTCCTGCACATGCTCGCGATGCCGCTGACGGATATGGACATTTGGCTCAGCCCAAACATTGCGGGGCTCATCATCGAAGGGTGCAAGCACTTCCGCAGCTCAGACTTGCGCATTCTCATCGAGGCGCGGCGCACGGTGCATGAGGCGACTGGCTTCCTGCAGGATTACGATGTGGGGTACGTGGTGACCTCAATCACAGAACTCGACGTACAGGACTGCTGCGAGCTCGCGCCGGATGATAGGGAATGGTTCGACGCGAACGTCGAAAATGTTCGCTGGGATGATTGGACAGGAGGGTATGACTCAGGGTATTGAACGTACGGCTCATGACATTCAGTGTGCTCCGTACTAATCATGCCGAACAATGGTATGATAGTCTGTAACATGTCCAAAGAGTCCTCGTACAGGCGATGTGCATGTGGAGACCAGCGCTCGACGGGACCCACGGCCATATGCAAAACAACGAGGACGCACCCTTCGAATCCACTTCTACCATAAAACGACATTCTCGCGTGGTGTGTCAATCATTGCGACGCGGGAGTATCGAGCAAGCTCTGGTACGCAACATTCGCAGCCCCTACTCGAAGCATTTCCACGACGGGCGGCCCGTTCTCAGGGCGCGCAGCAGCGTGGTACCATGTGTAGGGCTCTGAATCGTCGGCCCACGACGGCGGGACTGCACTCACGGTCCACCTCGCGAAGCCGACGTATTCGAGGGTTGGATGCGAAGCGAGGATCTTCTGCGCGTACTCGCCGCGCTGTTCCAGAACTTGACATTGGGTGACGATCGCGAGGCCTCTCAGCGTAATCTTCTTCATGTGTGGGGTCACGTTCTCCTACGCGAGGGGTCAGTCGACGATCAGTCTACACACCGAGATTGACTTACGAGCCAGCTGTCAAGAGAGTCGACCTGCCCCGAGGGGCTGCCCGTTGCCGTAGGGGCTACATACACACGAAGGAATTTGAGTGCCAAATTCGCCTCTGCGACGCACTTGAACAGCTCTGGCGTCCCAAAGGCGTCGAGGATGGCCGGCTTTGTCGCGCGAAGCAGGTCTTCTGATTCGGCGTAGCGCATCGCGTTTCTGTAATGCCTCCCCGAGGTAAGAGTGAAGTTGAAACGGAGCCATCGGATGCGGTGGCAGACGGGGCACCGAGGCCAGTGCAGGGCGAGGAAGTCCAGGCTGGTCCAAGCCGCGCTGTTAATGACGGGCTCGTTGACGGAGACCGCGTTGAGGTGCAGGCGACGGACATTGGGGAATGCTCTGGCGAAGAAGTTGAGGTTGTCGACGACGCTGTCATTGATAGTGAGGTCGTGCACGCGAGGCCAGACGGTGTCGCCCTCGAGGAGGGATAAGATATCCTGTGAGAGGTCGAGCAGTATGCCGTCGAGCCTGACCTTCTCCAAGCACTCTGTGAAGTTGTGCAGGAAGCGATCTCGTCCGAGCCTGAAGTTGGTGTACCGCTTGGCCTCTTGCTTGTCGCGCATCTCGAGTATGGAGCACTCTACGTCCCGCGGCCGACTCCTCATCCTCGAGAGTACGCGCGCTACACCGATGCCCGTGTGGGTGAAGCTGAGTTCCTGGATGTTCGTGAGACTCGCGACGGCGGCAGCGAGCTCAGGTACACCTTCGAAGAGGAACTCCGCGCCGCCTATGGAGAGTTTCCGCAGGCGGAGAGCGCGCTGGACTACAGCAGCCAGAGACACGGCTGCTGTGAAGTTGAAGTCAACGTACATCTCACCCGTGCGCGGATCCGCCGCGCCGGTGACGAACGTCTCGCTGTTGAGAACGAGAGTTTTGAGATGCGGGATACGTTCCGCGGGACGCTGGAGCATGTATCTGCTGAACTTCCCGACTCTGTCGCGCCCATTCTTCTGCCAGTCTGGCCCTATATCGACCTCGGATAGTAAACGCGGGATGGCCACCTTTTGCGCTGCGCGACACGTCAACGCCAGCCGAAGGGCATCCACAGGCTCAATCAGGGTCAGAATGACTGTCGTGGTATCCAAATCTAGCTGCAGCAAGCTAGAAGCCATGGCTAGGACGGAGGAATTGATGTGCTGTCGGAAGGGATGAATAGAAAGAAACCACTGAGTCTGACAGCGAAACAGATATCTAGTTAGAGCAGTATCTTCGTGCGGCATAAGCAATGAATATACCCAACTGAAACGTGAATGCTTGCTCTAGCAGATCACCAGTCTTTTGCAGACCCTTTAGACTAGAGAAGGGATGAGATCGTTAAAGTGGTCAAATAGTCGGCGGTCTCCGGGCCTGGCGAGTAAAGTTAAGTTCGTGCACGGACCACGGTGCAGCGAGCCTGCCGACGAGAGGGTGGATACGGGATCACCGCGTCTGTACCGATACGTAAACTCAAATCCAGCCACTCTCGGGATTTCATTTGCATACTTACCATGAACCATGACTGGGCTCAAATGCCGGATCCCCCACTAGCCTCAGAATGTCCTAGAGCGAGCGAGCGAGACGCAGAAGAGAAAATGACATCCACAGTAAGCACCAGTGCGGCCACTGTACTACTAGGAGTCTCACGTGGTCACTCATGTTTCCAGCTTCAAATCCCTGCAAAAGGATTGGCTTGTGCCGCTTCCCACTGAGCCCATTCAGCTGTCTCATGGAAGGTCATGGTACAGCCGACGCGCAGTCTCGTGGAACAGGATGGGATGGGCCGACGCCGGCCGACCGCGACTGTCTCACGGAAGGCAATCGGGTCGGCCGAGGGCAAGGCGGGCAAAGCGGGCAAGGCGGCGCGTGGGACTATTGGCTCTCAAGACGGTGACGCGACCGAAAAGAACACAAAAGCCACACAAAAACCCAACTGTGAGGTCGAGCAGTGGTATGCGAGGCCTCTGCGTCTATGAGATGTACGGGGGACTGTACAGTGGTCTAGGTAAGAAGGAGGAGGACGGACAAGACTCCGAACGACGTGGGAGAGCTTCGAAGATGTCGAAGACTGTTCGAAGACGAGGGCTAAGCCTCGAAGGTAGGAGGGGGAGTTTCGACAGACGTGTCGAACGAACGGTGACAAGGAAGGCGAGCGACGGCAGGAGAAGAAGTGTAGAGCCTCTCGGGGCAACTACGAGCTGGCGAACGTACTGGCGAACTGACTGACTGGCTTCGAACGTACTGACTGACTGGCGAACTTGCTGACTTCGAACGTACTGGCTGACTGACGAACCTCGCCAGTGCGAGGTGAGATTGAGAGGGTAAGGGGGTCTCTGAGATTCGAAGGGAACAAGTCCCAGAGTATATACAGGAAAATACGGTCCGAAGACCAAGAGAGCCAAGAGAAATAAGAAATGATGAATGAAAGTGATAAGGAAAGCAGCCAATCGGAGAATGTCACAACGCTCGACCCGGACCTACTAACACATGAGAGAATCCAACTCGGCCTTCCGCAGGTTCCGCATAACGGGCGACCGTCCCCGAACGGCGAAGGTCATAACCGGAGCCGGTGACAGTCCTCGAAGATATGAGACAGCTGCAGGAGTTCGCCTGACTTACACGAACATGCCACACCTCGACCCAACTTCCGAAGCGTATGCTGCCCGCTACTACCGCCTCCTAGAGGTCCTCAAGACCGAGGGACTTGTCGAGCCGCGATACGATGCCAACAGTCCCGGCGAGTGGCTGGCTTGGGCTCACGGAGTCCGTTGGATGATCGTACGTGCCTCCGAACTTAGACTATCGTTCGAACCATCGAACCGACCTTGAACAGCGATTCTTGTTCGAGTCCCGTAGCCGGGCCATCCTGCTGGCGAACAATACGCTTCCCGCTCCTAGGTCGTTCCCCGAGATCGACGAGTTGATGCGTTACCTCGACGAGGTCTTTCACCGCGATGGCAACCAGGGAGACATCCTAGGTTCGCCCTACCCTACGATCGCGTGGTCCGAGACCTTGGTACTGCTCGAACAAGTCAACCAGGCCGAGCGTCGTCCCCTCGCGAACCCGCAGTATCAGCGCGAGTCGTTGATCCTGTCCGACTTTGCCAGCTGCCCGATAACCTCGAGGCCATGGGTCGAGCAATTCACAACATCGCGTCGACCAGCGCCGCGCGCACGGCACCCTCGTTGGGTTGCTCGAAAGCCTACTCGAGCGCGTCAACACTGACCGTGGCGCCGACACCGGTCCGTCTGTTCGTAGGGGTAGAGGTGGAGGTCACGGGTGTGGTGGTCGAGGACATAGATACGAGAGTTGCCGGGGGCGTCACTAGCTAGGTTGACGTAACCATGTACTTGCTCCGGAGTCCTACCAATGTAGCGACACTTCTAAACCGCTTGCCTCCGCCACTAAGGGTTCCGAACATCGACGCCTGAGCTTCGAACATCGGGCGGTTCCCTCGAACGGACGGGCAGTGCGTCGACCGTTCTGACTTAGTGTACCGTTGTATCGACCGTAAATGGCGTTTTCGGTGGGTAGGTGAGCTAAGGGCTCATCATCTCCCCCTTACTGAGATACTGACCGTCCTCGGTCGGCTTGAACACGCCGGCGCTTGATTTGCGTCCGCGATCATCGAGATACTTCCGCGCCAGGCCGTCCGAAGGTCTTGTCCAATGGCGAGCACTCGAGAAGCGATTAGCGAACGGCAGGACGCGCTTCGATCACGTTGATCCGAAGAATTAATCCCATTGGACGGGAGGTGAGCGCTTCTTGACCGTTTTGGATGGTTCTGATGGGGATGATCCCCGCTGTTTCAGCGCTCGAATGCGGTAGGTGGACCCACAAAGCTCGAGCACACATATAGCGGGGGGGATCCCAGCCGAACGTCGCTTAATCCCCCACTTCGCTCGCCCATCTTCATCCCGCTTGCTCGCCCCATGTCCGCCTCGTCTGCTCCCGCGCCCGCTCCCGCCTTCGCCAAGTCCCCCGAACCTGCCGGCGCCTCTGCGTCGGACGAACCTTGCACCGTGGATCCGAAGACCGGATTCCCCGTTCCCCACGACCCAAGAGCCCCATGGTCCGCTCGCCAACTGGGTCGTGGCGAACCTCGTGCCCGAGAAGCCGGACACGATCGAGAGTGGCTCGAGGGTGCTATGCAGCCACGGTGAGTACACCACTCTGCCTTCGTAGTTAATGCCGAACGCGTTCGTAGAACCGTTCACTCGCGTGTCGAAGGGGGCCGCTCTCGCACCGAACACGACCGCTCTGGGTCGCCTTCTCGTCCTCGCACGCACGTGAATCCCGGACGCGGCTCGCCAGTGCGCGGGGCACATGGAGTGGGCCCTCCTCGACGCCGCGATTGTGCACGCCCGAAAGGAGGTCGAAGAACGTCAGCAGTGGGAGGCCGAACAAGCTCGGCTGCGCGTCGAGGCCGAGGCACGACAACGTCGGGAGGCCGCCGAGGCCCTGAAGGTTCGAGAGGCCCGCGAGGCCAAAGAAAACGCACGAC